TTAAATTGTGTGCATCTATTGTCTTTTTCCTCCACCAGTTGTTTTTGTGTGTGTGTGCATGTGTGTGTGCGCTGCTCCTTTCTGTCTCTGTTTCCTCTCTCATTCTCTTACAAAGAACAAACCAACCCTAGACAAAGAAGATTGTGGTCAGGCCACTGGTGCAATCCACCTCTTAAGTCATGTCCTTTCCTACTGCTGGACCAATGAAATAAAGGAATTACTAGAAGGGCAAATAAGGAAGTGGGAAGCAACCCCAACCTCAAAGAGGCTTCATTGGAGCAGCTTATGCTACGTTGCTGTGGAATAACCTTTACTGTTTGGGACAAAGAGTGTGCATGCTGTTCTGTGTTTTTCAGAAATGGTGACATGTTCAAACAGACCCACCTTCAAAGAAAAGGGGGAACAGGGCCATAGTGGTTCCGGTGCAACACAGATGCAGGATAATCCATTTGAGTCAAAGTGCATTGTGGTTTGCTCTTATAACCGTGTTTCCAATGCCAGACCGAGGATCCTATTAATAACAGATTACAGTGGCTACATGAAGAATGCATTTCTTTCACCCCATTAAGTATCTACAACTCATCATGCAAGTCTGTTATGGAGCAAGATATTTGGATTATAGCGCATAACTGACAGGTGGAAATTAAACCCAGCAAATATCTTCTTTGAATTTAACCAGTATCTTGCTGCTGCTGCTGCTTCTAACAACTGTATTTGTTAGTCACTTTTCTTACAAAGTACCTCATTGTAACTTCTATTAAAAACAACAGTAAAAAAATCTAAAAGCACAATTCAAATAAAAGACTAAAAACACAAATAAACAACAAGGCAAGATTTCAACTCCCACTCTACTAAAAAAGGCCACAACAGCCTTCAAATTAAGGGCCAGCTCACAAAATTAAAGTATTAGTCTGGTGCCTAAAACTGGCTAAAGATAGTATTAGGTGTGTCTTCCCAGGTAGAACATTCCACAAGTGTGTGGGGGGGGACACTACTGAAATGACCCTTTCTCATGCTGCCACCCTCTGAACTTCCTGTGGGAGGGGTCACATGAAGAAGGGGTGCAGATGGTGATCGCAGGGTCAAGGTTAGTTTATGTGGTAACAGGTGGTCCTTGAGGTATGGGAGTCCTGAGCCACATAAAGCTTTACAGGTCAAAACCAGCATTTTGAACTGGGGCCAGAAACTAATTGGTAACTAGTGCAGTTGTGCCAAAATTAACATTATTCTTATTTCATCAAAAGATCACAGGGCAGATTACAGCATAAGAATACAAAATGAAAGCACCAGCTACAGCTTTTGAACCATCTTCAAAGGCAGCCCAATGTTACAGTACTCCAACATAAAGACTACCAGAGCAGAGACAACAGTAGTTGGCTGCTCCTGTCCACAGCACCAGTTGGAACTGAAGAAGCCTCAAGCTACTTACATGCAGATCACCTCCCATCCATCCAGTCTAGCAAACCACCCACTAACAGTGCTTCAGTCTTGTTTTGTCTGGATTAAGCTTAGGTATATTGGCTCTCATCCAGTCCATTACTGAGGCAAAACATCACTCTAACACATCCACTGCCACACATGGAGATGCAGAGGTAGAGCTGTGTGTCATCAGCATATTGCATACAACATACTGCAAAACTCCTGATGACCTCATTCAGTAGTTTCATATAGATGTTAAACAGCATGGGGGATATGGCCGAACCCTGCAGAATGCCACCTTGGATACCCCACAGGGCTGAATACTCCACAAGTACCACCCTCTAAAAATGATCAAGCAGGATTGGAGCCACTGCAACAAGGTGCCACCCATCCTCAACCTGGACAGCTGCTCTAGCAGAATACCACAGTCAAAGGTATTGAAAGCCACTGAGAGATCAAGGAGAATTAACAGGGGCCCACTCCCCTGCTTCTCTCCTGACAGAAGTAATCAGAGGGACCAAGGCAGATTCTGAATGAAAACCGGGCCTAGGCCCCAAATGAAATGGATCTATAACATATATGCACACCAATGCCATAATAGAGTGTGCAACAGAACCAAGAGAAATATGTAAGCTCTTCCAGTGCACAAATTCCTAATTCACTATCAGGCTGGAAAATGTATCAAGTCATCGAGCTGAAAACAGTAGTCTCCCAAGAGTTCCTGCTAGAAACATTACTGAACAGGCCCATTTCTGTGCATTCCTGTATCCATGGTGACCACACTTAGCTGCATCTGGACCTTGCTGTCGATGGGGTCCCTGTATAGCTGCAGAGGCAGTGGCACCTCAGTGCTGTTGTGTATGGGATTATTACATTGAAAGCTACTCCACCCCAGAGGCAGGCCCTGCTTAATGCGAGGAGTCTATTGCTGCTGATTTCCGCTGGTCAGAGACTCTGGCTACCACCTCCATCCCCTTTACTATGCTGGGTTTCATAACTCTGAAAGGCAGAGCAGAGCTGGGGGGACACATTTCCTTTCCTCGAACAGCCCATGGATTTAGTCTGAATCCTCTCAGTGGCAGCCAGCCTGCACCCCCTTGAGACAGCAGGGTAACTCATGGCCAGTAACCCCAAGAATGCAGTGAGGCCTGGTTTATGGGAGGGAGGGGGGAGATGTGACGTGACTAGCACAGAGTAGCTAAGCTGCACATTCCCAAGGCTAGGCCCGCCCACCATGTGCAAGCTATTAGGCAGAGCAAAGCGTTTCTGGTGCTTGACGAAGAATGTTCCCACAGCAGAACGTGGTAAGGGGAGGGTGCTGGCTGAGAGCCAGACGTGTGGAGATAAGTCTCAAGCTGGCTTGGTCCCAGGTCTCGGCAGAGCCACGTTCACAGCAACCTCTGGCCCGGCTCCCTAGCTAGAGGGCACCACTTCCTTCAGGGAGAAATTTCATCTGCTCTCAGGGTCACACTGCCCATGCCCTTTGGCCGTGCATCGGAGGGACTTGGCCCTGCTTCAGCCAGCCGTCCTCAGCAGCCCAACTGCAGCTTCAAAAGGCTTTCGTAGGAACTCCAAAGAATGTTCTGCAATTCCACTCCGTATCTGAAATGGCACTCCTGCAGTAAACGCAGGGCCATGAGGAGATTCACAGGAACATCTCTTCTACATGCACACACCGGATACAAGCAACTCCTTGTCCTTCCTTTAGAAAATTCAGAGCAGTGAGCAAGAGATTGTCCTTGGCCTTTATCTAGGTATACTGATCAGATCCATACTCCCACTGCTATAGAAGTATAGCAGTCCCATAATTTACACTGAGGTTGCAGTGTAAACCCAAAGGCAACATCAGGCAAAGTCAGAACGACTACCCTGAACCACCCCCCCACATCCAAGATCTTGACAGAGGCTACTGTGACTATCCCAGCACCCTATAAACAAGGTGCAGGGCTTAAAAAGCGGTTTCTTTGAGGGAAAACCCTTCGGACAGCCCCACAAGATCTCAAGAGAGCCTCCAGAGCCTGGTATGCAAGGATCTCATTTCATTCATTCTTTCATTTATCTATCTGCCTAAAGCTGCAGTCCCATAAAAAAACATTAAGTTGTGGGGTTACTGTATTAGATACTCCCTAAAAAGGATGAAAATATTCTCTCCCTGTTCCCCTCCAAAAAAGAGGATTTGCTGGGAGGGTAACTTCCCTCTCTTACTTATAGGGTCAGGGATAGGTTTAGTTCTGTTGCAGGGAGCAAAAAGAGGTCATCCATAGCCATTGCTATAGGGGCAGGTGTCGCCCATTGTGCTACTGCTTCTTTTCAAAGGGCTGGAGCTGCTACTGCTCCAGAAATATGGTATTTGGTTCTGTTTCAAATCAAAGGATCTACTGGGCAGACCACAGGGGATCATTGCTCTAGAACGTGGTCTGGGTCCATATACAAATGTAGGGACTGCCTTTTAAACGATGCCCAGATGACACCGTCCTGTTATACAGCTTACACAACTTGGCAGAAAAGCAGTACAGGCGACCAAGTGGGGTGCTGTACAATATTCCCCATTCAGATAAACCACTAATCATGCTCTTTCTATGGCAGGCATGGTCTCTGTGTGGTCTGTAGGCATATGCTGTGCATTCACTGAGAGTATTTGACAACCCAGAATGTTTTCTGTCTCACTCTGCCCTATATTTCTAGGAAGGCTTTGCGTGGATTACATAATGATGGCTCTGAAAGCTGAGATCCTTAACTTCCATTTCTACAGACATAAATAAACTCTTCTTGAAGATGTTCCCCACTCTAGCATGAATCATTTTACAACAACCTATTCACGTCAGGCAAATTTGCAATCACTTGTAATTTTTGTTAAAGGAGATTCGTTAAAGCCATTTGTTAATGGTTTGTTAGAGGTGACATAATGAAAGTAAGTATAATGGAGTATATTATTTCCAGGCCCCCTGTTCCCCTTTCACACGACAGATAGGCTAGGCCCGGCATTCTTTATTCTAGCTACCCATTATAATGAGTAAAAGAATATCAATGGCAACTAGTGGCCCCTGGACTTGGGGTGGCTTGGTGGCCAAGGAGATCATATAAGGTGGGGCCAAGCGGTTTTGGTTTTCTCTCAATCCTCCTCCCTTGCAGGAATATTGTGGACTCTTAAGCTTTGCAGTTGTACAAATAATTGGCACCTAACTAAACAGAAAAGTGCCTTACCTTGATTCAGGAGGCATCCCTGCTGTCATAGTTGCTTCTCTGGGGGGAAAGTTGTGTGGCCTTCACCATGCTGTTATTAGACAACAACAGTACAATTGTTTGCAGGGGAGGGCAATCAATATTGTGTTATCTCCACAACCAGGGCCAGTAGGACATAGCTGACTTCCCACAGTAAGCACGGCGGCGGCGGCGGCAGCGGGGGGACTGAGGGGAAGGGGAGCAGCAGCGACAGTACTCTAATTTTGTGCTATGCCTTGCCCTCATGGCAGCCATTTTGTGCTATGCCACTCACGCCACAGTGGCCATTTTGTGACTGGTGTCCTTGCAGCAATCTACATTTTTTATTCTTTAAAACTCAAAGTAATAAGCAGCATCTATAGCATATCAAACATTTTTTATTTTTATTATCAATTTTTAAAATGAAAAGTTCATAATGATTTCAACAGAAAAGGGGAAGGGTGCCACAGAAAGCGGGGCGGGGTGGGAGAGGCATTTTATGATTTGAGTACGTACAGCCAATTTGTTATTTACAACAACAACAAAACACTGTCAACAAGTGTTCTTGAGGAAAATCATATGCTCAAATAGGTTATTTGCTGGAAGAAGTAAGTAACCTTTATTATCATTTTTGTATTTTTCCTGTACTGTACCTATATATTTTTAAAAAATAAATATTGGGTTGTATTTCATATAGTGCTAAGCAGACTGCTCTATTAGAGCAAGGATTTCTCTTTGTGCAATGGATTGATCTCCCCTTCTCCTCCTACTGGGCGCCTCTTAAATCTGTTATGAAAGTTCCCCCAACTCTCCAGAAAAGATTTGGAGATGGTGCTGGGCTCATGCAGGAGCAGGAGAGGGAAGATAAATCTCCTTGCACGTGCACTCACGCAAAAATGAGGTTGAACACCACCCGTGATTTTTGAAACAGAAGTTGAACTAAACTTGATTCTTTGCACCCTTCAGTTGTTTTTCTCCCTGCCTTTTTGCACAGCTCTTTTGAGCTCCTAGGCTCTCTCTCTGCTAGTCCCCAATACTGTATGTAAATTGGCTTGAGGAGGAAATCTGTTGCAACAACATCCCCTAGTGGCATTTCAAAAGCACAGCAAATTATAGCCATGATCAGTCTGGTTGAAAAGTGGAATGGCAGAGCATAGCATTTTAAGCTTAAAAGCATCATTTTCTATGAGCAGCATATGTACAGGGGAAGATAATACGACAGAAATGAAGTCTAAAATATCAGTGGGGAACCTTTGGCCCTCCAGATGTTGCTGAACTACAACTCCCATCATCCCTATGCATTAGCCATGCTTGCTGGAGAGCCAAAGGTTATGGTCTAAGAGATGCTTTCTGCTTCATCAGTACATATAAAGGGACATATAAGCAAGGTGATTTTTTTTAGTTCAGAGATGAGGATGCTGTGGCACTCCAGTTTCAGCCCAAGCCAGCATGGCCAATGGTCTGGGATGAGAAGAGTTGTAATCAAATAAAATCTAGAAAAATACAGGTTCTCCGACCCTCGTTTAAATGTCTGTGAGGCATCACATGGTTTCCTCACCAAGAAACAGAGGAAGAAACATGCTTGACTGGAACAGAAAAATGACAGCTGATGTGACATTTCACAATGAAGACAGCTGTTGTCACATCTAAGACAAACCAGCCATAGTTTGTGCTCAGTAAAAAAGCTGCCCGGAATCCTGAAATATTGGCACACCACTTCCAGGCTCCCTGACTTATACTAATATGATCTTACCTCTGTTTTAGGGACTCAAGTACATATTCTGATATGGTACTAAACTAATCCTGAACTTAAAAAGAAAAATGGGTGGATGGAAACAAGAGAATGTTACCCTGAAAGGGACAGACATTGGAGAAGCAAATCAGCTCAATATATGCCCTCACCTAATAATAGTCCAAGCAATTCTGGCAGCCTTTACACAATGGTTTGTGAAAAAGCACAAAGCAGTAAGAGCTAGGCTAGCCAAGGCATTGAGGTGGTGCACTATGGTGGCTCCAGCTGAACCCCAATCTAGCTGAATTACTGGCCCAAGGAAAACCCACATTGGTTTGTTTATTAGACACTCAGATCCTGGTCCTCCTGGACTATTAGAAGTTTGCCAAGGGCCAAATCTACATGATCCTTTCAAGGACAAACAGCAATGTTCAGCAGAAAACCAGGGGCAGGCTCTGATGCAGAAGGATGTTCCAGATTGAGTCCCGTGGCTTTTTCCTCAAAGATAAAGGTAAACATATAGAGCAAAGATAAATCAACACTTGTTTAAACACACAGCTAACATCACAGGTAGTTTGACCCTGAGTAATACCAGCTCCTACCACTCCATCCGCGACTCATTTCCCACTTCTGCACAACAGCAGCACAATCCACACTAGAAACCCTCTTCCATCTTTAACTTGCAATATTAGGTAATATGCCCAAAGGGCAACTGTACTTTCTACCTACTTTCATAGACTGCAGGTGTTTGGAGCATCATCAGATCCAAAACAATGGGATGAGCAATAACGGAACAGTATCAAAACCCCTCTTTACCATGGAGGCTGCTTCATGAACCAACTGACATGCTTTTGCAGGGAGTCACACTCCCAGGCAATATCACATGTTAAGAAGCAGCTTCCTCCTAATGTGTCTAACTCATTCCAGGTAGACAGTGAAGTAAGAACGCTGAAAACATTTCAATGTGATCCATGCCAAGGGTCGCTTTCCTGTGTAATACCATTTGCCAAGGTAGTAAGATGCCAGTGAAAATGGGTGTGAAACAGCAACAAGGAACACAGCTTAGTTCTGGATTCTGCTGTGCTAAGGCACACCCAACAAAAAAGCAATATAGAAGGAAAAGCTGTGCTCTTCCATGAGTATTAATGCCGCCATGCTACAGAGGGAGTGAGATAGAAGATTTTCTGCTGAATGCAACAGCTGTTCAGTTTCAACATCAGGAAGCCCGTATCAAAAGCCCTGAATCAAATCCTTTTTATTGTAGTGCAAAGAACACAGACTTGCAGCAAAACCAGTTAAAGGCTGCATGGAACTCATGTTCCAATATGGTGTAGAAACATTCCACAGGACACAGGGTAGGATCAGCTCTCCAGCGTCAGGTCAAATGCCTGCTGTTGTCAGTTCCTGGGTGGGAGGGATGCTTGTAGTGAAGAATGCAGTCACTCCCTCTTTCCATCTCAGTCTCTCTTATGGAGGAAAGCCCACATCAGTTGATTGACTTTTTCAGGTTGCTCCTCACTAACCCAGTGGCTGGCTTCAGGGATGAGCTGCACCTTGATGCTCTTCCGCACATTCTGCTCAATACATGGGATAAGCCCTTGTTCCAGGAATCCATCCTTTCCTCCCCAGATCAGCAGGGTGGGCACCAGAATATCCTTGCACTTTGCAGGAACCCAACTGTAGGGATATAGATACACAGGCCACATTCAGATGGCACTTTGTTCAGCCTTCACAATGTTTACTTACCTGTTTATTTTTGTGTGTTTTGTGATCTTCCACATGACATGAAAGCTACTGCTGGACATCTAGTGCACTCTAGCAGAAGTTTAGAGCTCATTTCCATGTTAATGTTTTCCAAAAAACCCAAAACCTGTTTGCAACCCTGTTAACTGAGAAAATCACTAGGAGTTTTGCATTGATAAGATTTGGGGTGCTATCCTGGCATACAGTTTCCCCCCACCATTTAAAATGTAGCGTGACATGGTGCCATATCACTCAAAAAGCCACAGTTACATAATGCAACAGAGATACTGCAGTGTAAAAGGATCATTAGCAACTAGGAGAGAAGCACTAGCATTATAACCAACAAAACAAACACAATAAACCCCACATCTGAATGCAGCCACAGAGAAGACACCTGCAAATCTGCACTGGACAGCAGGCAACTCACCACTTTGGCCACTTACCCAAGTTGCGGCCAACCCTACCACTTTCCACACTAGCATGCCTCATGCCCAGCAGTGATGAGAAAAATCAATAGAAATCCAGAAAGACAGCATGCCCACACTTCAGTTCCAATTCTAGAAGCCAACCTTTCCCATTTCATCATAAATTAAAATATCTCAGAATCCCCTTCAGAACAGTCACAGGATTTCCTCATCCCCCTTTCCCACCATTTAGACATATATTTTAGGGAGTAAGAGTGTTTTGTCCCCTGCATCACATAATCCAGTGAAGAATGTTGTGACCTCTCCAAATATTATGACTAGAAAATTCCTGCTGCCAAACAAGTCCCACCCACCTCCGAGGGAAAAGCCTGAATGTACTGGTGCACCACAACTGAGGAAAAGCATATGGTGCCAATACCACACGTGAGCAAATCTGGGGAGGAATGGGTTCTCACGTGGACAGGTTCCTGTAGTAATTCAGGACTGGTGTTAAACCTCCACACTTTGACAGGCTGTACAGGTAAGCCTCTAGCTCCTCATCTGTCAAACGGCGTGCTGGGTTCTGGGCTCCTGTCTTCTTGCCAGTCATAATGAATTTTATTAGCTGTAGGGGGAAAAAGACACAGCACCATGTGGAAGCTGATTAAATGCAGACCCCATTTTCTGACCCAGAGGCAGCTCATGCCATTTTTATATATTTAGCCTCCCTTAGTCTTCCACAAAGTACCTTTGCGCGGAAAAGGAGGAAGCAGCATTGTCTCTTTCCCCCCTATCCCTTTCAGCTGGCCCTGATCCTCAAAGAGGATTAGACATATGCATTGACATTGAGGGTACGGCTTTCGAATGGCTAGGAGCCAGTATGGCTATGCTCTGCCACCACAGCTGGAGGAAGCATGCCTCTGGACGCCAGATGCTGGAAAGTGCAGGAGGGGAGAGTGCTATTGTGCTTAGGTTCTGCTTTGGGGCTTTGCATAGGCACATGGCTGGTCGCTATGAGAACAGGATGCAGGACTGTGTTTTGGACTACAGTTTAAGCCTTTCCCAGCACTCATCTCCACACTGACTAAAAAACTTTTGTATGATACATTTTTGTATGCCAAGCGGCAGGGAGGAGAATGGATGGGGAAGTGAAGAAATAAGCAAAGAAGGTCATAGTCCTCCCTCCCTCTGGCAGCACTAGAACATGTCATAGCTTGCCATGGCCTCTTCATCCCAGATTCTAGGTAATAATCTCACCACATCAATACCCAGTGCTTTTCTTCTGGGGGGACGCAAAGGTACGCATACCCTAAACATTTTGTGAATCTTTGTACTTTTGTCCATTTACTGTATTTATTTCTCTTAATTTGAACTATAAAATAGTGATTTTATTGAGTCAAAATGAGAGTACCCCTAAACACTTTTTTAGGAAAAAAAGCATTGCCAATACCTTAGAAGTAAACTTTAAAAGCCAGGCCATGTGTACATAAAGCTAGGCAGGTGGGAGAAGACACAGGATTATGCATTTTATGAACCAAGACAGAGAGCCCAGTGCATGACCTTGGATGAAGGGCAGTATAGAAATTTTAGAAATAATAGTAATAATAACCCTGCACCCAGAGCGGAAAGGAGACTGACAGAGAAATTTGGGATGAATACATAAAACACAGTTGAGAACTGTATTTTAGGATTGTGGAAGAGAACCATTAGTCCCCAGAGCAGAATAAAATGATTGGACCCTTTGGTTAATCTGCATGACAGAACATGAGCTTTTGAACCCACTCCCCAACCATTCCCTCAACTCACGTAGAAGTCATTTAAGGACCACAGGAACTCTGGTAGCTTTGGGAGCTGGAACAGAAACATGTGGTTGGATCGCAGCAGCTGGGTGGGATGTCGTGGAAAATATTCTGCAAGGTTGAAGGGAAAATAAGTTGTGTGTCAGGGCAGTGCCAATTTCTCCACACATGAAATGCCACCAGATACTGCGTGGTATTCAACTATGTTTCAGTTAGAGCAAACCCACTGAAATTAGTGAATGTGAATAAGTTACCGGTAGGTCCATTCATTTCAACAGGTGTACTCTATGTAAAACTTAGTTGAATGCCACTCTCAGAAACCAATCTTCAAAATAAAATGAAAGATGCCAACTGGAGTTGCTTCCTATTTTCCCCTAACATCTGCATCAACTTGTCCAAGCAATGAGGGCAGGGAGGATCGTTTTTTTATTTTTTTTAGAAACCCCTGCTGCCCGGCTCCCATTTATTCACAAGCAATGCTTGTGTCTTGGGGTTGGGAACTTGAGCAAAGCAGACAACCTCCTTCCCACTTCCTCCCAAAAGATCTGTGGTGTGATGGCCCACCCTGACTCTGCATCCTAAGGGCAATGCAGTCATGGTGGCCTTTTACACTTCCGCTGGCTTCTCTCTTCCATCCGCAATCCTGTTTAGAGCTAGAAAATGCCAATAGCCATGGTGAGAACCAAAATCATGGGGCAGTACAAGACTTACCTAATAAAACATGTGGTTGAACAGCATCCATGACAATCAGCTTCTCCAGCATATTGGGGTAACTAGCAGCAAATGCAAAAGCTATGATTCCTCCCCAGTTATGCCCCACCAGGATGCACTTAGGAATCTCTATAAAGAACAAATAGAAAGCAATGAAACAGAGACAATGGGCTGTATTCAGTGCTTATCATACTCAAAATAGACCAAGTGAAGTTCATGGACATGAGTAACTTAGGTTCATAATTTCAGTGGGTCTACTTTGAGTTGGACACAACCTATCATGGACAAGTAAGTATCTGCCTATGGGAAGCTACAAGCCTGCTAGATAATTTCCCAAACTCACATACCAGTTCATCCCCACAATGCTCCATTCAGCACCCATGCAACACTTCTGAAAGCTTATCAAGACTGAGCAGAGGGCATTTTCCTCCCATTGCTAGAAGGCCAGCCACTGCAATGGCAACCCAGACCCTTCCTCCAAAACAACCATTTCCACTCTTACCATTCTTCTTATTGGGGCTCAGAGCTTCAATGACATCATGTACATCTGCCAGCAGAGCATCCCTCTGATAGTGCTCACAACCAGCTGGTGCGTCGGAAAAGCCATAGCCCCGCAAATCGAGGGCCACCACCTTATAGGCCCACTTAAATTCCTGCAATTGATGGCGCCATGCAAACCTGTTGAAATACAGCCAAACCATAAAGGGATAAGTAGAGAGGAGGGCTTCCCTACCTGAAAATTGGAGGACATTGGTGCCTACTTTTGTTGTGTTGCTTTAGTCCTTTAGGTGTTGCTGTGTAATGCCAGGTCAGTGATGAATAAAACCACTGCCATCCACGACCTGATTGTGGATGGAGGATTTGACCTGGCATGTGTGACAGAGACCTGGTTGGAGGAAGCAGATGGGCCTGCCCTTGCTGCCGCTTGCCCGCCAGGTTTCTCTTACGCACAGCAACCCAGGTCATGTGGGCGGGGAGGGGGGGTTGCAGTGATTTTTAGGAAGTCATTAGTTTGCATCAGGCGTCCTACTGGGAAGACCCAGTTTTCTGAGTGCATGTTCTGGAAGTTGGGCAATAGGGGCAGTACAGGATTCCTTTTGGTGTACCGACCTCCCCGCTGCACCAAGGATTCCCTGTCTGAGCTGCTTCAGGTCGTGGCGGATGTTCTCCTGGAGACACCTAGTTTGGTTGTCCTAGGGGATTTTAACATCCACGCCGACACGACCTTACAAGGGGCCGCTCGGGACTTCGTGGAAAGCATGGCCTCCATGGGGCTGTCCCTGAATAAGTTGGGCCCAACTCATAGTTATGGACATGCCTTAGACCTGGTATTCACCTCTAGTGACGTGGGTGATCTGACACTGAGTAAAAGTGAAACCAAAGAAGTGCCATGGTCAGATCACTTCCTGGTGCAACTGGACTTCTCCGCGACCCTTCCCCTCTGCAGGGAGGTGGGACCAATTCGGATGGTCCGCCACTTAATGGATCCAAATGGTTTCCAGAGAGTGGTAGGGGATGCTTTATCCCATGTTGATGGCCTTTCAGCTGATTCCCTGGTGGCCCGCTGGAATGCGGAGTTAACCAGGGCTATTGACTGTCTGGCTCCGAAGTGCCCTCTCCGATTGCATGGAGCCCGGACAGCCCCGTGGTTTTCTTCGGAGCTGAGGGCGATGAAACAATCGCTGAGACGGCTAGAGCGTCGGTGGCAGAAAACTCACTCCGAATCTGACCGCACACAGGTTAGAGCTCAACATCGAGCCTACCAAGTGGCGATAGCGACGGCGAAGAAGACTTTCTTCACCGCCTCTATTGCATCTGCAGAAAATAGTAGCAGGAGACTCTTTCAGGTGGTCCGCAATTTAACGGAACCACCTTTACCACCGGGGCCTTGTAAAGACCCCAAGATCTCCTGCAACGATTTTGCAAAGTTTTTGCAGATAAAATCACTCATATTCGGAAGGAGCTAGACACCACCGTGGGAGCAGGGCTGGGGCGGGAGAGTGCTAGAGCCCTGTCTGGTCAAGTTGCATGGAATCAATTTCAATCCGTTACCCCCGAGAATGTGGACAGGCTGCTTGGACGCGTGAAACCAACCACCTGTCTCCTTGATCCTTGCCCATCCTGGCTAATAAAAGCAAGCCGGGAAGGGCTGGGCAATGGGCTCTGCGGGGTGGTGAATGCTTCCCTCTGTGAGGGAACATTCCCAGATCCGCTGAAAGAGGCGGTCATTAAACCGCTTCTTAAAAAACCATCTTTAGACCCGGCCAGTATGGCCAACGATCGCCCAGTCTCAAATCTTCCATTCTTGGGCAAGGTGATTGAGCATGTGGTTGCTGAACAACTCCAGGCACGCCTGGAGGATGCGGACCATTTGGATCCCTTCCAATCAGGGTTCAGGCCTCATCATGGGACTGAAACTGCCTTGGTCGCACTGGTTGATGATCTCCGGCGAGCTAGGGACAAAGGTGAGAGTTGTTTCCTAGTTCTGCTGGATCTCTCAGCGGCCTTTGATACAATCGACCATAACACCCTTCTGGACCGTCTAGAGGGGTTGGGAGCTGGGGACACTGTTACACAGTGGTTTCGCTCCTTCCTCCTGGGCCGTGTTCAGAAAGTGGTGGTGGGGGATGAGTGTTCAGACCCTTGGGCCCTCACTTGTGGGGTGCCTCAGGGTTCCGTCCTCTCCCCCATGTTTTTTAACATCTATATGAAGCCGCTGGGAGAGATCATCAGGGGGTTTGGACTGGGTGTCCATCAATATGCAGATGATACCCAGCTCTACCTCTCTTTCAAATCAGAACCAGTGAAGGTCCTGTGTGAGTGCCTGGAGGCGGTTGGAGGATGGATGGCGGCTAATGGATTGAAGTTGAATCCTAACAAGACAGAAGTACTGTTTTGGGGGGACAGGGGGCGGGCTGGTGTGGAGGACTCCCTGGTCCTGAATAGGGTAACTGTGCCCCTGAAGGACCAGGTGCGTAGCCTGGGAGTCATTTTGGACTCACAGCTGTCCATGGAGGCGCAGGTCAATTCTGTATCCAGGGCAGCTGTCTACCAACTCCACCTGGTACGCAGGCTGAGACCCTACCTGTCTCACCAGAGTGGTGCATGCTCTAGTTATCTCCCGCTTGGACTACTGCAATGCGCTCTACGTGGGGCTACCTTTGAAGGTGACTCGGAAACTACAGCTAATCCAGAATGCGGCAGCTAGACTGGTGACTGGGGGCGGCCGCCAAGACCACATAACACCGGTCTTGAAAGTCCTACATTGGCTCCCAGTACGTTTCCGAGCACAATTCAAAGTGCTGGTGTTGACCTTTAAAGCCCTAAACGGCCTCGGCCCAGTATACCTGAAGGAGCGTCTCCACCCCCATCGTTCTGCCCGGACGCTGAGGTCCAGCGCCGAGGGCCTTCTGGCGGTTCCCTCATTGCGAGAAGCAAAGCTACAGGGAACCAGGCAGAGGGCCTTTCGGTAGTGGCGCCCGCCCTGTGGAACGCCCTCCCATCAGATGTCAAAACGATAAACAACTACCTGACATTCAGAAGACATCTTAAGGCAGCCCTGTTCAGGGAAGTTTTTAATGTATGATATTTTAGTGTTTTTTGGTTTCTATGGAAGCCGCCCAGAGTGGCTGGGGAAACCCAGCCAGATGGGCGGGGTACAAATAATAAATTATTATTATTATTATTATTAGTCCTGCTCTGTAACTTCTACAGTTTTTGCTGCTCGGTTTGTTTCTTATTTGTTACAAAGGTTGCTGGTTTGAACTATACTGTGTACAAATGATTTTATCAATGCTTATTGTACACTACCCTAGGATCTTTAGATGAAAGACAATTTAAAGGTATTTTTATTAAATATAACTATTCGCCTCCTTTCGTTTCCTCACCGTCTAAAAATCAAGAAACCCCCACCAAGCTTTTGCTTAATTTATCATGACCTCTTTTACATTTGTTAAAACTGTAAGTCTACTGTAAATCATGTTGCTTCTGATTCTATGCAGCATAAGGTCAACACTAAAAAAAAGTTGTATTAATTACAATTTAATGATGAAGGCCTTATGGTCATTCACCATGAGAGGATAGCAGCAATCAAGTCCCTTCCTTTGGGAAGTTAATATTTCTGTCTACGGCCTTTGCCCCAACTTTGCAGGAATTTGCTGGCCAGAAAGGTATTACATAACATGTTGGCTGACAGATCTGTGGCCTATCACTTCCTGCATGAACCACACCTGGAGTAAACTGATATCAGCTCCAGGCATTGCACTTCTTCCACAGCGACACTTACCAGTTCTGGGGAAATCCATGCAAGAAAAGCATCAGCTGAGCTCCTTCCTTGCCAGCAGCAACATAATGGAGACGCAGCCCTGAGTTCTTGAGCCCCCAAAGGACAGAGAAATAGGACAGTTACACACAGACAAGAGCTCAGTGATAGTGACAGGTTCACAATATGTGACATTTCCTGTTAAGAGACAGCTGAGGGGAAACACTCTTTGCCCCTAAGACTTTGAAGAACAGCTGTCGGTCACCATTGAAAATATCAGGGTAGAGGGACAAATAGTTTGACCTGGCAATAAGCAGCTTCCTATGTTCCTCCCAACCTGTAAAATACATGACCAGGGTCCTGCCTTCAGCGGCTGTCTGTGAGCACCTGGCTATGGCTGGAAGCCTCCCCCTTCCCTTCCCCTCCACTGTACTCACTTTTAGTGTCACAAAGCCGTGCTCCCCATGCGAGGCATCAGTGAGGCATCTTGGTGGAGTCTCCCGTCTCTTCTTGCGCAGCACCTGGAAAGGACCCCTAGACACCACTAGTGATAGGGCCCACCAACAGTAGAAGGCAGCAGCAAGGGAAGCAGCACTATACACAACCAGCCAGGACACGGCATTAGAGACCTTCAGCATCAGGCGTGTGGGGATCAGTAAGAGACGATAGAGAGAGGCCATCCCCTCCTGTTGTTTGGGGCTGCAAGAGAGAGGCTGCAGTTCAGAAGAAAGAGAACATGCTTTGCATCTCAAATTCAATGTCTGGCATTTACAAGTAGAGCTGGGCAAGAACCCTCCCCAAGAGCTGCTTCTAATTAATGTAGATCAGGGGTGGGGAACCTCAGGTCCACTGAGCAAAAGCCCTGTGAGACTTTCCTGGGCCACTGCCACTTTTCTTGGTGTGTAGAATTGTCTGTAGAAACTTCTCACTTTTGCATCGTTAGAATGCAACCTTTTCCCTCTTCTGTATGCACCAGTGTTATGCAGCCTAAGAAAGGTTACTAGCTGCTGTAGTCAGTCCTGGGGCAGATAAACCAATGCTCTGACTTGCTCTAAGGCTGAGGATACACCAGAGTGTTAATGCATGCATGGAATGCACAGATCCTATCTTTTTCTCTGTGCACTTTTGTCCATACAAGAGCACTTTTAAGTGAACTCCATCTCAGCCTTTACCATCACCACTAGTGGGCAGTGCTTGATGGAATATATTTGCACTGTTTGTTGTCGTCCCCTGTCTTAATTAGTACTTCCCTACCCTCCTTCCCTGAGTTGTGGAAACCTGAGGTCCATTGTGGGCATACATGCAAGTATTTGTTTATTTTTAGATACAAGCTTTTGGATATACCAGACTTGCACAAAACACTGTTGGAAAAATGTAAAAAGAAGTGTGTTCCCAAACAGCCCCACCAGCAGCCCACCAAGAAGCACCTCTCACTAACTGAAGTAAAGGGAGGGCGCTATGATAGATGGCACCCAGCAAAAGTTACCACACCCCTTTTTAAAAATGCCCACACAATGTGCTTCAGTACACCTATGGCAGGGATCATACAGGTCTATGTTGGATCACCACCCTTAGTGCATTATCCACAGAATGGACAAATCTTAACTAAAGGGGGGGGGTGCAGGTTGCCACTTGGATGAGGACAACATTGTGCAAATGTGACAATTATGCACACGTGATACTGAACCCACTTTAAACTGCACTCCAAAACATTTGCCCATGTATGTGCACATAAAATAGAAGATCTAACTGAAAGGCAACACGTTGGGATCTGCACGCATTGTTACAACGCACCCTAATAATGATTCTTGTATATATTTTTAGTTACTGTAAAATCTTAGAAGGGGCGTGGCTGTTATGAGGACCTTGCACTTCGGGATCTGCCACGACACTACCGGTTGCAAGTCCTTTCTCAGAAGACCAGAAACTCGGACTCAGCCGCGTTACAAACGGGAGTCCTGCCACGGGAGGCACGACGCGTGTCCATAGGAACTCAACCGAGCAAACTCTCGGCATTCAGCAAACCCAAGCAGGAGTGCTCGCCTGCTAACACGGCTGGGTTCTTGGCTGCCTTCGGATAAAGCGGTGGGGCTCCCAAGCTGAGATAGTCAGTGGCGCGGGCAACCGAAACTCTCTCTCTCGGTACCTCAAGGAGCGGGAAGTCACTCGACGCCGCCCGGGCGCGTTCAATCTCCCCCTGCTCCCGCGACCCTCTCGCTCCGGCTTCCGTTTTATAAAGGCAGCGCCGCCCCTCCAGCTCCTCCCCGCCCGCCAAGGGAAGACGCGGCGGCAAGGCGAGGGAGCAGCAGCGCTTCCTTCCCCGCCTCCCGGGGCCTCCTGCTCCTTCCGCGGCTGCTTCGGGCGCAGAGCTCCGCCCGTCGGAGCGACCAGGAAGGCGAATGGGTTTCGGCCGACCAGGCCTCTCTCCGGCGGAGGGACGACAAGCCTGCGCTGAGCCCGCTCAGGGACGGGGGCGGCTCTCGTCCACAGCTGCTCCCCCCCCCCCGCCCGCCTGCTTGATCTCGAGGGCCCGCCGAGAGAGCGAGCGCCCAGGGAGCCAGGCCTGGAGGGTCCGGGCGCAGGGCCGGATCTCACCCAAAGGAGACCCCGCCTCCTACAAGTCAGGCACGGCGGCAAGAATCATAGAGATGGAAGGGACCACGAGGGTCATCTAGTCCACACCCCCCCCCCGCCATGCAGGAATATTTTGCCCAATGTGGGGCTCGAACCCACAGTTTGGAGATTAAGAGTTTTTGGCTTTTGGAAACCTCGGACGGTCAGAGGAAGGCGAGATGGCCCCTGCCCCTGACACATAAATGACCTTCTCTTTTAACTCGGCTGCAAAGCTATGCTTACCACCCCACATATTCACGCACCGGATCATCAGAGTCTCTTTGAACTGTCCATGATCAGGGAAGGGAACAACCCGCTTTTCGGGTAGGTACCTTTGAAATACATTCTTTCCCTCCCACCTGAAAGAATTCTGGGCGCTGTAGTTTGTTAAGGGCTGCTGGGAATTGTAACTCTGGATTGAGTAAACTACAGTACCCAGAATGCTTTGAGGGAAAGGATGTGCTTTGAATGTGCTTTAAAGGTATAGTGGGCGATAGTTAGAGCCACTCACCTCTACAGCTGAAATGATACCGAAGTATTTTATTGGTAATATAATGTAAGGACACAAAACTACAACTTGACAATAAACAAAACATTCTTCTCTAACTAAACTGTATTCTAGCTGAGATTTCCTACAGGCAAGCTGCAAGACAACTGAGATTACTTTGGAAGCTGAGGCGCTTGGTGGGAATACAACGGGCTAGGTGGTCTGGTGGTGCACTTAAAAATGGTGATAAGTGAAGAGAAGAAGAGCCTGTTGGCCTAAGTGGGTAAAGGATGGCAACCTAGACTTTGGTTTAAGGTTGGTACTTGGGTGGGAGGAACAGGGTTTTGTTTTATTTCAGCAGGCAAAAACTCAGCAGTTAGTCTTTTTTGTGTGCAAATAACAATACTGGGAAAAGCTTCACCATGCCTTTGAGTTCCTTAGAGGAGAGAGGGGATATAAATGTAATAAATAAATGATTCTCTCTCTAGCTTTGTGTTATGCCATGCCTCCATGGCAATCATTTTCTAACTGGTGCCCCACAGCACTCGCTCTCAAAATTCAGAATGCGCCCACGGGCCAAAAGACGTTTGCGACCTTTGCTCTACTTACTGCGTCACACTTGCTCTCTCTTTTCAGTCATATTCCATCTGCTAAGGAAGCAACCTCTGTACAGAGGACTCCTCTAGTCTTTTTATTTCTGTTATCTTTTTGCTTCCTTCACCATCTCCTTTCTTCTTCTCTCTCCAATCACTTCTCCCTGTGGGACTTTCAATTATGTTACGCCAAGCAAGTACCTAGAGCAGGGGTCGGCAAGGTTTACCTCACCTGGGCTGGTTCACTCCAGCGGAGATCCCTCTGTGGGCCAGATCGTGCACATGCCTGCGATTTCCGGCGTCTGCATCTGTGCAGACACGATTTTTGGCATCTGCGCACGCGTGGTTTCCAGCACAGCGGAAGCGAATCCTCGTGCTGCGCCAGTTTAGTGCAGCACATGGGGACTCACCAAGCGGGCTGCTCAGTTCGGGGGCGGCTCGGGGGTTAGTTAAACAACCCCCTTGGGCCCATGGGCCTCAGGTTGCCGACCCCTGACCTAGAGGGTTAAGTTGGAAGGGGCATCAACTGAGCTGCACTACTCTTGGGCACCTTTTGTGCTTTTCCCTGTCCCACTAGCACCACACCCCTTTCTGAAGGCAAAATGACATGAGGCCCTGATCAGTCCCCTGTCCCTACCTGGGAAATTTAATTTCCCCCATTCGCCTTAATGTCACTTTCAGAACTAAAGGAGTAGGTGTTGCACACAGAATCCACAAGGTGGCTCCCCCTGCAAACATTGAAGTACAGTACTGTACTGATTGTATTCTAGCTTCAGAGTGAAACCAAGCATGCACTGTATAACTTTGCCAGCAGTTGCTGTCGTGAGCCTTAATGTATTTTGTTCATACATACTCTGATTGTAGCATTGGTGTGGTTATTGCTAGTTTCCCCAAGTGAGCTATGCTATTGTTGTTGTTGTTTTCAGTTTCTCCCAAACTTAAGCTGGATAATCAGGTCCATTGCAAGAAAGTCTGTGGCTCACAACAGTCTCCACTAAAGATTCCAAAAGATGATATTGCTCTTTCCCCATTATTGGTTTTTCTGTGAATATATGTGTAAGATACGGATCATGGGCAAGTGTGAACTGCTACACAAGGAGATCCAGTAACAAAGACAGGCAGTGTGATTTGAGTGTCATGGGAGGGGAAGCAAATGTTTTGTTACTTTATTCTCATTGTATTTTTAATGCCAGAGAGGGGTAGAAGCATGGTGGGATTTCCTCTGCTTCTAATGCTACAATAACCTAACCAGCCTTGTGTCCTACCCACCTTAACTGCCCCTTCCTCAATGCTGCCCTTACAGATTTCCATAAAGGAGATAGATTTTGGTGGTGGAGCTGCAAGACAGCAATATTTTCATCAAGATTCCAAGACCTGATATATATGGTTCTTGAATTGAATGCTCCCCCATTTAAAAAGTAATTACCTGGCATAGAAAATTAAAAAGCTTGTCTGGGAAAAAGGCTAATCGAGAACTCCTCTCCTTGACATTTAACTTTACATGTTCCAGGTTTAGACACACACACACATGTGCTCGCTTGAAGCAACCACTTGCCTCCTAGCTTCACTGCAGATGATTCATTAGCACCTCTGATCACATGCCTGGCAGAAAATAGTGATTCTGGAACGGAAAATAGCACGAGTTTCATATTTGCTAATACATTATACCCTAAGCTGAAGCAAAAGATGCTCTGCTCTACATTTTAAAACGTGTGTTAACATTAGCGCCATTGTTCCCCATGTTTTGTTTATGTTATTTATATATTTATTTTCTTATATATTTAAGTTACACATTTATATTCCACCCTTTCTCCAAAGGAGCCCAGGGTAGCAGACCTGTCGATATAAGAACTATGCAGTTGTTTCTTCAGTATACAGTGGGAGCTATACAATGATGATGCTAGACCATATTATCATTACAGTGGTACCTCGGGTTAAGAACTTAATTCCTTCTGGAGGTCCATTCTTAACCTGAAACTGTTCTTAACCTGAGGTACCACTTTAACTAACGGGGCCTCCCACTGCCGCCGCACGATTTCTGTTCTCATCCTGAAGCAACGTTCTTAACCTGAGGTACTATTTCTGGGTTAGTGGAGTCTGTAACCTGAAGCGTCTGTAACCTGAGGTACCACTGTATTTATTTGATAATATGCAGCATTAACCACAGCAATTGAATGCCAACATAAACCCTAGTTAAAGAAAGCTGAAGGTAAAACAAGACAGCCTGTTAAGACTTCTTGAAGCTTGGTCTGCTGAAACAGACAGGTGGAAAGGCAGAAGCCTTTCCTCACCTGCTAGAACTTGCTGATTGTGCTTTGGCCGTAGGTTGCCTTGAGCCTAGCCTGGCCCTCAGATCCTGGTACCTCTGAACTATCAGATGTCCGCCGAGGGTCAAAACTACATGCAACTTTCAAGGGCACAAAGCAGTTTGGCGGGAGTAATGTTCAGCAGAAAACCACTCCTGGTAACTCATCTGGATTGGAAGCATATCACAGATTAGGGCCTTGTGGCTGTTTTTCCTCCAAAATAAAAATAAGCAAGTCAAGCACACTTGTTTAAACGCAAAACATAACAGGTAATTTGGCCCAGAGTAGTATTAGGAACTGCCACTCCATCCCTGACTCAATTCCTGCCTCTGCATAGCAGCAGCAGCATAGCTGGCAGCACAATTCACACTAGAAGCTCTTGTACCTTTAACTTGCAATTCTAGAGAATATGCCCAAAGGGCACATCTGCTTTGTACCAACTTCAGACTGCCACCATTTGGAGCATCAGGTCCACAATACTTGTAATATCAAAACTCCTCTTTATTATGAAAGCTGCTTCATGGGCAGACATTCTCTCCCAGAGCAATGACTAGCTTTAGTCCTGGCAGATGTGAAGTTTCCACCCAGTTGTGTTCCTATAAGTCACCTATATATGTTCCTTTTGCACATATGTACACACCCACTGGGGGTCTTGTCGTTTCTCCAGTCCACCACATGCAGGATGAGGCACACACTATGAGATCAATCACTGCACCCTCTCGTTGGCATGAGCAGTGGATTAGTTCAAGCCTCTTCTCAAGACATCCAACTAATTGCCCCAAGCGTTACCAAGATGTTCTCAGGCACAGTCATGTTCCCAGGTAATATCACATGTTAAGAAGCAGCTTCCTCCTAATGTGTCATTAACTCATTCCAGGTAGACGGTGAAGTAAGAAGGCTGAAAACGTTTATTTCAATGTGATCCATGCCAAGGGTTGTTTTCCTGTGTAGTTTGCCAAGGTAGTAAGATGTCAGTGAAAATGGGTGTGAAACAGCAACAGGGAACATAACTTTGCTCCGGATTCTGCTGTGCTAAGGCACACCCAACAAAAAAACAATACAGAAGGAAAAGCTGTGCTCTTCTGTGAGTATTAATGCCTGTATACTACAGAGGGAGGGAGCTGGAAGACCTTCTGCTGAATGCAACTGCTGCGCAGTTTCACCATCAGGAAGCCCATATCAGAAACTCTGAAGCAAATAATTTTTATTGTACTGCAACGGAACACAGACTTGCAGCAAAACCAGTTAAAAGCTGCATGGAACTCCTGTTCCAATATAGAGTAGAAACATTCTACTGGACACAGAGAAGGACCAGATCTCCAGTGTCAGGTCAAATGGCTGTTCTTGTAATTTCCTGCATGCTGGGTGGTAGGAATGCTTGTAGTGCACAGAGCAGTCACTCCCTCTTTCCATCTCTGTCTCTCTGAAGGAGGAAAGCCCACATCAGTTGATTGACTTTCTTAGGTTGCTCCTCACTGACCCAGTGGCCGGCTTCAGGGATGAGCTGCACCTTGATGTTCTTGCACACCTTCTGCTCCATGGGTACGACAAGCCCTTTTTCCAAAAATACATCCTTTTCTCCCCAGATCAGCAGGGTGGGCACCACAATATCCTTGCACTTTGCACGAACCCAACTGTAGGAGAAGATACACAGAAAAGAAATCTGCAAATTGGCATTGGACATAAATCAGTTCACCATTTTGCGCCACTTATCAGAGTTGTGTCACTTTCCACCCTAGGGAGGCTCATGCACTGCAGCTATGACATAAATCGGGAAAGGCAGCACACTCACACTTTAGCTCCAATTCTATAAATGAACATTCTTTTAGAAATTAAAGTATCTCAGAATGGTCACAAGATTTTCTCATCCCCTTTTCTGAAATTTAAATACAGATTTGTGGAGGAGGAAGAGTGTTTTGCCCCTCAGCTCCACATGATCCAACAAAGAATTTGGTGCCCTCCAAATATTAGGACCAGAAGGCTACTGCTGCCAAGCAGTTTCTTCCTCTGCGAAAAAATGCCGATCCCACCCATTATCAAAGCTGGGAATAAATGGGCTCTCACGTGGACATGTTCCTGTAGTAATTCATGGGTGGTTGTAGACCCCTGTCCTTCGAAAGGCCATACAGGTAAGCCTCCAACTCCTCCTCTGTCAAATGATTTTGGTCTCCCGTCTTCTTGCTAGTCATAACAGACTTTATTAGCTGTAGAGAAAAAGACACAGCAGCATGTAGAGGCTAATTAAATGCACACCTCCTCGTCCTGTACAATACAGTCTCCTCAATAAGGCAGAGGCAGCTCATGCTACTAGAAAGCTTTGTAAAAAATATTTGCTTAAACCACCTTGGGCAGGGCAAAGGAGTAAGCAGTGTTGCTTCCTTTTAAAAACAAAAAACTGTCCCTGCCCATATGTCTTTACCTGATAGATCAGCTCAGTAGTATTTAAAGCTTTTCCCAGCCTGCCTGCCTCCACTATCTACCCAAAGTTAATCTGCTATTGATCTTCACATGAGTGAAGACAAATGCAGTAGCTCCATCCTATGTCCACAAGCTGGAGGGTAACCATCTGCAGCAGGGAGACTTTTCTACTTGACTCAGGTAGGCCTCCCATGCAATGTAGATTTTCCAGGGCTCTACATCACAAGAGGAGCCTACATAAAGAGCAGCCTCCCTGTCACAGATTGTCACCCTCCAAATAATCCAGAGAGGGTGTCAAAGCAAATGTACTTGTGCCTGCTCACATATCCCACTTGTTCATAGTATGCAATGTCTGAATAGGTTATGACTGCCCCTTGTTTAGCGTAAATACAGTTGTACCTTGGTTCTAGAATGTAATCCATTCCAGAAGTCCATTTGACTTCCAAATGTTCTAAAACCAAGGCACGGCTTCCGATTGGCTGCAGGAGCTTCCTGCACTCAATCGGAAGCTGCAGAAGCCGCGTTGGAAGTTCAGGTTCCAAAGAATGTTTGAAAACTGGAACACTTCCGGGTTTTCTGTGTTTGGGAGCCAAAACGTTCAAGTAAGAAGGCGTTCAAGAACCAAGGTACAACTGTACCACCACTCTTTCAAATTTATTACAGGTGAGCTTTAAACACGAGGCACTCTCTATATGGAGTGAGGTTGTGGTAGAGGGGGCAGAAGAGACAGGGTTATGCTTCTTACAGACCAAAGCAGAGAGAATCACCCTTCATGCAGAGCTGAAAGCAGCCTGGCAGAAGGGTTTGGGATATGCCCATGAAACACATTTGAGATTTGTAGCTCAGCATTGAGGGAAGAAAATGAACAGTCACCAGCAGAGAATAAAGCGCTTAGGCTTCACAAAGTTACACAGGCAGCTTGGAAAAGAGATTAGCTGTATTTATATTCCTAATGCAAGAAGGCATGAATGGTGAGGCAAACTCCCCACCCTGGACTCACATAGAAGTCATCTAAGGACCACAGGAGCTCTGGCAGCTTTGGCAGCTGGAACAGGAACATGTAGTTGGATCGCAGCAGTTGGGTGGGATATTGTGAAAAATATTCTGCAAGGTGGAAGGGAAAATAAGTTGCCCTGCCACACATTAACTATCACCAGAACTACTCATCACGAGAACCAATATATGGCCCTTTGTTTTTTCTTTTTATTTGCTTTTGCATCTATTTTGTGCAAAACTGAAATAAAAATACTTTATAAAAAAAGAAACAAAATCACCACAACCAGAAAACTATCTTCAAAATAGAGGGCTCAACTGGGGTTGCTCTCATCTATTTCCCTTTAACATCTGGATCAACTTGCAGTCCAAGCAGGGGGGGGGGAGCTGGGTGGCTGTGTTTTTTAATGTACTCCTAGTACAAGGCTTCCATCTAATCATAAGCTGTGTTGGTGTCAGGCACTTGGATAGATCAGACAACCTCCCTTCTTCCTCCAAAAAGAGCTGTAGTGTAACAGTGATGGCTTATGCAGGCTCTGCATCCTAAGGGCAATGCAGTCACAGTAACCATTTAACTGTGCAGCAGGGACTAGTCCCTGGCAGATTCAGGCTCCTCTCTCCCTTTTCCAATCCTGCTTAGAATTAATTAGTGAATGCCAAAAGCTGCACACAATCGTAGTGAGTACCAAATCCCGATAGCACAAGACTCACCTGCTAAGACATGTGGTTGAACTGCATTCATAATAATAAGCTTCTCTACCAAATTGGGGTAACAGGCAGCAAACTCAGAAGCTATGGATCCACCCCAGTCATGCCCCACCAGGATGCACTTAGAAATCTCTAAAAGACAAACAGAAGGCATCAGAACAGGGACAATGTGGACAAGTATCAGCCTGCTTGACAATTCCCCAACCCAAACACCGATTCATTTCAAGGAAACCCCATTAAGCACCAATGTAACACTTGAAAGCTTAAGTATGTTGAATGCATGGCCCTCTCCTCCCATTGCTAGAAGGCAAGCCACTGCAGTGGCAAACCGGACCCTTCCTCCACAACAACCATTTCCACTCTCACCATTCTTCTCACTGGGGCTCAGAGCGTCAATGACACCATGTACATCTGCCAGCAGAGCTTCCCTCCGATAGTGCTCAGAACCAGCTGGTGCGTCGGAAAAGCCATAGCCCCGCAAATCGAGGGCCACCACCTTAAATGCCCGCTTAAACTCCTGCAATTGATGGCGCCATGCAAACCTGTTGAAATACAGCCAAATCACAATGGGATTAAGTAGAGAGGAGAGCTTTCCTGCTCTGCAGCTTTTAGTTTTTGCCTCTCCATTTGTTGTATATATATGTTTTGAATTATGGCTCACCCCTTGTTGTTCATCTGTTCCATCAGGCTTTTGGGAATTGACTGCTTTTAATGAAAGGACTGGTGTTGTTTTTATTGTACTTATTCGTATGCTTTAAATAGATTTTTTATCTGTACATAGTTTTAATTCTATTAAGATTTAATTGTTTTTAATTATAGGTTTTTTCTATGTTTTTAGCTATTATTGTTTTTAATCCGAAAGCCACCTTTAGTCTTATCAGGAAGAAAGGCATGGTAATAGCAATACTAATGGTGAACACCTGATGGTCGGTCATTCACTGTGCATCATAGAAGCTTGATAGCATGTAGCTGAGTAACATCATCTCCTCTAGGTCATTTCCTTAGGGAAGTTAATCCTTCTGTTCAATACCTTCTCCTTAACTTTGCAGTAAACTCCTCTAACACATTGGCCGACAGATCTGTGGGCTGACTTCCTGCATGAGCCACACCTGCAGTAAATTGATATCAGCTCCAGGCACTGCACTTCTTCCAACTACCACACAGCACAGCGACGCTTACCAGTTCTGGGGAAATCCATGCAAGAAAAGCATCAGCTGGGCTCCTTCCTCGCCAGCAGCAACATAGTGGAGACGCAGCCCTGAGTTCTTGAGCCCCCAAAGGACAGAGAAATAGGACAGTTACACACAGACAAGAGCACAGTGACAATAGCTCAGAGTTTTGCGTGCATAGAGTGACAGGTTCACAATCTATGACATTTCCTGTTAAGAGGCAGCTGATGAGAAACACTCTTTGCCTCTAAGACTTTGAAGAACAGCTGTCGGTCACCACTGAAAGTATCAGGCTAGAGGGTCAAATAGTTTGACCTGGCAATAGGCTGTTTCCTATGTTACTCCCAGTCTATCAAATACATCAGCAGCCCAGAATCCTGCCTTCACATACTGCTTCAGCTGCTGTCTGTGAGCACCTGACTATGGCTAGGAGACCTGACTATGGCCTCCCCTCTCCACTTTCCTGCCACTGTACTCACTTTTAGCGTGACAAAGCCATGCTCCCCATGCGAGGCATCAGTGAGGCATCTTGGTGGAGTCCCCCGCCTCTTCTTGTGGAGCACCTGGAAAGGGCCCTTAGACACCACCTGCCACAGGGCCCACCAACAGTAGAAGACAGCAGCAAGGGAAGCGGCACTATACATAGACAGCTGGGACATAACATTAAAGACCTTCAGCATCAGGCGTGTGGGGACCAGTAAGAAATGTGTGAGAGATGCCATCCCCTCCTGTTGTCCGGTGCTGCAAGAGAGAAGCCACAGCTCAGGGGTAGATAACATGCTTTGTATGTCAAAGGTCTCAGGTTCAATGCCTGGCATCTCCAGTTGGGACAAGATGCCAGTCAATGGCTTGATTTGGTATAAGGTAGTTTCTTATAGGAGGATTATTTTTTTAGATGCTATTGAGAATGCCTTTAGGCCACACACTCAGACACACACATGACCTGTAGCAGTTTAAGTAACTAACAAAACAGTACAGTGGTACCTTGGATTAAGTACTTAATTCGTTCCGGAGGTCTGTTATTAACCTGAAACTGTTCTTAACCTGAAGCACCACTTTAGCTAATGGGGCCTCCTGCCGCCGCCACGCCGCTGGAGCACGATTTCTGTTCTCATCCTGAAGCAAAGTTCTTAACCTGAAGCACTATTTCTGGGTTAGCGGAGTCTGTAACCTGAAGCGTATGTAACCTGAGGTACCACTGTATTCAAGTTTCAAAGATGGTAAAGCGTGCCTAGGCAGACATTACTAGGTTGAAGTTAGAAATCAAGTTCTTCTCTTCGAAGCAACAAGATGCAAAATTTCTCTCGGGATGCAACCTATAATGAGCAGGGCAGAATCTCACACAAAAGCTACAGGTGGCATAGCGGGAAGGGCGGGGGGAATCCCCTGGCACAACAAACGACGTGCACTAAGCCTGCAATCCTAACCCCATATACCTGGGGGCCAACCCAAGTGAAATCAACAGGATTTCCTTCTGAGTAGACATAGTTAACGACAGCGCCTCCTTCCAGCAAGGCTGGATAAGAGAGGTCGCTATCTTATCTTCCTGCCAGGCTTGTGACAAACGGGGTCCTGCCCTGGGGCCAAAGGCTAGGAGGCCGTTTCCATGGAAATTCCACAGAAAGTCTCCCGTCGGCAATCTTCCCGAAACCCACATCGGATGATCGCCCCGCTGACTCAGGTGGCGGAGTCCATGCAATTCCTCCTGCCAGTCAGATGAGTGCTAATCCTAACCCGTCTTGCCACTTTTCCTACCTGCAATAAGTGAGGAAAGCCACTCAAATTCTGGTGCCAAACAACCGTTTGGTAGACGGTGCCTCGAATTCAGCTCCCCGAAAAGGTGAGCCCCGTAAGTAGCTCTGCCTGCTCCCCCATCGATCTCCTACCTACACTCTCACCTTGCCGCTCCTGCCTCCGTTTAAAAAGCCGTCCCTCCAGCTCCTCCCCCCTGCGAAGGCTGCTATCTCTGCGCTAGTGGGAAGAAGCTCTGCAGCCGCGGGCGGGGAAGGCGAAGGAGTCGGAGTGCCTCACTCCTCGGGGCCTCGAGCTCTCCTCAATGCAGCGTCGGGCGCAGAGCTCCGCCCCGTCAGAGCGACCACGAGGGCAAAGCCCGCTCGGGGGGTGAGAGGCGGTTGTTGTTGCTCCCGGCAGCTCCCCGCTCGCCTGGCGGAGCTCAGGGCGGCGCTTCGACTCCGCGCCCGCCGAGAGGGCCCTGACCTCGCCCGAAGGAGACTCCGTTTCTAGCATGGCGGCTGGCAAGAGAGAGCCGGGTATTGGCCGAGTTCTTTTTCCTCAAGAAAACCCCCCTCTGTTCAGGCCCACTTAACTCCCAGGAACCTCGCAGGGATTCAAGGAGGGGAAGTGGAACCCCGCCCGACGCACAAACCGCCTTTTCTTTCATTTAGTTGAAGGGCCCCACTCGGATTCAAACCATGGGCGTAGCCAAGCCCCACATAATCCATACAGATCTGATGTTCTGCCCCCCTAACAAAAGACCTGGCTACGCCCATGGTTCCACCTCAACGCCGACCCCATGGTCTTTCCTATAGAGCGGAGTAACCGACCCCGTTGTTAGACTCCAAGCAAATGCAAAGTTAAGTTTTTTTTAGCTCTCCCGGGCCCAGAGACTGAACACGTTTGCTTTAGTTTTGTTTATATATCTAACAGATCTACCCCAAACGGTTTGCCATAAATATTAAAATTACCAATAAAAACAAAGCAATTAAAACATTTAAACATAATTAAAATTAATGGTAAAGGAGATTAAAGCACGTCAGCATAGGTGCGTCCTGGCAGGTGTACTTTGGGATATAAACAGGAAAAGACAGGAATTCAACCTGGGCGAGTTAAAAGTAACCACCCACATACCACCACAGGTGGATTGGGGCCGAAGCGTAATATTAGTAACAGAACATAATACAAGAATGTAGTTTGATATTAAACAAAACATTCATTCCCAACTAGCTGTATGTTTTACAATAGGTGTAAAATGCTTGGTCCTACTCATTTGGGGCTTTATAGCTTATGGGGAAAGCAGCTGGCGATAATAAAGTGTATAAAATTATGCATGGTGTAGAGAAAGGGACAATAGGGATGGTTTTTCCTTCATATAACGCTATAACCTGTGAAATGGTGGGAGACTCAAAAGTACTTCTTAACACAATGCATAGTAAATGCGGAAGTTGCTACCACAAGAAATGGTGATAGCCACCAATTTAGACAGCTTTAAAATGGGATTAAGGGACGCAGGTGGCGCTGTGGGTTAAACCACAGAGCCTAGGGCTTGCCGATCAGAAGGTCAGTGCTTCGAATCCCCGTGACGGGGGGAGCTCCTGTTGCTCGGTCCCTGCTCCTGCCAACCTAGCAGTTCGAAAGCACGTCAAAGTGCAAGTAGATAAGTAGGTACCGCTCCGGCGGGAAGGTAAACAACGTTTCTGTGCGCTTCTCTGGTTCACTTAGTCATGCTGGCCACATGACCCGGAAGCTGTAGGCCGGCTCCCTCAGCCAATAAAGCGAGATGAGCACCGCAACCCCAAAGTCGGTCACGACTGGACCTAATGGTCAGGGGTCCCTTTACCTTTACCTTAAAATGGGATTAGATAATTCCTGGAGGGTAGGGTTATCAAGGTCATGGTAGCTACCTGCTACCTTCAGTCTACCTCTGAATACTAGTTCCTTGGTAACAGCAGCAGAGTTCTGTCATGGTCATGCTGTGCTTGTGGGCTTTTCAAGAGTTAAGTTCAGCAATGATAGCTGGTGAAAATATCAGGATGCATATCCTCATTCTCAGGATGCATTAAGCGTCACATGCTAAAATGGGTGGAGGAAACGGAATCCTCTGCTTAGCTCATATGTAAATAGTATTGCTTGTTAGATAAGTTGATTTGGACATCACCAGCTCATGGAGGTTGTGAAATTGCCCATGAACTGGAGTCCTGATACGTGGTATGCATGTAATCCAAAAAAACCATTTTACTCGGAAGGGAGAAATCTGAAAATATATATAACAAATTATTGAATTAAAAACAGAAGCAAAAATGTCAAGAGCCAGCACTAACAATATATTAAAGAGAAAAAGAATACAAAACTTAATGTTTAAAAAGGAATGTTTTCAAGCTATCCCCCCCCCCCCCCCCGCAAACACACATTGCTTCCCCAGATTTCCTGTTGTAAAAAAAGAGCAAGGGACAAAGCTGAGTTATTGCTTCCCCTCCCCAAGGTGCTTTCAGCTATACATCATTGGTGAACAGAAAGCTTTTATGGCAGAAACCAGTGTTTTACATCTGGCTCTGGCCTCAATACCATCAGAAACCACAGGGCTTCACTCACTGCACCTCCCTGGTATAAGAACTATTTGTTTCAATGATTGGTACCAACCACACCATAATTATCCAACTAAATGGGTGGCATTAAGTGAACCCTTACATTACTGAGCTATTCCCACGCAACCTTGGGGACTGAAATTCGTCAGAAAACGGGGACTCCCTCTTTCAGTGGCATGTTCCTGCAAAAGTGGGTGGGCAGCCAGGTATACTTGCCCTGGAACTCGGAGGACTAAGTTGGTGGGAGGGGGGCTGCCATGGACCGGCTGCTTTTTTGTTTGAGTTTATAACTTTATTCTGACAAGACACTTCCCAGGCTTCAGACAAGCTCTGCATGGGCCTGCCACTGGGGTATCACAATTGTTCAAATACTTGCAACATGTTGTAGAAAGTAGACATTTGATAAAACATGGTCAAAATCCTGATTACTGAGACACCCATCTGCTCAGAAGTTAAGTTGCAGGCCTAGGCCATTCTGCTGCTTATATGCCTGACCTTACCTATTTGTTTCACCCTTCAGATGACAGCTTCAGATATCAATTTTCCCAGGAGAATACTCAGCTCCCAGTGCAAAACAGGTAAGAAACACAAGACTGCGCAGTTGTGTTAGGAATACTTGCAGCTCTAGGAATAGTCCTAGGTGTCACCATTAAAACCAGCTCTTCAGCACTTTGAACAATTCAATAATAAAACAAAGTTGCTTATTATATCTGCAACAAAATGTTGCAGTATGGAGTGCCGACTTCCAGGGTACGCTTATCCATCATCCCTCCATGTGTTCTTATTCCCAAACTTAAAACAGCATTCTGTGGCCACTGAGCGTGCTCAATCTCATTGAACTGTGTTTCCACCCACATCCCACGTCTCTTGTACTTCCTCCATGCCAGCTGATACCTTCCTTGGTGTGCACAAATGAACACAAATGTGCCATCTATAGGCTTAAGATGAATATTGCTGCTAGTGTGGCTAAGAACATGTCACTCGCGTTATTAGCAGCTATAATGAATGTATCCTCAGTTAAGGATTACAGACTTATTGGCAATACAGTGGTATCTCGGGTTAAGTACTTAATTTGTTCCGGAGGTCCGTTCTTAACCTGAAACTGTTCTTAACCTGAAGCACCACTTTAACTAATGGGGCCTCCTGCTGCCACCGCGCCGCTGGAGCCCGATTTCTGTTCTTATCCTGAAGCAAAGTTCTTAACCTGAAGCACTATTTCTGGGTTAGTGGAGTGTGTAACCTGAAGCATATGTAACCTGAAGTGTATGTAACCCAAAGTACCACTGTAATTACTTGTGGTACATGGGAACATTTCCAGAGCTTGCAATTACTAGGAACGGGTATATAATACCAGGGCTTTTTTTAAAGCTGGAACTCAGCAGAACCTTTTTGGTGCGTTCTGGCAGCCTTTCAGCTGAACAAATTTGGGTGGATGCTCAGCAAGTTTCACCACCTCTTTCTAGAACCTCCCCCCCATACTACTATATGCAAACTGATACTGATGTGCATCTGATATGAATAATAATGTGCTTGTTTGTATACTGTTATAAATAACAAGCTATGGCCTCTTAAACTATGTGTGTGGAGTTATTGGTTTTGTTTGTTATTATGGTATGCATTTCTGTGGTTTTATATTGTAAACTGCCCTGTGATCTTCAAATGGATGTTATAGAAATTTAACAATACGCTCTAGTAAGGGAGCCTGTCAATAACCCATTTGATTATATGAGGTATAATTATTCCACCACTGTGAAGAGAATTGTATCATTGTGTGTACCCTGTGGTAATAATAATGAAAATTGGTATTAATCGTGTGTGTGTGAAAATCAGCTCATGTGTTTGTTTCAATGTCAGCTTTAATTTCCCACCCCTGTCAGAAGAGTTTTGAAGTATGTTCACCTTCCAGGATTGAGGAGAGGTACCCCGTCTGCTGTCATACATAAACCCATAAAAAGCAAGCTCATCGGCATACTGGGACTTACTCTGCCTCACAGGCAAGGTCTGGTGGAGTGGGGAATCAGCAATTGCAGCAGAAGCTCACCTAGGGTAGGCAACCACATCCTCTCCCTTCTAGGGGGAAGGCAGGGTGGTGCCATGCTCTTCCCCCTCAGCAACGCCAACTGTCTCCACGAATCGTGGAGAAATTGGCAGTAGCGGGCAGCCATGGGAATAGCACTCCACTGCAGCTGCTGCCAGTATTGTCGGCTGTTGCCTGTACTACATACAAAACTATTTGTAGTAAAAAGTATGACTTAATCCAGTAGTCTGTTATAAAGTGGGACTAAGAACAGAGATTTTTTCCAATCTGTAATGCTTCCCTTGAAAGAGGGGTCATCTGATCAAAATGCCCTTTAAAACTGCGAATTGGGGAGATCACACAGAACAGAGACTTGAATGTTTTATAGTTCTTCCTTCTACTAGTGGTTTTGTAGGCACCTGCACACTGAGCAACACTGATTCCCCACTTTATATTCTGGCCATGCAACCCTATTACTATTGCTCTGGTATTTGATGTAATCAGTCACATAGCAGCTTCAAATGGTTGTCACATCACTACTGTTTTTATCATTTCTGTAGCAATGGTGTGCCCATCATGATAATTCATCTTTGCCAAAATACCAGCTGTTCTAGGGTTTTAAACTTTGAGCAGAATGCAGGAGTGTATCTCCTGGCAGGGGCAGGTTGTAAGGAACATGTTACAGCCCTTTCATGTATTTCCACTTGTTCCTCAGTGATTTCTGGATACAATTCAATTCAAGATGCTAGTTTGGGTTGCAAAGCCCTTTGATGGTGTACGCCTCTTAAAGATGCTGGTGGTCTTAACACTCAGCTGATACCAGCCCGCTTGAGATTACCATCTGTGTACACTCTCTATGGCAACTTCTGCAATTGCAGGACTTCCTTCCCCTGAAGACTCGGCAGCATCTGAGGATGTTTCAGGATTGTTGCAAACCTTTTTTATTTGGACTGGTTAGGGAGGTAGGATGATGGGTTATATAAAACAATAATAAAAAAAACTTACTAGTTGGTATTTTTTTACAAAAGTTCACTCAAAGTGAATTAACAACAGCAAATGAATGAATGAATGAATAACATACATTAAAACTAGCATAAAATGAAATAGAGAAAAAATCAAAATCATATTTAAAGGCAGGACTGACACAATACACTCACTCAAGGAGGCAGATAGATTATGGGGGTTATGGCACACTGCTGACCTTATAACATCCTCTGGACCCTTGCCCCTCTTGGCTGATAAAAGCTAGCAGGGAGGTGATTAATGCCTCCTTGTGAGAGGGGGTGGTCCCTGCCTGCTTGAAGGAGGTCATGGTAAAGCCACTCCTCAAGAAACCCTCCTTCAGTTCAGAAAACCTAACAACTACCAGCCAGTTGCTAACTTCCCTTTCATGAGCAAGGTTCTTGAGTGGGTGGTCGCGGATCATACTCAGGTGCTCTTGGTGGAAACTGATTTTCTAGATCCATTTCAAAGAGGGTTTAGGCCAAAGTTTGGCACAGACACTGCTTTGGTTGCCCAGTTTGAGGATCTCTTGTCAGGAGACGGGAAATGTGTCCCTGTTAATTCTCTTCAGCTTCTCAGCAGCTTTCAGTACCATCAACCATGGTATCCTTCTGGAGCGGCTGTCCAAATTAAGGATGGGTAGCATTGTTTTGCAGTGGTTCCAGTCCTACTTGGATGGACATTTCCGGAGGATAATGCTTGGGTGTGGTTTTTTTGCACCATGGAGCCTTCAGTGTGGGGTTCCTCAGGATTTGCTTTTACCCCCTATGCTGCTTAACATTTACATGAAACTGCTGAGTGGGGTTATGCACAAGTTTGGAGTATGTTGTCAGCAATATGCTGATGACACTCAGCTCTACTTTCCTTTACATCTACAGGTATGGCAGTGGATGTGCTGGAATGTTGTCTTGCCTTGGTAATTAACTGGATGAGAACTGACAAATTGCAGTTCAATCCAGGTAAGACTGAAGCGGTTCTTTAGACTGGGTGGATGGGAGGTTGTCTGCTGTTGATGGGGTTACGCTCCCTCTGAATGAGCAGCTATGTAGCTTGGGGGTGGGTGCTTCTTGATCCTTTGCTGTCACTTGAGGCTGAAGTGGCCTCAGTGGCATGGAGTGCTTTTCATCAGCTTCAGCTGGTGGCCCAGCTGTGCCCCTATCTGGGCAGGGATAGCCTAACTTCTGTGGTCTACTTCTAGGTTAGATTACTGACACGCGTTATAGGTAGGGCTGCCTCTGAAGTCAGTTTGGAAACTTCAATTGGTGCAGAATTCAGTGGCCAGGTTGCTCATGGGGCCAAGCCGGTTTGAGTATATTACACCGATCCTGACCTGACTTCACTAGCTGCCAATTAGCTTCCAGGCCCAATTCAAAGTGCTGGGTTTGATCTATAAAGCCATTAATGTCTCAGGACTGCAATAACTCAAGGATCAACTCTCGCCATATACATTGACCTGGAAACTGCAGTCATCATATGAGCCCTTCTTCATGCGCTTCCTCCAGGAGAGGGTGGCAACAACAGAAGGAGCATTTTCTGCAGTGGATCTCCATTTGTGGTGTGCTCTCCCCAGGAAGGTCCAGCTGGCACCTTCATTATCCACCTTTAGCTGCCTAGCGAATACGTTCCTCTTCAACCAGGCCTTGGGCTAATATACATCCTATACCCTTTAAAATGTGTTGGGCAGGAGGAACAGAGGTTACTGGTGTTTTGGTTTTGTGCTTATTTTTATTATATATTTTGTGCTTTAATCTTGTATTCTTATGCTGTGAACAGCCCTGAGATCTATACAAATTTAATATAAATAAATAAACAAAACATCCTGTTTCTAGTACTGTCTGGCAGCTTTGGATTTTGACTGTGGTCTCCTATTTTAACGGGTTGCAGTCCTGATATTTTAACATTTGGTATGGGGCAGACTTAATTTTTTAAATAAGCATTTATATACCATCAACTTATAAAAAACAAAAAAAATTAAAACATCATGAAATTATAAAATTATTAAATACAGAACAAATTAGTTTATTCATCAGAGCATATATAGGTTGCAGTGCTGATATTTCAGCATTTGGTATGGGGTAGATTTGAAATATTATTAGAAAACTAATTGCAGTGGCAATTTCTGTACTGGGGAGGGCTTTCAGAGAACTGAGCTTGTACAACATGCAACTGAAATTTGAACTGTGAGGGAAACCAGTTGATGAGCTGGGACCCAACATTCAGTGTAGCCTTTGCCAAGTCTTCCTGTACAAGAGCAAAAGATCAAAGAAAAAAAAGTGTACTTCATATCTTCAGTACAAATGTTTATTTTTTGCAATGAGAACTGCACAAAAAACCTTTAGTATATAAGTGAAAATTCTATGAATTCCCTTCTACAAATGTCTAAAGTGTTTAATACAAGTTTCAAATTCACTGACATAATTATTTGCCAAGCGTTCCGTGCATTAAGTACAGTGGGATTGTACATTTCTCTTATTCATTTGTACAAGACTGAAGAAGGGGAAAAAATAAACAAGATTACATCATTTAGGCTAGACTCCTACATCTAATGTCTGTAATTGTTAAAATCATACATGGGGTTGGGGGAAGAAAGGGAAATTAAATATGTCTCAGTCTGAATGACAACCAAATTATAAACACAAACATTTTGTAAAAACAGAAAAATAAAACACAAGAATAGCAAAAAATACCTTTGGCAGAAAAAAAAGAATCATGTCCCAACTAACGATATCACCCTATGTTCATCATTCAGAAATGTGTAAAAATAAAATACCAAGTACAGCTTTTAAAAAATTAAAGTAGATAGGTGCAAGCCTGTAAACATTTCAAGAAGTTTGCAAAAGATAGAAAGGAGGGGAGGAGAGTGAGGAAGAAGAACGAGACAGCTGAGTAAGCCACCAATCTAAAAAACTCTATCACTACTTGGAACTCTCAACTACCGACAAGGTTTGGCAAATGTCAAATGCAAAAAGAGGGGTTAACATTAAAAAAGGACTAACCTCACTACTGACTAGATACAAGGGGTGTTGTTCTTTGCATACATATAAATTATATATTTTTAAAATTTTACAGCCGAGGGTGCTCTCTTGGTAGAAGTTCCAGCATCTCCATTTTGTTATGCCTTTATTTTTGTCAGTATGGTGCGGTTTTATTATGTACAATTGTGATGAGCTCATGTGTGACCAACTCTTACAGTGGATGTGAGCTCATCTGTGATCAACTCTTACAGCGGATGTGCACTAAAAGTACCCCAAAAACCCTGAGCTTAAAATTAAAGGAGGGAGATGATCATCCAAAGTGCTTCGTAAAAAGGGCAAGTGGGGGTGGGGGAGACATGGGGGCAAGGAATACTGTGAGAAAGGACTGGCAATGGAAATGAAAAGATCAGAACAACGTTCAGAAGGGAAGCCAAAGTTCCTACTTCCCCATCAAAGATCTGCACAAAAAGAGCCAAGAAGAGAAGATTAAGGCCAGTTAATGAACTTGTGGTAAATAGGATGCGCCAGTGGCACAGGGAAGAGGAGGGGATGCAAGGGGCTCTTTCTACTTAATTCTGAGCCGTGGCCACAGTAATATGAGCCCCCTTTCCCTGACAATTTCTGGGATACAATTTAAAACCAAGGGCTAATCCATCAATTAAACCTTCACAAAGAATCTGTGTGAGTGAGAGATTCAACATCTCGTTCATTCTTAAGTAATAATGCTCACACGCCAGCAGTTAAAGGGTGGAAGCTAGTTTTGTGTACAATCCAGCGTACTGTGACTACCTTTATGCTGGTCCAAAAAATGAACAGCTACACGTTCCCAAGCATACAGTGACCCCCCCAGGCCAGTGCACAGTCCTCAGAAACCCAGCATCCTTTGGACTACACAGTTGCATTTTAAAGCTAAGGGCAATTATTGGCCAGACGTCTAGCCCACTCCTAATACAGATCTGCTGGGCTTGGAGATGGAAGTGCAAACACCCCCTTGGCCTTCTCAAGACTGGCAACTACCAGGAAGAAGGAGAACACAGTCAACATTTTGCTTGCTTTAAGCAACTCCTGGTGGCAGAAAGCTTGACCAACACCTACTTGCACATCCTTTCAGCAAGGTAATACTCAAACAGCCTTCACAGAGGCTATCTTGGGAGCATCTCTTCTTTAGACACCCCTTCACTCCCTCAAAGTACCCAACTGTCTGGTACTCTACACAGAAAAGCTTCGAGATCTTCTAATGATGTAGAGTTAAAAAGGCACCTTTAGGTAAAAATTCAGTGTGAAGACCAACAGCTCACAAGAATACCAAAGAATCACTGGCCCCTAAATTCAGTCTGTTCCCTTCAGTACATGGCTACTGCTCCATGCACCTCTGACAACTAAGGGCATAGAGATTTAATTGCTCATTGAAAGGCCAAGTCCAAAGTTAGGCTGGGAATGGGTGACACATGGTCTGCCATGCCATCTGACAGTGGCAGCCTATAGCCTGGTATTGGAGCTGTGCAGCAGGCCACAATACACACCTGTTGCAAAAAGACCTGAGATTGATGCTGAAAAGGACCAAAAGATGCAAGGGCAATACTAATCAGAGGCAGTTGAGAGCTACCTTAGGTATCGCCTTTCCCACTCCTCCCAATACACTATGGAAAATCACATGAGGAGTAAGGGTAGTACAGTCTTTTCCAAGTCTGGAGACATGAAGGTAGCCCAGCATAAGTTGCTACCTATATTTATGTCATTTTGGACACCACCCTTTTCACAACATACATATTATATAATACAAGGCTGAGTTTATCTCCCATTTGGCCAGTTATAATCTAGTTGGGCAATGCATCTCATATGAGTGTAGAGATGATGGCAAATTATGCAAACTGTCTTTCAAAACTTCTGTCATATGGGAAAATAGGGATGTCTTTGGCTGAACGCGCAGAAGTGAGGTTGGTTTGAGGTGTTCACGCAAAGTGATAGCATCCTCTACAGCAGCTAGCCAGGGAGGGCCCAAGCTGCCAGGAATAAGTACACTGAATAACAGTGTTCGATAGCCCAACCCCACTGACCCAGACTCAGGACAGTTTCTGTCAGAACAGTCACATTTTGTCAAGAGAGGTATCAACACAAGCTCTACACTGTCAAATTCTGGGGCCAGGAGGTCCTCCGAGAACACTTGTTTGGAGGAAGAGTACAGAAAGGTGAACTATCTATTCCTTCCTCTCCTTTCACTGGATCCTCAAGGGGTCATCTGCAGCCAGTCCAAATGCACCAAACCTAAGCACTTTTCAGGCAGCCAAATTTAAAAGAAAGTATTTCACTGACAACATGGGTCTTGTCCAAGGCTTGGAGGACCATTGTCCATAAGCAGACAAACCTTGCCTCTTTCTCACTGCAACTGAAGTGGACCAATTTTCACTGCTGGAAGCTACATCATACATTTGCTAAGATTTGTCCACTGCAGGAAGAGGAAGTAACTGAGAGCAATCCCTGCATGGTCTTTTCCAACTTTTGGTTTAGTTCTATAGCATGAAACCAGCCATGGGGTAAGATGCCTTCTGGGAAAGTCTTTTCTGAGAAGGCACAAACTGCTTGATACTTTGTCTTCCTACAGTTTCTATGGAATTCTGTTGCTTTAGGATTGCTCCCAGGGAAAGCTTTTCCCAGGTTTGTGACAAGACAGAAACCCTGCTAATTGTGGCCGGAGAATTCCCTTCTCTGCTGCAGCAAGACAGGTGAGGGGGCAAGCTGTCCTTTTGCAGCTTTACCCCCTTAAGTAATTTCATCACAAGCAGGATTTAAAAGAAATGTCAGTACGACACCAACTTTAAAAAAAAAGAGATGAGTTTATTCCATGATCAGTACAGACCAAATGCATATTCACCGTATTAAAGTAAAACCAATTAATTACTCCAGAGATTGGCCAATACTGACACACCAGTATTGTACTGTATAGTGGGTATTTATGGCACATAAACTTGGAACAATTCAAAGAGTAAAATGGAAAAAAAACACACTAAAGGTGCTGGGAAAACGATCACTGCTAGTGTGTGAGAGAACTCAACTGAAGGCAAGAGGAGCAGGCCTTCCTGCTGATCCAAGTCCACTCCCACTCCCTCCTTGGAGCTGCTCCTTTGCTGTATAAAAACTAATTTAACAGACTCCATGACATTTAAAACCCAAAATGTATCTTTCTGGTATTACAGTTAAAAATATAGATGAAAAGTCTGGAACTGAGCAAAATATAAGCAGTGTCTTTACAGAGTTTGGTGGGCTCACCAATAAAACTCAAACAAATATATGCCAACTATATTCACTATACAATACAGCCACAGTCAAACACTATTGACAGGGTGGGAGATACCCCTGGTGCTAATGTTTTCCCCACTCCAATCCATAATGAAGAGACAAGAATACCCACTCAAGAGCTGAGCAGTGCCAATTTGTCTGGAGGAAAATAAACAGATTGAAAGAAACTGACTTTGGTTGGTAGTCTAGCTCAGATTCCTGGACCTCCACACAATGCTAAAAACAGAAACCTCACTCAAATTGCCAGGTACACTTGACACCTCCGCTAAATTATTCCCTTTTTCACAAGCGAACACTTACAGAGAATGGCTCCCAGCTACAGGCTTGTGGGAAGTTTAGTTAAAGGCAAAGCCAGTGATGACAGGACTCAGAAACAGCTTGTATGTCTTCTTGTACACAGCCTCTCAATGCAGAGTGTCTTGTGCTGCCAGCACACAGCATTGTAGAGTCAAAGACATTCTGTAACTCAGAACTCTTAAGAATAGAAAAGGGGTGAACAGCATTAAGTCCTGGATATACTGCAAGTAAGTTTGGCATAGAGAATATCAAGTGATCAGGGGCACCCTTCCCAGTAACTGCATGTCCACCGACTCAAACCTAGTACAGAGTTGGCTTGTCTTGGTCTTTCTTTCTTCAGTGAGGCGGGGTGGGGAAGAAAATCACATTGTAAGGCAGACTCTGCTGATCCTTCTGAGGCCGCATCTGTCACACATGCAGAAAGGCTGCAGGAATGCTCTCCTCCCAGCCGCCAACAACACTATGGAGAGTCAAAGATTTGCCAGGAAATTAAGGAGTCAGGCAAAGAAAACCAGGCGCTATTAGAAAAGATTCTCTTCAAATATTGCCAACAAATCACTCTGGAAATTCATGTCGATAGTAGCTGCCATCTGGAAAAGAGGAGAGAAGGCAACAGTTACCCAGGTTTGCAGGAAAGGTTATATTCAGATAGCCATCCAGTAGAAAAGGGGGCGTTCTGCTGCAGAACCCACCAGGCAGTGGCAGTCACTGGTCTGCTTGGCCAGGCGCACTGTCTCTTCCATAAAGGGACAGGCTGAGTTCTTGACTCCAGAAAACCTAGTTAATAGCACAGTATGTTTGGCAGCTCTAAGGAAATCATACCAGACAACATTAAAAGGGCTCCGGCAGATGGTGCTTTCTTTTCTGTTATCTATTACACCACTGCCTTATAAAAGAAACAGGATAGAGTGACAGTGTCAGGGAACATGATGTTGAGAAATGTGTGTTTGTATGGGAGAGGGAGAGGAAGAGAGAGAATGAAGAATGTGAAAGTGGGACAAGAAGGAAGTATAATTAAACTTCAAAGTAGACACCTATGGCTTGGCCCTAAGAAGAGCAAGTTGTGTGTATGAAAGGTTAGGTGGAATAAAGGTCCCCCTTGTGCTGAAGACAAATCTGATTAAACCTCAGTGGCCTGGTTCACACATAACACCAAGCCATAGTTTGGTTAGTCTGAGTAGACTCACTAAAATTAATTAACATGGCTAAATTAGGCCTATTACTTTTAATGGGTCTACTTTGAGAAAAACTTAATGCCACCCACAATGTGAAACCATAAGTTGTTGTTGGCTTATGAACATGTCTTGTTTTAACTACAGATAGGGGTTATGTCAAAACCCAACAACTCTGCTTAGCTCTGGTTTGTTAGGCCACTGCACTCCAGATGCTCATCAAGCTACAAAGGCACAAGGCAAGAGTGGCATTTAGAAAATAAACCAAGCTTTCAAGAAACAAGACATGTCTTGTTTGTTCGTCTGTGAGATAACTCAGCATTTGCTGAAGCCATTACTACAAACCATGACTTAGCATTATGTGCACATGGAGCAACGACCATGTGTGGACAGTATCTGTACACTTGTAAAATGCAGACTTTGGGAACTTCCATGAAAAGGGTATATTAAAAAGAAGGTCAGTAAGAAACAGAGAAAAGAAAAATGTAGAAATTTAGAGAGAGGGAAATCTGAGAGCTTTGTCAATGAATATGGAACAACTATTTCTAGGAGGGACACCCCCCCCCCCCGGGCTATGCATTCTGTTTCACAATGTTTTTTTGCCTAAAGGAAATAATATTCAACTTTCTTCAATCTTTTTTAGGATCCAAACATTTTCTGTTTCATAATTTAATTACTGATTTACAGTCACAACCCTAAACATGTTTACTTTACTCAGAAGTTCCAGAACTCAGTGGGACTTAACACATAGGTACATGTACACGGGATTGTAGGCTTAACATGAGAATCCTGTGAAAAAGACTGAGGATCTCTGGCACGTAGTGAGCAAATAAAAAATTATACCAACAAAGTGAGCCTCTGTTGTTTAGCTTGTTGTCAAAATAGCTCCTCATTCAAACCCCAATAATCCCTTTCTCCCGCACTTACTGCCTCTCTGCGTCTTCGTTCCTGCTCTCGTTTTCTGAGCATCTCTCTCTGTTGGTCCAGCATGGACTGAGAAGCCTGCGGCTGAGAGCTCTGTGCTTGGGGAGCAGAGGCTGCTGCTGACACTTGCTGCTGCTGTTGTTGCTGCTGCTGCTGTGGTGGTGGCGGTGGTTGATGATGCTGTGGTGGCTGCTCCTGGCGCCGTCGGACTTCTTCATGAACTCGACGAGCTTGCTCCAGAGTATCCTCCTCTTCACGACTCCTGCCCAAGACCAAAAGTACCATTAAAACCATAGGCTACTCTTTGCATCTTTTCCTTAGCACCTGGGAAGGTACTAACAGCGTCTAGGAATAACATGCTGATTTGAAGGCACTGCTCGACAGCTTGTTAACCGTGAAAATACAAAACAATGGGGGTATAGGATTTCTGCTATAGCTTGACTTCAACCTGCCTAACAGCAGGGTGGCATAGCAAAAACAAGTCCTAGCACACCTATGCCAAATTACAGCACCTATGATCATAAAATCATATGAACACAATGAAGCATGTGCTTGCTCCTTACTTGCAGGTGAATGGGTTAGCAGTACAGGCTCCTCTCACCTCATTCTCTCTTGCTCCCGTCTCTGCCGCTCCTTCTCCTTTTCTGCTTGTTCTGCCTGAGCCTTCAAAGCCTTCTCACGCTCCTCCTTTTCCCGGGCTGCCCTCTTGAAGTGCTCAAAGCTGTCGCTGCTGGATTTCACTGTAGAGGATGGTGCAGTGGGGTGCTTCTGCACTAAGCTTGCCCAGGAGCCCATATTCTTTAATTTCAAATCCTGAGGAGGAAAAAGAAGAAGTACATTACAGCTTATAACTATAACTCTCTGTTCCACTAAGAAACAATGCCTAGCGGGAGTGTCAGCAATTCAGCCCAGATCGCTAAAATCACATTTTCCAAGGATAGTTATAATACTCTTGATTCACTTTTAGAGACACTTGCTGATAATGGGACTGTTACCTTTTTAGGGGCAACTGGTGTTTTTGGTTCCTGCTTCAGTCTCTCTTTGTCCTGGACTCCAGGTGGTGGATTTTGCTCTGGGGGTCTTATAACAGGCCGCCCACTGTCCACTGGCTTCATCTCTGTTCCTGAAACAACAATAATCACTGTAAAAACCTGTTCCTGTTGGTCAGCACTATAGAAGGATTGATCATGGATCACTATAAGAAATTTAGCCTTTCCTCATTTATGTGGACAAATCTACAATGAAACATCACACTCGACAAACAGATTTCAATTGTCACTCACGTTGTTGGATATGTGTAGGTGGCTTGATGCTCTCTGGGTGTTTGGGAGGATCCTGCCGCAAGGCTGGGCTGAAAGTCTCATTTCGGATGACTGGGGATTGCATCTTTTCTTCTTTTACCATAGGCTGTGACTGAACCACAGATGCGGCTCTCAGTTCCTGTCACAGCAGGACAAACGCATGTCACTCACAATTTCCTAACGTAGCTTTCCCTGTGTAAGCCCACCCCATCTTGCACTACAAGTGTTTGGCAAATACCTGTTTTCTCACCTTGATAATGTTTTCAAGGTTCATGTGCAAACTGAATTCTGGAAAGTCCTTTACATTCACACTATGTTCTTACCTGTTTTTTTGGCTGGACATTTGGTTGCGGTGGAGACTGATGTTGCAGCCCCTGGAACTGTGGCATCTGTGGGGAATGCATCATGAGAGGAGAAGGTGCTTCTCTCAAATGACCTGTAACAATTCAGCACCAGTCCGTCAGCTTCTTATCACAGTTCAGTCAGAGCCATTAACTGAAAGTTCTGAGATAATGGGCCAATGATCTGCAGTAGAAGTTCTGACCAGAACATGTTACAACTGGGGTTGGGGAACGCCTTTACTAAATTATTAGCTATTTACCAAATATGGGCTCATTAAAAGCATTTTTGCCCTCTAATGTTTCTCAAGCATTTTCAGATTATCATATGCTCATCAATGAATGGAGAATGGGTGTGTCTTGCTGCATACCCTTGCAGGAATCAGCCCAATGAAACAATGTGCAAACTAGAAGTTGAGCTTTCATTGTCTGCACCACTATGTGGTCTAGCCATAACCTATGTATGTGGATTCTGAATGTGTTTCACAAAAGCTTCAAAATGCTAGTTTTCACTTTTAAAGTTCCCTATCTCCACTCTCATCCCCCCCCTCAGTTCCTGTCAGTGACTTCTGCATGCTACCTATGCCTTGATCAGTATCTGCCAATCAATTAAGTTACCTTCCTTGATGCCTTTCAATTGTTCTTCAAGACCAGAGGTCGGCAACCTAAGGCCCATGGGCAGGTTCCAGCCCATGAGCTTCCTGGAACCAGCCCACAGCCATTCCGTGGATCAGCGTGGGGATTCCGTGCTCCCCCCCGCGGCGCCGTTTTTTCCGCCTTGGAGACAGAGTTCCGGAAAAGTGCCGGAAATAGCGTGTGCTACACAGACGCTCCTCCGTTCCAGAAGTGCGCCAGAAATAGTGTGTCCTCACCCGGAGGAGCGCCCGTACGTGTGCATACACGCTATTTCCAGTGCACCTCCGAGATGGAGGCTCACCGGAAACAGCTTGAGCGCACGCACGGGTGCGCATGCCCTGGCTCACCGAGAGGTCTGCTGGGGAGTGGACTAGCCCGGCCTCAAAAAAGGTTGCCGACCCCTGTTCAAAACTATTTTATTTTAGCAAAGCCTTTGCAAAGCCACCCAGACTTCACTTACCTAATCCTTCATCACTGTGACTCTGTCCTTTCCCATACAAACTACAAATGAGTTCATACTTGACTTTACCCTTCTTCCATCTCAGTTTTGTCTGTTTATTGTACACTGCAAGCTCCTTAGGAAGAGTTAATATTATATACAGCACATAAGTGCTCAATGAATGTTAGCTATGAAGAGGAATAAGTGAAGACCCAGACAAAACACTTCACTATGCCTCATGACCTATTAAGAAATCCAGCACTATGACTGTGAAAACATTTTTTGGCTCTTCTGTCCTACAGTGAGCACGTTAGTAAAGGTAAAGGGACCCCTGACCATTAGGTCCAGTTGTGACCGACTCTGGGGTTGCGGCGCTCATCTCGCTTTACTGGCCGAGGGAGCCGGCGTACAGCTTCCAGGTCATGTGGCCAGCATGACTAAGCTGCTTCTGGCGAACCAGAGCAGCGCACAGAAACGCCGTTTACCTTCCCGCCGGAGCGGTACCTATTTATCTACTTGCACTTTGACATGCTTTCGAACTGCTAGGTTGGCAGGAGCAGGGACCGAGCAACGGGAGCTCACCCTGTCGCGGGGATTCGAACCGCCAACCTTCCGATTGGCAAGTCCTAGGCTCTGTGGTTTAACTCACAGCGCCACCCGCGTCCCTTAGTGAGCACGTTATAGCACCTTAACTTTTGCTTCTACAGTGCCTGCAGGAACAATGATTAAAGTGCTATATTTTTTCCAAGTTGTCATCATTCAGTAGCAGACTCTTTTGGTTAATTACAGATGGGGCACCTTTTACACTATATTAGTTCTTTTGAGATATCATAACCAGTGTTCGAAACTCCCATTGTTCTAGGCTAGGCATATTTTGTGACAGGGAATTTCATTAGTATGAGCAGTTTGAGCAGTTTCTGAGCTCTGGGCACAGCACTGCATCTAAGATTTCAGATTAAAACGGCAGAATGGAAGGAAAGGAGGACCTTTTTCTGCCTCCCCACTTCCAGCTACTCTCAGAAGACTGGAGAAGAGACCCTCTTAAGAATATTATGGGGGTGGGCAGGGGAAGGAACTAGACCATGTGAAAAATGAACATAATATTTTAGCTGAAGTTCATTCATTTTCATCTTTGTATTCTTGTTATAAAAAAGTGCACCTAGACATTCTGTTGTTGCGCCATAACCTAGGTTTAAGGTGCCATTTAGCTCCTAGCTTTCATACCTTAGTTTCTAACACTGATCATAACATAGTATGTATGTATGTATGTATGTATGTATGTATGAGATATGAATACAGAATGATGCAGCAGGACACATGGGATTTTTGAATCCAAAAACAGAAGACCTGAGTCAAATGCATTTTACCTAATAGCTCAGATAATCTAAGACAATGAATTGCTTCACCTCATAGTATTATTGTCTTTTAAGCAAGGGCAACTGAAGTCTAGGGGAGGTATTAAATGAGCAAGGGGCATTCTGAAAAGAAACACTATGCATGGCACTAATTGAACAGAGTACAGATGCAAAGGAAAAACTGTTGGCTACTGAAAAGTCAATGTTTTGTCAAAATGAAATTGTTATTACTAAATGGATACAATAGTATAACGTTGTCAAACAAAAATATATTGGAGATGAATTTGATTTAAAAACCCACAATAATTCCAGTTAGAAAACCCCCTTTTCCTTCCTTGTGTTCTCTTCAATTCATGACTTTTAAGTAGTGTGATAGCCTCCATTGATTTTATCATAAATAACATCAGTAAAGCGTGGAAGATTTTGGAAGCAAAGCAATTCACGCTCCCCCACCCCGGTACATTTCAAGTGTTTATTATATTCACGTTAGATAACTCACCAGCTGAATAGGGATCTGGCTTGTGATGTCGCGGCGATGGGTGGTGTTGGATGACTTGCTGGGGTTTTGACGGCTGTGGCGGCGGCGGCTGTTGCTGCTGTGGGAGTAGGTGCTGCTGCGGAGGTGGCTGAGGCTGAGGGATATGGGGAGGGAACTGCATTGGTTGCATATGTACTGGCCTCTGCTGTGGCTGATGCTGCATCTGTTGCACTGGAGCATGAGGGGGAGGTTGCAGGGATGGCGGAGGCTGCGACTGGACCTTCACTGAAGGGAGGAGAGAAGTCTGTGGCTGCACTTTCTGCAGCTGCTGAATGTACAGCTGCATCTGGCTACTACTCAGCAGGTTGTGGTGAGGAGCAGGAGGTTCTTCATCCTCTAAAAGCTCCTGGGGAGGCTGGGGAAGTGGGGGCTGCGGAAGCATGGGTTGCTGGTTAAGAGCTGGGGACACTGCGGGAGGCCGAGCAGGTTTAGGGGGGAGTGCTGCAGCTCGATTACTAGGTCTTGAGGGTTGCTGAGGCAGAGCATTGTGCAAAGCTGCGGAAGAGAAAGCAGGAAGACATTACATCAACACTGTGACACGGAAAACAGTTGCATTACTCTCACAGATTAAGGTCAGGTCTATGCATGCAGCTGAAGGGGAATAAGGTTGCTGAGCTCTGATACAGTAGAATGGATTGTATTACTACAGGTTTCAGGTGGAAGATCACCTTTTTTTTTTACCATCACCACACACAACTTTTTCTGTGTAAAAGAGATCAACTGAGAAAGGATCCTGCACATTATGGCATAGAAAATCAGCTCTCTAAACTCAAAATCCTGACCCTTCAACTATGTTGATACAATGTTCAAGTCTTTCTAAACCACAGTTTAGCAAGCTGGGAACAAGAACTGGGACGGAACGACATTCCCCATCCCATGCCTCCTCCCCTTCACACACTGATCACACACACTCTGGGTGGCTTACCGCATATCTAAAAACATAAAACATCAAGTGCTAAAACCTCCTGATACAGGGATGCCTTCAGATGTCTTCTGAAATTTGTGTAATTATTTATCTCCTTGACATCTGAAGGGAGGGCATTTCACAGGGTGGGCGCCACTACCGAGAAGGCCCTCGGAGCTGGACCTCAGTGTCCAGGCTGAACAATGCGGGTGGAGACGCTCCTTCAGGTATTCTGGGCCAAGGCCATTTAGGGCTTTAAAGGTCAGCACCAACACTTTGAATTGTGCTCGGAAACGTACTGAATGATTTCACTGGATACAACCCCATGGTTTATCAAACTAGGAACGTTATGTCTAAAATAGCCCTCTGATTTCAAGAGAAACTTCCCCTTGATTTGTACTCCCTTGGGCTGCAATATTGCTCAAATGTCCACAATGTCCTATGAGGAACTTAAAAAACTACAGTGCACATTGTGATACATCCAAGAAACAGCACTCACCTGGAGGAGACACTACTGTATGCTGATTCAAGTGAGGAGGAGTGCTGTGCTCAGGCTGCTGAGGGAGATGGGGCGGCATTTCTGGCTGAGGAAGGTGTATAATCGGTTGAGTGAAATGTGAAATAGTGTCAAACATATTCCCTGGGAGCGGATGCTCCATAACTGGGATCTGCACTGGAACAAAAGCTGGAGGAGAGGATTTCACTGGAGGGGCTGCTTGTTGAGGGGCTGAAGGAGGTGGTGGGGGCAGCTGCTGTGGTTGCAACTGTGGCTGTTGCTGCTGCTGCTGAGTCTGCTGATGGTGGTGATGGTGATGCTGCAGGAAAGAAACAGAGTATACAATCAAGTTTTCTGCATGGGAAACAATGGGAAGGGAGTGCTACTACCCTTTTCATTAGACCGCCCTGTCCCTAGTTTCTCCTTGCCAGCATTCACTCAACTGAATCGCTAGGATGGAGAAAAACAGCGTGGAGAAGGGGAGCTGCAGTGGAAAAACTGTGGGAAATGTGTTAGCTTTCCCATGACAATTCTCCACATAAAAACATCTTCTCCCAAAGTTGCTTGCTTCTACAAAAACTGGTTGCTGAAACTTCGTACATGCACTTGTGCGAAGTGTGTGCCTTAATAAGAGTATAGCAGACCACAGAGCCTTAGGAAGATAAATATGCAACCAAATAAAATAATCTTTTAGAAAAAAACAAAACCCACTGTATTTTTTTGAAGTTTAGTGTTGCCCCAGCCCCATACTCAATGCTAGCTTCAGCAATCAGCAAATTTATAAAAGTATTCTGCCAGGAAAGATAGCACTGCGCAAAGAGCAAGGTAAGTTCAGTACTTAGCTTCTTGCTCCCAAACTGTACTTATTAACGGAACTAACTGAAATACTAAGAATTTCAGTAAAAAAATCTTCAAAAGGCAATTTAAAAATCTTTTATAACAGCCTCTCTTGTTTGAGCTGCACTTCCTCAATCATCAAACACTTACTTCTTCAACTGGGAAAAAACATTAAGCCTCTGAGGAAACCGGAGAGCTGGATCCAGTGATAATTCCTTGTCCATTCTGGACCCTATCTTTCACAAATTCCAAACTTTGATTAATGCTAGGGGCCTAGATGAATGAATCTTACTGGCTCCATATTCTGTATTGCAGGATTCCATAGCCTGTATTGCCTTCCCATGTGAGACAGGTCTAGGGAGCTGAAATGAGCAAAGCTTTGCCCATTCACTTGGACGTGGAGTGGGCTTCTTTGTGATAAATTAACATAATGTCAAGCAGAGAAACATTAAAGTATCTTCCCCTATACAACAATGTACCTTCTTCTGTTCTCGTCCAGAATGTCCTTTTTTCTTAAGTTTTGGAGGCATTTCTGGGGGGAAAGAACAACAGAGAATTACAGTGCTTTTTCATAACATTGTTTATATGTAATGCTCTTTAATATAAGTTATTTTATGACTATGAAATTCAAATCAAAAGGCGCAAAAGTCATTTTTGGAATCCATCGAAAACTGCCTGATTCCCCCCCTCCCATATGTATGTGCATAGAGAAAAATGTTCTTTATCCCTTTACATGCCTAGAACAAGCCCAACGAATTAACCACTTCTATTTTACAAAGATGCCATTACAACCAATGCAAGCTGTTGAGTCAAAGATTCAGGAGAAAGAAAGCAACCCCTGGGCTTAGCAATTCACTTTTGTGAGCATCTTCCTCCAACAACTCAAGTTGCCTGCATAAATTTTACTACAGCTTTCCTCTGTACTTTCAATACTAAATAATAGCAGCAGCTGAATCAGCTGTGGCCAGGGGTATGGGTGGGGCTGTATTACTCTCCTGGCTTCCCAGTGCTGCACATCACTGCCAATTACCAAGAGATGAGGGGCAAGGGAATGGGGAGCTTGGTATGCTGTAGGCTCACTGCTGTCCTGCCCCTCTCAGCAACTGGCATTGGGAAGCCAAGAGAGCAACGCAGCCACACCTATTCCACTTCACTATTGTACAGTGGTACCTCGGGTTAAGTACTTCATTCATTCCAGAGGTCTGTTCTTAACCTGAAACTGTTCTTAACCTGAAGCACCACTTTAGCTAATGGGGCCTCCTGCTGCTGCCAGAGCACGATTTCTGCTCTTATCCTGAAGCAAAGTTCTTAACCCGAGGTACTATTTCTGGGTTAGCAGAGTCTGTAACCTGAAGCGTATGTAACCTGAAGCGTATATAACCTGAGGTACCACTGTATTGAATTAACTGCCATTACCATCCCATGTAGGCTTGTTTCCTAGGTAGCCTCGGAGCAACAGTTTGCTCTAGGATTTTTACTACAACATTCGGTTAAGCTTTGCATTACATAGTAAACTTGCTACAGAAAGGTCCTCACATGAAGACCATGCTCTGCCTTTTTCAGCTTGATGGCTTTTTGGTACTTAAGGCTATCTCAGAAAAAATAGAAAGCTAAGGTAACCATCAACCTCGCATGCTGGCAGTGGGGTGCAGGTGAGTGTGTGAGAGACTTTCTTATGACACACATGTGTACAACTGGACAAAGACAACTGTAGTAGGTACTTCAGTGAAGGAAAGTGTTTTCCTAGTCTCTATAAAAAGCCCAAACAGTCTCTGTTGAAAGGAAGTTGGCTCAGATCTACCAACTTAAAGAACAGGTCAGAGTTAGATACAGCGCACCATCTGGGAAAGAGTAAGTTGTCCTATAGCACAAGGACCTCTGCCTGAGCAACAAGACTTTCTCCCCTTCTCCTCACACCCACAACCTGTTCTGGAAGTTCCCCCCAACTCTATAGAGCAGATTTGGGGTGTGTTGTGGGGAGAGCAAGTCTCACTGGGCAGATGGAAATCCTTGTGCTAATGGGACTTTGTTGGCTACAACTCTGGAAAATTAAGGTGCCTTTCAAAACTTGTCACCAGCCACAGCCTAATAAAGACAGCATATGAAGTACCCCTTTACTGCTCTTAAAACAGAACCACATAGCCTTCCCCACTAATAGCAACAAGTATCACATTCTTATCAATATTCTACCACTATTATCAGTTGCACCAATATTATCCTTCTTGGGGGGAAAACTACAAGTTTACCACCAGGCCCTTTATTCTCTTGGGGAAAAAGCAGTTAGTGGAACTTGTTCAGCTTTCCCTACTTGGTTACAAGGATCCAAAAGGTTTCTAAGTATCCAATGTTTTATTACAGAAAGACCTTTACTGTGCCAGCTACTGATTTCTACTTTCCATGCAACCATAATTTGAGGGAAATTCCATGTTGCAATTTAATGATTTAGAGCATTCCTGTGAAATGGGGAAAGCAGTTTATTGGCCAAATTACCCGTGAGGCAATTAACTTAGCCGTCAGCGGCTCTTTGATGTAGGTTAGAATGTGAATAGTATGAAAAATAGGTAGAACCACCCCTAGAAGACAGCTTGTTGGCAGCAGCTACAGATCACGTTAGCTACTATAATTCTTTTTTAAAAGTGACACCTTGAGAGTAAAGATGTTTAAGAAACTGGACAGTGCTATGTCAAGTTTTCAGTTTATCAGTAACATCTCAGTGCTTAGTACGGTCTAAAAAGCACATGCTACACACTGCTACGGAGCAGATAGAATAAAGGGTAAATGATGCACACATGCCTATATGAAAATGTGTGATCTGTTGCAAAACACTGGCCTCTTGTGCCATTATTAGACAATATTCTATTTCTAACAAGAACTATAAATATTGGGATTTCATTTTAATAAATGAGGAATTGTTAGCTGACTAAAAGGGGCAAAATAGCTATGGTTTTGATGCTGATGTCTTGTGTTTGTATTTGTGCTTACATCTCTCTATAGTTGTCTGTGGCAATATCAGCTTCCTTATAAGAACGAGCTAATCAATGATTGAGTTAAGGAAATAATTTAAAAACCTTTCCTGAGTATGCAAACCACACAGGTAGCTGCTTCCAAGGGCTCCAATGGAGAAAGCCTGGATGCATGTGTGAAGCTTGCAAACACAGCCCATACCAGGAGCAAGGATTTTCCAGCCCTTAATTTAAAAGACCTGGGCCTTCAGAATTGAGCGTGTGTAAATGTAGCTGAATAGACAATATGGTGCTTCTGTAAGGAAGCAGCCTTTTTTTATCGCCCTAGGAGTTACCATAACATCACAGGTCTAACACACTGTCAAATCCACCTAGAATCCTTGTTGGGGTATCCATTGAACCTGGCTTGCAAATATTGTTCAGTGCTCAGTTTCTCAGAAATCCACCTTGGATTTTTTAAATAGCTTTTTAGTCAATGACAAGCCTGTCATAATGAAATTTTCACAGCATATTTTTGTACATTGAGCTGACTGCACTCATCTATCTATATTATACTCCAACTAACTGCACCATTGTAAGATACTTCTAAAACTAATTTCAAATGTTATTTCGGCAATATGGTTGCTGTTAAGTCAGTTTACTGTGTCCAAAGCTTTATGGGCTTGTAGATAGCACTTTTCTAGATGAGAAGATTACATGATAAATATCTGCCGCTGTACTGACATAGGTTTTTATTTATTTATGCTTTAACTTTGCAACTGCATGAAAACTCAAATGACATTATTTTTGGCCGCATACATACTCCTGAGATAATGTATGAATTAGGCCTCAGAGTGGTTTTGATACATTTTTGCATGAGGGCATTATTTAAATGAATTGTCAGGTCAGACAATTTAATTCCTGTAAAGTGGGAGGTTATTTTTATATGGAAAATATAACTTAGTTTGATAAAGCAGAGTTAACGTCTAAATATACAAAGCTATGAGCTGCATATACTTTGTGCTTTATTTTCTTGGTCCCATACTCTGCAACTCCCATACAATTTAGCTGTGTGTGTAAACAATATGAAGGGGGTGGGGGAGAAGGGAATTGTTAAGGGCAAGCATTCAACTTAAGCAACCTGAAAAAACTGACATGGCTATTTAAATTATTTCTGGCATCATTTGAGCCTGATCACTTGGTGACTTGACAGCTGTCTATTCCTGAAATGCAGCTTTCTTTTGGGGGGTCTAATGGGTACTTTATGTGTCAGTGTTTCATGCTGTGATTTAAATATTTAGTACACCCTTCACTAGAATTACACAAATGTGTGACAAACTAATGAATTTGTGCACAAGATACTATGATGTTCACTGTCACATAGGTGAGAAGAAGCTGGATCATCAAGTAGCACCATCAGCATTTCACTATTCAAAATAAGGAACAAGCAGAGGCAGAAGTGAAGGTTTTCTTTGTTTGTTTCAACTGGAATAGTTATTAAAATGTTTTGATAACAGCACACTTGTCTAGGTAAGATAATGCTTAATTTTAAATAATACAAAAACATCCAAACACAACATAGACTTTATGAACTGCACTTTCTGGATTTTAATGCAGTTTTCAGCTTATTTAAAACTGTTAGAATGACCATAAAGTAATTCAAAAGCCCCACTTCCCACATGTATACAAAACCTGATTAACTTCCTCTATAGACCTTGGCCAGCATTCCAAGTATCACAAGGTTGCTTCTGCTTGTGCTAAGGGGGCTTATCTTCTCCCCTGTTCCAGTGGCAGCTCCCATACAAGCTGAAGGGCTCCACCCAAAGGCTGGTGGACCCTCTGGAATAGCTTTCAGGGGGCCCCAAAGTTTGTAGGGCAGGTAGAAAAATGGTCAAACTTCCTGCCTTGTGTGTGCAGAAGTGTCTTTCACACATGCACAGAGTAGTTTGGAGAGGCTTTGGCATTTGCACTTTTCAGTCCCGCAGAATGAAAATCAGAGTTCATTGAGAAGGTCCTATTTTGGTCATCAGATCCTACAAGGGATTTTCAGTAAAATAAGCCTGGTGTGTTAAAAAAAAAAGAAAAGAAAAGTTGTTTTATTTTCCAGGTAAGCTAGTGAGTGCTTTCTCAAAAGCATCAAGGTCCAACTAGTTTATATGTCATCTAATATGTTTATTTGATTTCCTTAGGAGAAGTAGCAACAGTGACTGGTACTAGTATAGAATGTGAAAAGTAATTTTCCCCATTTTGAAATGACAGGTTAAAAACTACAATTTTAGTTATCTTACAACAGGTACATTTTCTGTAGCAAACCAAATTCTTTATTTATTTTTATTATTTTAGAACAAAAATAGAGATACTATACAACTTATTTTAAAATTATTGTGATTACATCATTGTTAAATCATAAGCATGCAGATAAAATAGAAAAACAGATTATATAAATTACTGATAAATTATTATTTGTAAAGGTAAAATAACTGAACAGCTGAATAAAAATGACAGCAGACAGTCAATTCGTTATCAAATGCACTTTGAACAGTTCACACTTGTGCATAAGGGAAAGCAGAATTACAGCTTTGCTAAAAACATGCATTTATACATTCCAATAAAAAAAATCAAGCCTTTATCATATCTATCCCTTCAGAAAAATTAAAAAACAAATGACAGAAACAAATGCAAAATCGAAAAAACAATTTAACAATACTAATAAAGACAATATATTTCAAAAGCCCTGAATAGTTTTTATAAATGAAGAACCTTTACTGAAATGTTAGAAAGCACTGTGCTGTAGTGTTGTATGCACAAAGGCAATCATTTCAATATGTAGCCTCCCTAATCCTAAAAGCTTAGATTAGATCAACTTTATACATAGTGTTTCTTGCCATTGACAGTATGTACACTGAATAATTCTATTACAAGTCATTAGTACAAAAAAGATTAAAATTTTAGATATTGTTTGTTCTGCCTTCAGGTATGCATATATGCAACCATACTGAAAATATACTTTTGATGCAACTATTTATAATGCTGGTGCTTAGTTTCTAAGAATTAATAAATTCTGGTTTGTAGGGGGAAAGTATAGAGGACAGTAAGTATAAAGTACCCTTGTTGAAATTAAATACACTTAATGGTTATGTTATAATCTTGAAGACAATCCAGCAGCTGCTTATCAAACAGAGCTCCCATGTAGATGGGCTTCCACAGAACATGTGCAGAGCTGTACCTGATATGGATCAGAATAGCGAATCCTTTTTCACATAGAAGCTCTGTAGATGCAACAAAGACCTGTGAAGCTTTGCAGCAGCAAACGAACATTAAACACCTTTTCTTTTTAAAGGAGGATTTCCTACGTGAAATATCACTCCTCCTAAATGAGGGTTACTAGCCTACTCCAACCTGCAGCATGAAAAGAGAGCTTCCACCTTCCTACTACTAGGAGAGGTATGATCAAAGTGGGGCAATTCAGAATGAAACCAGACAACCCGATTTATATTGGCTGTCATCCAGTGAAGCCAATCCTTCAGCAGCTTTCATGCCAAACCACTAAACTGCTTTTTAAAATTGGAAGAGGTTTTAAAAAAGTAGTTTGGAGGAGGTTCAGTAGAAGGAGCTGTTGGAAGGGAAACAGACAAGAAAACTCTGGTGCGCACATACCTCTAGATCATGGTCATAGCATATAAGAATGTTTACTCATAGAAGAGGCTTCTCATGTAACAAACAACTCTGTGGGTATAAACCAAAACAGGGATCTAAATTTTTTTGCAAAGGTCTCCATCAGCCTAGATAACTCTTAAGTAACATGCTGAGAGGTCATAAATGTATGTAAGAAACTGGAGTCACATGAGTTCAGACACAGAAAAAAGTCTGCAACAGACCACAAGCTACATGACAACCAGTAAAAGGGACTAATATTGTACTCAATCCAAATCAAAGGCAGCTTGATGAGAAAGAAGCAAACTGCAAAAAGATACTTGTCTACCATATGCTAAGATTTAGCCAGCCACAATGCATGACATTTGGAAGTTTATCTGTTGTTGAAAATTTCACAGTTCAACATATTTAACTGGAAATGTTTCTCATTTCCTGTAGCACAGGTTCTAGAATTAAAAAGCAATTTCGAGAAAGCTGTCAGATGGGGTCATACTGAAAGTATTACTGTAAATTCATTTGGTGAAGGTGCTCTAATTTATTCCAAGATATCAAATGCTACTGAAGAACACTGAAGGCTCATTCAAGTAAGAACATACTCTAATTACAAGGACAGGAGAAACTCTGGGTTGCAGCCAACTAAGTTCATACTAACTTAGATCTAATCATTTCAGTAGCTCTACTCTCAGTAGAGTTTACTTGGATACAATCCTCTTTCTTCTTCCTCCTCAGGTTCAGATAAGCACTAGTCTAAACTATGATGGAGTACCTCATAGTTAAGTTTGCTTCTCTTGTGGACTGAGACCACTTACAACACATGGGGTGAATTCACAACTGAATCTACGCTTCACCTGAAGTCTGAACCTGCTCTTAGATCCTCACCTGCTGGGTCTTGAGAACTAGGCTCATGTAACAAGAGTCTATTGCTTGCAAGTCAAGACAAAAGAAGAAAGAAGAATTCACTAAAAATAAAAAAGCATTAACATATCAAAGTCCAGCTAAAATTGAAAGTGCTTTAATTATTTCAATAGCCCTGTTTTGATAATGAGGGGTTAGTAATGCCAGCTCCAGAATGATTTAGGTAAGGGGCCTAGACGAGGTCCCTCTCAGAGAAATGAAGCAGCTTTGAATCTAAGCAGATCCATGGCCAACTCTGCTCCCCCCCCCCCCCATTTCAGGGCCGTATGCTTTCTACCGCCAGTGAGGCCACCGCTGTGCTAGCTTTCCACTTGCTAAGTTTTCCATGGGTAGAGACAGCAAGGTCAACAGATGGGCATCTAACTGTCACCAGCAGCACAGATCAAGAGGTTAAGATACCTCTACAAGCAATTTACAACAATCAAACCCAAGGTAATATTGCCTTGTTTTATATCTGATTTAAAACCATACATATTTTATGGGACCTAGAGTTCCTGTGAGTGGAGTTCTATTCATGGTACACTCCCTCTGGGCGTGGAGCAAGTTTTGCAAATTGCTGCTCCACAGCGTTACCAGAACAGCACAGGAGGTGAGGCAGGGGCTGATGGAGGAATCAGCATAAGCTGCCTCCTCCCCACTCAGTTCTTTCTGCGGATGGGACACTCTGGATCCATCCCTGCAAGTGCCTTCCCAAAACCTGCCCCAGAGGGTTGGGAAATCCTTTGGACAGAAGAGAGGATCAGCAGAGAAGGAAGGAGAATTGATGAACATTGCTCCCCTTCCTAATCTGCTGACAGACACTGTCATCAGAGCAACACTGTTGGATAGAATTAACAAGCCTTATAAGTAAAAGTTTAAAACAATTCAAATATTGGTAAGAAATATCTATCTTATTATTAGACTCTTTGAACCTTTCTAATGCAGCAAAAATCCCAAATGAGTTCAGTTGGATTCACCTATATGAATGATGGCTAATTGATGCCACTAGATAAAATTGTTTCCTGTGGCTTATATGATTTTTCTGTGCAACAGGGATTCCCCAACACTTTAAATCCCTTTCCCTCCCCAAGTATAAAGTGCTCTATTGATTTGGATGATTGTGGAAGAAATCAATGGGTTATATGCAACTAAATCACTGCACACGCAGAATGACTTCCATGAAAATAATGGAACTTCCCTTCCCTCTCCTCCCCTCCTCCCAATCTGCTCTGAAGGCCCAGGGGAACTCCTGGAGCTGACTGGGAGTGCTGGGGGGTGGGCGGGTTCACTTGTAGTCACAGAAGTCATACTGTATGTGCAATGATTTAATTGGACACAATCCACACTTCCTTTTTATACTCAGTACATGACACATTGCGTATAACCAAACATGCACAAAGAACATGTATGGGCAATCAATGCATTACAAAACTAAACTTAAATCCCCTAAAGTGGACTTCAACCTCAAAATCAGATGTTACTTCTGAAATAACCTTGCGCTACAAAATTTTAATGTGAAATTGGTATACGGTCTGAAACTTTTAAACGTACGACAGTTTCCCCATACGTAGAACTCTATTACCTCAGGCATGGTTAATGTTATTAACTAAAACAGGTATAAAAACAGGCAGAATTAAAATATTATATAATACACTGGAGGCATCCCAGGATAACCCTGCCCCCCACACTAAAGTCATCTTGAAGGTTGCTTATAAAAAACAACCCATAGCAGATTAAAACAACCAACACAGTGAGTCAATATGTTGCAAATAAATAAAAACGGGGAAGATGTATCTAGGATGGAATGTCCACTGTGGAGAAGTTCCTCTTTTTACTGCCTGCTTTGGTCATGATATCTGTAGCACCTGCACATACCCACCTCTTCTTGGCACTTGTCCAAGAGAACACCAAACTTTTTAACATCCCCCGAGTTTAAAAAGCAACAGGAATTTTGCAATGATTTTTTAAAAGGGACTCCCAGAGGGAAAATACCAAGTATACATCACAGATAGATGCTTTTCGAAATGCTTTCACCAGATTCCCAAACTGTTTTTTAAATTAAAAGAGTTTATGCCACTTGTTTTTATAAGCATTATCTAACAACTGGTGAGAGAAAAGCAGGAATGTGCCACTCTTTTCTGAGTCATTCATATATATTATGCTTATTAGGCAGCTGGGTAGGCATAAATATCATTCAGATTGGATAACTAAATACATTCTTGTATACAAGCATTGCTAGCAAGGTTTGTGACCTGATAGTAAAAGGAAGACCAAGATTTCTGCCTCTCGTTTTTGTTTTTTAAAGCATTAAAATCAATGTTCTGGGGAAAACCTCAATTTACTCTTATGTCTACTATGAACGCTGAGAATTCTTAAGTTAAATTCACTCTAATGAGATCAAACTTGCTTTGAGAAAACAAACTGTACAAGTTAAAATGAGACCTTTTTCTTCTACCAGTCAGGGACCTTTGTTTTAGGGTTGATCAAGAGCTGGAGAACGTCTCCTAGTACCAATTTCTGATCAATATGAAGAAAAGCATTTAAATCATATAAATTTATGTTTTAAGAACAATACAAATAAAGTATTTAATCAAACTTATACTGTAAAATACCTTGCTCACATATAAACTGGTAGAGCTTTTTTGTTTCACTGAAAACCTAGTCTAATTGCCATTTAAAGAAGCTTGCTATTGAAATTCAAGACAGTCCAAGGAACAGAGTAAAAAACAAAACATGGAAGATCAAATAAATCTGAAATTAATTTTTAATTTAAAAGCATCTTCTGAAAAGTACCTGCTAGGGCAACCAGATGCAAGAGAGAATACAGCTCATGCACCTTTAATAGTTTTGCAGAAGAGAGAAGTTCTGCAGGTGTAGATTGCATGATAAGGTACACCAACTAAAATTCCTTCTATGCAGTTGTTAAAAAGGAGCAGGAAGGAGCCTTTGTCCTCTTTTGCATCTGGCTGTCCTATTATCTGCATAGCCAAATTCCTATCATTCCTGCCAACATGGGGGGAAAACACCCTAGGAATCATCATCATCATCATCATCATCATCCATCATCCATCTCTAAACAAACTCAAGAGCCTTTTCACATATGTATATAGATACTAGGAATGGGCCTCTTGCAGACTATAGAGGCTCCTTTTGCGACACAGAACAGTGTCTTCTAGAACTTCAGTTGAACACAATTTACCATTTTAAACATAGGAAAAGGTGAGTGAAACTATTACTGCTTATACTAATTGAAAATGTCAATTTTTCCCCACCCACCCTCAGCACACTAATGTGCAAGCCTATCCTAAAATATGATTACACCTTCCCCTGCAGTCCCCAGCACCACATCTCACACAATTCCACAGGCAAGTGGCATTGGGGATTACAGTGAGAAGGATGTAATTGACAAAAATCACCTCCCTGCTCTCCACCAGAAGGAACCCACTGCTGAATCCAAAGTCTGGATCCAGCCTATGATGAATAAAACCTTAAGGTAAGTCAATCTTTGAAGAACTTACTGTAAAATGCTTTTGCAGTTCATGTGAGAACTGCAGGTCTAATGCAAAGAGTAAACAGAATTTTATTCTGCCATACTTATTAATTTTAAAATATTGATTGTTAGCACGAAACTAAGTGCATCATTCAAATAAAAAAAACAAAAACAAAAAACTTTAGGGTCACATGAGGAGTATCAAATGAAACCTGTAAGAGCTCTCAAAGTTAACAGCAAAAATATACTGAGGCAATGTTAATCAGAAATAACAAAGCTTTTCAGTACGATGGTTGCCCTGCATTCAGTCTGTTTTTTCCAATAACTTCTCAATGCCATCTTTCCAATACACGATCATACACTGTAGCTACCTTCTGGCAAGTTGACTGAACGTTCACTAATAAAAGTGTATCTTACTCTCTATTAGATGAGAAGCCAGTTTAGAAAATATTCTTTTTTTAAAGCTGTGAATCTGAACCATCAGACACATAAAATGGTACCGTAGCACGAATTATAAAGTGGCTCTGCCATCCTAAATTAATAAAGCATTGTTCAGTGCATTTTGAAGCAATCAGATGTGATACCCTCTTTATAATGTTGGATCCAAACTGGGTAAGCTTCGTATACAGAAAATATACTGTATATACTGCTTTACAAAGACCAAATAAAAAATAAAAAAAATTAAGAAGACGAAGCCATACTAAAAACATATTTATTTATACAGGAAACAGGTATAGGACTGAGTCTATAAATAATCTGCATCTAACCTGTTTCTGAATCTTCACTGTCGGAGGAGCTGGACTCACTGGTGCTCTCAGACTCTGAGGAGGAGAACCCCTTCATTTTAGAGGAACCAGCAATTACATCCACTTTCTCTGCTGCAACAAGATAATAGCACAATATTGTCATTGGATAAGAATATAATCCAGAACCCATTCTTGTGCTATGCAGTATTCCCCTTAAACACTATGGCCTTGCTACTCTTTTCCCTGTGGAAGATTTGTGCATACTGATACGTTTTTAACTGGGCTAAATGAAGCAATAGTTTCAAAAGGGCAGGGAGAATGTGCTGCCATGCTGTCCTTTTTCTTTCCAAGGCTTCAACATAAAACATGTAGAAGAAAAGTTTGCCTTGTTATATAGTCCTTTAAAAACAACGCAGAATTAATGGGACTCTAGATGCAAAAAGGGAAACCTTTTAAAAACTGTCAGATTTCTCAAATAGTAATAACTACTTCAAAATGCATTTATTTTCTGCTGTGCACCTCTTTTAGAAAGTTTGCCCTTCCTTTGAATAATGTGTATGCGAAAATAGTCAATTATGAATACAAAAACTTGTAATAATTTCCAGCAATGGAGAAGTATCATAGAGCCTTGGTTCATTGCTTTATAAGATACCAACCTATGGTCTTAGAAATATTATCTGCAACTAAAAAAAGTTTTTGTGTCTGGTTGTGGTGAACAGTTTCATAATAAATAGAACATTCATAAGTTTTACAAAACAGTTAAAATAGGCTACAATGGCATAAAACAGAAATATGGTATGTTTTTATAGCTGTTTGAAGAGATTTGTAATATAGTTATAAATATTTGTAATATAGTTATAAACTGAGGAACACTATGATTCAATGGCCTGTATCATAGGCCATCAAGAAAGTTCAGTGATAACATCTAATAGATCTGTTCTTTATTATTAATCTAATCCATCATTTGCTGGAATGGCTGCAATTCCTGAATGAGGGATGCTTTTTCCTTGCATGAGTTTATAGTGCCTGAATACTAATACGTTCCCCCATCTCTCTATACAGTGGAAAGAGATTTAATACACAGCGCTGGAATGTAACACAACTGCTCTGAGCTTGAAAGGTACCTTGAGGTTTCCTCTTTTTCCGTAAACAAGATGTTACATATCTTTCCAGCTCCCGCAATGTGGACGCCTTTAATGTCTCAAAGTCAATTTCAATCTCATCAGGATTGGAGTTTTTCAGCGTGGGTTCTCTTGACTGGATGATATGGACAACCCGGCCTAGTTTTTCGCCAGGGAGTTTGTTAATGTCCAGACTCAACTGTCTCTTTTCTTCGTAAGACATTGGTTTACATTTCTCCTCCTCCTCAGACTCATAAGCAGGAGGTGGCTTGGTGTTCTTCAGAGTCACAGGCTCCTTCTTACTACTTAAAGAACAATTATTAATGCATTATTTTACAAAACAATGATTTTAGACAGACAGCAAAATGCTATTCTAAAGTGTGTTGTTGATTATGTTTGCAATTTGTTAGCATTGTCTACTACATTCTGAAATCTGGTATAGTCAAATGCCTAATAATCTAAGATGAAAGTCAATAACTTTACAGTTCAAATCTTACCTTAGTCATATAAGCCTTACTAGGTGGCCTTAGACAAGCCATCATCTCATACCCTCAACCCACTTGCAATTTGGAAACAATAATGACCAGAGTTCCAGAGTTAATGTAAGGATTACCAAGATAATATATATGAAAATCACTGAATACTAAGGGGGCTATATAAATGCAAAGTATTACTGTTTCAGCAAAATAACAGTACATATAAAATGACATATAGCAAAAGAAGAAGAAAATCACAGGGGAGCAACTCGTATTTGCAGAATGCAAATACAATTTTAGTTTGTTATGAAAGTGGGTAAGGGAGGAATAGCATAGATAATGATGTGCTATATATGCAATAGAGACTACACTCTTGAAGGTGCCACAGCACATTAAGGAGATGACTTAAACTTAGTATAGAAATTAGGTCATCACCTGATAGATATCCAGACTGGCATTTATGCCAGCTCCCTGCCTTGAGGTCCAGAATGTTCCTGGAGTGGGCTCTGTGCAGGTGCAAAACCCCATGAGTGGGACTGCACAGAGACCCAAAAGAACCACTCAGTGGGACAGAATTTGCTCCACGCCTATTTACTCTCTATACTTCCATCTGCTCCTCATAGCATTTGGCAGCTCAACATTATTATTATTTCTTTAAAAAGCTAACTGTTAATTATATTTAAACCTAAACTTTGTTTCTGGTTTTTTTAAAAAACGTAGTCCTATTCCACAGTGAACACACACATTTGACAAAACTCCAGGAGCCAGTTTAGAGAACTTTATGTCTTCACTCTAAAACGGAAAGGCATGCAATTCTCACTGAGTGATGATCTCTGCATCTTAAAATATAGGCCTTATATAAAACAAATATATCAATATAAATCATGGGTTGCATCCAATGTTTGTAATGCTCAGAATAGATCCACAGAAATAGGCCCATAGAAATTAATGGACATGACTAAATTAGGTAGATTAATTTCAATGTGTACTCAAGCACAACTTAGTTAGATACAGCCTCATAATTACAATTTCCCAACACAGCAGCCTGTTCAAGGACTGCTTGAAATGATTTTACTGATACTAAGGTTTTCTAACATGCAAAAAGTCCTCAATTGCTCCTCAAAATCTAGAGCGCAAACTGGAGACTGCTGAAGTAAGCCTTTGTATCAGGTAAAGGATCTGCTAAAACGAAATCCTGTACATACTTAGTTTTCCTAAAAGCCAAGAAAGCTCAAATAAATGGTAGTGCTGTATAACTAGAGTTTTACTTTCATAATACTATATGGTTGAAAATAATGTGAATTCAACTAGAGGTTTTAGATATTTGAAGTATTGGAAGTTTTGCCATAATCCTGACAACACACTTGTTCTTCAGTCCAAACAAATCAAATAAACTATAGATTTGAACACAGAAGGCTGACCTTGAGTTACTGTTACTGCCATTATTTTTCTTGACCTTCTTAGGTGGTGGATCCTTGGTTTTATTTTTTTTATTCTCTTCTACTTCTTCTTTCTTTTTGTGCTTCTCCTTTTTCTTTTCTTTCTTGTCTTTCTCCTTCTTCTTTGGTTTGTTCTGCTGTGGCTGGGACAGGGCAGCCAACTGCTCATGCACTGCTTTAAGCTAAGGAGTGGACATAAAGATCAATACAATTTTGTTCTGATCTCTTCATTTTAATCTCCCCTTGCAAAAAAAAAGGGGGGGGTGCTGATCCCTCTGCTTACTTTGGTGCCCATCTAACTGCTTTTTTTACGAAGAGTTTTGTGTGTAATGTTATCAAGATCACCCATTCTACATGAGCAATATTGTCTATTGAGCAGGAAAGGAAGAAACAAGGAAGTGTTTAACTCTAGTTGCTAAAGCAATTAAGACAGCCATGGAAGGTCAAGATTCTCCTTTGGCCCATGCTTCTTCTCTCCTCACATCATATCAACAGTGCAAAGAGTGTGACTCTCAGGCTTCAACAATTTCACTCACAAAGCAAAGTGTGGTGCTGTCCATAGTCAGCAACCAATCCTGCCTTTCAACTTTGAAGCTAGAAAGGTGGGCAGAGATTGTCCCAGCAGCTTTCTAGCTCCAAAGTTGGGAGGAAGACTCAGTCAAACAGGCCACTCAAAAATTATAGACCCAAAGTGATTCCAGTCTCTTTTCACACTAGAATTCAATAGTACATTCAAGAGGAATGTGTGAAAGTAAGCTCTGCCTGATTCTTTTAAGTAAAATTGTAAGTCCTGGGATAAAAAGCTCATGACAACTGGCTATAAAGAACATATGTTCACTTTTCTCCCTTCTCACCTGCTACAGATCTGAGAACTTTGGGTTCTCTTCCTCCTTTGAAGTCTCAAGTTGCAGGCTTGCAAAATAATGAACTCCAATGTGGGCCAGAAGACCAAGACTTTGCACATGGTTGGGTATACAGGGAACTGAACAGATCCTTACTCCAAACCTGAAAACTGCAGTTAAGTGGACCAAAGGTGATGCAGATTCAGAGGCATAAATAGACTACCTGTTCCTGGAGCTCTGCTAGCCGCTGAGCTCGTTCTTCTTCAGAATCATCAGATGAACTGTCACTATCAGAGGAGCTGTCACTGCTGCTATCACTGGATGAAGGTGGGGGCACTTTGGGTGGAGGCTGCACCACTACTGGAGAGGAAGCTGGAATCACAGGTTCTTCAGGCTCATCTGGCATTTTAGCAAAACGCATCTCGAATACATCCTGGAGAAATACAATAAGCAATATATACATTAATCCCCACTCGGCAACCACCTTTAGGATACTACTTCCCCCAAAGTGGAATCACCAGTGGTATCCCTTGTTCCAAATGCAGAGAGGCAGTCCAGTAGGATACCATGCTCAGTGGATACAAGCCAGAAGACTCAATAGAATCACATTCCTCCTCTTTCCCCACAAAGTTTGTCAACCAGGTTTTGAGCTTTTCTCAAAACTAGGCCTCATGTCCAAGACCCTACTGAAAAATAAATGGTGTACGCATATTTTACAGATATATTTTTTGCCTAGAGTAATGTATATATTTGGTGCTTATAATTGCATGTTTTATGTTAGTTTAATATTTCAGCATTTTCTTCTGATAATTAGATTTTGTTGAACTCTTAAAAAGTAACATTTTAATACAGAACTTAATTTTAAAGAAATATTTTCTTTACCTGCAGTTTCCGTGCCATAGCAACCACCTCATGATCAGGAGGATTATACTTGTAACAATTGGAAAACATCAATCTGACATCAGCTGCAAATTCCTGAGCATCTCTATAATCCCGGTTCTCCAGTTTCGACTGCAAATGTAAAAAAATAAAATTCTGCCATTAATATTTCAAATACAATATATGAAGAATATGGAACAATGAAACCAATATTTTGCACTTCTATCACGTGTCTGTCTGCGGGTATATGCACAAGGAAGCTACAGCAAGATTTATTACAGGCAATGGTTATACTTTAGAGATGTGTGCAGTAAACTACTGTTTACAATGCTCTGAAATTTCTCAGAACACTCAATGTTGTGGGGAGCAATCTATTATAGGACATGTGCACTAGCACAGTAGATCCTTGAAAGGTATTTGCCCATTCTGGAAAGAAGTCTAAAAAGCAATTCATAGAATGTTGGCATTCTTACTGCAGAAACATAGAAATCTTTTAAGTAATACGGTAAGTTTTTAAAATCCCATAGTTATATATCCTCACTGTCTTTGGAAAGCAGGTCAGATGCATTGAGTAGCACAGTGTAAGACTCAGGAGAACTGCCTCTTCCCAGCAGCCAGAAGGGGCAGCTATTGCAAGAAACAAATAGGGATAAGAAATAGAGTAAGATCTCATCTTTCCTCACCTACAGGAGTAGATTACTTGAATAGTACTTGCACCACAGCTGCATGTTAAGTTCTTTACTATGCTAATAAGATGGATGTTACCACTATAAGGGAAGGTCAATGAAAATCTGGGTTGGCCCTTCCATTAGTGATTAGGCAAACTGAGGCAACTGCAAATTACACCACCTGAAGCCCACTGCTTACCTCTCTTGGCTGGCCCTGCTGCTGCCTGTTCGCTGAAGCTCTCTCCTCCCTCCAGCAAAGACTAATGGGGGGGGAGTTCCATCTCTCAGAGCAAAACATTTTGGGCAGAGTAGCCCCGAAAGTACATGTGCTGCCATGGTTTGTGGTGGCAGCTAATAATGCCTAAGACTGGAGGGAGTTGCAGTAACTTTAAGCTCCCTGATTCCATTTTTAGTATCATTAAGCAGCACCACATGTGTTTTCATGGTCCCCCACCCCAATCTCAGATTCATTGTTCGGAGGTAGGGATCCCTCCAGGACCTTCCTAGAACTAGGCAGGGAGGAAGGAGGTAAGAGGTGGAAGCCTTGTTGGCGCCACAACATAATGTAATCACAAGTGAATGTCTGTACAGTGGTACCTCGGGTTAAGTACTTAATTTGTTCCGGAGGTCCGTTCTTAACCTGAAACTGTTCTTAACCTGAAGCACCACTTTAGCTAATGGGGCTTCCCACTGCTGGAGCACGATTTCTGTTCTCATCCTGAAGCAAAGTTCTTAACCCGAGGTACTATTTCTGGGTTAGCGGAGTCTGTAACCTGAAGCGTAGGTAACCTGAAGTGTATGTAACCTGAGGTACCACTGTATATCAGATCAATACATCCTGAAGTAGCAGCAAAACAAACAGACAGAAAGCCAATGGGGGCGGGAGAGGTGCTATAGCCAGCACAGCAATGAAGAGAATGGGCAACAGCAGCTTGGGTGATGCAATCTCTTGCACTAGCCCTGATACGAACGCAGCATATTTGACAAATAAAACTACACATGGCATCTTGGGGAAATTTGGTTCACAATGTCTCCGATATATGGGATAGCCACATTAATACAGCCAGCCAGTGCACTCTTGACCATGTTGGTGTGTCCCTACCACCCCCTGGAAGTCTAACTTATGAAGAAACTCTTTTGCATCAATCCATCCTCTTTTCCCTTTATTCCTCCACCTACCTATCCTTTCTGTCCAAAATTATTAACAAGATTCAATTAATTTATTCCCCCTCTCCACATCAAATCTGTCTTAATAATTACTTTTAAAAGCAGACCTGTAGCTCTGACAAGAAGCCTGGTTTACAAAAACAGAAAATGTTTACTTCTCTGTAGTTCATCCTCATTCCCCACTTCCACACAGCAAAGCCTTAGGCACAGACAAGGTGACCAACTAGGAACTCCATAGCCCTAAGCTGAACTTGACAAAGAAAAAGCCAGAAGAATTTCTTCCTGTATTAATTTCTATATAAGTAGCACAGCCAATGAAGGTCAGTGGAGTAACCAAAACGAACCCCCCCCCCCCCCCAATTCTTACGGATGAAATGACTGTCAAACTTAGTTGCTGCAGTGTTACCCTGATAGCATCAGAAAGAGAAACTGCAGATGAAATAGCTGAGCTTGGAAGCCAATAATGGTGCTACTGGTATTAAATAGGACCTTATGTATGGCTCCAGTCTGAGCAACTCTGCTAAGAACAAACTCCTGTGCATCACCTATATTATCCTTCAGAAACTGACTCTCTGGCTTTGACCATTTAATTCTGCTTCTGGCCCTCTAATGCTTAAAATCCAACCATCTACCTGTATTTCATCACATTACATGCCTATGGCTATTCAGACTTGTAGTTTCTGCTTTTGGACTTGACCCATACTTGCCTTGGTACGTACCCTTTGAGTATGTGACAATGTGGTATACCCATTAGATGGGGATGGTGACTACTTTACCATAGTTGTGCTATATCATAGAAAGCATGGCTTGAACCCTAAAAAGGAGCATTCTACATGGCAACATTTTGTCGCAAGTCTTATTATTATGTATTAATACTGAACATGTGTCATCAGAGTCCTATACAGCTTTTAATCCTATTCAGCCTTTCAACTCATTAGTGAGGCATCATCTCCTAATCATCTTTCTACTTTTCCCTTTTCTATTCCATCAAGAAAGTTGCCATTATTTTCTGCACTAACAGGTGTACAAAACCTATTTTGCTGATTTCTAACTACATAGCTTTCCCACTGTGCTACCCCATGACTTTATATATTAATTGACGGTGAACTCTGGAACACCTTCTGAGCATCTGTGCTCTCCCTGCCAAGAAAACTGTCCCCCAGCTCCACCCTGGTAGTACAATTGCTTGCACATTTGCTGCTGGTTCTGGAAAGTCCTATGGTAGCAGCATACTAGCTCTGAGCAAAGGCTACAAATAGGAGAAGTCCCTTCATGGTGGGACTGAAATTGATATGAAATTAATAACCTATTTGTGGTGAAGCTGAGAAGTCTGACTATAGGGAGAAGCTCTTTCACTGAAAGATGAAAACCGCCAATGGTTTCGTAATCACTTGCTAGTGTCACCTCCACAGTAAAGATAGTACTTTGGACTTGCTGAAGAGGAAGAAGAAAAGCTAGTCACTTTCACTGCTATTTTTTGCAGCCTCTGTAGATATCCCAAGGTTGATCAAGCTTTGTGCATCTAACTGCACCTAGATTTTTCACAGACCAGCATACATAGTTGTTTTTGCATCCAACGACCAAAATCAAACCCTCCCTTCTAGTGGAAATTAAGCTGAAAATACTGTAACTGGACAAAAGGGCCAAGAATACTTGTCTAAACCAGAGGAACTACAAAATCAGAAATCAAGCCTCCCTATCCACAAAGAATAATATAAACAGATGATACTCCCTCACATTCCAGATATTAATGGAATCAAACTCCTGTCAGTCTCAACCAGCAAAGCCAAGGGTTAGGGATGATGGGAGCTGGGAGTCTAGCAACATTTTAAAGTTACACAGTAAACAAGCACATGCTTGCACAAGCAAACACAGGTACAGTTCCTTCATAACTTACAAGGTGTATAGATGTGTGGGTATTGGCTTTCAGAGAAGACTACATGCACAGCTTAAAACTACACTTACTTTAATTGTGCTCAGATCCATGGGATGCTTAATGATATCACGGTAATCATGAAGCCCAAGTGCTTCCACATCCACAGGTTTGTAGAAGGGCCAGGCGTAGGCAGCATGCTTCTTAGCAAACATCTCTTTTATGATGCCACTACAATATTTTAATTGCTCTGACACTTTATTACTGCTACTCTTCTCTACTACATGCTGCTGAGAGTCTGGAACATCCTTCTTAGGCGGCTTCACTGGTCGGCTTTCTCTTCGTGGACCTGTCTTGGCAGCCTTGGGTTCTGTGGGCAGTGATGAGGACTCATGAACCGGGTCTATTGTTGTTGGAGTTGTAGTGTCTGCTTTCCTCTTCACGCCTTTTTTTGTCTGCAAAAGCAAGCAGACACTCTATGTAGCCTTCTGTTACTTGTATTGGCTAGATAGGATCAAGTGAAATCCTCACAACTGAGTAAATACTCCGCATAAGAAGGGGAAAACACCATCACAAACACTTCCCACAAAAATGGCATTGGAAAAGGTTCACTTTTCCCCATAAGATTTTAATAAAGCTTTTTATGATACAATAAGATAAAAGCTTAAGAAAAACGAAGAGAAAAGAACATGCAGAGTCGTCTCTCAAAGGTAGCTCTTAACCCTTGCCTCACTTTTGATTTCTAGAAAATATGTCTGCTTAACTATAGTTAGGCCAAGTATATAATTCAACGTAAGTATCAAGTTTACGGGAAAAAGAGAAACAGTTAAAAATCACATAAAAATCTTAATATCCAGTGTAGTGAAATATGGGGACCAGCAGTGTAGCTGTGTGCCATGAAGCCCCTGGTTCAAATCTTCGTCTTAGCCATAAATTCACTAGGTGGCCTTAAGCTATTATGTGAGGTGCGGGGAACATAAGGCCCTCCTGGCCTCTCTATCTGGACTGTGGGACTTTCCCAGGCCACGCCTCCTCACTGGACTTTGTGTGGAATGTCCTTGGACTATGCTTGCCTGGAAGGACAACATGTGTGTACGTGGAAGCTTTTGGCTGGAATGCAGCCCATTATACAGAGTTTAGAGTCATGTCTGTTGCTATGCCCACCTTTTCCTTGGCCCCATCTACCACCACCACCATATGGCCCCCAAAAGATTGCTCATGAGGAATGCAGCCCTTGGGCGGAACAAGATTCCCCACACTTGCACCGTAGTCTCTGCTTCTCATCTGTAATTAGGGGGTCGTAATACCTTGTTCAAACTTTTTAAACAGGGGGCCAGTTCACTGTCCCTCAGACACTGTTGGAGGCTGGACTATAGTTTGAAAAAAATATGAACGAATTCCTATACACACTGCACATATTTTATTTGTAGTGCACAAAAAAAACAGGAAAATCAAAGGAGGCAGGATTGTTACAGAACAGGTCTGTCCATGCACACCTCTTCCCACACAAACGCCCGGGAGGGGCAGCAAAAGGAGAAACCTGTGCGCTGATGGGTTTCGTCCACTGCCTCCGAGGAGCCTCCCCCATAGCACTCACAAGGCAGGGAGACACAGAGTCCAAGAGGAACGTGGGGAAGCGTTAATTGCACGTGACTCAAGGCTGGCCGCGCCTGCGAGTGGGAACTAAGGGAGCTGCAGCTGGGTCCAGGGCAGCGCGCCTCTTGCTTCCCGCCCCTAAGAGATTTCAGAGGGGCAAGAGGGGGAAAGGCACGCCAAGAAGAGCCTGTCTCTGGGGCGGGGAAGGAACAAGAACCCCTGCTGGAGCCCCTCTCTCTTGGGAAGGACTCGTCCTTTGCTGCCCAGCGGCACCCCACTTACTAGGCCCTCCAGCTGCGCCCGAAGTCGGAACTAGAAAAATTAAGACGGAGGCGGGTTCTGCAATGGCCGGGTGGGCCGGGTTTGGGACCCAGGCGAGCTGGATTTGACCATAGAGGACCCCTGACTTAGATAATGCATGTGAAACAATGCAAACACTCTAAAGTGCTACATTAAACAGACAGCTTATGCTGCCCACTTAAAATGAATGTTTTAATTTCCTCCCCAATAGTACTAAGTTTACATGATAAGAGTTTCTGAACTGATGACATGAAAACATCACATTTTGAGAATTGAATTCATTACAGGTTCATTTCACTTGAATGCTGTTTGGAATGGTGCTGTTCAAGATGAAAATTTTGAATACCCAGTTTTGAAACTGAGAAAAGCATAGTTGTCTAAAAATCACGTTACCTATATCTACCTTTACAAAACACTCACCACAATCCTATCCAAGTTTACTCAGAAGTAAGTCCTACTGTGCTCAATAGAGCTTATTCCCTAATAAGTACATTTAGAAATGTTGTAATTGTTATCTGTAGTAGGAAGATCTGGTTTTCACTTGCAAGCTCCATGTAAAAGAGAGGTGAAAAACAAGGGTCAAACCTCAGTACTGACCTGACCAATGATAGGAATCAAATATCTAAGAATCTGCACTGGAGAGGCTAAAACTGTATCACACTAAAGAGGGGCAATTTCCCATGCAACGACCACACCAATATAAAAACCTGTGCTAACCACTAACGTCTACATTTAGCCATCAAATACATCATCTAGTGGCTGTATTAATCGGACTTTACACCACTTTTGCTTTTCTCTCTGTTGCTTTTTGGTTCCTCATGGTACAAAACATGGCTTCCACCTGAGGGAGTACATATTGCACCTGGTTCATGGGTGTCGCATTACTTAGCTCAAGCTGACTTACCTGGGACAGTGAGACTGCACAGTTACACATTTCTCTCAAAGATTTTTAAAAGATGTTCTAGGAAGGTAGCAGAGGACATTTCAACCACTTTATTTCCAGGGAAAGCTCAAGACTCCTTCATGCTTTATACGGGAAACACACAATTTTAAGAATGTGCACACGTAGCAGAAATGCCCAGCCAATTGCAGCTTACTAGTTTGTGTAAAATGAGATTTGTGAAGTGACTCTCAGCATGGGTACATTATTGGGGGGAAGGGGGAATCAACTTTAAGAAAAAGATATATAATAATATAAGTTTTCTCTTTTACCAAGTCAGTACAATGATTCATCCAGCCCAGCACTGACAATTATTCATGCCTCCATTTAGGAACATAGGAGTCATACTATTGGACAATCTAGCCAAGAATTGTCCACATTGTCTGGCAGAGGCTCTCCGGGGTTTCTGTCAAGAGTCTTTTCCCAAGTAAAGTATGGATTAACCAGTGAAACACAATGGCAGAACATCCAATTGAAACATATGTTGGAAAGGCAGTTTGGCCCTGATGCAATAGCAGCATCGGAAACACCCACGCTACTACAAAATTTAATCTCTGCAACGAAAACAAAAACTCTATACTTGCACTATATAAAACCCTACTCAACAGGAAGAAATATGATTTAGAATATGATAAGACAAAAGTGGAGTGAAGAGTTAGGGGTACAGATAACAAATGATATATGGGAGTCAAGTATAAAATCAACAGAAATGGCCTCTATGGATCTAAGATTAAGACTTATTCAACAGAAAAGAATATTCAGAGTCCACTGGACTCCAGAAAAACTATACCAGAAGAAAATAACAAGTGCAGACAACTGCTGGAGATGTGGGAGTAAAAAGGCGAACTTAGTACATATGTTGATTAACTGCCTGATAAGATCATTTTGGTGTGAGGTGAGGATATTTATAGCAAGAGTAATAAAAAGAAATTGTTATTTAAAGGAACTGAATTTAATTCTAAATTATATTCTGGAAACATGGGAGATTTCAAGGGGTCAAAAAATAAATAAATGGATGTATCGTGCTATATTAGAAGCAAAAAACCTTATTTGATGAATTGGAAGAGCCGCAAAAAGGTTTCATATAGCACATGATTGATAATATGGACAGATTAGCTACATACAAACAAATTGCATGTCGACACAAAATAAGAATGGATAAATATGAAGAAATCTGGAACTAATATTTAAGCGATAAGGCGGATGGTGGTGGGAAGTAGGGGGAGGAGAGAGAGGTGGGAAAATATTGTTTTAAAAGGTGTAGTCATAGGTATATCACTGTATTCAAATCTGAATTGTCAAATTGTGTTATTATTGTTATTATGGTTTTTGTTGTATGTCACTTTTGCGGTTGATGTTTGTATTGAAAAAATGATTAAACAAATTAAATTTTTTAAAAAGAGTCTTTCCCAGCCCTACCTAGAGATACCAGGAACTGAACCTGGAACCTTCTGAATGCAAAGGATGGGCTCTATCACTGAGATTCAACCACTCCCATTGGTCTCATGCAGAATTCTTTCCCAACCCAAAGGAGACATACCAAGGATAGAACTTGGGTCTTCTACAAGCACAGCATATATTCTAATATAACCCTGCTCTCTAGCCTTCAGAAGTAGAAGATTACAGGCAAACAAAATTTAAATGGGGGGAAGTCCTAACTCTGCAAGAATGTAGTGAGAGAACCTTAAGCAGAAATATGCCCTGGATCAATATAGCTTTTGGCAAGCCATTTCACCTATTCATCTAAAACTGTCACTTGCCATAATGAAACAAAAGAGCAAAGCTGTAATTTACTCACCTTCATGGGCTGTGCAGCAGTTGGGATAATTGGTTGGTGTGTTTGAATGGGTTGGGGGACAGAAGCTGAAGGAGGGGGAGGGGGAGGAGGAGGCTGGGGAGGTGGTGGTGGTGGGAGCTGGGGAGGCACCAGCGTTGGTAATGGCGTCTGGACAATGTGGTCAGGGGTCACAGAAGGAAAGGAATGAGTTGTTTGCACCGGCTGAGGATTTGGCTGTGAAGCCTGCGTCTGTGGTGGGGATGATGCTTGAGTTGTATTCTGTACCGTTGATGCTCCAGCCTTGGATGTAACTGTTAGAAAAGGAAGCATAGTCATGTGATGTACCCAGCAAACCTCAACACATGCAAAAATGTAGTTCAAATAGCCCAACCCCCTGCAGGAGAAATCACTGCTATGCCATGAAAATGCTGGGGAGATGTAGGCAAATCAAGAGGCTGTGAAATTGAAAGCCTTGTTACCAGGCTCATTATCTTCAGCTGGCTGATAGCCTAGTTACCTGGTTCATTATCTTCAGCTGGCTGCGCAACAGGCTGACCATTCTCAGTGCTCCTTCCAGAACTGGTTTATTTTTTTTTTAATTTTTATTTAAGCTAGACCTGCTTGCTCAAGGACTTTGAGCAAGACTGGTTGAGTGTGGACAAAGCTGGAGGCTGCTGGAGGCCTTCTGCGGCTCCAGGAGAAACCAATGCTATGCCTTGCAGGCGCTGGAGGGAGGTGGGCAAATAGACTGGCTGTGTGACTGGGAGCCTCATTACCTGGCTCATTATCATCAGCTGAGCAACAGTGACTGCTGTAGCTATTTCTGGGACAGCCTTTGGGGTGCAGGGCATATTCCCCCCCCCCCAAAAAAAATAATGAATTTTTGCTTACCCGTGTTACTTTTTTTCCTTTCTTTATAGAGATTGATGTTTTGGGGCTAAACTGTACATGAAATTGGAGATACTGATTCCTACCTCTTCTTAAAGTGAGAGCCTTCTATTTGGATAGTTTTTGGTTTGTTGGGGGAGAGGCATGGGAAGTATTGTTACCCTGTACATTGGAAAACTAAAGAAAGTGATTTCTATACTCCACTTTCCCAGGCTGAGAGCCTATTAGCAGGGATAGATTCTGCCCCCCACCCCAAGACAAAGGGAGTGATTGATGTCGATGCTTTGTTTAAGAGATGTTTCTGCATTATTACTTGCTGACACTAGGTAATTCTCTCTCCCCGACATGGATACTAGAGGTACATGAAACACACACACACAAACTCAAGTTCCTTTCAAGTACAAGCTAATCCACCCTATTCAAATACATAAGTAATGACAGTGAGCACTGGCTAGTCCAAAAGAAAAAAAACCCCTGCAAACTGAATGGGCAGTCCACATATCAGTACCTGTTTCCTTCTTCCCCCGTCCTCTTCCTTTTGTCTGGACTATAACAATTTCAGTTTCTTCCTGTGTCATTTCAGATATTTTCTGCAGAAAAAGTTTTTCTAGAGCTTCTGCCATTAAAACAATATCATCCCCTGGCTGAACAAACAAAAAATGTAAGAGGTTACACACATTCATAACTCTAATAGCATGGAAATAACAGAATGACGTGGCAATAAATATGCCTAATTCGTATCAATGACACCTGGATGTGTTGGATGCCATGTTCTGGGGTTGTTTCCAAATTCTATTCAAAGCAAACCCACTGAAATTTATGGACCTAAGTTAATCATGTCTATAAATTTCAACAGGTCTATTCTGCCTAAGATGAAGACTGGACACAGCCCTTGATACGGATGTATTTATTGCAATGTGATCTTAAGACGTCGTGCAGAGCTTTTAGATTGCAATTTCCAAGCTGCACGCTTTCATTAAAAGCCCTGTGGCTTCGGGTTCCCTTTAACCACATCATATTCTACACTGTGTCTAATGTAGTCACTTCTGGGTTCTACCTGACTTTTTCCAAATCAAATTTGGCCATTCAAGTATTTGCCAGCATACAGCTCTCGCCCCCCAACTCACTGTATTTCATTATATAACTAAAGTAACATACACACTTATATCTGCTTTTGAAATGGATTCAATAATATTGTTTTGTTGTAGAGATTTATATCTTGTTTCTTTTTGCTGTTGTTTTAAAAAAATCTCAAGGCAGACAAGTTTATCAGAGTTAAACATTTGGAACCTGCTTGTTTTAAATCTCAATTCTGAAAACTGTTAAAAAGTGAAGAATTTTACCTTCTCTAAATAAAGAATATATTTTAAAAGAAATGTTGCTTCTAGGGCAGGTAGAAGAAGGAAAGTACTGTTGCATGAGAGAAAGTCTCATGCGATGTCACAGACACATAATTTGAAAGCCCAAATATATGAAGACAACATACCTTATTATAGATATAACAGTTTGTAAACATTGTATTGAAGTCCTGGATACATTCTTGAGCATTCCAGTAGTAGTTATTCTCCAAGCGTTTCCTTATTGTTCCCATATCCATAGGAGTTTTAATAATTTTATAATAATCCTGTGGCAACAGAGAAGATTAATTATTATAACTGAAAATTTTACCAGGCATACTGCATTCAAGCCTTTCAGGTAGAAAAGCTTATAAATTTTCTCTCTGTCCCAACTCTAATAATGAATATGTCAACATATTTAGTAACAATGTCTAGAAGATAAAATAATTTTAAACCTAGAAGCATTCAGAGTCTTATCAAAACAACTGACAGAGAGGGAAATCATTCAACCTTTTAATCCTTAGCTATTGCAATATCTATTTATAACTGCTTCTACACAGTCAGACACATTAGTGCTGTATTATTCACATCTTTTACACCCTTTGTAGCTAATGGCAACTTCAGATGCAACATCCATTGGGGGACTGGTGTGGGGACACATGGGTAAAAGAAACCCATTTTAAATCCTTATCCCTCCATAGCTACTTTTAACCAAAGGCAAGACATAGTCCTATCTAGTTGAACCCTCAGTTCCTCTGTGATACTGGGTTTAAAACAGACTTTTAATGTAAAGGAAAGACGCACACCTAATGGCCGATAGAGCCCAAATTTCATGACAATTAATATGGAAAACCATCAGCTGTCTGTTCAAACAAAGTAAGGTATCTGCACCCAGTAAACAATGTAAACCAGAACTTTTAAAACAACATTTCTAATGTTGGGAAGGATTCTGGGGCTGCAGTTCACAATTCCTGTCAATAGCTCTCTTTTCAGACCACCAGTTTAGTTAGCTAGTCTTCAACAACAACAGCACATACTGAAAGACAGGGATTTGCCTGAACTGCATATATAGCTTTAGTAGTCAGGGAATGAAGTAGCCCTGTAAGCATGCTCTGTAACATTTCCAATGGGCTCTGGTAGCCATTTAATTGTTCTTTCTTCGGCAACACAAATTTTCAACAATTTCATGGGCAGAAGCATCCCTGTAGCACCATGCAGTGCTGCACAGCACAGGAATGATGTGGATCAGGCCCATAAAATCAGGATGGGTACACTGGGCATCACAGTTCTTAAAATCAACCTAATATCCTGACTAGGAAGAATACAAGCTGACCACTGACCAAGCATGCAGAGAAATCTATTTAGGAGTGCTCCAACAAAGGAATGTTGTTTCAAACAGCTTGCAAGATTTCTTTCACACTGCCTGAGTAATACAGCTGAATAAAATGGTCCCTGAGTGGTGGGGAAGCAGCATATCAGTGTCTACATTACTATGGCCTGTTGGTTAGCTAGTAAGTAGACTTTGAGGTCTTATTTTCAGATTTTTCACAGAAGAACCCTTTGGATAACTAACAAGATAAATCATGGAGGCATGGCTAATGTAAGCCAAGTACTAACAAGGTATCAGAAAAACTAAATATGAAAATAAAACCTCCCATTTGCCAACCAAACCAATTATTTAGGTTTGATACGAGGAAAGCTAAGCATCAAGCAAATAAAAATACTCCCATACAATAATTATAAAATAACCTTACCATACAAATAAATGTTGCTGCCACAATTAACTAATTAATTGAAAAGAAATGCTGTGCTATCTGCTATATAGAGCCCAAAGTGATACAACTCCTACCCAGGGGAATTATGTCTACATTAGATACACAATACGGGGAGAGATGTTGGGAACCAGCAATGGCGACTGAAAATATGGATGGGCACACCAGATGATAGCCCTTCTTCAGCTTCCAGCTGTATCAAGCATCCTTCCTATGAAATTTAATTCATTGAACATAACATATGCTGCTTTCATGCTTGATTTTCTCCCCACCCACATGCCTACTCCTTACTCCACATTATCTAACTTATTTCCCTCACTTTACTGTAGGCCCATTTGATGCCCCTTTGTCCTATAATATTCAGTACTTTAGAATCTTAGCTGACCGCATGCTTTCTTTAGTCCTGTTCCCAGTCCCTTCAACACTTCTGAAGAAACTCTAATGTTTATGTTTATTTCCGTCCTCATGAAACTACATTTCTATTCCTCTCCTGTTGACCCCCTAGCCAATTCCGCTGCCACACACATTTTTTTCCACCTTTGGGTTGCTCCTCACCTCCCATCTTCCACAAGCATCCCACCCCTTGCCCTCTCACACCACTAAATGATAAGAGAATTAAAGGAGCAACAATGTATCTTAAGTCTATACTTACAGGGAGGTTTAGTTTGACAGCATCCACAGGCTGCTGGAAAGGCCATGAAAACTGATGTTTCCATAGTGTCTTGAGCACCACTTTGAGCAGATACTGCAGCTGGTTGGTCATACGCTTGGGTTTGTTAGGATTTGAGGTCTCTGGTGGAGGTGGGTTATTAGCTGCAGTATTGCCTTGTTGGGTTTGGCCCTGTGCCTGTGTTGTAGACATTTGTGTAGCTTCTAGTCCATCCCCCATTACTGGTAAATTTCTCAGTCTTGTCCCAGGGCCACTCTCCGCAGACATGCTATTGATCCCATTGCATTCTCCACTAGGCACTCTGTAAAGCAAATGCAACAATATTAAACATGGGTCAGGTAAGGTTAACTATACATTTGTGCACAAAACGTATTTTTGTGTGTGTGCTTCCATTTGCAGAGAGTAAAAGAATACACCCACACAAGTATGTAGCTAGGTTCACCCTCTTACTTTGTAAAATCCTACACTAGGCTAGCAACCGAACCATCAGAGTACCCTGAGCAAAGCAGGTGTGGAGTCTTCTAGTATAATCCATCTTTTCTCTTCACCAAATTTTACTAAACATTTTTCCTATGAACAAGATCCAACACTGTGCTAGCAGGTATGCCAGGACCTTCCTTTCTACTCCCCCAGCCCCAGAAACAGATTTTGGCAGCATACAAGGGGCTACAGAAAGAAGCAAAAGAAGGGGAAGTTATTTTACACAAGTTCACAGCATCAGCAGGATGCCATAGCTGAATGTTACTCAAAGTCTTTCACAAAAAATGCCTTTAAAGAATGTTTACCCCACTCCTCAAACGAAAAGACTTTCAGAGTAGCTTATATAAGATCAATAAAAAAAGGCAGTCTCTGCTCACAGGCATGCAATCTAAAAGAAATGACACGAAAGGAAAGCAATGAGGAGGGAAGAGGAAGGCAAGCATATTCAGGAAACAATTCTTAAAGGTACATAATAGTCCTCAATGACCAACTGGAATGGAAACAATTCAGGAACAGAGGGAGCCAAATTGAACTGGTCTCAGCTGAGTCGACTGAGTGGTCCTGCTTTCCATCTCTCCCTCTGCAGAAAATTTATGGAATAGCTGCCGGCAGAAGAAGTTGAGAAAAGGAGGAACCCAATGGAACTTGGTCTTTCAGTGGAGCCAATGGAGTGTGCCTGCTTCCCTTGCTTCTTACTGCTACTGCCATGTATAGCTGGTTTTGCATTTCTCATCAGCTAGGAGCAGGGTGAGCTTATGCACATCCTACTGATGTGCACGGTGCCTCGGAACGCAACCCCCAGGTAAATGGGGAGCTTCCTGTATTAATGCTCAGTAAAGGCCTAGGAGAAAAGGTAAGTTTTTAGGAACTGCCCCAAGCCAATAGTAGGCACTTGTCCTATTTCAGAGGAAAGGGTGCATGCCACAATTGAAAAGGTCCTCCTTATGATTGCCACAGGATAGTTGTGGTAAATTGATTTATATACCACATTTTCCACAAAATACATCTGTATTCAAAGCCGCACAGTTTTTAACAGTTGCAACTAGCAGTGAGCACAGCTTTTCCCTTCCCTCTTTCTGGACTGTTGTTTACTCATGGCAAAAATCTCAATTTTTCTCCCGTACAATGGAAACTTAGCTGTTGTTCATTAAAGTTAAACTGGCCATATTTGGAACATTGTATTCAGTTCTGGTTAACAAATCTCAAAAGGGTTAGAACTGGAAAAGATGAAGAAAAAGCAATAAAATGATTAGGAGGTTAGAACACCCTCACTTTCACGGAAAATCTAAAATGCTTCAGGCTTTTTGGGTGGCTACAGTGGACAGGTTTATAAAAGCTTTCACTATGTAAAATGATGTTTTTCCTCCTCTCAAAATCCAGAATACAGTCATAAGGTTAAACTGGCAGTAGATTCAAAATGGTTTGGTGTTTTTTTAAAGCACTTATTCACATGACATTTAATTTATAATTTTTTCTACCACACAAAATTATCAAACGTGGGTCCCCAGCTATTGTTAGACTACAACTCCCATTATCCCTATTGGTTCTGGTAGCTAGGGATTATGGGAGTTGTAGTCCAACAACAGCTGGGGGCCCAAGTTTGAGAAACACTGCATATGTCCTTAAATAGCAGTCATGGGAAACAAACAATAGCGGAGAGCTGTTGCCTTCATGTGCTGCTTTTGAGTTTCCACCAAAGAAATAAAGAAAAGGATGTTGCTGGCTGCTGTTGGAAACAGGAAGCTGGATCAGATAGATCCGTGGTCTGATTGAGCAGAATTCTCACACTACTCCCTTTTCCTTACCATACCTTCAACCAGCATGAACCAGTTGGAAAGTTCAGCAGCTATTACTGTCATATAAAAAAGTGGCATCAGTGGTGGAAAAGGTAACAGAAGTATCACTTCCTGCTCTTCCACCCTGTGAATAACTTCACCTGGTGGTGCAGTACACTTCAAGGGATGGTGTTTTTTAATTCTTCTTTTATAATGAAGGGTGGGTAAGAAATCGAATAACAAAATTAAATCAGTATCCCCAATTGCTTTTAGGGAAGAAGCAAAAACTGTTTTTGTTCAACAGGTTTCTGCAAGACATTGCTTTTAAGGATGTATAATTGCTGTCTGTTTTCTATTTTTGTTTTTTTATTTGTTACCTTATTATTGTTTTAACATTTGTAAAGCAACATGATTACATTTTAGTAAAGTGATGATAAAATATCAGAAATAATCTGATAACACTATTGCAATTCTTTTTCAAAAAGCAATAAAAAGGAAATTTTTGGCTTTCGGTCTTAAACAGAAAAATTCTTCAAACACTAACTCAAATTTTTAAAAATGCTACTTAATTCTTTTTTATGTTCTTTTAGGAAATGCCTTGAACAGCCCAGATCCCTTTTAAACAGTGCAATACACAAGGAGTGTCAGGAGAGGGTGCTAAAAGACTGGAACACATAAAGGAGCCCAAATTTCCAAATTCTCTTATCTCATATACACAAACTATAAAAGCTATGTGTATCATTTGTGCATTTGAATTATTATTTCTTAGACGGTTAATGCCATAACTGCCCTCCCATAAAGAACATGTAATTTCTAATAAATGACAACTGTGAATTGGTTATTAAAATTACTTGAAAGAAACTGAAGCAGCACCCTAAATGGATGTGTACTGATCAGTGAGATCCTGTCTGCCAAAGGAGACATTTGCAACAGGGAGGCACCAAGCCTTCTTGATCTCAAAACCATGGGTGGCTAACCTGTGGCTCTCCAAATGTCATTGGACTACAACTCCCATTATTCCTATCATGCCGGCTGGAGCTGAAGGGAATCGAAGGGCAACAAGTTAGCCACTCTCAGGAGCAGCAGCTACATTCAGACATCAAACTATGCTTCAGTGTGACAGGGCCAAGCATAGGTGAGTGTTAGGATCCACTGATGCCCCTTCCCTCTCCTCTGGTGTAGCTACAAGATAATAAACTTTTGCTTCCAAATTCAACAACCCAGAGTTTCACATTATGTCTGAGCTCTATAATATGATCAGCCATCTTCAAATAATGGGTTATGAAGTTTAACTATCCAGCTTCATTTATTAAATTTCCTCCCAAGGAGCCCATGGTGGTCTGTATCTCTGGTTTATCTATATAACACTATGCCAAGATTTTGTAAAATAAAGTAAATGCTAGGTAACTTCTCCTCCCGGCTTGAGACGATGAGGAAGTATATGAGTCCACGACTTTCGTCATACTGCTTCCTGCTCACGAACATAGTGCTAAATCATGGTTCAGCACTGCATGCGAACTGGGCCTTTGTCAGGTTTGACAATATGACAAGGGGTGGTTAATAAAAAGTAAAATGAAAGCTTTTGAATTCCTACTTGCAACCATGCCACATGGAAAGAGGAGGCAAGTGATTGAACCTAAAGTTTGTCTAAGCTCGTTCCTGACAGGCTAAACCATGGATTACTCTGACCTGTGAATGTAGCTACAGTATTGGTATAGTTTGCACATAGCTCCAGAGCATGGTTTAGTGCTACATGTGTAAACTGGAATGAGCTCAACCTCAGGCTTACACACTCCATCCTCCCATATGGCTAGGTGGTTTTGCTAGCATTTAGTTTTACTTTCTCATCGTGTTGTCTTACAACCAGGACTATGGTTTATCACAGACTTACCGTATTTTTCGCTCCACTGGACGCACCGGACCATAGGACGCACCAGATCATAGGAGGGGGAGAACAGGGGAAAAAAATTTTTTCTTGTTCTCCCCCTCTAAAACATCGTGCGTTCAAGGTACATTCACCAGAGCTTGTGGGGCTGGCGGTGGGGGGAAGCGCTGCTTTCCCCCACCGCCAGCCTCAAAGATCCCTGAAGCCTTTGGAGCGCAGCGCCCCGCTGCCCTGCAGAGGTTTGCGCGCAGCCGTCCCCAAGCTAGAGCAGCGAGACGGAGCGCTCCGCAGTGCTCCGTCTTCCTGTTCTGGCTTTGGGCTTAGCGGCGCAGCCTGCATTCGCTCTATAGGACGCACACACATTTCCCCTTAATTTTTGGAGGGGGAAATGTGCGTCCTATAGAACGAAAAATACGGTAGTTTCAAAACAAGCCCGAGGCTTCATTCCAGCTTGTGCACAAACCACTAAACCATTATTATCAGTACTGAGGCTCAACTCTACCTTTTGCAAGCTTTCTGCTTCCTTATGACTGCCTACATCAGGCTTGTGAAGCCAAGGTGTTTGTTCCTTGTTCTTTTACTTTGACACTTGGCCTGTGGCCACAATACAACACTGGGAGTTGAATCTACAGTGCAATTTTATGTTTGTTTACTCAGAAGCATGACTCACACCTAAACACAAAATATTGCATACCGTTTCTATTACTGCAATAGAAAATCTTTTTTTTTTTTTACCTAGTTTACAGACCCCCTGAAGCTCATTCATGAACCACAGGTTAAGAACCCCTGCCTTACAGAATTAACTACTTTTAGCAGAGACTGAATGAAATTCATACAAATTTGACAAACACTGCTATAAACTGTGAATTAATGCACTTCCACACTCTATTAGAATAGCAAAAGTAATGTAAAATGGCAGGCTCTAGATACAGAAGTAATTTACAAACAGGAGGTTCAAATTATATAACGTACAAGTATTATTAATGCATTATGGTTCTCAAAGCAGGAGACAGGCCTTCTGAGACAACAGTTTTAAGGATGGAAAGTTGTTCCCTAAAACAATGCACTGTGTGTGTTCAGTGGTTTAGCTATGACTGAAAGCTCCTTATTTTTTCATCATATTGCTTTCTTCTTGGAACTTTTAAATCTTTCTATGTGACAAGATCCTGCTTCCACCCTTTTATTTTGGTCTACTTAGCTCCATACCTGAAATGATGAGCAACTGTAGTATTTTATTTAACCTCAGTCAGCTTCAATCCATTTTAAATCAATGCACGTTATGTTTCCCCAACAGTTTTATTCACGGTGGAAAACAGGTACAAAAGAAAGAGATATTTGACACTATTGTTGTAGCATCTCTCCTTTGGTTTTGTATGTAATGATTCCAGCACAAACACACATAATCATTAACTGTGAACACACAGCAGCACCAGAGAATGCAGAAGTTGGCTATCACTGCTCCAGGTCAAGAAAGGAGAGTTGACTGAATAATTACTACATGTTACCCCTATCAAACTAATGTCCTAGCATGACTACACAGAACTAAGGTTCGGCTAGAAAAGTCAGAAGTGCAACATTTGCCTTGACTGAACAAAAAGCAAAAGGCAGAGGTCAACCTACAAGGTTCCTCAACAGAACCCTGTTTTCCTTAACTACCGGTATGCCTGGAGTAAGTGCATACAATTACCAAGCTGATTAATCCCCTATGTGCAGATTTCATGGCCAGCAAGAAAATCAATACTTCAGACTAACATGACATTCTTATTGTTACAAAAGGAGGGCTACCATGACATTTCCTGTTATATCCAAGTCGAGAGACTGTAGTTTAATCCTGATTTAATGATTTCAGATCTCGATTTGTAGTTTGAAATCAAACCATTGTCTCTTAAGCCTACATGATTATAAATACATCTCCTGCCCCCCAAAAGAAAATGGATTGGCAATCTCTTATAAACACACAGAAAGTAATGGTGATTACAACGGTCAAGTACTGAACGTCCTCACTTAGCACAAGCCACTTGGGTCCTCCAATGGGCTCCACATAGCACAGCAGTTAGGAACCTCCAGCCCACAGATAAGGTGCTGCAGGAATCTTAATGTGGTCTACAAGGCTGTCTCCTTGAAATAATGCCTATCTGCCCCACACCTGTGATTTCAGGTGTAGGGGCAGGTGAAAGCAAGGCTACAAAAGAACAACTGAGAGCCTTAAAGGTGGGCTCCTGATAGTTCCTCTGCAAGTGAGGATTGCTGTAAATGCTAATTTGGTGCTGACAGCAAGCCCCACTGGGATCAGCTGCTCTATTGAGTTCTCAATCAAAAACTTCATGGGGTTCAGCCCATAGGGGGCTTGCGATAAGAGCTGATAAGAGAAATACTTCATTTTCCCACATGGTTGGATTTCAACAGTTGAAACTAAATCACACAGGCAAAGGAAAACACTCCACCAGAAAATACAGTGATTTCAAGTGATTTACAAATGAGCAACCTATCCCACAGGCCAAAGTGGCATGCAGGCATTGGGGGAAGTCTGAACTTGTCCACTGGCCAGAGCCAGTTTTCCACCCCCGAGACAGGAGATAACCAGACTATAACCTGGACCTGTAAACACACCTTCCTTCTGAGTACTCAGGTGATAACTTTTAAATTGAGCATTGAATTAGTCATTAACATTGCAGTCATGTACATATACTTGTTTTTGCTTTTGCACTGTCTTGTGATTGGACCATTTTGCCATCTCATTTATCTCATGCACTGGCAAAGGGGTGGGATTATTAAACATCTGAAGCAAAAAAGGAAAAGGAAATCCAAGCAGAATGGGTAGAAGCTAGTTTGGACTCTTAGCCAAATAATGCTGATAGTAGGTGAGCTATGATTTGATCCAGCAAGGAACTTGCGTCCTTAGGCCAAGCTGCATACTGAATATCATTTAGAAGTGACTAAGTTGTGCCCCAACTGTGTGCACAATCGTGCTCTATAACTTAATACACATTGGTAGATCACAAGAACTCTAGTGCAAAACAGTAAGGCAATAGAATACTGAAGTTGGTCCACTCCTGGTCCCTTGAACAGTCAAATATTATCAATTAGATGCTAATAAACTTTTTAAAAACCTAATTGGTATGCTCTCTGCTGTGGGCTGGCTGACTTATATGCACAAAAGTGGGAACCACAAAATGCAAGCATGAAATTGTGGCAGTCACCTGTTATTTCCATGAGCAGCACAACATGCATTGTTTGCATACAGAACATAAAACCTTCACAAGCACACACAATGAAATTAGACATGGTGGCAATTCAAGGCCTATAACTCTGTAAGTTGTTCCTGTTCAGAGACCGCTACTGTTAAGCAAGAGGTCAGCTAGGGAAATTAGGTCCAATTGTTTAACTGGAAGCACAAAAGCAAAAAAGTTACAAGGCAGATAATGACGGTTCCTATGTAAATACATTGTAACAGGCCCTGATTCCTGCACTGTTGGGAAGTAAGGGGCCCTTACCACTGCAATTCTATCAAATGATCACACGATTCATTTTGAAATTCTTGACTTCATGGAATATTTGGTAATATTTGATTATGGTTAAATAAACACTGTAGTGACTAGTAAATTAACTAGCCTATCAACTCTAGTCTATGTATTTGTCATATAACTGGATACTATATTGCATATACAAATCTAAATCTGAATATATTTGAAGGCATTCCATTCAACCCTATCTGTTATTAAATGATAGGATCAATTAATCAAGGTCTATGGAATAATGTGTTAAGAGGGAAGAGAAATTTCTCTCTCACTGGAAGTGAGAGCAGTCTAATAAGAATAAATGGCAGTGGGTTCATAACATAAGACATGTTTGCACATAATAAGCACAGAGGTATTGGCTTCCCCTCATGGTTTGTTTAAAGAGAAATAAACCACAGGCTCTGGGTCGCATGAAATGCTAACTCAGTGCTGTGGTTTGCTTCTTCCTTCCTTGGCAAAAGTGAAGAGTGTGATTTGAGTAGCCTGCACCAGAACATAGCTTGTTCATGTTCAGCCAGTTTGTTTGTAACTAAGGGTTACCATAATGTGCCAACCAGGCTGCAGAGGTGTTTCTTCACGTAATAAATCTAGATATACACTGCAACAATGCATGGCAAAATTGTTGCCAACTTTCACGACTTTAAAAAAGGATTGGACAAAGTCACTGACTAGTAGGCACAGCATACAAAACGCTGGGAATATTGCTATTTAAACACTTTATGAGTATGTACTAGGTATTAGGGTCAATCTGAAGCAGGACCACCTGGGTGAATTTTACCCGTATGCTTTTCATATAATCAGTTATCCATATATCCATATATAACCATATATCTTTATGATGATTTTATATAATCCATGCTTGAATCATGAAGGCTTTTGCAGAGCTTAAAGCAAATTGCTTATATTTGAAAAATCCAAAAGGACCTCTGCCCCAGTTCTCTCCCCTTGTTGTTCTTATGTCCTCAATGTCTCGCCAACATAAGGGGGGAAGCAATAAATCTGATGTGCTGGCACTTTCCTCCTGTCCAGGCAGGGTCCTTAGCAGCTAAAACAGGAAAATGCTAACCACAAATGTCCCTGTATAGCAGATGTTGCGTAGGAGAGCTATCAACAGCGTAATGGCCGAATAAAGTTCCTTTCTCCTTTCCTACCATAAAGCAAAGGAAAGGTCGAACTGATGTACAGACTGAAGAAAGCAGAAGTTGGGAGGGAACTCTTTACATGATCAGGGGGCAAGGCTTGAATGCGCTCATTGGTTTTATTTTTGCTGCCGTGTCCGATTGTATTCGATTATGTCATGTATGTACTCAGGTATAAAGCCTCAGGGCGCTAGAGCTGGGGTGCCCACTCTCTGGAAACGATTCCACTGGGTCAATTATTGCTCAGCAATAAATATCACTTTCTTTTTCTCCATTGCTGCGTCTGTCAATTCTTGGACACAATTTGAGTGGGTCACAGGTACTTTACAAATCCTTGCAACAAATCAACAAGAAATGGCCATTGCCATGGGGTGACATCCAGCATCATGCAAGCAGATTCCCACTTGTGCAACAAGACTTCTGCTTCCTTTCCCCTCACCCCATACGTACAACCTGAATGCTAGATTGACCTTTAGCTTAATTCAATAAAACAAATCATCATTCCATAGAAATTAACGGATCTAAGTCAGCTATGTTCATTAATGTCAATGGACCTACTCTAAGTAAGACTAACTTTGGATACAACCCTATGTATGCTATTATAGTACTCCAACTAATTGGTTTCTAGTGTAATCCTTGATATCAAACTCCTCACATGTGGTTAAACAACGTCTAGCAGGTTACAGGGTAGCTGCGAAGTCTTGAATTGCCGGAATCCAGCAGAAAGAGATAAATAAGAATGTTCTACCCTTTCTGGTGCTTCTAGGCCAGTGCTTTTCTAATCTTGGATAACCTTCCTGGTTGTATTTATGTGCCAACTTAAGGACCCTTGAGGATCAGCCACAAAACCCATAGATACATGCCAAAATCATTAATACATGAAACACCTATCCAAAAATCTTCCCAAACCTGCCATCCTCCCATTAGCCTCAGGAAGCAGGTCCAAAACATCTAGAGGGGCATCTCTACACCATGTCCCAGTTATCAAAAAAACACTACACTAAGCAAAGGCTGTGTGGCATGAAAAACAGTTAAAACACAGTATTTGTAAATCAGAAATGGAAGAGGTGTTATAGTTTTAAAAACAGCTACCAACATGATCTCCTGAGATGTTATTGGACTCTAACACTGATCCAACCCAGCCAGCATGGCCAATGGTCAGGAATAACAAGGGTTATAGCCAAACATCTTGCCAGCAACACCTACCCTACGGTAAGTATTATCAGCTTTTATTTTTATTCCCTTAGTCATATACAGTATTCTGCAAAAAAATTCCTTGCTCAAGGATGTAACTAGCCTGGACCATGATGTGACACCACCACACAGTGTAGTTTTTAACCCCAAAAGAGGATGGCTTAATAACAATATTAAGCCAAACTGTGCAACAGTACATCATTGGTTCAAAAAAGTTTGTGAATAACTGATTACAACTACTATTATCAATTTGTTTCTGGATAACAATTATATATTGCTACAATGGGGACTGGATAGAAAGGGAACAGCAGAAAGAAGAATGGCTCCCTTTAGAAAAAGTTCTCAAAACTGTTCAAATGGTCATAAATTGCTGACAACTGTGATCTCTAACAATGCTATTTTGCTTCCTTAAAAAATGGGCAACGAGAGACCTAGAAGTCAGGTATGCCACCCTCATTACCTATTTTACAGTCTCTTGAATAAATAAAAAGGAACATTTAGAAGTAGAAATAAGATTGAGACTGGAACGTAGAAAGCTGTCTTATACGGATTCAGACCATTGGGTCCATCTAGCTCAGTACTGTCTATCTACATTGATTGGCAATGGATCACCAGGGTTTCAGACAGGAGTCTCTCCCAATCCTAACTAGAGATGCCAGGGATTGAAATTAACAATAAAGCAGATGTAGAAAGAGAGTCAACATAATCTGTTAATTTTCAGTACTTTTTTTAAAAAAAAGTTACCATAAATATTTTATAATACGCTTTTCTTTATTATATTTAAAATTAGTTACAAGTTTTATACTGAGAAGTCCACAAGGCAGCAATAAATTGAAGAGATGGTATAACCACAAAAACCCAAGATTGATAAAAATGGCTATATTCTAACATTTACTTAAAATTACTCAGTCACCTAAATACAGTGGTACCTCGCAAGACGAATGCCTCGCAAGACGAAAAACTCGCAAGACGAAAGAGTTTTTCGTTTTTTGAGTTGCTTCGCAAGACGCATTTCCCTATGGGCTTGCTTCGCAAGACGAAAACGTCTTGCAAGTTTGTTTCCTTTTTCTTAAAACCGTTAATACCCGTTAAAACCGTGCTTCGCAAGCCAAAAAAATCGCAAGCCAAAAAAACTCGCAGAATGAATTAATTTCGTCTTGCGAGGCACCACTGTAAAAGTCAAAATGTCATATTCTTTTCTTGTGCTCAAGTTAACACTGATGTTTCTCATCACTTGATTCTTCATAAAAGGTTTTTATTGTCTGAACACTTAACGCAAGTCAGCATAAAGGAAGATTCTGGAAACCTCATTAGGACTGATCATGCAACTGAACAAGAAACATCATATCAAACAGCAAGTTAAATATGTCTTACAATCCTAGCTCCAAATTTTAATGAGATGTTTCTGGTCCTTACGTTTTTCATGGGGGAAAAACCAAAATTGTGTAAAATTAAGCTTTTCAATGTGTTTTCAACTATGATTAGTGTATAGTGGCATGATAACAGAATGGATCAAGTACAGAATCCACCAAAATTCAAAATTAGCTGAACATATAGTACATGAAACATAAATAAAATGGTACATATTGAGTTTGTATATTTTAGCTAGAATTCCAGATGAGTTTACATAATTTTAAGGGGACAGAATTCCAAAACCCCTGTATAAAGTTTATTCAAGATTTACTATTTCTCTAAAGAAAATTAGCTATATGAAGCTTCAGTATTGAAGTCCTCCTGCAGCTAGCAGGTCTGTCTTCATTCTGGCCCTCCCTAACAATGTGAAGATCTCCTTGAAAATCTCAACACATAGAACAATTGAACATGGGTATCTTCTCCCATAAATGTCTACAATCTTAGCACCTCTCACTTTATACCACAAATTACCAACATCTGAAGTCTCAAACTAACTTTCGTGAGCAGTCATGAGCAACCTGACTTCACCATTAGGTTAGCACCATCTAGCAGTAAGGACTTCATCATTATGGAGCGCATGCATTTAGGTACAAGCCACAATAAATTTCTTTTTTGGAAATTTTGCATAATAACAAGGTTTTTATTTTCTGTAGAACTAAAACCTAGGGCAAACATTTTATCACATCTTGATTAAAATTTAATGTGGCCACCAGTTGGGGGGCACACCAGTTAATTATTTCTGCATTATAGTCCCCCAAAGTAATTTACCCACAGTTGTACAAAATGTGGCAAAAGGTAACTTGTGATACTTAAATTTCTGAACACTTGCACATTTTATCAAGATGTGATAAAGCACGTCCAGTTTGTTCTACATTTTATAAACCAAGCAAAAGCAGAATAAAATATAAGAAATAATACGCATTATTATATGTGAAAAATATGGAGTTGTCGACTAAGCATGCAGAGTTGGAGACCACCAATCCTGGTCCATTTGGCCATGCAGTGTTCTGTAGAAGAGAATTAATTTGGATGTAGTTGGGAAGTCATTCTCTTTGATATGCACAGATACAGCCAAAGTACAAATACTATTTACACCAAGCTATAATTGATTCCAATGCATATCACTAGTTCTATGAAGTTAGATGGATTATATGTAAGAGAGAAAGATTTTTATCTTCATAGTAAAATGTATCAATAATTTTTGATGTATTTTTATTAAAGATTTATTGGTTTACAAAAGTATGTGCAATGTCTCTTTTTTCAAGTTACAGATATTAGTGTTACATCAGAAAGAAAAGGGGGGAAAGAGATGGAGGGGGAGAATGGTGAGTGGGGGTGGGGTCAGGTGGCAATGTTTCTATTTTACTTAATGTATGTGTGGGGTTTTGTGTCAGCGTCGCTTGTGCAGGTTCTCTTTGCTATTCGCTTGTGTTCCTCTGGTGCTGAGAGGTTAGGGGTTGGCCTAGGGTGTAACTGTTCATTCGTGATTGGCTGTGGTGAACTTTGTTTTCATGTGTGAGTGGGGTAGGTGGATGTTTTGGATCAGGTTAGCCATATTGATTTGTATGCTGTTGGTGGATTCTTGTCGTCGTCTTGTTGGGCTATGTATATGATAAAGGGGAGCCACACTGGGGTGACGGCGTCTTCTTCTATTTGTCCCCGTGTCAGTTTCAGTGTATTGGTTAATTTTTCTAGTAAGGCTGTTTTCCATACCATTTGTTACCATTGGTCCATGCTTACTCTTGACAGGTCTCTCCAGTGTCTGGTTATGATGTTTCTGGTTGCTGAGAGTAGGTGGGTTATGAGTTAAATGTATCAATAATTTAAGGCAGACTAGGGAGCCTCAGGTTACATCCAACTGTCCCATTTCTGCAGGTTGAAAGCCTTGTTTGTGTGACTTCCTCGCCCTCTCTTCTCTACACACCCTTCCAAATCTGCTTCAGAGGTTTTGGGAAAACTCCAGAGCAGATCTGTGGATGCCGCAGGGGAAGAAGTCCCACTGCACAGGTGGAAGTACTTGGGCCAATGGCATAACTTCTTTGGATACAGGCTTTAGGGCCAAATGAGGCCTTCCAGGCCGCTCTATTCGCTCCACAGGATTCTCTCTAGGCCATAGTCCTTTTCAGGCTACACCCCTCGCTGGCTGTGCTCTGTACCCTCTTGAATACTTTTGCTTAGTTTGCTTAGTAGAAAGTGTCCTGGACTTATGATAATGACTCTAGGTTGCCTGAGTTTTTGTGTGGCTGAAATGTAAAAGCAAGCCTAATAGACAAAAATCAGCAGAGATTCAGGGTTACTATAATACAGGAGTGGTCAGCTCCCAAGAGACTGCGATCTACTCACAGAGTTTAAAAACTGGGAGTGATCTACCCCATTTTTAGGGGTTCAGGTCAAACATTTTGAGCTTTTTTAAGGACAGAAAGCCCTGTTTTGGGGGGGTTCAGGTCTAAGTTGTTGAGCTTTTCTTAGGGGAGCCAAAGGTGTTGAGCTTCTTTCGGGGGAGCCAGTGATCTACCAGTGATCGACCACAGACGTCCAGTGATCTACCGGTTGGACGTGCCTGCTATAATACATTAAGATTATAAGTCAAGCCAGGGGGAGACAAGAATGGAATGAGTCAACAACTTGGAAGATGCAGAAAATATTTCAGCTGGGATGAGGAGGAGTGAAGACTCAAAGTAATAATGAGGGAGAAAATGGAGCACCTCCAGGAAGACTGACTAAACAGGAATACAGATATCACAATGAAGTGTTCAGATAATGTGGAATCAAAATAAGAGAACTACAGAACAAAATGAACTATGAGGCAGTTAACATCCAAGATGAAAGCAGGAATTTGGAATTTTTTCTGTGCACATTCTAAGTTGTTCCAGTTCATTAAATAGCTTGCATGATACTGATCAAATAACTTAAGGAACAGCAAGATGCTTACATCTTAACTACATTCACTAACTAGGCACATACTGCAGATGTTCGACAGTACACCAGTTGACCAAACTGGGGCCACGGTTTGGAGGATCCAGGGCAAGCTACCCTCAGTGGTTCCCTCTCAATGATGCCCACCCCCTGCACCTGCTAATTGGAGGACAGGTGCATGCCTGCCCCAGGTGGTGCATCAAACAAGTACCAGGGTAACATGGCACACATTAACTTGCCCATGCCATAATGTTGATTACATTGGGGCAGTGCTAGGGAGGACAGGTGCATGGACCAGGAGCTTCACTCATCAATACCAATGGGCTGCACCTCCATTCCCTTCTAGCCATCACCATGCTAATTACAGTGGCCCTAACATACACGTGTTGGGAATGGCACTAGCATAATGAACAAGGTGGTGGTGAGTAAAGATGCACTACATAGGGTCAGCCATCCCCCCAGGTTGAGCCACATCTGCTATGGTGGTAGCAGTGAGCCCTGTTAGGGTTCCATCATTCACTCAAGTGTGCCATGTACTGGTGCTGAGTTAGTGACCAAAATATATTCAAGGCTAGCTTAACCGGAAGCACTCTTTGGCACTTTCCTCAAAAGACGTCTACCTAATTAGGAACACAGGCACAGCCAGATGTGTCAATAAAAAATAACGAGCATTCCTGCCTACACAAACTCATGCTAGTTGTTTGTAGCATAAAACAGGGGGAGGAGGAAGAACCAACATTTGTAATGTTTCCAAGCCTGGTAGCCCAAATAAAATTCTTACACACCACAGGTGACTAGATGAGTGGCTACTCTGATAAAGGGCCTTTCTTACTGGGGTTATACAGTGGAATAGTGCTCAGCCTGTAAAAAGGTAAAATTATCATTAAAATTATTTTATTGTAAAAGATGAGGCAAGTGAGAGAAGGGGGGAGTTATATTACTTGCTGCCTGTAATGTGAGGCCGTTACACTGTAAGTGACAGTGACACTTGAACAGTCATTGTTACACTGCTGCAGTTCCTGCATTAGCTAGAGGAAAAACACTGTCCTAGTGACAATGCAGTCATTGGTAGGGAAGCTAGATTTCTGCATAAAAGAAGGCCTAGTAGAAAAGAGGTATTAATGCCCTGCAACAAGATTAATTCTTTTTTTTATTATTATTAAAAAAAAACCTGTAACTCAACTGCAAGTAAAACATAGCGCAGCATCCAGCTATTGTGTCCCGCCACTGCAAGGATTTCTGTTTGGCCAATGGAACCTCCTCCCTCTCTTTCCCTCATGTGTGCCCTTAGTCTTTCCTAGGAGTTTTCCTTAACTCCTAGGAGTTGTGGAGGCGAGATGGGGGGAAATCTGCTGTGCAAGCAGGAATGCTTGTTCTGATGGAACACGCTAATTGGATACCACTGGTGGTTGTTTAACCACCTGGGTGAATTTATGTTTCCTAATATTTAGCTGTTGCTGTTGGAAGCTATGCAAATATATTCATGTTTTGTATGAAGCTTTTAAATGCTTGCAGGTGGTAGTTTGGGAGTACTTGTTGATCTGGCACTCCTGTTTGTTGTGCAGGTGGTGGCTGTAAGGTGTGTTTTTTTCCAGCATTAGCTGGCACGTCAACTACATTACATCTCTTCCTGACAAGAAGAACCTACTCTGTGGAATGTCTTGCCAAAATGGGATCTCCCAGGCCCATTCATTATATCGCTTTAAGTGGTTGGTGAAGACCTCGCTCTTTCAAAAGGCCTTTGGGGTTAATTATGTAATTTTTGCTGGTTTAGAGTTCTATGCTATCATCTTCCCAGTTAGAATTTGTTCTGTTGGATATTAACATTAGTTAGAGCATTTATGAGGCCATTTTTGTTTAAGTGTTTTTTGTTTGTTTGTTTGTTTTTGGTAGAGATGTCCCAGGATGTTTCCAGGATTGGCTCGTTTCCACTCAGCTTGCTAAATTCCAGAAACCCTAGAATCTCACACAACAAAACAACATTTTACTGTAAATAATCAGTACAAGATGACTCACTCAGCTGTCATTGTACTAGTACCAAATCTAAAATTATTTTTAACTCTTTCAAACTATCAGTCATCCAATGGCATTAACATACAAGAGCCTCGCCTCACAAGATAACCCAGGGTGGACACGCAAAAGCAGAACACCATATACAAAAACACATTAAGTAACATATATACAAACACATTACCTTGAGGCAGAGTTTATCCTTGTCTGATTTCTCTCCTGTCTTCACTCTCTAATCTCCATTTTTTACACTTAACCACGAAGTGTAAATCTGCACAAAGAATAAAATATTAGATTAATATAAAATTAAAAAAAATCAAGAAACAAAAATACAGTTTAACATTTCAAGTTCAACTTATGAAATTGTGAGGCATCTTTAAACTCAAATCCAGCCATGTAATTTCCAGGTTTTTCACTATCTTGAAAAGGGATGTTATGAAGGTGAGAACTGCCTTACTATGGCAGCCCAAAAGTGTTCTGGTTCCATCAATGGTCAGTGAAATGACTTTAGTAAAGCTTATAAGCAGGGTATGAACATATTCACAATATCTCAATTTTTGCCCCCAGATTTAAGAGTTAGAGCTGTTTTGGTAGGCAGCTGTAGATGGATGTAACCTCTGTGCAGGACAATCCTATGTTGACCATTGTGGTTATTTGTGTTGACATAGAAGTTACACTTACCACCATTTGATACATTAAACACGACTACCAAGGGTAAAGGCTTAAAAAATGGATTTACTCCTCCAATACCAAACAGATCACAGCTGGAGAAAATATAGCAAAGAGGAAATCATTAGTCTTTTTTCTCCCACGTTTCTACTAGACAGCAGAAAGGGAGGCCTGAACTTTTATGTTGAAGCTTTAGTCTATTCACCTTCTCCACACTGTGCATGATTTTATACACGTCTTACTCATCTTTTCTCTAAACTAAAAAGCCCCAGATGTTATAACCTTTGCTCATAGGGGAGTTTCTCCATCCACTTGATATTTCTGGCTGCCTTTCCCCCCCTTTCATAACACTAGAACTTGATGCCATCCTATGAAGTTGACTGTTGGAACACACAGAAGAACTTCTTCACATATTAGAACTATGGAATTGCTCCCACAAGATTTAGTGATGGCCACCAACGTGGCTTTAAAAGAGCATTAGCCAAAGTAATGGAGAATAAGACTAACAATAGCAACCACCCACAACAGCTCTGTTTTACTTCCCCTCTTGGAGGAACTGTGCCTTTGAATACCAATTGCTAGGAATCACAAATTGAGATAATGCTATTGCACTCAGGTCCTGCTTGTTGGTACCTGACCTTTAAAGCCCTAAAGGGCTTCAAGCCAGTATACCTGAAAGAGAGCCTCCACCCCTATCTTTCAGCCTGAGGTCCACTTTGGAGGGTCTTCTGGCAGTTCCCCCACTGCGAGAAGTGAAGATACAGGGAACCAGGCAGAGGGCCTTCTTAGTAGTGGCGCCCTCGCTGTGGAACACCCTCCAACCAGATGTCAAGGAGATGGAGATAAAGAACTATACAAGTTTTAGAAGCCATCTGAAGTTCCTGTATTGGGACTTTTTAATGTTTGATATTTCATTATTATTTTTCTTTTGCTAGAAGCCACCCAGAATGGCTGGAGAAACCCAGTCAGATTGGCGGCGTATAAGTATTAACAACAACAACAACAACGCCTTCCCAGAGGCACCTGGTTGGCTATGGTGAAAACAGAATGCTGTACAAGATGGACCTTTGGCCTGATGCAGCAGGGTATTTCTTATGTTCCTAAAATCATAAAACCATAGAATTGTAGAGCTGGAAGTGAACATGAGATTCATCTAGTCCAACCTCCTGCAATACAGGGATCTTTTGCCCAATGTGGGCTTGAACCTATGACTCTTAAGATTAAGAAACTCGTGCTCTACTGACTGACCTATCCTAGAGTCTGTTAGGTGATAATACTATTCTGCCTTGAAAACACATGATTTGGGTGATCATGGTTGTATTAAACAGCACCATTAACGGCTTTCAACAGAGCTGTGAAACATGGCAATGAATGACACCTTTAGAAGTATACCACATGCCCTGGGATAAAAGTTATTCAACTGCCAATAGTGAATGACTTCTATTTAAGGAGGAAACCAAACATCATATCACAATGATCTAGTAAACTCTTTCATCAACACCTTTTAAAATATTTTTTACCCACAATTGTGTCTCCACGCATCTGAACCGGTTACAAACTTTCCTTGAGTCAACCATTTATTGGCAATGATCCTGATGAAGTTAGTTATCTCACTGATTTTATCCGCTAAGTGTCACTCAGGGAAACAAGGGAACCAATTACTACACCACCTCATGTAAACACTTCACAAGTCTGAAAACAAAGTCTACTCGTCCCACTCCCCCACCACCTTCTATTAATCACCATGGTTTGGGCTGGTCCTGCAAATGACGATTGCAAACTGGGATCTGATCCTGGTCTGCAGGGCAAATGTAGGCCATGTTTTGTTACTGTATTTTTCGTTCTATAAGACGCACTTTTCCCCCTCCAAAAATTAAGGGGAAATGTTTGTGCATCCTATAGAGCGAATGCAGGCTGCGCCGCTAAGCCCAAAGCCAGAACAGGGAGACGGAGCAGTGCGGAGCGCTCCATCTCGCTGTTCTAGCTTGGGGATGGCTGCGCGCACAGCCTCTCCAGGGCAGCGGGGTGCCTTCACCCCGCTGTCCTGCAGAAGCTAGCAAGGCTGTTCCCAGGCCAGAACAGCGAGACGGAGGGCTCCGTCTCGCTGTTCCAGCTTGGGGATGGCTGCGCGCACAGCCTCTCCAGGGCAGCGGGCGCTGCGCTCCAAAGTCTTCAGGGATCTTTGAGGCTGGCGGTGGGGGAAAGCAGCGCTCCCCCCCCCCACCAGCCCCACAAGCCTGGGTGAATGTACCTTGAACACACCTTAGAGGGGGAGAACAAGATAATTTTTCCCCCCCTGTTCTCCCCTTCCTATGGTCCGGTGCGTCCTATGGTCCGGTGCGTCCAATGGAGCGAAAAATACGGTAGTTCCTTGTAACAATGAACTGATTTTCTACAAATCAGGAAGAAATTCAGTAAGTGGGCTGTGCTGAGAAAGAGAACTCATCCCTTTAACAGCTAGCCACAGCTCGGCATATGTAAACTGACCTTCTGTGTTTGATTTACTATTTTACATGTTTCATAAACGACAGCACAGCAAACTACCATTTTGCTCATGACCAAGGCATGCACGACCACCAACACACGTGCCGTTTTCAGCCCTGGAAGGAGGCAGAACAGGCTTATGCATGCAATGACGGAGAACACAACCCCCACACAAACAGGGGGTTGCCTGTATTTTTAAATTTTCTTTCAAATTCTGAATGTTCAGTGCCACAAAAGTTGTAACCCATTCAAAAGGATGCACAGATATTAAATTTAAACAGATCAGAAAAACCTCAAGTATTTAAAAGTTTTAGCCATAGAAAAACATTCTGTATTTCCTCTGAAACTCCCGTCCGTTATGCAAATAAATTGTAAAATGTTAACTATAGTTCAGCCTTTCACTTAGGAACAATCTTTAAGGTTCAAATACACCAAGTATATCTACCAATGGAAAAAGTTTAAAAGAATTCACAGATAAATCCAAGTCAGTCTTACAGTGATTCCAGAGAGAAGATAAAGAAGTGCAGGGTTACTGAATTGTGTTGCTCTATTTGAAAGACACTTATTTCCAAGATTTGTATCTCACCATAGAAGTTGCATATTTTAAAAGTAATTTCTTGGCATCCAATGTTTCAAGTTTTCAACAGCTTGCCAAATAATAGGTCATATTACTCAAAAGAAGTTAGTGGAATTTTAAAGATGTAGTAGACAAATTCGATTTCTTGCAAATTAATATTTGCACTGCTTATCAGTCCAAGCTTTCTGGCAGAATGAATGTTGTTCTACTTGTTTTCCTTGCCAGTACTATTGCTGCACGTTTCATCATCTCTTCAATGTCAATCGTTTCAGTACAATGCTGCACATTAAGGGGACAACTAAGAAACCCAAAGCTGTACTGTTTTACAAAAGATAGGGAATACTAAGGGTTTTTAAAAAGCCTGTATGGACTTACAGAAACAGAGGGCAAGCTCCATCCCTGCATGGGTGAAATATCCACATGCTATAACAGAGCTTTCTGCCTGCCCACAATTCCATGCACAATGGAAGAGAGGTGCTAAGCATTACAGTCAATGAGATGTCTCTGTGTGTGCCTCCTATCTCCTGTCCACTCCTTCACTCCTCTACTTGAATTCCCTAAGAGTGGCACACAAAGACTCCTGCTTGTACACATTAAAAAGGAAGGTTGTAAAGCAGAATTCTGTTAAGCCCTTCAGAGATACCTCCACTGTGATTGTGTGAGAAAGAATACACACTATTTATTAAAGTATGACTTGACTCAAAACCCCAGGCTGTCCCCCCATTTTACAGGAACATATCATCAACATTTACTCCAATGCAAAACTCACCTATGGATATTAATGACAAATGAGCTTACTGGAAGCAAGAATTAGGTTACAAATTGGGTAGTATTTACTCAAATCTAATGCTCACTTTTTTGGCCAAATTACGTTCCAAAAATTAAGGTGCGCATTAAATTCAATAGCACATTAGACTTGAGTAAATACGGTATGAAATCAACTCAAAGAAATTTTAATCTATAAATATTCACATTTTTAATCAACCAATATGCATAAACCTGAAAATGCCCCAAACCAAGAGTTCTAAGGAAAAAAATCTAGGGTGGTAACCTACTAAGCTATTGTGCAAACAGAACAACTTCTGCTCCCATGAGGAACTTTCCCTCCCATAAGCCCGCACCCTCAAAATGTGCTCTCAGTGCTCTGGAGGTTTTCCAACCCTGAAGAGCACATCTGGAAACAACTGGGGGGGTGGAAGTTCCATCATACAATGAGAAGAATCCTTACTTGATTCACCCATTCATTTCTATTCATTAATAACAGGGGCCAGTTATATGCATCTACACCCCAAATAATGAACCCAGTAGCCTTACTTGAACATTAGAACATAAGAAGAGCCTGCTGAATCAGGTCAACTACCCATCTAGTCCAGCTTCCTGTGGCCAAACAAAAGGCCTGTGGGAAACCCGCAATGACAAATGGAGCACAAGAATCATAGAATCTTAAGAGATGTAAAGGATCCAAGGGTAATCTAGTCCAACACCCTGGAATGCAGGAATCTCAGCTAAAGCATCCATGACAGATGGCCATCCAACCTCTGCTTAAAAACCTCCAAGGAAGGAGAGTCTGTTCCACTGCCAAGCAGCTCTTCCTGTCAGAACACTCATGCCTCCTGTGGTTTCTAACATGGAGTGTGGAGTAACACAGAAGGAGCAATACATGCCCTGTTGCTCCCCCACCACATGAATTCTCGCATATTCACACACACAATACATATCTTACTCTAACACACACCCCACATACTTGAGCAACCCCACAACATACAGAAACACTCATATGCTGAGCAAACAGAGAAGTCCTCATTGCTCCTTCTCTCCTCAGACAGGTTTTTCCCCCCAAGGCCTCTCCACAAAGCTGACAAACTGCCTGGATACCAACTCCACATAGCTCACGAGCAACAAATGGCCAGCTGAATGGGCCTAAAAAGGCCAAGCAGCCAGATTTTCTGTCTGGGTGGACAAGCCCAGATTATAATAGGATCATTCACCACTTATAACAGATCCATTAGAACAAACTCGGCTGATGTCCATCTCAGGTTGTTTTAAATTTCGCACATAAGCTGAATAGATTTCCACTCCTACAACCAGACTTCACCTTTCTTCTCTCCCCTCCCCCCCCCCGCAACGGTCTTGCACGCTCAAAATCTACCCAGGAAGAGATCTGGGGGAGAGGCAGGGGCAAGGAAAGAAAGAATGACAGAATCATTGAACTGTAGAGTTTGAAGGGATCCAGAGGATCCTCTAGTTCAACCCCCTGCAATGCAGGAATCTTAACTAAAGCATCCATGACAGATGGCCATCCAATCTCCGCTTAAAAACCTACAAGGAAGGAGAGTCCACCACCTTCCAAGGTAGACCATTCCACTGCCAAACAGCTCTTACTGTCAGAAAGTTCCTTCTGATGTTGAGTTCGAATCTGCTTTCTTGTAACTTGAAGCCAATGGTTTCGGCCCTACCCTACGTAGCAGAAGAAAACAAGCTGGCTCCATCTTCCATGTGACAGATATTTGATGGCCATATCTCCTCTCAGTCTCCTCTTATCCAGGCTCAACATACCCAACACCATCAACCATTCCTCATAAAGTTTTGTTTCCAGACCCTAGGTCATCTTGGTTGCCTTCCTCTGCACACATTTCAGCTAATCAATATCCTCCTTAAATTGTGGTGCCCAGAACTGGACACAGTACTCCAGGTGTGGTCTAACCAAGGCTTAATACAGTCGTACCTTGCGTAGTTCGAGGACATTTTGGCTCCCAAATGCCGCAAACCCAGAAGTGACTGTTCCTGTTTGCGAACTATTTTTGGAAGCTGCACATCCGACGGGGCTTCTGCAGCTTCCGATCGGCTACAGGAGTTTCCTGCAGCCAATCAGAAGCTGTGCTTTGATTTCCAAACATTTTGGAAGTCGAACAGACTTCCGGAACGGATTCCATTGGACTTCCAAGGTACAACTGTACAGTGGGACTATGACATCCCTTGATTTGGACACTTTACTTCTGTTGATGTTGAAAGATTATGTCCCCACTGTGTTAATGGAATTCTATTTGTGCAACACTGGATTCCGCATCATCACCACCTCCTCATTGGTATACAAGCATGCTCTGTGGTGTGCTCTGTCAGATTTAGTTTGACCTTTCCACCACTTACACTCAAGTCCTCCATCTGTTTGATGTTCTTCAACTTCACAAAAATCTAAAAAATCTCCAAAACAGTCACAGGGTGGATGCAACCCATCAACTGCTTCACTCAGTTTCCTACTGACCTATTCCACCTAGCCACAAAATAAAAGCAGCAGACAGCTTTGTGCACTCTTCATTAATGAACAGTTGGTCAATCCACAGATGCATGGAGATGCTCTTTGTGGCGTGAATGTAAAATTGCAGATGAAGTTACAGATAATAATGTTCTATCTTGTTAGGAAGAAGAAATAATCACCTCAGGCAGTATCTAAAGAAGTAGTGAGAGTCCATGACCTGTTAACAGAAACTGAAACCTCCCCATTTCATGTTTTTCGAAGTGAGACAATTAAAGGCAAATATGTAAGAAAAATAATTGGCCTGCAAGTATTTTAGTTTTAGCTAGGGGACTGTTATGCCAAATTACCGTACACACAACCAAAATGTATGGTTATTGAACATTTGCTATTATCTAATACTGTATACTAGTGAATTCCCCCAACAGAGAGGTACCAATGACAGACAGCTATGTTGTTGTTGCTATGATTATTATTTATTATTTTTATTCTAGTTTTAGCTATAAAGAGAATTCAAACAGATGAGATGTTTTTTATTTTAATCCAAGTGCTAAATTAATGAGTACTTTGAAATTTCCCCAATTGTTTAACCATGGGATTGAGTACTTCCTTCCTTCTGACATGCATTTCACATGCCAAGTTAAACCATTGTTAGGGCCATCCAAAGATAGCACTTAACAAGTTCCAAAATGTTGTTTCAGATCATGGCTTAAGTGGGATCCTATGTTAGCTCTAACTGTAATTAGCATGGCTGCCAATGTAACGGGTAACTATGATTAAGCCTGGGAGTGGAGTGAGAATAAATACTCCAGAATCAGGGGGCAGAAAGACCATTCCATTTGACTGCATGGTTAAGTAAGTAATAAGCAGTGATAAGTCTGAACTGGCCCTTCCTCGCAATGTATTATGTTGTATGTTAGCTACTTCCACAAAGGAAATCATAGCACAGTTTCAGACAAACTGGCCATTCAAAAGTCAAACTCCAATACTTTCCACCAAATAGGGCCATGTGGCTTGAGCTTCTGAAAACAGATAGTCTCACACTCTCACTCTTCAAGAAGCAATTATCTGTAGCAGAAGTGGAGGAAATGTTTGCAACAAAAATGAATAGATTGCATCACTAATTACACAATGAAAATCCAACATTATGCTTACAGGTATGGTATCACAAACAGCTAAAGATAGTGTTAATATTGTCATCTTAACACTTCATTTCCCTATAGTTCTAAAACAAGTATAGAATGCTGTGTATGTACTAACAATGCTATTGGTGTGATAGCAGGGTGGGACTCAACTTCACAGCTGGCTGGTGGAAACTAACACTTGTGTACAAGATTAAGCAATACTTTTTAGACCCATTGCCAAAAGGTAACTGAAGTATGTATTAAAGCACTAATCAGATACACAATATGCTACTAAAACACACAATTTATTAACTTGCTCACGTAACAAGATTAAATTTTGACCAGTTACCCCATTCAAAACAAAAAATATTCAGCAGCTTGACATTATTCCTTATAATTCTGAAATGGAAATATGCATGTGGACAAAGAGGGTGCCCAATCAAGCTCTGGAAGAAGGTAAAAGCGGGCTACTGCCAGAGTTAGAAATTCAGATATATAAGCTAGGCACCAAATGGCACCTTAAATCTAGCTTACAGTTGCCACAATGGTCTATTCACTAGAGGATTGAACTAGATGACCCTTGGGGTCCCTTCCAGTGTTAGAAACTCAGATATATAACCTATTTGCCAAACAGCACCTTAAACCTGGGCTGTAGTCGCCACAATGGAATGTCTAGGTGCTGTACCCCTCAATGGGATGGTGATTTTAATTAATTCCTTTTCTATACTGCTTTGTATTTTGAAGAACAAATCTCAAAGTGGTTTACAATGTATTAAAACATCAAATAAAACAATCTGGAATAAAACTAACTCAACCTTCAAGGAAAATATTTCTACTACTAATGTATTATTTTTACCCCGCTCATCTGGCTGGGTTTCCCCTGCCACTCTGGGCGGCTTCTAACAAAAAATTAAAAATACATTAAAACATCAGTCATTAAAAACTTCCCTAAACAGGGCTGCCTTCAGATGTCTTCTAAGTATCATATAGTTGTTTACTGTACTTCTTTGACATCTGATGGGAGGGCGTTCCACCGGGCAGGTGCCACTAACGAGAAGGCCCTCTACCTGGTACCCTGTAACTTTGCTTCTCGCAGTGAGGGAACTGCCAGAAGGCCCTTGGCGCTGGACCTCAGTGTCTGGGTTGAACAATGGGAGTGGAGAAGATCCTTCAGCTATACTGGGCCGAGGCCATTTAGGGCTTTAAAGGTCAGCACCAACACTCTGAATTGTGCTCGGAAATGTACTGGAGTCAATGTAGGTCCTTCTCTAAGTGACATTTTGCTTTCCCCATTCGCCAACCTGGCGTCCAAAGATCTCCATATGGTCGCAACTGGACTCACACCAGTTGCAAAACGCACCTGCCTAATTTCGAACACTGGACTCCCTTACCAGCACTACAATTCTACGATTCTATGATGTCAATTACACTGCTTGCCTCTTACAACAATTCACTGGTATGCATGAATGAGAAAAACACACAGTGGAAATGGTATTAACTATGGACTAAGGCACAGGTTTTTAAACCATGGTCTGTGAGAACCATTTGGGTGGCCTGTGGAAAGGCTGAAGCACAGTGAAATATACCTATAGCTGTGATGATGGAGGATCCCAGCAAGGGGTCCATGATTCGTGCAGCAGCATAGAAGCACAAGACATGCCCAGCCCTGCAGAGCTGCCTAGATATAAGCCACTAATCCAAATTTCACTCTCACATCAAACCAGCATGCTTTATATTGGGAACTGATACCAATATGCTTAACAACTATTCAAGAATGAATATGGACATGGAAATAAACAAACAGCACGGATACTGGCTGGAAAAAGCTACTGAGCGATAGTGCAGAACTCTGAGAAGCATGGACATGTTTGTTCTCTATACTTCTTGGCAAGCAGCAACAAAAACTCTGCTCATTATACAAGGATTCATTTATCTCAAAGCAAAAATTATGCAACAGTCTGTAACTATTTGATGAGCATTTCATTAACATGGCCACAGGAATGGATTACACCTGAACAGAAGGAAAGCAAAGGACGTAGGTTTCTGAGGTAAGTCTGCAGCTGAAGAGGCAAATAAGGACAGGTAGCACAAAACCATTTATAAACAGGGGGAAACAATGGTAGTTGCCAGCCTACCCTGCTACAATCCCAGACACATTCAGTAGATGACTTGATAATATGAGTATAAAACCAGATTCAGTTGCCTGCAAGGAAGACAAGCATTGTTTTTATTTATATTTCACAATTCTCAAGTCTTTCCAAGTCATGCTTCAGTTCTCTGTAAAGCCATGCTGCATTCCAACACATTTCTTTGCTTTCGGGACATAGCGTCTCCATCAGAAAAGGACCTTGCACTCTGATTTCACAGTGAAAGAAAGGACTTGGACAGAAGGCATCAGAAATACTTTGCACCCCGATTTTAAAATATATTGGCAAACACAGGTTTTAAAATAACTAGGCCCCATAACTTAAGATTCTAGCCCCCGTTTTACCTCCATGAGGCAGTATGCTTCCAAATACCAGTTGCTAGAAACCATGGGAAGGGAGAGTGTTCTTGTGCTCAAATCTTGCTTGTGGGCTACAGGCATCTGATATGATTACTGTGAGAACAGGATGCTGGATGGGCCACTGGCCTAATCCAGCAGGGTCTTATGATGTTCCTACTATTTATTTTATGCTTTTAAACTAGTGTTAGAAATGAGCCAGGTGAGTTTTGCGACTTGCGTTGTGTCCAACTGCAACCATGTGGAGATCTCTGGATGCCAGATGGGCGAATGGGGAAAGGAAAATGTCACTTAGAGAAGGATCTGAAATATTTTCCTTGAAGCTTGAATCTGTTTTATTCTGGATTGTTTTATTTTATATTTTAATGTGTTGTAAACTGTTTTGAGATTTGTTCTTTAAAATATGAAGCAGTATTGAAATGAAAAATATTAATAATAAAAAATCCCACCAGAAAAAGAAAGGCACGTAAACATTCCGCTGTGGCGACCGTAACCTAGGTTTAAGGTGCATTTAGCAATTAATTTATATATCTGAGTTTCTAATATTGATTTTGACTGCTCTCTCAATGGCACTTGTTATTATTATGATGTTTCATTTCTATGCCATTTTATATTTTAAAGAAAAAAATCTCAAAGAGGTTTACAACACACTGAAACATGGGCTCCTTGGAGAAAAAGGTGGGATATATAAGCAATAAATAAGCGCTTCTGCTTAGGAAAGCTGGAGAGGCCAGCCAGATGGAGATGTCAGTCACCAACTTGGCATCCAAAGATCTCCATGTGGTCGCAATTGGACCCGCACCAGAAGCAAAATGTACCTGGCGCCTGGCTAGTTTCTAACACAACTTCTCTGCCAGTGACAGAAGCAGCAAGAAGGGCAGAAAAGTAGTGCTGGCAGCAGCAGGTATGGAGACAACAGTATAGCAAGGCAATACTTCTCAATAAGCTGAATAGTGGAAACCATATTAATGGGAAAGTATTTACCTTCTACTTTAATAAACTATACTATAACACATTCACAAAGTGAAATATATAAGTACAGTAAGAACCACTTTTTCCAAGACTATATCTGAATGAACTTCTACCTAATAGATTTAAAACAGATTTAATTACTCTTGCCATATAGAGACAAAATTGAAAGCAATCTCCTTAAAACTAACTTATTTTGAAATAAATTATACTGATTTTGGTCGCATTCCTCTGATTCTATGCCAAGGCTTCCTGCACGGAGATCAAAGATAAGCAATTCCTATAAACTAAATACAGATTAGGTACCCCCGCCCGTATGGGCCAGTCGTGTCCGACTCTAGGGTTGTGCGCCCATCTCACTTAAGAGGCCGAGGGCCAGCGCTGTCTGGAGACACTTCCGGGTCACGTGGCCAGCATGACGAAGCTGCTCTGGCGAGCCAGCACCAGCGCAGCACACAGAAACGCCGTTTACCTTCCCGCTATAAAGCGGTACCTATTTATCTACTTGCACTTAGGGGTGCTTTCGAACTGCTAGGTGGGCAGGAGCTAGGACCGAAATACGGGAGCTCACCCCGCCACGGGGATTCGAACCGCCGGCCATGCGATCGGCAAGCTCTAGGTGCTGAGGTTTTACCCACAGCGCCACCCGTGTCCCATAAATACAGATTAAGAAAGCACAAATACTAACTCTTTTGGAGTCGAACTGATCATTTATCTCATTGTACAGACGACAAAGCAGATGACAACTGAAGAGGTATACTGGGTCTCATCAGCAGTGTTAGAAACTCAGGTATATAAGCTCATTAAACCAAAGTTTCAATTTCAGTCACCAAAATGAAATGTCTAGGTGCCATTTTTGGCCAAGGCGGCTCTGAAGTCTTTTATTTTTGTCTTTTTCAAATGATGGATTGACTGTGATTATCTGTTAAACATCTGGCTAGTTCAGATGACAACCTTACACTAGGTTAAGAACTTTGAGAACTCACTTTATCCAGAGACAGTCCACATATACGGTAAAGGTACCCCTGACCATTAGGTCCAGTTGCGGATGACTCTGGGGTTGCATGCTCATCTCTAGGCATTTGTCTGCAGACCGCTTCCGGGTCATGTGGGCAGCATGACTAAGCCGCTTCTGGCGAGCCAGAGCAGTGCATGGAAACGCCGTTTACCTTCCTGCCGGAGCAGTACCTATTTATCTACTTGCACTTTGACATGCTTTCGAACTGCTAGGTTGGCAGGAGCTGGGACCGAGCGATGGGAGCTCACACCGTCGCGGGGATTTGAACCGCCGACCTTCTGATTGGCAAGCCCTAGGCTCTGTGGTTTAGACCACAACGTCACCCACGTCCCTTAGATATATGGACTGATACATATTTTTCTTAATGTTGACAGACCAGGGCAGTGGGGGGACAATCTACAACAATTAAGTGTAACATTGTTCACAGCTCCTGCCCAGGCTGCACAGAAAAAGCACTTTGGTTCCATAAATTCATTCTGATTGTGCAGATATAAGTGATAGAATTCTACAGGGTGGGGTATTAGTGTGTGAAAACAGTCAGGATCCACTGATCCCTAGGCATGTACCTCCACATGATGGAGATGTCAGAAACCATCCTGGCACTTGGCTAATTTCAAACACTGCTCACCAGCTGCACTTTATATACTACAACAACCCACCAACCTTACAATTTTGGTGGCAGTTCTTAGTGATATGACAGACTCTGTGCAGGGACCGTTTAAGAAAAATTATGGGCAGATGCTTGAAAGTATGGGAAAAGCTACTTTTGAGATAGTTTTAAGATAGAAATGGAGCCATTCATTGACCCTGAACTCATCAAGGTAATGGAAATATTGGTTATATACTTACAACACTGGAGCAGCTGATGAACAATGTAAGTCCAAACAATTAAGGGATAGAGTTCCTCTAAATCCCAGGATCTCAAAAACGAGCAAGAAAGTGCCTCAGAGAGGCATAGTGTCCAGCTAAGCTTCCCTTAGTACTACTACTTTGGGCAATACTGGCACTTTTCTCATTCATGTGGCCTTCATTTTACTTCTGAGCCAATACTGTCACGGGGTGAGACTGAAGAAAGTGGTCAAGTAGCTTGGCTGGGTTCTACATGTGTGGTTAACAGTTGCTACAGGAGAAACTCTGGCAGGGAAAATAAACTGGCAGGGCTGAAACCCACCGCAACTCCTACAACTCTCAATTATAGTGCTTGGTAACTGGGATAGTCTAACTACTAAGCTTCGCCCCACAATTCCTGGAACAACTTACTGATCAAACCTTTGTGTCCTGGCAAGATCATCTGAATGACTGCTCAGCCAGTCTCTCCCACTTTCCTTTCCCACTTCTCCTGATCTTATACTTCTGCTGACTACTACCTAGACTGAGGTTGCTTCCTGATGCATTCCTCGTTCTCATTTCCACCTCTCCTTTTCCTTCCTAGAAATGTATAATGTCCAGAACAATTAAAGTTATTTGACTCCTTTAGCAAAATAAAATAAAAATGTATCCTTTAGCATATAAAAGTGTGCTGTTCAGTATACTGAAGAAAATTACTAGGCAAACATGATTACCCAGAATTAGGACCGCCATTTGATTACGGCTTGCTTCCAGGTAAGTACAACACAGGATTGGAGCATCAAAAAGATAAATAGCACGAGTTTTATAGCAGTGTATGACCTGGTTTGTGTTTCAGTTAATGCTGGTGCATGATGCTCAAAATTCCTATTTTGCTCCTCCCCACACTAGGACCAACAAACCACAAATCTTGGCCTATTGTGTTGTCTAATCCAGGGCTTGTGGTTTGCACAAAGTACAAGTGATAGCAGAGTTTGTTCCTAGCTTACTGTTCATGGTGTGTTTTGGGGAAACGAACTAAGAGCACAGGTTTAGACAACACGTGAAGCAAAAGCTTGTTTTTATTGCTCCCACAGTCATGATCAGGAACATGAGAGCAAACAGTCTCCACTACCATGCTACTAGTGACATCAAACCACTTTGTTAGCAGCACCAAAGTGATCTCCACAGGGCAGTGTGTATGGAGATCCTGGGCTGGGCTGCCCAGAAGTCAAGACCTCCCCCCCAATTGCACCCTTGCTGATGTGGTCCACAGGAAAGCAGAGCAAAAGCTTAGCTGGAGGAGTTGACAGAGGAGGCATACAAAGCACCATCCAACTGCCTGGATTTGGGTAGGATCTACTCTTTAGGCTTTTTTCCTCCCGCAAAGCAGCAGAGCTTTATGATCAGAGTTTTCCTTCTCTGAGACAGGCTACCTTCCCAGGTTGACAAGCCCCACCTGCCCCTCACTGCCCTCTACAGCAGGTGCAGAAACTGCATTCTTGACCACTGTACCCACTACTGATTTTGTCCATTCAATTCACATGTAGGGAAAGTCCCTAATTCACCTAAGGGTTGAGACTCATCAGCTACCCTCACCAGGTTTAGCCAGCCAATCAAAGCAATTCCTGGGAAGCAGCTGCCGCCGCATGCTGACAGCTTCTAGGAGCCACTGGTGAAAACTGAGTGCAGGGTGAAGACCAAAGGTAGACAAACTACCCCAGAAGGAGGACAACATGTCTCCCACCAGAGGTATTACTCCTCCCCCAACATCCCCTATACCCCCATACATTAAACCACAGTTAAACATTTACTAAGGTTTAACATTAGGTGTGAACACACCTTTCTGGTCTGAAGCAGGCATAGGCAAACTCTGGCCCTCCAGATGTTTGGGACTACAATTCCCATCATCTCTAGCCAACAGGACCAGTGGTCAGGGATGATGGGAATTGTAGTCCCAATTTATCTGGAGGGCCGGAGTTTGCCTATGCCTGGTCTGAAGTGAGAAGTGAAAAGGACAGTCATAAGGCAGAGGCCATGTCAAAAAGACAGCTGCTGCAGGGTACTTGCTTCTACTTATCTCCACACTATTTCAAAGGTTACAAGAAGAAAGCAGCATTTCACAAGCAAAGACGACCATTTGTAGTACATGAAGGTGTTGCATACTCTATACAGAATTGTGTCTTGACAATACAAATTGTCTTAAAACACATTTCACTCATTTCTTTAAAAACCTGATAATTTTGGGAACAACTTAAAAAAAAAAAAACTTCAAACAAGAGAACTGGGTGGAAATGCCTTATGTGGGAATGTACCATGCGTAGTTCTCATGATCATACCAGACTGGGACATTGCTATTTAATCATAAGGTAAGAATTGGAATGGCCCAGGTGCTTTGATGGATACTTAAATATTTAAACCACTGAAGATTCAAGAAAATCCTCCTTTCCCAGCCATTTATTTATTTATTTTCCCAGCACCCACGCAAAGCTGCAATCGTATAAGTAAATCACATGTAAGTTGTGGGTCTAGTACATAGAGTTTGACAAACTCAAATACATGAAGTCAAAAATCCATATTCCTAAGACCACCACTAAGTTCCACGTAAAGATATACAACTGGTAGGAACTAAAGATGGATTTACACTCTTAAGTAACCATACGTTCTGCCAGAACAGTACTACAGTAGACCACCTGTTCTGAAGACTCCTACAGTTATGGCTGCATGTGCCGTCAGAGGGGTATGAGTAAGGGTCTCCTTCAAACCAACAAGATTTAAGAGGGCTACACAAAAAACAGCAGAGTTCAATTTATCAGATTATTGTGTGAACTGAATACAAACTACAGCATTATTATGTTACGTTTGTATACTGCCCTTCATCCAAAGATCCCAGGCCAGTTGACAAAAGAAAAATGCAAAATGACAACAAATTCCATAACAAATCGGCATGTCAAAAGGATGCACTTTAGACACACTTCCACATGCCAGCAAATTCCTAGAATGCTGCTAATGCAGACTGAACTACATCCCTACCTGCATATAAGAACTCAAACGTGCTTCAACTGTATCACTGCCTCACTACCAGCCTTTTGCACTAAACTAAAGATAGCCAACGTGATGCGCTCCGTATATTGCTGAACTACAATTCCCATTGCTGACCATTAGACATTTTTATTTTGGCTAATATAACCAAGCGAAACCTCAAATAAATAAAGGAAATAAAAACTAAATGATTTAACCTGGGGAGATGGGAAATACAAGAAATTGTAGATTTGAATTACACTGTACACTGGCAAGCATACCTTTACATCGGTGTTAAAAACTGAGATATGAAAGCTAGGAACTAATAGGCTCCTTAAACCGAGGTTATGGGCGCAACAACGGAATGTCTGGGTGTGCTTTTTTATAACAAGAATACAATACAAATGAATGAACTTCAGCTAAAATATTAAGTTCATTTTTCACACAGTCTAGTCCTCCCCCTGCCCACCCCCCTAATATTAAGAGGGTCTCTTCTCCAGTCTTCAAAGAGTAGCAGGAAGTGGGGAGGCAGAAAAAGATCCTCCTTTCCTTCCACTCTGTAATTTTAATTTGAAATCTCAGGTGCAGTACTGCCCCCAGAGCTCAGAAACTGCTTGCACTAATGAAATTCCATCACAAAATGTGCCTAGAACAATGGGAATTTCAAACACTGTTTCACCTATATCATGTCTACTTTGTGCATTATATTTTTCCTATATAGACATGCTGACAAAACACGTACACTTTTGACTTTCACAAGTCACGGCTTTATGCATTCTTGAAAATATACAAAAATTATAAGTGTTTATGAAGCAAAATGGGCAGTTTTTATACAAGAAAATGTATGAAGCAGCTTTTGCCTGATGCACAATAATATCAAAGGCAATACAACCTTTGATTAGCTGGAATTCTGTAGCTGTACAATTGACCATCTTGTGTAGGCAAAGCCATAGTGAAATTTCATGTACTGTGAAAGAAACTGTGACCATAAGAAATGTTCTACTGTGATGCTAGTTTAAGCTGTTCCTCATGCATAGCTGCATGCTCCATGGAGTTCAGATGCAATTTTAAAGTCTAACAACCATAAACAAAAATGGCTAGTGGCCAATCCAAACACTCCATTTTTTTTTTCCCATGGAAGCAGGTAATTTCCTTCCACATCATTATTACATGGTCCTGGGGCAGCAGGTTCACTTTCAGCAACCACTGGTATAATGAAAGGAATAAAATTTTCCTCTGAAAGCAAACAAACTTATTTGACTGTCCCACAGATAATAATTCACCCCACAACTATTATAATCTGCTGCAGGTGAGAGAAGGGATAAAGAAGAATCAGGAAGAACTACACAAGAGCCAGGAGGTCATAATACAGTGATAACTGCTTCAAGAACATATCTGAGCCCAGCCTCCATATAGTTGGGACTATTGCAGCTGTTGGGACCAGAGGGATATTAATTAAATTGTGATAAACTGTTCTTGTTCAGTTCCAACTTTACTAAAGCACTGGCAAATGCATTCTCAGGAAAAAAATCCTCTGCAAGAAACCAAGAGGGGAAATTACCATCATTACAGAGTAATAAAAACAACAACTGCAGGTCAGGTTAGTGTGAGACTCTGCCTATGTAATAGGTTGCATGCTATATCCACACTGATTTACTGGACAGCACAATTCTAAGCTTGTTTATTCAGAAGTTCCACTGAATTCAATGTGGTTTACTCCCAAGTACCTTGAGTTTGGACTGCAGCCTTCACCTTGAAATGCGCAATTTAGCATTTTCAGACTTAGTCCCTATTTCACTACTGCAACTGTATAACTTAAGGTGAATAATCACTTTGCCCCCAAAGAAGCCTACTAGCAACGTTGATCAATTTTTTAGGGAAATTATTATAAACTTTATTAGCTTAAATTAAAATTGCAATAAGACAAGCATTCAGCTAAAAGAAAGCAAGGATGACCGCTGATTTTATCATAACACGCACTATGTATATGAACACTTACAAAAAGCATCCAACATTATGTAAGGACCCATCTATACAAAAACCATTATCACCACACACAATCACTAAATATCCACTTATGTTACTACTAAGTGGCCACTCTCTGCGGACTAAATAAATTTTTTTAGCTTTGCAGTTGTTCTAACAAACGGTAGTCTGTTCTAATCATGATCCACTTCTACCTAGTGAAGCTTTCCAGACCTGCTAAGAATGCAGCCCTCAAACCCCACCCCACTAAAGGCTCCTCATATTAAGTGCAGGGTTTCTACTGGACCACCCGTCAGATATCTGCGTTATAATCCAAATCTACCGTTAGATCCCACTGAACTACATGGCACCGCTTTAAGGCTTTTGTTGATTTGTTGACTGCGGGGGCAAAGGTTGGGAAGGGAGAAAGAGCCATTACGTGTGGTCCTCACAGAGGCACAAACAGCGCGCAGCCGTTTGTACGTACTTAAATCGGGCAGTTAAGGAATCGGCCCCCGGCAACGCTCCGAGTCGGGTCGCAAGCGAAAGATCCGCTGCTGCCTCTGCACACCGTTGCCAACTGCGGCCTTGTTAGGCGGGACGCCGCTTGCCGCGCATCCTCCGGGCCTCTCGCTATCAGGCTACACAACAGGAAGCCAATAAACGTGCCGGTCCCGAGCCAGGAGACCAGCCGGCACAGCCCCCCCCGCAACTCGCAGGGGGCCAAGGCACGGCCAGACCCGCTCACGGGGGGAGCCAGGTGGGGGCGGCGCCGGGCAGGAGTAGCGGTCGAGCCAGGCCTACAGGAACCGCAACCTTTGGCAGGCAGGGCACGGAGCGGAGAGGCGGAGCCGCCTGCCTCGCGCGCGCCCTGCTCCGAGGAGCCGGTCAGACCGGCGCCCTCTCGCAGCGGAGCCTCCGCTAGCGCCGCCGCCGCCGCTTCCCTCTCGCCCGCCCCGCCGCTCTCCCTACCGGAGCCGCGGCCGCTACTACCGCCGCTTCCCCCTCCTGCTCGATGACAAAATGGCGGCGGCAGGAAGTACCATCAGCACCCGCCCCGCCCAGGTTCGCTTACTGCGCCACCCGCGCACGGGATCCGGGCGCCCTCGGCGGGAAGGCCCTCCGCCGTTTCGAATATGCATCCCAGCCAGCGGAAGGCCCGATGTGCAAGGGCGGCGCGAGGGCCGCCCACAACGCACCCCGGCCTCATAGCGGTACAGGCGGAGGGCACGGACATACTTACGGCAATCACGTACCCTTAAAGGGAGCAGCGAAGCAGCGCTTACGGAAACGGCGTAGCCACCATAAGCCTTCCACACCACCTACCGCAATCCGCGTAACCGTGCGAAATAGCGAGCCACATCTTGTTCCCGATTAACCCACCGTGAAACTTAGCCGTCCACCGCGAAAATGCAGAGGGGAGTGGGGTGGGAGAAGTTGCCCTGCTCACGCGCGGGCACGGGACACCAGAGACACCAGGCAGCGTAGGCTGAGGAGGCTCGCGTAAGACCTTTGCGCAATAGGCCTCGACGCAAAAAGCGTAAGTCGCCTGACGCAACGGTCACATTACGCAATGCGGGTTACGCCGACAAGACAACGTAACTGAACAAGGAGAATACCAACCCCCGCAGCCTCTCCCGGCCCGGCCCAGCTCTTACCTGACGGCGGGCGGAGAGCCGGAGAAGGCCGCGTTGTCACCAGCCTCCTACCAGACCAAATCCAGCAAGGCCCTGAGTGAAGGGGAAGCGCCGCACTCCGTAGGAAGGGTCGGGGACCACGGCGAACAGACCAGGGCAGAGAGCGACGGGCAGCGGGACCAGCAACGGCGGGGCTGCACTGACCTCACCACGCAGCGCGTTACGTCACCGCGCAACAAGCCACGCCTCGCGCAGGGCACAGGACTTCGAATCCAAGGTTCCCTTACCTCACGGCCACGCCCCTTCGAGTAAGGAGCCCTCCGAGTGGGCGCCGGGAGGAGCGCTTCTCAGTCCCGCCAGGGAGACGGCGCGTGAGGGGTCTCGTAGGGCAAGCGGGAGACGGAAGGAAGCCGCGTCGCCGCCGCCGCCTCGCAAGCGAATGATGGTGCTTGGGAGATGGGGCTTACCGCCCCACAAAGGTGCCGCTTGCTCTTTGAAGAATGTAGGAACTGCCGCTCTTGTCTCCAGTCCTTCCCCCCGCGCGCACAGCACAGATTCCCGGAAACGTGACAGAACAAACTTTGCTCGTTAGAATGCACCACATCCCCGTTTCTGATCTCGCCAGCGGGTCCAATCCGACCCCGAAGATAAACTTGCTACTGCCAACCGTCAGGCAATTAATTGCCCACGGAAGCATTTAGCAAAAACTACTATCGTGTCACATAGCTCTCCTGCTTGTTAGTTCGCTGACCGGCTTACTTTCGAGCTCTAAGGCTGTTGGTGCTCGATAATAATAAAAATAAAATATTATTCCTCGGGGCTGGGAATTCTGTGGCGCTTCACTCTGCCCGGTTGCACGCATGGGAATGCGGCGCTATGACACATAGAATATACCAGCCTTTCAGACAAAAGCAAGCCCTTGGTGCACCACCAGTCCCGAAAAAGATGCTAAATACACATTGGAAAAGGCGACGGGGACCAGTTTCTTCTCTACAAAACAACCCCCAGTGGAAACCTCATCCGCAGAATAAGCTAGGCCCTTGCTCTTCCCAGCTCGTCAGGATTCTTTCAGCAGACCAGAAAGGAAGATTATAGAAGAGGGAGCCTTTGTTCACCTACTGGAGCAGAGGACTTGGATCGTAAGCTCTCATCTTTGATTCACAGCACCTATGGCGACATGGGCAAGCTGCCTTTAAGGTGGAAGCACATCGGAAAGAACCCTATCTATTTTATACTTGGTATTTCCCATGCATATATATGGGTGGGGGAAGAGAAGGCTCGACTTTTAAGCAGGTCAATCGTTCAGCACTCCCTTTCTTCCATGTATTCTGAAGCAGGAGGTCAATGATACCTATAAAAACAAGGGCACACCTAAGCATAGCCTTAGTTAAAGGTAAAGGTAAGGTAAAGTAAAGTAAAGGACCCCTGGACAGTTAAGTCCAGTCAAAGGCAACTATGGGCTTTGATGCTCACCTCGCTTTCAGATCGAGGGAGCTGGCGTTTGTCCACAGACAGTTTTCTGGGTCATGTGGCCAGCATGACTAAACCACTTGTGGGGCAATAGGACACCGCGACAAGTGTCAGAGCACATTGAAATGCCATTTACCTTCCCTCTGCAGCGGTACCTACTTGCACTGGTATGCTTTCAAACTGCTAGGTTGGCAGAAGCTGTGACAGAGCAATGGGAGCTCACCCCATTGTACGGATTCAAGTTTTAGTACCCTCAAGCAACACAGTTCATCTTACATGTTGTAATAACTATTAAATGAATGGAAACTTCCCAGCTGCTGCTCTCGGGTAATAGGGCGTGTAGTGGACAGTGAGAAACATTTAATAGGAAACAGAACAGTGGCCATTTAGTAGCAGGAAAAGATCACAAGGTTGCCTATGAACTGTTAAAAGTATTGCTAGCTTTAGAAATGGGATGACCTTCTGCGTAATTCAAGAAAGGTGGCATCTGGGCCGCTTTCCAAACTAGAACTACAGCAGTCGGCAGCTACATCTTATGCAAAGGAAAGTGGCACCTCACAACAAGACCCAGAAGTTACTTCAGCATTAAAACATTTGGGCTGCTTTCCTACATCCAGTTACTTGAGAGTAAGGTGGAGTAGTGGTTAGAGTGTTAACAGTGCTATTTTTCTATATATAAAAAAGAGGTGCTTGAACTCGCCACGAACGCCTCCCTTGTTTCTCTTATAATAGCAATGGCGCCAAATGAGAAGTGCTGGAACTGAGTTCTGTCTGGGGAAAAAAGCTCTGTCAGATTAGGACCAGGTTTTAAGTCCCAACTCGGCCAAAAATGTGTGCAGCAGTAGCACACTCACCAAACTGAGTGTGGCCAGTCACTGTCTTGACCCAACTATCTCACAGGGCTGTTGGAAAGATGAAATGGGGAAGGAGAAAACCTTGAGCTCCTTGGAGGAAAGGAGAGATCTAAATGCAATAAATAAGCCCCATTAATTTATTTGTACCCGAGCGTACAAATAAAATAGGAGTGTCATGTCTACTGGTGGTGGTGGATTAGAGATAGGAATGCATATGTTAATGAGGTAGGTTATCTGTAATACTGGAATAGAACACTAATGCACCTATCATAGGAATTTTGGGAGCTGTCATATATTGAAGCAGATCATTAGTCCATCTAACTCAGTAATGAGTTATGCTCACTGTGTGCTCTCCCACTTACAAATGCTCCTATATAATGGGGAAAATGTTACCTTAGCCAGATAAGTTATGTGGGCTTTTTGTGTGTGATTTACAGTACAGTGGTACCTCGGGTAAAGTACTTAATTCGTTCCGAAGGTCCGTTCTTAACCTGAAACTGTTCTTAACCTGAAGCACCACTTTAGCTAATTGTGCCTCCTGCTGCTGCTGTGCCGCCGGAGCACAATTTCTGTTCTCATCCTGAAGCAAAGTTCTTAACCTGAAGCACTATTTCTGAGTTAGCGGAGTCTGTAACCTGAAGCGTATGTAACCTGAAGCGTCTGTAACCTGAGGTACCACTGTAGTTGTAACTTCCCTCACATATACAAAAGTTAATTGCTAGTGAAGACCATAAATTGAAGCTTAGCATATACAGTAAATGTCATAGCACCACAAAGAGATCTTTATAACTAAACAGTCTGCAGGCAATGAGAGAACCTGGTCTGGAGTTGAGAGACTGCTTTACCCACAAGATTCTGAAATAAATTAACAGATAAATGCTAATCATTGACTACATTCAGACAAATTTTCAAATTTGTAAAGAACATGATTGAACAATTATTCTGCTCCCCCCTTTCCAGCCAGCACCTAGCTCTAATCAAACGGGTTTTTGTCATGCATGCTTCATTACTTTGATGACAAAAGCAGACCCAAGGAAAACAGAGTCTGATTTGCAATATACTGTACTATACAAAGCACATGCCAAGGAGTGGTCCATCACAAAGGAGTAAAAGGAGTGTTCTGCTCTCAAGGAAGGAGAGGGGAACAAGTAATGGTTCATCCCAGGCAGGCCCATCGTGTATATGCACAGGCAAGCTTAGTCTCAGTAGAGCACCAGCTGTTTTGGCAGGAACCTGTTTTAACCTGTATAACCTGCTGAGAATGTCCACTGTTTAAGGTTCAACTGCACAAAGATGATTTTGTTATAGATGCAAAAGCTGCCCTCATGGAGGTAGACTACAGGGCGGGAATTACTACTTCTTAATGTGAAGTGGGAATTGACCGATTACACTGCTCTGAACTATGGCTGCAGTTACTTAAGGGAGGATCGCTCACTCTTCTATCTTAGCCTGATTGTCATGTAATAATTGGCAATTCCTTCATGCAACTTTCTATTGTTACCATTCATTTTATTCAGTGATAAACCATTAAAGTGCTTATTGAAACAGAACGATTTGTGGTGAAATATGAGAATGGGAAGTTGCATGAATTCAAATAATGGTATCAATATTCATATAGGAAGCTTCCTTATACCAGGTCCAACTATTTGTCCATGTAGTACTGTGCTGACTCTGATTTGCAGCAGTCCTCCAGAGCCTTGGCTGAGACTGAACCATTTAACTGGAAATACCAGGGATTGAATCCGGGCTGTTGTGTGTGTGAAAACACATGCTCTACTACCAAGTGTCAATGCAAAGATAACTTCTAAGTAGTATCAAGTCAAAGTAGTGGGATATTCAGTTGAATGTGTCATATTCCCATCTTCTGGGAGCAACTTCCAGTTATTTGTGCTGTGTGAAGCAGTACTTTTATTTTTGTCTGTACTGAATCTTCCACCATTATAACTTCATAAGGATGGCCCTGGATTAGAGTATGATGATGGATAAACTTTTCTGTCAACCTTCTCCACACTATGCATCATCTTATACACCTAAATCATACCCCAGCTTTTCTCTAAACTAAAAAGCCCTGAATGCTGTAACCTTTCCTTATGAGGACTTGGATAATTTTGGTTGTCCTTTTCTGAACTTTTCCCAGCTCTATAGTATCTTGAAATGAGGAAACCAGAACTGTATGCAGTACTCAAAATGTTGTTGCAGTTTTATTTTCAACTCATTTCCTAACGATCCCTGGTATGGAACCTTTGGTATCAGCCACAAGCCCGACTACCTAACTGCTCACCCTGGCTCTAGATTATCAATGAATGCTTTTGATATAGAAACTGGATTTAATATTTATTCCTCTCCTTCAACCACACAGCAGAGATAATTTATTTTCCTTGTATGGTAGCTCTGGCATTAGCGAGTGTGGGATGTGTGTGTTCTAGACAGCAGTCAGTCAACTGCTCTTCTAACATGAGCAATAATGTGACCACATTGTTAAGACAGCACATGTTTTGGAGCCAACTAAATATAAGATACTAGTTTTCAGTTTCAGAAGTTTATTTAACTGCTAAGACAAAAGACCGGGGTTGTTGTTTTCTTTACAAATAGTGCTCCATTCCACTCTTAAAGCTTTAACTATGAGCATCAATCCTAACACTCACAAATCTGCTTTTATTTTGCTGGTCTTGGTACTGCTTCAATACTCGCAGGGCAATATTTGGCAATTCACTCCATGAATGATACGTTTGTGATTTTTATTAAGAGGATGGAGATTCAGTGGTGGTATAACTTTTCTCCCTTAGGCTATGCCTCTGTACCAGCATAATGTACAAGCTGCAGCTTGCTAGCCAGAAAATCTGAAATAGTGCTCAGTAGAAATGATAACCCCAGTGTGATACACAATCATCTTGGTGCTTAAAAACAAGTTACAGATGCTGTTTTCATGCAATATTGCAAACTGGATAAAGAAAGTAACAGTTTTCAAGTCAGCAAGTCTTTTCTTTAGGAACTTAAATGAGGAAACATTTTCACAAGCAAGAACACACACACACTTAACTAATCTACTCCTTCATAAAGAAGAGGCCAAATTTCATTTCCAAATTAAGCTATATTCCTTCAATACTGAAAAATGAACACCTGGGAGGAGCTGAATGATTAACAACTTTGCTTTTTTCCAAATCGTATTGTTCATTCTACAATGAATAAGTCATCAAACCTTTCTTGGGGACTATACAGCCTTCTACAACAATGAAGCACAAGACTGCTTCCATAACAGAATAGATAAATTCCTTTCTTCAAATCAATAACAAAATTGGCAGCACCCTAGAAATGCACATACAGGTACTGCACTGACATAAGATTTTTTTTCCAGGGTGTATTGGGGGGAGGGGGGGAGGGATTATACAGCTAAGCCAGTCAAAATCATCTTCATACAATCAATTTATACAATCATTTATATGGTCATTCCTATTGCAGCTCTGCATTTGCTACAATAACTGGTTCCTCCTTGGTGTCACTATTTTCAGCTGTTGCCATTTCCGTAGAGTTCCCTTCTCCCATCTTCAAATGCTCTTGTTCCTCCACTTGGCTTTCTGCTGCTCTCACTTCAAGGCTTTTTTGAGGATGGGCAGACAGTCCCTCTGTTGTTCCTACTGGCTTGATTCTCTCTTTTTCCTGCTCCTCCTCCTCTGCAGATTTATCTTCAGAAAAGGTTATAGTAGAGCAAGCTCTCTCATCCCCTTCTGGTTTAGCAGTTTCACTGACTTCAGTGGTTGTGATCTCATCTGCAGCACTCTCTTTTCTCTCTACTGCAGCACTTTCTGTAGCCTTTTCAGCTTCTGCCCCCTCTAAGGCTCCAGAGTCAGCAACATCTTGGTCAACGTTTTCATCTGTAAATGGGTCCTCACCCTGACAAAGGGAAGAAGCATATTATTACTTACTCACAAAATTGTCTGAACCTCCATTAGACAGCCTCATACCTAGAATGCAGAAGTTTACAACTGAGTGATTGAAATTTGAGCACCCTCACTTCAAAGCACAATAGCCTTTCTTGCCTCAAACAACTTAACAGACTACATTTTTGCTAAATTCTTTCACATGAGCCTGCCAGCACCCTAAAGCCTGTGGTACTATTTGGAAAGCTGACAATGTGTCTGCCTCACAGGAGTAAGATTGGAATGCACTTTGCTGCAGTATATTTACTGTAGCATCAAGAGATGTAATTCTATAATAGAAAAATCCAGTGGAATCTTAAATAATTTTCAACACACTTTTTGAGCCTTCAGCTTAGAGGTAGAAACTGTTTTAAGGAAATACCCAGTTGAATCACAGCTATGAAGTGCTCAACTCTCTCACCACACTCTTCAACACTAGCAAGTCTAGATGCTGACATATGGCTATAAACCAATGATGGTAGTCATACATTTTTGTGATCTCATTAAGCAGAACACTCTTTGTGTCCAAGAAACCTAAGGGAATACTGGGAACCACTCATACAGCAGTCACACCAAACTCATTCAGACTGAGGTCATGGCTTGTCACTGACCATATCAGGGTCAGTCCTCTCTTTTGCTCTTGCTAGAATTTCTGTTCTTTATTAAAGGAAACACCATATGGAAACAGCAGACACACTAGTGTTGTTCTGCTGATTCTCAAAACCAATGTCTGTCATGTACTGGGATTAAAACCATTCTCTCCCCCATCCCACCCTGCTTTTGTGGATCACTCGTGGCTGACCTGCAACTGATGTACAACGGAAAGGCAGCATGCCAGTGCAGAAATCTAGCCCTTAACCTGATCAAATTCAAGTGACAATTTCTGAACCACAATACTCATGAGGCACATGAGTTCCAAGTTCTCTTCTTGAGTCCTGCTTTTGCATCTATATCCATGCAGTCCCAACCCACAAAAATTGGGCCAGATACAGTACTGCCAAGGATTTCTGCACCTAGCAACTAAACATTTATATTTTATGACCCAGTTGGAGACTAACTGCCTCCATGAAAGAAGATCCATGCAGGTGAAAGACAAGTAGCGCCATCTTCTTTGACTGAAAATCAGCCAACCAGCTTTATTCACTGATGTTCTGTAGTTTCAGAGCTCTAGGCTCTACCCCGCGATTTGGATGTGTCCATTAATCGCCAATTAAAGGGGTGGGGATTCAAAGTCAAAAGCTTCCTCAGGAAGGGCAAGGTGCCAGCATCCTTTAAGGGAGGAAGTAATATGCCAATGTTCAAGAATAATTTCTTGATGCCAACTGCATCACCCTGCCTCCAGCCTTCCTTTCTTGGGGAAGGTGCTGAGAAGATTTTTGATGGGGCAGCTCTGGCATTACCTGGAATCCTCAGATTTCCTTCACCCCTCTCAGCCTGGTTTTGCACCTGGGTATGGTACGGAGACTGTGCTGGGTGGGTCGAAGATCTCCTCCTGCTGATGGACAAAGTTCAGGTGTCCATGCTGATTCTGTTAGACCTGTCGGCAGCCTTTGATACTGTTGATCATGAGGTGTTGCTGAGGCACCTGCGGACCCTAGCAGGGGTAGACGGAGTTGCGCTTGAGTGGTTCCATTTTTTCCTCCGAGAGATCCCAGAGGGTGGCACTGGGCAACTGCTCATCTGCCCCAAGGGCTCTCTCATGCGAGCTACGCAGGGTTTATTCTGTCACCCCTCTTGTTCAACGTGTATGAGAGGCCGCTGGGGGAACACAGCCTCAGTAAATAGGCCATCAGTGTCAACTACAAGCTGATGTGCTCAGCTTATTTTTTTCACTGGACCCAGAGAGCAGAGTCTCAGTTTTACTAGTGTCTGTCTAGCAGAGACTAGTTAATTGGCAGAAACTCAGTCTGGTTAAGACCGAAGTGTTGCCATAGGGACAGAGCAGACATGTAGAGGAAATGACAACATCTGCTCCCCCATTAGTTATGGTTGCCATGAGAGGGTCCTGTTGAATCGTGGGATGCTCCTGGATTGCCAGGTATAGGAGCAGCCAAACTTGTTTCTTTTCGTCTTCACCTGGTCAGATGGCTTCAGGCTTTCCTATCAAAAGTGGAACTCACCAATTACATATGGCCATGTATGCTACATCAGCAAACCCTCAATGGTCACACAGGAGTCTCCACATGACCTGCAAATACTCATCTAGGCTACCACACTTCCCATTATTGGCTCATCACATCCCTGCTTTGGAGATAAGTGGCATCTTTTTCATTCTCAGCAGGGGAAAAGGCTAGTTTGATTTACAGAGCCATAGTGAAATATTTTGGAGAGGCCCTGTCTCACTCATGTCATGCACTGTCCAACAGTTGAGATCAGATCACCTGATGTCAACTTTCTCCCACATGTGATATTTGGAATAACATTGGGACTAACAAAATTTGCTTTGACTTTGGATGCTGTTCCCAAGTTAATTTTCTTTAACACGAAAACTGAAAACTCATTAGGGAAATCAGCATTACCTTTCTACTCAAGAAAGTCCACTCCATGCTGTGAGCAAGAAAAAAATGATTTTTCTCAACCAACCAGATAAATTTTCAAGTGGTGCTTAGGTTGGGCACAATGCTCCCCCTCAACACAGCTATATTTTATATTAGCAGAGGGTAGCCTGAGGATAGTATTTATTTTGCTAATCAATCTAGTTGTAAGCAGCTATAAATTTCTTCTATACTGGCCACGTTAACACATCACAGTAAGCCACAGTAAATGGTTTGCCATAAAAATGCAGATCCCTAGTTTAGCATTATGCCTGAACCTGGGATTGTGGTTTGTTTCACTTCTAGCAAATCAGTGTGAATCCAAGGTTTGTTCTTGGTTTCCCAATCATGATTTGTTTGCTGTGAAATAAACCATGACCCCAGGTTTGGACATAATGCTAAACCAGGGACTGCCATTTCTCGCTTCTGCTTGCACTGCTTGGGGAGGAGTGAATGAAACCTGTATATGCATTCATTTTAAGCCTTTAACTACAGTTTACTGTAATGTGTGAATATAGCCAGTGTCTGCTAGTATGAGTATCCAACACATCTGGGAGGAGTGGGAGTGAATGCTAGAGAGGAAGACACTAATCAAGGCTCAGATTATACATAAGAAAGCAAAGAAATAATTTTGCTTCCCTCCATCTTATGTGAAAAGACACATGCAGCACACTCAGCAATATTACTGTAATGCTCTGTTGAGGCCAAGCTGAAGCTCCTGCGCTCTTGCTCTGTGAAAAAGCAGGACTACACAGCAAACATCCTGCTTACTTACTTACCTTGAGGTACTTTTCTAGCATTTTCACAATGTGCTTGCTATTCAGAACACTCTTAGCTACGTGGAAACTAGCCTTCTTGAAATGTTCAGCTGCCATCTAGGAAGTGTAGAAACACAAGTCAATATGATGCCGAAGTAGAAAATAAGAATGCTGCAATTCTGGTTATCTTCCTTATTTTACAGCCATCACTTTTGCGGCACTATGCACTCAAGACTTTGTAAAAGAAAAAATACTTAAGAGTAAATATGGTCAGTGAAAAGCTCTTGCCATAGACTTCCTGGTGATGCTTCTGCCTAGGCATTTTCAACTTACGTTATGCTGGAGCTAGGGTTTTGTTCTATATTTGGAGTATTTCTATAAAATGACAAAAACAAAAAACAGCTCTTCCTCCAGCAGAAGCTTCTGCTGGATTGCAGTCCCTTCAACAAATGGAATAGCTTCAATGAACAGAAGGGCAACTCTGGATCCAATACACGGTAATCAAAATGACGGAAGTTTATAAAAAGTGAGTATAGGACAGGAAACTAAAATATGCTTTATATGAACTAATAGATTTATTTGGGCATCTTTACTACCAAAGGGGGCTTATTTCACTATCAGAAGTGTAACCAAAACCGAAATGAGGTTTCTATAGTGCTTTTATCCAACTGTTTATATTTAATAGTGCTTTACTGTATTGATATTTCATAAGGGAAACTTCAATACATACTGCATAAGTACAGAACCAATTTGCACCTTCTCTTCTTACACAATGAAGATACGTTGGCTAAATTTTCCTTCAGGCCAAAGTAGAAGCTGTTATATCCAAGTTTCAGTTGTAACATGGCAAGTTACACATGTGTCATCAAACTATTCAAGCATCAAATGTAGGTGTAATGTATGTAGCCTATGTATTCCTCTATTCTGCCTATCACTGTTCCTAGCCCTATCACAGACTTACCGTATTTTTCGTCCCATAGGACGCTTCGTCCCATAGGACGCACCTAGTTTTTTTGGGGGGAAATAAAGGAAATTCCCCCCCCCTTATTTCCCCCCCAAAACCAGGTCGGGGAAACCGAACCAGGTTGAGGAACAGTGGGATGGCGGCGCTGCGCCTCCCTGCTGTCCCCCGAGCTTGTGGGGCTGGCCAATGTCTGCCCGGCACGCGGGGCGCTCTGCTTCAGGGTGCCCCACGCGCCGGGTGGCAGGCTGCTATCCGCAGCGTGGGGAGCCCTGCGGGGAACTCCTGCAGGGCTCCCCATGCTGCGGATGTCTGCCCGGTGCGAGGGGGGCTCTGCTTCAGGGCGCCCCTCACACCGGGCAGCAGGCTGCTATCCGCAGCGTGGGGAGCCCTGCGGGGAACTCCTGCAGGGCTCCCCACACTGAAAATGTCTGCCCGGCGCGAGGGGCGCTCTGCTTCAGGGCGCTCCTCGCCGGGCGGCAGGCTGCTATCTGCAGCCTAGACAGCCCTGCGGGACCTCCCGCAGGGTTGCCTAGGCTGCGGATGCGTTCCCGAAGCGCTGGGCGCTCTGCTTTCAGCGCTGGGCGCTCTGCTTTCAGCGCGCCCGGCGCTCTGCTTTCAGCGCGCCCGGCGCTCTGCTTTCAGCGCGCCCGGGGCTCCGGGAAGCAGACTGCTATCCGCAGCCTAGACAGACCTGCGGGACCTCCCGCAGGGCTGCCTAGGCTGCGGGTGTCTTCCTGAAGCCTGGAGAGCAAGAGGGGTCGGGGCGCACCGACCCCTCTCGCTCTCCAGGCTTCAGTGAAAGCCTGCATTCGCCCCATAGGACGCACCCAGATTTCCCCTTCATTTTTGGAGGGGAAAAAGTGCGTCCTATACGGCGAAAAATACGGCAAGTCTTTCAGGGACTATAAAGAAAAATCAAGCACTGTAACTTTACTCATACTCCAATAAAGTTCTCCTCTTTTGTAGCTACAGGTGTCATTATTATGGTCTCTCAAACTGGAAAAACCATGCATATTATTGGCACTTTTTAAAAAGTAGAGTGTACATAAAAGAATGTTTTGCTGAAACCTCATGAAAGTGGTCTGATAGTTTTCATATTTCGAAAAGGAGATACAGAGACACTCATGCCCTTGAGCTAAGGAGCCATGACTCACCCAGAAGGCATTCAAATCACCTGCACTTGCTTTTCCTATATAGTGAAATAACTCTTAGGTTGAGTCCCAGACATAGGAGAGAAAAGGGAGAGAGATTTTATGATGGCCATCAGGCAATGCCTTGCCCCACCCTCCAGCCTAAGAGGCTTCAGAATGGAGTTGCTCCCACAGGCATTATGTTTAAGTGTCCTTTAGTGAACTGAATAGAGTGGAAGATTATGAGTCATGGAGGTGGTGAGGGTGTGTATGAATTAATCAGTCCTAAGATAATTTTTAATTGCTATTTTGCTAATGTTGCTAATATTGTTTTATAGATTATGAATATTGTGAATCCTATAATATGCTTTTCGTTGTAATTGTGCTGTTTAGCTTTTTTTTTAGTTCTTTTGTTAAGTGTTTTATGGATTTTAAATGTTTTATTGATGGTTTATAATTGTTTTACTGATGAGTTGTTCATTATTCTATATGCTTTATGTTGCTATTGTGATTTTCTATTATGTTATTGTTATTTACTGTTTTTAAGCTGCTTTGCAATTTTTGTGAATGAAAAGCTGCACAGAAATATATTTTAATCTATGCTATACTATCATTTATTAGCAACCAAAAAGCAGGTTAGTCATGCCTTCATAAATAATTTTTCAATTGTAATTGAGAAGCAAATCCCAGATTTGGAAAAAGTGTCAGGTATGGAATAGTGATCAATCGAATAATTTCTAAGCCTGCATTACTAAACACACTAGCAAGTAAGCCCCATGCAGTTTGTGGGACTTGCTAAGCAAGCACACATGGATTGCTTTCTAAATCAATGCACTTCATTAATCAATCATATAGAAAATACTAATACTGCTTACTCTGCGATTCCTGTTGTGATCAACAGACCTCAGGTGTCTCTGGAGAAGATGATGTTGTGCAGGAATTAGCATATCACAAGCCATACAATGAGCAGCATCTATCTTTTTAAAAAAGTGCTCCTGGCCAATTCCTGAAATGGTACAAACACAAATTAGATGCACACAACTGAACATAAACTACTAAAATGGTGTAGTATGTTATTTCTCAAGCAGTTGTTTTGACACCATTCCCAGAAATTGGCTACATTAATCATTTTAAGCATACAAACTAAGAAACAGTTGGTCAGAGAAACTAGAAGAGAATTCAAAGGCCGATGCAAGAAACTCACTACAGCAATAATGGTCATGCTATTAAAAAACCCCCAGCTGCTACTGCAAAACTCCTCACAAGCATTAGCTCGTCTGTCCCTATAACATCCTAGGGCAACATGACCCAAACATAGGGGCAACTATTACAATAATGGCTATAACCTTGTTTTTTTGTTGAAACATCTCTGCTCTTAATAACTGGGTACTCTCTTCCTCACAGCAACAGTTAACAGCCTGCCTAATCTATCAGAAGGTGGTGGACTCACCTTCACTGGAGATTTTTAAGCAGTGTTTGTATGGCCATTTGTCATGGATGCTTTAGTTGAGATTTCTGCACTGTACTTTCTAGGTGGTGGATTGAGAATTCTTAATAGGGTTCCACTTACCTTTGAAAGGATCTGGTTTTTGTTTTGGACCATCCTTCTCCGTTAGCTCTTGTCGGCGCTTCCCAATTTTCTTATTTCTGTTCACTATATATTTCTGGGGATTGTAAAGGAGAAAATACGTGTAATCAGATAAGTCACTGTCTCCAAAACTGAGTAAAAAGTCCAGCTAGAGGTGACATTGCAACTATACACTAATCACTCAAATTAGTGATCTCCAATCACTATGTAGTTCACTGGATAATGGCTTCTTAACAGTTCTGTTTCAATCTTTCCTTCACACTTTCAGGTGGGACTCATCAACTTAAGCCCTAATGACCAACTAGTTAGACACTGCTATCCAGAAACATGCTGCATGTAACAAATTACTTGATAGTAACTTGACAAAAAACCTAGTTCAGGCTTTCTCAACCTCGGCCCTCCAGATGTTTTTGGCCTACAACTCCCATGATCCCTAGCTAGCTGGACCAGTGGTCAGGGATGATGGGAATTATAGTCTCAAAACATCTGGTGGGCTAAGGTTGAAGAAGCCTGACCTAGTTTAAGAAAAACTTACAAAAATAACCACTATCAATTCTTTGGGCATTAATCGCAATTACTGGATAGCAGAAGCAGTTCAGTTACCCGATAGTTGTTTTTGTTCACAACTTAAAATCCCAAATAAACATACCTGCAGGAATTCTACAGTCTTGTCAGGCAGTTTGGTCCCAATGTATCGCAGGACCTCCTTGTGAAATTTGCTCTGTAGATGCTTCTCCATTTCTTCATCATCAAAGCTTCGGAATTTACATACAGAGCAAGCAAACTGGATTCTAAAGGAAGGCATTGAATTTGATTTTTAGTACACATTATTTGTGAAATTCATTACATGAAAAATAAATTCCATAAACTCAACTATTGTCCTAACAGAACCTAAGAAACTTTCTGTCTACCAGATTCCTTTGCTGCTTCAATCTAGGGTTGCACTGTTTGTTTATTATAGCAAACTATGCATAACTTTGCTACAATCTATTTTCATCTGGAGTTTACTAATATTTTGAAATTATCTTATAACAGCAATATCACAACATTAACAATGCAAGTTTTCATCACACAACACAAGAGTGCTGTAATTCTTAGGTTCTATCCACAGGAGTTTCCATATACTAAGAAAGCATCTCTCCTGAAGAGCAGTCCATTTCAACCAAGTTTTATAAAACAGGCATAAGACATAAAACCTTCTGGACCTCCTTCACACCCCTGCTTGACTCATGTAATCCACCATTCTTCTTCCTCTACCCATGCCTCCAGGCCACACACACATGGAAAGGAGAAAAATGGGGGGGGGGGGAGACTTGCCTTGACAAAACTACTCTAGGCAATTAAGGTTTTAAAGTTTCTCAAACTGAAGTGCCATCCTTAGAAACCACACACACACAAACACAGTTATGGAAATACTGAAATGCAGTATTAGTTGATATAACCAATTAACCCTCCAGAAGAGCATCTGCCTGTATTACAGAATTACACACATTTTGGAAGGGAGGCAGAAGGAAAAAATGTGTTGAGCAAGCCTACTTAATCTGGAAACAACCAAAGATATAATCAGCCTTGTAGACATGTATGGGATGCAAGATGAAGTATTTACATTTTGATAAATACAGAACTTTGGAAGTGGGTAAAGGAGGACAGAGGAGTCACATAAAACACTGGCATGGGCAAGTCCTATAGAATCTCAGCTGGCTACCATTAAGCAACCATTATTTTAATTAAATTATTAATTTCTACACTACCTTTGCAACTAGGTAGCCCAAAACAGTTCACAACGATATTTTCAAATTCTTACTATTTGTACATTTTATTAGCAATTTAAAAGACAATGTATGAAACTAAATTTTACATAGCAAGAGCCATTTGTTTTCCTTGAGCTGGAAAGCAAACTTGCAGGGTGGCAGCAAAAAAATTACTTTTGTAGAAAGAGACAGCCCAAGAAACTTTAGTGCATATTCCTGGAGAAACAACAGAATGTTCTCAATTACTGCAGCCATATTTTGAAAGGCTACATATAATGTGGGTTTAATTTTATGTATGAAGCAGGAATTTAAGTTAAAATGAATTTTAAGCCAAAGATGTTTAAAGATGTAAGAGTTTTAATCTGTTCAGTTACCTGTCCATAGCACGATCGCGCATTCGATCCCTCTGCCTCTGCTTCTCTTTTCTTTGTTTTGACTCTTCATCATCATCATCATCATCAATGCCATCACCAGATGCTACAGAAAGTTAAATTTAAGGCAGTTCTTTAAGAACTAACGTTCAACTGCATTACGATGTCATGGGATGAAAATATTGTACCTTCTAATCTCTTCTCTCCTCTTTCTTTGACTTGCTTTTCTAAGGGTCAATTAAAGATCTACCATGTGAAGGCAATAAAAAAGCACTTACCTCTATCAGTGTTTCATATGGCAAGTGTAATTAACAAATATTATTTACATTATTCATTAAATTGCACTTTTTCAACACAGCCATAGCCTCCCTCATGATATACAACATAGGCATGAGGGCTATTATCATAAGAAATACTGCCACAGTGAAACTGCTTTCTGTTAGTCTTCATGCTTATGTCAGTCCTCTGAATGGTTCTTAGCTAGTGCAGTGGAAGAAGGTGGAGTGGGGAACAGTCACGCTCATATCCCTAGTCAACTCTGAAGTTCACTGGGTTGCCTTGGGCAAGTTAATCTCAATCACAAGTCAATCTCAATCACAGGTTGAATGGACACTAACATTTCTCTCTGAGCTTCTTAGGAAGACAAGAGATACATAATAAATACGTTGTAATAAACAAACAGTAACAGAAGCAGAAAACTGAAACAATGTAGTCTCAAAAATAGTAATGTATGTTTCAACAACACAACACACACTACAACTATAAGAAATACATCGAGATGTGTTGAAACAGCTGGGTATACCTATACAGTTCACTAATATATTTCTTTATGTTTCTTTATGTTTCTATCAAGCTAAACAAATGGCCCAGGGAATGGAAACTGGTTACTGGACAATGAACAAACAGCAAAATGGCATGTCAAATTAAGTGTTAAGTGCAAAGTGATGCACAGTGAATTTTAAAAAGGGTATCTTCACAAGAGGAAGTCAAAATTGTCTGCGACTATCCAAGACAGATCTTGGAGTTCTTGTGGAAAGCTCCTGGAAGAATCAACTCAATGAGCTGCAGCAATGCAAAGGGTAATCTATATCAAATTACAGTGGTACCTCTGGATGCGAACGGTTGCGATTTGCTGCTTCTGTGCATGCGTGTGACGTCATTTTGAGTGTCTGCGCATGCGACGAAACTCGGAAGTAACGCGTTCCGTTACTTCCGGGTCAGTATGGAGCGCAACCCGAAAACGCTCAACCTGAAGCAACTTTAACCCGAGGTATGACTGTATTATGGAAGTACTGAATATAGTAAGAATCAGAGTATTATTCAAGTTTGCAACAAAGCCATATTTAAAGGAATGTTTTTGACTCATCTCAAAAACAGTATTAAAACTGCAGAAGGTAAAGAAATGAGCATCTGTGATCACAGAGTTGAATCCCCTACAAGGCTGGGGGAAGCTAAAGAGTTAAAAGTTTTTTTAGCAAATAAAAGGAATTAAAGTTCAGAGGGCTGGCAGTTTACATAAGGCTTACTTCAAACTAAGCCAACCAATGGGCATAGTGTAAATGTGCTGTCTACAGAGTCTCTTGTCTCTGTCATGATGTATTAGCTAAGATTCCTGCATTGTAGGGGGTTGGATGAGATGACCCTTGGGGTTCCTTCCAACTCTAAGATTATATGAGAGGTGGTTTCAGCCACTTTCCTGCTGCTGCATTGCCATGGTCCAGCTTAGAATGTTGTCCAAACTCGGCCTTCTGGTTAATCTTGCTCCATATGAAATACAAACTGTAATCAAGATTTGTTCTTAGGTTTACACCTTATAAACCACAAGCCCAGGTTCAGATGATATACTAGGGCAAACTATAGTTTAGCTCAAGGCAGCACAGCAGAAGAACACCAGGTGAGGAGCCCAGCAGCCATGTTCTCTTCTTCTGGAACCCTCACGCATCCATACTAAGTTACAAAAACCAGCTCATAATATGTAGATAATGCTAGAGCTTGGGACTGAAAAGAGTAGATTTTAGATTATAGTATTTATTTACCCAATTAATATGTTATGGAATTCACTATCACATGATGCAGTGATGACTATCAGCTTTAGATGACTTTAAAACAGGAATTATCACTAATTTGTTGAATATTGGCAAGAAAACTAAAAGGAAAAAAAATAAAGCTGAGGATCTTAGATATAATATTTTCAGTTTTCAGAGACATCTGGCTAGTCACTGCTTCTAAGGAAGATACATGAATGCTACAATACTATCTCCCCTAAGGCGTTAATATTGATGTTACAAGTTTTTGAGTTCAAATTAATTTTAGCCGGTTGCATCTACAGTGGTACCTTGGGTTACAAACATAATTCGCTCCAGAAGTCCATTCTTAACCTGAAGCATTCTTAACCTGAGGCGTGCATTCCCTACATAGGCCTCCCGTGGCCCTGGAAGTGGATTGCGTTCATATTCCGGGGCAAAGTTTGCAACCCGGGACACCTACTTCCAGGTTTGTAAGTTTGTAACCCAAAACATTCGTAAGCAGGACTGTTCGTAACCCGAGGTACCACTATAATGGCCTCCAAAGAAGATCAGAATGGAATTCCTACCCACTCCACAATCCCTCATAACAATCCCTCACAACTGGAAAGTTAATATAGGCCTGCCAAATGAAATAAACCCTACCTTTCCTCTTTAGATCTTCATTGCTTCTCTCATGCTCCTTTAAAAAAAGGGAGAGAGGGATTACGCAAAGTAATTAATTCTACATCTCTTAAAAGCTCAATGTAAAATATGTCAGCAATCCAAAACATTCATCATACTTTAAATGATCACTTCTGAAAATCCAGATACTTTTGAAAAAGTTACTTACACCTTTATCTCTTTCATCTCCTGATTTGTCCTCTCCTTCACCATTATCTGTCAATACACAAGACACCGTTCAACTACTGCGAAAAGTTCGTTTTATTTTACATAGCACTCTTCTGGGATCATTTAAAGTGGAAGTCTAGTTTCCATCTGCTGAGAAATTTACTTGCTAGCATATATTTCCCAACTCTTCTCCATCTTACTACAGAGATGCAGGCCATTTATTTATTTGGTGAACTGTAACACTGCTGTAAAGTACTATATTTTATAGTAGCACATCAAAGAAGTAGGATTTATAATGACATATTTAATAAATGATTAGAAGACAAATAGGTTGGTACCAAAGCAAAGGATGATAAAACAGGATACTGGTCCCTAGTGTAACAAAATCAAAATATTACCATTGTCAGAATAATCCCTTTCACTTTCTGTCTTTGTCTGTTTGCTGTCTGGTTCATCTCCACTTTGGGATTGTTTCCGTTTGCGTAATCCACTTTCAAAATCTGAATGCCCACCAAAACGACCGCGGAATGGTCTCCTCTTTGGCTAGAAAGAAAAAAAGAGCAATACATGCTTGGCCAGTTTGTTGGCACTTGCCAGGAACCCCAGAATGCATTAGTTTCCTGCTATAGATGTCCTCTATACATTTCATGCATTTCCTTAGTAAAGAATAAAGCCCAACCCATGCACCCAAGGAACACCCATATATCGCTATCTCACAAGCAGGCATTTTTTCAAACAGATCATCTCAGTTCCAAAAAAACAAAAACATCACTATTCTGTCAATATCACTTCCAATTATTGCAATGAAAAATAAAAATAAATGGTGTTATTTTAAACATCCTACATAAAAATAAGACCATCTTCTCTTGTTGTTAATCACTGAACCAATCTGATGATTTACAACTACTGAAACAGCTATAAATGTAAGAGTTCCTAAGGTTACTGTGCTAAACTTACTCTGCCACGTGATCTATTGAAGCCATAGGGCATGTTCCCAGGAAACCTTCCCATTCCCATTCCTTGCATTTCCATCATGCCGTAATCATAATCCCCATAGTTGCCATAGTCTCCGTAGTCTCCGTAGTCTCCATAATCACCATAATCTCTATACTCTGGGACGAGTGCTTGGGAAAATAGTGATGGAAGCCGGTTGGGTCCAGGTCCTTCCATATTCCTTCCACCCATGTAATTCATCTCATTCCATTGTGCAGACATCCGTTCTGTACTTGATGGCATGAAGTGGTCACGATTGAAAGTGTTTAGGTGCCCTCGATTCTGGGCCCTCCCTCTGGCAAAGCCATAGTTGTTTCCTCTGTTGCGGGGCTGATCTCTGCGGTCACCAACATTATCATAGCGGCTTCCAAAAGATTCATTCCGATCTGATCCAACTTCATTATAGTCATAGCTGGTTCTGTACAGATCACGATCAGGCACAGATGCTCTAGAGTCATAGGACTCATAAGACTCAAATCTGAAAGAGCTGTATTACAAGCAAAGAATTCAGTCAGTAGTTTTAGAGGACTTGACAGGTAGCCCAAACAAACTTGGCACAGATAAAAATTTGCATGCTGGAGGCCCTCTGAAACTTTATTTGCTTCTCTAAAAAGAAGGGGAAATAGCTTAGTGGTGTAGTACATGCTTTGCATGCAGAAGGTTCCAATGTTTGGCATCTCCAGGTAAAAAAAGACAAATAATAGGACTGAGAATGACATTTACCAAAGAGCCTGGAGAACTGCTCCTATTCAGAGAAGACAACAATGAACTAGATAGATCAATGATCTGACTCTGAATAAAACAGCTTTATACGTTCACTGTATTGGAATAAGGAGCAATGCATTCTACAACAAAAGTAGAAGGAAACAACCTATCTTTGTTAGACAGCCAGGGACCCTTAAAAATTATGAAAGTATTTTCTATGTGGTTTCAAGGCACTATTATGAAAACCCTGTTTGAAAATCTCTTGTGGCACACATCTGATAGCTGATGCCTCAACAAGAGAAGACAGCAGACCCTCTCTTCAACAGGTTGCCTTCTTTTGCATGAAAGCTTTGTCATCAGAAACTATAGCATTTAACTGTACCAATGTTAAGCTACCATCTACACATCAAGTAATGAATATTGTTGTACCAATTCTTGTTTTTAACAAATTGAACAAGAAATATGTTTTTCAGAGATGAGGAGAATCTTTAGTTTACCTTCCCTGATCTTCCATGCCTTCCCCAGGACCACCGCTGCCTTCCTTTGACAGCATATCCAGACGCTGGTTTATTTTTGCTATAATGGAGTCAGAGTTTTCTGTGCCCACTGCCCCACTACCGTAATTTACAACTGGCATGCGAGAGCCCATCTCAGCACTCATTGTCATGTCGGTAGCTTTAGAAGCGTCCCAGGTAGTTGCAGCAACACTGGCAGCATCATAGTTGTATGGGGCAGCTGTAGTAGAGCTGCTGGTTTGGGCACCATAATAATCATAGCCTTCATAGCCTGGAAAAAAGGAAAGACAATAGTACAGTAAAAAGGGGGCTCTGAGTTTCAACTGTGGATCTTATCTATGGAAACCATCACCAAAGCCAACACTCATACACACCTGAAAACAACTGTCAGATACAAACATTAATAGGCCACCACTGTCCACTGCCACAAGACCAATGAAGAGTTATTGCTTTAGTTATGTGCCCACAATTAAAGAGGTGCAGATTTTAGGTGTGTTATTATCATTTTTCTTGTATAAAAGCAAATTTAACCCACCCCATGTTCCTTGAAAGAAGAGCAGTATAAAAGTTAAAAACACTACATGACCTATACCACACATTGTTTTGTATACTACAAGCTGAATTCTGCAGCAAAATTCTGCAGATTATTTTTGCGTGTGTTTCACCTGAGTTTGTGGCTGATGAGGCTGTTTGCTCAGGATTGAAGGGGTTAATTCTCTATTTGTGGCAGAATGGTACCTGAATATATTCTCATCAGGACAGAAACATGCCCATGACTGCCTAAAGTTCCGATTTCCTCAGAAGAGGTCAAGGCTCCCTCACTGTCCCCCTTCTGCAGCTCCCCGCCACTGTCCCACCATGGGCTCTCACTTTCTCCTCTTGTAACTTTCTGCCTCCTGTTCTCCCTTCAGCCTTGCTTCATTTGTCAATTAGCAGCTATATTAAAATCTTGGATTTTTCCAATGATTTCTATGAGAGGCTCTCATTTCCAACTCTGGGTCTAATTAAGAATAATTTTTCAATGTGTGGATAGGTTATTCCCCAGTTTACAATGAAATGGTTCTTTGTGCTGTTTTTGTATCTATATCACTCTTCCTCCATCCCTTTCTCTCCATCCACTGGACATGGAAGGGAAAAAGGGGGAATGGGGAAAAAGTATAAATATAATACTCAGCTTCCACTCTCCCTAAACCCTACTAAACTTCCCTTCTCTCTCGGTTAGCCTCTCTTGCATTCCTGCCAGTTTTGAAGCCTCCCTTCACCAGCCCCTTCCATTCCCTCTTCCTCCAATCCCCACCGCCAACTTTTAAGATTCTGTAACTACTAAGCATGCTCAGCCTTCACTGGGCCTTTTCAGGGATCCATCCAGATAGTTTTGATTTTTTAAACATGTCTGCGCTTTTGCAAACCTCTGGGTTCCCCTAAGCATGCTGATACTCAATGGCCCTTTTTTGGCTACAAAGTTGTTGTAACTCTGGAGCCAAGTTTGGCTTTAGGAGGAGTGATGCAAATTCAAATACTACTTATATAATGCCTCTAAATGTTCCAGTCAGTTATTCTTGTTAATTCTGAGAAAATTGGCAAAATACTTAAGATAGTACTGCAAATAAAACACATACCTTGCCAACTTGCTGGATTTGTTGAATAGCCACCTTTTAAAGAGACAAAAGTTTACTTTTACATTAAACGCGTCAAAGCAATGTTAACACAACACAGATTAAATTCTTTCACAAGGCAAGCAATTTAAAACAATTTTCAATGAATTAGTTCTTTGACAGCAACACAATAAAACACACATGATGTGTTAAGGAGTTAAGTACAGATATATAGGCAATATCCACCATCATACCAGAGGACTTCCCCTTCCTCTCCTCTACCGGCAGCTACTCACACCTCTCAATCTACTCTAGAATCACTCAACTCTCTGGAGCAGATTTCAGAAGTGCATGGGGGCTGCACAGGGGGAGGAAAGGGGAAATTAGTTGCCCAAATAGCTAAAACCATTGGACATCTCCTATACAAAATAAAATCCTCTCAATATGTTGTCCACAAAGTAGAAGTTCAAGGCTGCTCAGGACCTTTAAAAAAATATTATTTGCGACCCATGCTTAAGAGAAGTATATTTATTTATAAACACACTTATGCTCAACATTCTTAAGGTTATCTTCTATTTCTTTTCTAATTTTTTTATTTTAGGAGATCAGGACTTACCTTGAGTACTGGTGGCCTCAGTACCCCAGGAACTATAACCTGTAAGAGAAATATTGACTCATTAACATACAGAAACACACATTAACTTCTCCCCTCCCAGACTCTCTCTCTTAACTACTTTCACATACAGCAGCTGTAATTTGAGTGAAAACTCAACATGCCAATTTACTGTACTTAGTGGTTTGCTGTGAAAGCACCAATCTCATCCATTTTGCCTGCCTTCTCCAGCACACAAGGGAAACAAACTATGATCAGTAAGCCAGGGACAAACTGTGGGTGAAGACAGTGGCTTGTTCGGAGCAAAACAAACCACAGCTCCCAGTTCAGACATACCGTTACGCTAGGGGTTTTGTTTTCACATTTAAAGATGACAAAATTATCATATTCACAGTAAATCACCCCTAATCTTCAGACCCTGCCCTTTGCACATTCTGCAGATGATACCAGACTGTATGCACACCCTGTTGAATCCAACAAAATTAGGAAAGGAACTAAAAGTAAAACTACCACCCCATAATGCATTTTTATACAAATCTATGGTGTGACTGCCTTTGGAATACCGCGTATAGATCTGGTAGCCTCATCTCAAAAAACGATATTGTAGATTTGGAAAAGGTTCAGAAAAGGCAACCAAAATGATTAAAGGGATGGAGTGAAAGGTTGCAACATTTGGAACACTTTAGTTTAGGGAAATGATGATTAAGAGTTGACATGATACAAGCTTATAAAATTACAAATGGCATGGAGAAAGGGGATAGAGAAAAGTTTTTCTCCCTCTTTCGTAACTCTAGAACTCATGGACATCCAAGGAAGCTGAATGTTGGAAGATTCAGGACAGACAAAAAGTACTTCTTCACTTAGTTAAAACTATGGAAGGCACTTCCACGGGAAAGAAGAGATGGCTGCGAACTTGAATGCCTTAAAAACAACGAGATAAGTTCATGGAAGATAAGCCTATTGACGGCGAGTGACTAGCTACAGTTGCACAGGCCTTTTAACAGGCGGACGCCTCCCCTGGCGTCGACTGCATAGCCGGAAAGGGATTCGCTTGCTACCTACAGGGGTGGCAGAAGCGTTAAAGACACAGGAGTCCTGCCAAGGAGGGAGAAGATGTTGGCAACTCTTAATAGCGATGTGGAAACGACTTCTCCTCTATATGGACCAAGCGCTAAGCCCAGGAAGCTGCGGGTGTCTGGAGGAGGGGGCAGGCCGGCTACAAAAGTTAAACCCCCACCCCCGGGGGAGGAGGCGAAGAGGCGGCACCTCGCGCAAAAGAATGGGGGGCAGGAACCGCGCGCTGGCGCAGAGGAAAGGGGTCGCCTCGACGCCATTTTGTGTCGTCTTCGGAAAAAGGGCCTAGTCCCGCCTTCCTCGCAGACCGCGGAGATTAGAAAGAGGCGCTCCATTCGCCAGGCCAATCTCCGAGAGGGGCAGCGCCGATGGCCAATCAACGCCGCCCGTGTCTCGCGGAGGCGGTTGAGAGCCACCAGGCCTAGTCGGTGCGAAAAGCCACCACGGTGAGGTAAACAGCCCTATCCCGAGCGAAGCCTAACCCGCGTTTGCCGGGTTTCCCGGTCCCTTCCCCCGCCCCTGCAGCGCCAGCTCTCACCATAGCCCTGATCCATGGCTTCCCTCTCCGTCAACCTGCGACCACGCAGAGTAATCTATACCCTGACTGCGCGAGCGTTGGAGTCCACCGCGGATTGGCTCCTCTTGCGGACTTCTGAGTTTCTATTGGTTGCGATCTCAAAGTCCTGCCCATTCGTGTTTCCCGTGAGCTTCTCCTACTCCCGCCTCCCCGGGTGAAATCCTTTCCCATTGGCCTGGCTTCTTAAAGCGACCGAAATGGCTCGTTTAAGAGAATTTTCCGGTTCCTGCTTAAATCGACGAGAGGCAACGGTGGAAGGAAACAACGCGGTGTATTATGAACCTATATGAAGTGGCCGCGGGGAGATGATCTCATTTGTTGCGGTGCTGTGAAATAACTTCGCTCACACACACAAAAAAAGAAAGCAGCTGCAATAGGGTGGATTATTTCCTCACCACCCTAGCAGAGACCTGCGCTTTTAAATGCATGTTGCATATGAAAAATTATATAGATGCGAGTTACACTCCTGTCCCTTTCGCAGGCAATGATTTTTTGTTGCAAAATCTCGTTTGGTATCGTGCCTTAAAAATGCTGTCTCTCTAAACTAGGACAATACTTCTTGTTAAAAGACCGGTTAGTAATTTAACTCCTACAGCCTTTCGCTGTCGTGGAATTAGGTAGGCACCTGCTGAATTTCTAGATGTTATTTTCCAGATGCGTAGGCATGCTTTTCTGTGCTGGCGAAACAGTCTTGTGGCATCTTAAATACGAATTAATGTAATACAGCATAAGCTTCTATAGGTCACCATCCATACGGAAGTATAAATACATGTTTTATAGTATTTTAATAACAGTAGATTCTCTGTCATTAAGGTGCACTTTTCCCGACAAGTTTCTGTGGGTAAAGGGCATAACTATTTCAAAGCATTGCAATGGAAGAGAGCCTCAGATATAATTATTTGGAATTATATTAATTTCTATTACAGTTCCACTACTCCTGGCCTACCCATTTCTGACAGAATGGGAAGAGAGGTCTGCATGGAACTTTGTTTTTAAAAATAGCTGTACAGTGCTGAAGTGTTTTACAAGGATGCAGAGACCCCCTCTCAACCTTCTTTCCTGTTTTGGGAACAGAGGAAGATACATTATATGTCCTGTCCAGTATCACCTACAGTAACTGCAAATCTTCAGGTTTCAGACACAAATCTTTCCTCAGTGCTACTTGGAAAGGGCAGGTGTTTATCCTGAGATCTTCTGCATGCAAAACATGTGCTCTAACACAGCCATTCTTTCATTTCCAACAGAGCAACTATCCATAATGCAGCTGTTACAGGCACAAAGATTATAAACCTGCTGTTGCTCTATTTCCTAATCTTGAGACACATTCACTAAACAGTATGGGCCTTGACTGCTAAACCTTTCCACCACCACTTAATGATTACCTGATGGTGAGCTTGAGATGGAGTATTTGTTATATCCAAGTTCTACACAGAGTAGATCCCCAGTAATTTATGGCCCTAACTTAGTCTTGCCCATTAATTTCAGTGGGACAGCTCAGAGCATCACTAACATGGGATGCAATCCTAACAGTTTAACTCATTTGTGTGGTAACGGCACCAGTACTTACAGAATTTGGTACAATGCAGATCTGTGATAGCACAGCATAGCTATAGTGAAAACCAACTGGTTGAAGAAGCACAATTTCCCCAACTATACAGAGAAAAAGCATCATAGTTTGTGATATCCTTGATAATCATATTGGTTCAACATTTAATCCTGGGTTTCTCCACCCACAGTCCAGTGTACTTTGTGCAAATCAGTACATTCATCCTCAGTGATAAGCATGATGAGGAAACAAATGAACAACCATTTATTTGTTATTTGCAACAGCAGAAATAAAGAAAAGTACATTGTTCAGTTATGATGTCCAGTTTTGGAGCTCCCCACTTCTCCCTGTAAAGCAGGTATGGTGAGCCTTTTTCAGACAGTGGGCCACATTTTAGGAGCAGGTGGGGCCAGAGGCAAAAGTGACTGAAGCAAGGAACATGACTCTTAACCTTTGCCCCCATGTTTGTACAATCCATGATGGCTAGGTATGCTCTTTTGTACAAAAAATATTGTGTGATTTGTTCCCTATAGCAAATAAAATTGATAGAAGCTACACTAGGCAGTAGTGGAGGCTGTATATGGAAGTAGGTTAGACAGCTGCTATGAACCTTGCTCATCTCCTTTGGAAAAGCAGCTGAAGAAATTTAAGTTAAAATGAACGAGGACCTAGAAATTTAGCTGTGAGCATGCACAAGCCAATTGCTCCAAAATGAACCTGGCACTTCAGACACAGGTTGATCTCTAGACGAGAACTAAATTCTATGAAAAGAAATAGCAAAATCTATGATACAGGGAAACACTACAGGACTTACAAAGTAGTTGTATACAGTCGAGTGGATATAGAAATGGAGTCTAGCTTTTTCTGCAACTTACCAAGTACACATTTCAGTGAAAGTAATCACTGCTTTCCAGATTCAGCAGCAGCTTTACAAAATTCCACACACATGGCAAAGCTGCAATTAAAACAAATGCTCTGGCTATTTTTTTTAATCACTGTCGGGCAATCACAACTTGATTTAGTTTAGTTTTATATAGACAGAACACTGTAATTCATGACAAAGGATAACGAATTCTAAAACCGATGTACAAAATTGACATTTGGTACAGCAACACAGTCAATAACATTCAAGCAGGAGGCTACTTTGTACATATTTGAAGAGAAAGAAACAGAGACGTACATATATCATGAACAATACTAAAGAGAAACGGGTGCCAGGCCCAGACTAAAAGGCTTTAAAGAATTGCATAGATGGGATAATTTCACCAGGTAGTTTTCCACCTCTGTTGCAGTGGAAGAAGCTATACATGGTGGAATTTTCCCTGCTGTGAAATTCTTAAATGTCAGAAATATTTCCCATGTTTTCTGAGAAGAACCAGGAGTATGGTATAGGTGAAGAAATAGTATTCATCCCCTAAAGAGATACAATGTTATGGCATTGTCCTTAATTCACTGTCTAGCTGCGCCTAGAATTTACGGTAAAATCTGATAGTGGAGCTAACTTCTGAGTAGATACTAAAGTTCAATAGGACTTACTTGGACAAGTGTGTACAGCCATACCTCGGGTTACAGGTGCTTGAGGTTGCGTTTTTTCGGGTTGTGGACCGCCGAAACCCGGAAGTACTGTAACAGGTTACTTCCCAGTTTTGGCGATTGCGCATGCGCGCCAAATTGCATCCCGTGTGTGCACAGACGCGCCACTGTGGGTTGCGAATGTGCATCCTGCACGGATCACGTTAGCAACCCAAGCGTCCACTGTATAGGATTAGAGCTTTAGCTGCCCCCTTACATTTCCAAAAAGGACCAATCTATCCTCCTTTTCACTAGTAAATAGCAGTAATGGAGTATGATGGATGGATGAATGAAGTTTAATAAGGGATTCAGATAATCTTTAATAATTTTACAATCTAAGGCTCTTCCTCAGGGCTTCAATCCCAACAAAGCCTCCTCTAGATGAAGCAGTTAGCACCAGGACAATTGCTGCCAACACCACTTCCTCTACTACCCTTCTACGATAGCACTTGATAGCCCAGCTATCCCCACAAAATCTTAATAACAGTGGAACCTCTAGAGATGCCCCTCAGACTCCAGCTTAACAGGCTTTGAATTAAGTTAATCCATAAAAGCCTCCAATTAAGGGTCAAACATGGCAGAGAAGTTTTAGGATCCAGATCCCCTTTTATTCTTGTTTTTACTGATTAACTACTAAATTTGAGATTTGCTCTGTTTAACCTTTACTTCTGTGTTGTTTCACCTAAAGCTGCAACTTGCTTTGCAGGGAGTGGGTGTGTGAAGAATAGACACATTCAATATCATACCTAATTGACCCTAGGCCATCCAGACCTCATGCCTGTCAGTTTTCTCCCGATATGTCCCCACCTCTACTTTAGAGTTGTGAGACAAACATGGGGACTCCATGCTTAACCTGCAACTCTAAACATCTATCCCAAAATAGGTCCCACTGCACTTACAGAGACTTACAGCAGGATTCCACTAAGTTGTTGCAAGCACAGATGAGGTCTACTAGTGCAAGAGGACATTCTCCTGCCACATCCCCCGCAAATCTGCTCTGGAAGCTTGGGAGGAACCAAATAACAGGTTTAGGGGGAGGTGTGTGTAGGGAAGAGACTTTTTGGGTGAGCAAACCTCGTTCTGTGCATGCATATCCCACTTAGCACTACATTGAATTCCACCCCTTTCCAAACAAGCAAGTAAGCATGTTTATGTGTGGGCTGTTAGTGCAATAATGAAGATGGAATGCATACGAGGCTACTGAGGTTTTTAGAAGTATATATAAGCTTTAAAATGAATACCACTCCTTTTGGGTTTAACCACCTGATAAAAAGATGGCTACAAAGTAGGTTGGTACCACAGTCTGGCGCAGCCCACCCATGACGTGGGGTGAAGCTGCCACCTCAGGAGGAAGAAACCCCTGAGGTGGTGCCCACCCCTACTGGGGATGGAAAAGCTGATACCTATTTAGTGCCAGTGGTAAAGGCGGTGGGGTGGCAGGGCAGGACTCCCAGTTTTGCCTCAAGCAGCAGAATGGGACACGCTGTCCCTAACTAGTTAACATTTTTGTGCAACTCACACTTTTGCTAACGTGTACAGTCATACCTCATGTTATGGACACTTCAGGTTACGTGTTTTCAGGTTGCGGACCGCGGGAAACCCGGAAGTACCAGAACGGGTTACTTCTGGGTTTTGCCACTCGCGCCTGTGCAGATGCGCCAAATTGTGCCGGTGCCTGCGCAGACGTGGTGCTTCAGGATGCAAATACTGTGGGTTGCGGACGTGCCTCCATCACGGATTACGTCTGCAACCTGAGGTTCCACTGTACATTATCATTTAGGCAAATACCTAAAATGGCTTGAAGAAGGCAGCAATGACTACTTAAAGATTAGAAACCTATACCACAATCAGTGACTGCCATAATACTTCTAAAACTTAGTATCCTTCGCTAACAGCTGCTGCAGAAATTTCCTTCACTTACAGAGCACACACTTCATTTCAAGATGCCAGCTCAGATATGTAGAAAAGAGTTTAGTTCTATAATTTCAGTACTGTACACCCAATATTCATTTAATTCATTATCAGGAACATCTAAGACTTGATAAGGTACAAAACATAGCATACTGTTCTAAACACTTGAGTCATTACACATTCCTAAAGAAAAACTGTACTCTGAAGCCTCCTTCAACATTTCTATTTCTGTTGATTAAATGTAATGACTTTTGCAATTTACTCGCAATATTTATTTCCATATAGCTCCAGATGCTAGGTGTTTCAAAGGCTTAAGGTAGCAGGAGTGGTGTATGGCAGCAAGGCCTGCATCCTGTGGTGCAACGATTACTTCACTCACCCTTTTCCTTTGATGTAGCAGGAAAGCAGAAACAAAGGATCATAAAACCTTGTCCAGTCCACTACTTGATTTTCACTGTAGGAAGCACACATGTACTTGAAGAGAAACACACGATAATAAATGAAGGATGAACAAGAACAGTAGTAGTTGTAGCACTATTGCTTCATGGGGCAGAGTGTAACCAAAATAAACCTTGGGTTGTAGTAAAAAAGCACACACGTATCCACACACACACACACACACACACACACACACACACACAGAAGCAGTAGTACATTGCTGAGATTGTAGGATGATTTAGAATGAGACAACTGCCAAAGAACTGCATTGAAGGGAATATTTAATGTTTCTGTAACACTCTTCATCTTTCATATGGGCTACCATAGCCTTCATTTACAGAATAGCAATCTAAGGCAAGCAGCATAAATGATGTCCCCTAAACAACATCAGGACAAAACTCAAAAGGAGCAATGCTGAATTGCCTTTTACGAATGTGCTGGGATGCATTTATCCCTTTTTGAGGCTTCCTGCACATCCTTCATGTGGCTGCTTCTTCCAAAAGCCCACATGTACAGGTAATCCTAATATTATCTTAATCCACTGGAAGAATTCATCCTTAAATAAAAGCACTGGAAAAACTATTGTGCTGACCCCCAAGTATTACTTCTGCATATTAAAAGTAAAAAGGTAGAGTAGAAGAATGCTACAGTTGCATGGAAGTTACTCCGATCGTGCAGAATTTAAAACCCAGAATTCTGCTATTGACATATCCAGACACGGCTGGCTAGGGAACAAAAACATCTTCAACTATATACAAAGTTAAAGGGGGAGGGGGGAGAAAATTAGAGGACAATTACCTCCCCCCAAAGTTGGAAGCCAATTAACACAATTTGGTTTTGAGTTATTTACTCAAAAAGGAGGGGGGGTATTTTCCTAGTATAAAGCCACCTAAAAATTGTACTGCACAAAACCTAGCTAATACAATGAAGATTTGGTTAAAAAAAGCTATTTCCAAAAACACTTTACAGATAAAGGCTTTCAAGTGCTGTAACTAGGTGAAAATGTAGTCAATGAGAAACAAAGCTGCGTGCCATGTAGTGTCACAAATACAGTTATGGTTTAAAAAGTTTTAATGCAGAGTCTCAAAACGCTTCAACCTTCTGTGCAAGTTCACTCATCAGGTGGTTCCATATCCTCTGAAGGTATGAATCCTTTTCTTTCTTCTTTTTCTTTGTCTTCTTCTTCATCATATTCTTGCTCCTGCTCAGCAGCAAATGATTCCTGGGATGTGTTCAAATTCTGCTCTTCCATTTGTCCTGGTGGTGGTTCTTCATCATCATTTCCTTTGTTTTCTGCAGTACCTTCTTCAACTACGTCTTCCTCAGCCAGATTGTCTCCACCTTTGGTTTCTTCTTCAACCTTGTTTTCTTCACCTTCAGCTGCTCCCTCCTCCATATTTCCACTTGTTCCTGCCTCACCTTCCTCATGTTCCTCTTTCTCTTCAGGATCATCTGTGAAGGGATTCTCCCCCTGCAAAACAAATCAGAACCACCTAACACCCAGCATTAGACATCACACACTTTAAGGAACTGAGCAGTCTACAATATATAGCTGGGTAAGCAAGTTTCTGTTGAGTGGGGCCATCACATAAAAATAATTTTAAGGCCTTGACTATTGCACTAATTTATTTATTTTTGGTATGCTTTAAACTACAGAACCTGAAGAAAATCAAATACAAAAGTAACAAGAAATCAGGAAACTTTCATTCCTTTTCTTTGACTAGTAGATATAATCAAGTCTCTGATACAAGTGAAAGATCCCTGATCATTTTTGGGGGGGACTATGGCATTTCAACCAACAAGTGTCTCAATAATCTTTCTGAAAACAAGAATGTGTTCTCCATTATACAAGCAAACTCATTTCTTTTAACCTCCAGGATGTGACAAATTTAAAAAGTCATCCCACTCCAGTGGGTGGGTACATATCAATTTATAAAGAGTTTAAAAATATCTTGCAATTTACACAGCAATTACTGTTCATTTTGCAAAAGTTGTTAAAACTCTCCATAGAGTACAGTCTAGGTGTGCCCAATGCCCAGTTCACAGACTGACTGTGGTCTCCTCCCTTCTATTTGCAGCTACTTGGGGAAATTCCACATCCCATCATTTGTGGCCCTTTCCCACATCTTTACAAGAACATATAATGCCTACTGAAACCCTTCCAAATTGCATTGGAAATGAGAGAATGCCTATATAACACTTCCTCTTCCTGGATTCAGAGATGTCTTTCAAGCCTGCTGCAGCATACTAAGCATGCTACATGGTCCATCTGCATCTGTGGACCCTTCACTAGGGTGGATATCCTGGGGCTATTGCTGCCACTCTCAATAAAGTATTTTGAGGGGGAACACAATAGGAAAGAAATCAAAACGAGAGAGAGGTGATTTTTAAAGTGTATACAGCAACTGGGTGCAAACAGAAAAAACCACTGTAAGATGCAGAGAACTGCATACAGTTGTACCTCTTGTTATGTCAGTCTCTGGTTGCGTTTTTTCAGGATACAAACGCGGCAAACCCGGAAGTGTATACTTCCGGGTTTCGCCATGTGCAGAAGTGCTCTGCGCATCTCGTGCATGCGCAGAAGTGCTCTATTGCGGTGCTCTAGTTGCAGACTTTTCAGGGTGTGAACGGTACCCCGGAATGGATCAAGTCCGTAACTAGAGGTACCACTGTAGTAAGAAAACATAGGGAAGTTAAGAGGTTGGAGGTGCAGACATGTACAGATGTGGAAATGGAAAAAGGAATGGGTTCAGTGGTCTGCAGAGAGAAATTAAGACTTAGAAACTGAGAGTGCCCTTATAGTAAGGCATAGAGAAGAGAGGGTGCACTATGAAGCAGAGAGATAAAATGGAGATTAGAGGAAAATACATTAAAACTCAGTTAATATTAAAAAATAAAAGCTTTCCCATTGTTAACATAGTAATATGGCTCTTTTAAAGTTTTTTTTTTGGGGGGGGAGTTGTATCCAACATGTGTGTGAGTGGAACAGACTTCTCCTTACACACTTCTTCCCTGAAGCCTTCCATGCACCCTCAAAATTTACATTAGAGGGATAGGGTACCCTCTGGAGCAGATTTCAGGAATGCATGGTGGCTGCAGGTAGAAGGAAAGAAGTTATACAGTGCAAGCATCAAGTTCGTTCATGCCACTTTGGATTCTGCCCATAATCCCTCTGTGGGCCGTTCTTATGTTTATACGTTTTACCTTCAAATATCGCTCCAATTTCTTGCTGATAAGTTTATTGTTAAGAATACTTCTTGCAACTACTAATGATGATTTTTTTGACTGTTCCATCATAGCCTAGAAGACAAAATACATAAATAAATGGTCTGCACAAAATGTACCTACATTTCATTATTTTTTATACCAAGACAGGCCTTCCAAAATACAGTAACTTTTCACACATTTTCATCAGGAACTATTTAATGTGGGAAGGAGACTCACAAACCTCCTCCTACTTCCCAAGCAAAATTGATTTTGACAGGTCAAATTTGGTGTGCAAGGCAGATCCTGAGAATGATCAGGCCTGTGGAGCCAAAAAGGTTCCCCACTCTAGACTTAGACTGTGGAAGCTGAGAAGGAAAAAATCTGCTTTCTCACCTGTCAATTCACCGGACCCTATCCACTGTTAATTCTGAACCTTAATATCCAACCAAACATCTGAGGGCAAATTTATATTTGGCAGTGTAAGTCTGTTTGTGGCATGTGCACCACACCTCTCCCAGTAAACACTGGGTAACACAAAAGAAAGAGACATGTACTGAGCTGCAGCGATCAACTGATTCCACAACCTATGCCCACTGTGTGAAGCAAGATATACACACCTCTCTTTCATAAATTAGTGTTTAACAAAGCAGATCAAAAAGTCTACATAAAATTTTTATTGGCCAATGCACTTTTAAAGTTCTTTAGCTTAAGGGTACTGAATTTCAGCAAACAAATTATCAGTTTGCAACTCAAAGACTTCTTAAAAAATTTAACGAAGCAGGTTTTTGGTGTGTGTGTTTTTTAACAAAACCAAGCAGGAGCTACATTTCCAGTCAAAGAACTGCTTGGAAGTAATGGGATGCCATTAGTGGCTATATTACTGCCAGGAGAGTAGCTATACTATATTGATATATATATTTAAAATAGATACTATAGTCTCTTAAGCATGCTCTTTAAAGAATATTTACGTTAAAATAAGCATTAAAGCCCCTAAATTATTCAATTGCTTTAGTCTTCATCTGCTTTTGCCATTATAAAGTTGAATGATGTAGTGATTGTTCAAGCTTCTCCAGTGTGTTTTTGTGGTGAACAGCTAATTCAACAAATCCACTTACTCTGCGGTTGTGGTTATGATCAAGGGACTTCAGATGTTTCTGGATTATTCCATACTGCATCGGAATGAAGAGGTCACAAGCAACACAGTGAGCAGCCTCCACCTTTTTTACAAAATGTTCCATACCTATGTCTGAGAAAAGTTAAAAGAAGTCATAATATTACAGACTGTAGAACGCATATGGAAAACCCATGGCCATCTGCTGTGGGAACACAAACTCCTATAAGCCCCAGCCACCACGTCAATGGTGAGGGATGATGAGCACTGTAGTTCAGTAACCAGTGTTAGAAACTGAGATATGAAAACTAGGAGCTAAATGGCACCTTAAACCTAGGTTATGGGCGCCGCAACCGAGTGTCTAGGTGTGCTTCTTAATAACAAGAATACAAAGCTGAAAATTAATAAACTGCAGCTAAAATCTTATGTTCATTTTTCACATGGTCTAGTCCTCATTTGAAGGCTGCAAAAACCAAAGCCATACTTCCCCTTCCTGCCCCCCTAATATTCTTATGAGGGTCCCTTCTCCAATCTTCAGAGAGTGGTTGGAAGTGGGGAGGCAGAAAAAGGTCCTCCTTTCCTTCCAGCAGTGGCAGTTTTAATCTGAAATCTTAGGTGCAAGTACTGTACCCAGAGCTCAAAAACTGCTTGAATTAATTAAATTCTCTGTCGCAAAATGCGCCTGAACAATGGGAGTTGCAAACGCTGTCAGCAACGTCTGGAGGGCCATAGGATTCCTATAGGAAACCTCTGATAGCAGGAAATATATATAGGAGGGTGAAATAACAGACTTCCATTCCTCAGGGGCAGTGGGGGAAATTCTCTCTCTAAAAAAGTACCTATCCTACCATACACACAATGACTGTTTTGCACACATAAGCACCCCCCTCGACTGTACCAAAGGACCAAAAAAAGGGGGGGCATTCAATATCCATCTCAACTAATAGCAAAGTTAATTTAGGGACATCTTTCTATCACACAGAACATTACGGAATTGCTTCCTATCCTCTATCCTAGTTTTCTGAATGAAAACTGAACATTTTTACCCAAGAAAACAACAGTATGTATTGCTTTTTAGCTGAATTTTAAGACACCTACCCTGGGTAAGATCTTGGTCTTTGTAGATCTGTTGTATAACTGCATTAATATCTTCAATTGCTTTACGGCGTTCTTCTGTCTTCTTTGTTTTATTAGCAACATACTCCTGCATTGCAGAAAAGCTTATGAATACTCAACAGTGCATAATACCATACTGGCCTGGCCCAATGCACAACATGCTAGGATTACTATACAGTACAATCAAAGCTATGCCTTCCTTTCCTTTCCCCCATCTTTCTCAAAAGCAAGAACTAAGGTAATGGTGTGGATGTGTTGTGTACTGAAAAATACAAGAGCAGCACAGATGAACTGAGAGATGCTGATGTTTTCTACTCTGACAGTCATCCAAAAGTACATTTTTTGCCCCACTTGAAATAATTAAAAACCAAATGACAAGGAGGGATTGGGGAAAATGAAGCAAAGTGCCACATCTAGCTTTGCATGTTAATATCTAAAGGAAAATGGAATGCTCAAAGGGAAAAAAAGCAGACCTGGAGGAAGTCAGCTGTTTGCTGGGGCAGCTTGGTTCCAACAAATGCAAAGTGTTCCTTGTGGAATTTGCTCTCCAAATGGTTGGTCATCTCATCCTCATAGAAAGTGCGATACTTGCACAACGAACATACAAACTGAATCCTGTTAAGACATATCAAATAAAGAAAAATATTTTTATCTGCACAGCAGTAATTTGAAAACTTCCAGTTTCCTTTATGTAGTCAAGCTGATATAGTTTACTATAGCAAAGAACTACAATACACTAGGTGTGCTTGAATAAGCAACACTGCTGTCTTATTCCCAATTGAACTCTTTATAGACCATGTATCCTGAAACTGTTGTTGGTGAATACGTGAGACCATCAGCCCTCCAACTTCTTGTTCTAACCCTACCAGCAATCCCCAAGACTGCACAGAACTTCAGTACAGCTGTGATGTAGAGCACTGGAAGGGCATTGGCTTATTATTATTATTTAAACAGAGAACTGCTTGTTTTTAAATGTTATACCTTTGAAAAACTTTTGAAAGTACAACATGAAACATCAACCTCCAACAACTTGTTGGACTTACCTTTCCACCATCCGATCACGATACCTCTTTTTTTGCCTCTCTTGAGTTTTCTTACCAGCTTGCAATTTGCGCTTGATTTGACTGATCTCTTCTTGAATGGTCATAGCTCCTACATGAATAAGATCAGTTTATTTTTAAAGAGTATCTACTCATGGACCTTACTGAACTCCTGGGTAAGATTGGGCTCCAGGTTCCTAATCTATCTTCAATGAAGAGGCCATACTATAACTTATCTGTACACCGCTTGAATCGTTGTTTTTTAAAAAATAAAATAGTCTGTAAATTTTCTAAATGAATACATAAAATAATTCACAAAGTGCTAGTTTCCTGGAGTTTAATCAGACTTGGAAGCACAATTGCTACTTAAAGTTTTAAGACAAATATAATTGTTGGGAGACACAACTGTGGGATACACAAAACCAATTGTTCAGTGATGGTTTATATGAGCAGAAAAACATTTAGTTTGCCTCACAGGTTAATTGGAAAGTACTACATATTAAATAGGAATCTGCCTGGTCATTGGATAAAGGATAAAGTGTGAGTTACAGTTTAGACGAACTCTGAGCTTGATCCCACACAGAAGAATTCTCTTCAGGTTATTCCAGGTATAAGTGTTGCTGCTTATATTATTATTTTTATTACATTTGTATACTGCTCTATACTCATAGATCTCAGTGGTGTCCACAAAATAGAATTACAGTATCAACAGCACAAAAATATAATAAAAAATAAGTACAGAAGCAAACCAGCAACCCCTCCTTCTGTGAGTTTGTGGGGTTCCTGGACCCCAGTTCTAACACATGGGTGCCAAACACTGGATTTAGCAAAAGGTTGTAGTACAGGCCAAACCAGTTTCAAGTTCAGGAAAAAACCTCAGAGAAGAGCCATCAAGGAAAACAAAAGGAAGGTAATGGATGATTAACAAAGCAAATACAGTGGACACTCGGGTTGCGAACATGATCCGTGTGGGATGCACGTTCGCAACCTGCGTCTGTGCACACATGGGTTGCAATTCAGTGTGCATGCGTGACTGCCGAAACCGGAAGTAACCCGTTCCACTACTTCCGGGTTTCGGCAGTCCGCAACCCAAAAAAACACAACCTGAAGCGACTGTAACTCAAGGTATGACTGTACTCTGTGCTGGAGGACTAATGGGTGTAAGCCTCTCCTTCAAGTCATAGCTAGCTTGCAGGACAAAGGCCAGGGTTGGAAGGAGAGTAGTGGTATAGGATTGCAGCTGGGAATGATGTGAGGGAAAAGGTGGCAGTCTGTTAAAGGCAGCAAACTGGAGCAGGGTGACAGAGGGCCATGGCTGATTTCTGCTGGCATCTAAGACTGTGGGATGAAGCGAGTACATCTTGTAATGCTATAAGCGCTTACCATAGGCTCAGGTTGTATACATATGTAAATAAACCATATATCCAAGAAACCACAGTCTTTGCTGTGCCTCATTTCCAAGGGAAACACAAATACTGGGTAAGTGCCTGGACTTCTATAATCTTGCACCACTTGGAAATTAGGATGATGTGTAACAATATTCAGCATAGCCAACTGGCAGATTTTTATTGCTTCTGGGAGCTATTATTTTTGAATAATTTCACTGTCTGGAAGTGATCTGCTGTGCATGCTGAAGGCATAGCCACATTGGTACTGGAAACTAGTTCAAAACAGTTATAGCCTACCTCCACAAATAGTCTAGGGAATTGCTAGAATTAACATCACAATGTAAAACTCTTCTACCTGAATATTTTGATCATTGTAAATTTAACTAATTGTGTTGTACTCAAGATACATGTATTATTAGGGAATACTTGCTAGGTTAGTTCTGAACCAACATGTAAAAACTGAAACTTGGAATTTATCAGTGGTTTATAAAATGCTCTAATACAATAATGCGTATCTCCTGCAATATTCCACACATCTTTAAAAAAAAATCTTTATTGCATTTTTAAAAATTACAAAGAAAGCATATATTAAACATTACATCCAAATATTCAAAACTAAAAAGAAAAAATACAAAACAAGAAAAATATAAATATAAAAGATACAAACCAAAAAGAAAGAAAGGAATTAATCAGTACACCAAATTATTCAAAGGATACAAACAGTGATTTGATTATTCTATACACCAAGTTCCCAGAAAGAAATTGCACAATATTCCACACATCTTGTCACAAAAAATAACATGATTACCAGAAGTACCCTAATGCATGTACATTTGAACTTACCTTTCTCAGAGTCTCCTTTTCTTTCCTCATCTTCACCTCCTTCTCCCTCTCCCTCCTAAAATGTAATTAAAGACAATGAAGCATAGAGCTGCACTTGCTTACAGGCAAGGTAACAACACATGTAGAACTAACCTTTACATCAAGTAATCAGGAGTGCTGCTAGCTACCAAGATGATTTGGGGCTTAGACAAAAAACAGCCACTGTTCATAACCACAGTACAAAATTACCATTTACTAGAAACATCAATATAGTAGGCTGTGATTGTGAGTATCCTTTAAATTCGCTGCAACAGTGAGCAATGAAAGAACCTGTAGCTGCATCAGAATTTGTTTAAGAATTTCATGTTCTATGAAACCTCTCAAAATAATAAGATCTGCAATTAAAATTTGAAAATTGACACTAACTACATTTGGATAGTATGGACTGAAATAGGACTCCGCTCAGTTCTGCACTGATCAAACTATAATTCTATGCTCAAACTCTAAGCCAGAGGTAAGGAACCTTTGGCTCTTCTAACGTTGTTGCACTTTAAATCCCATCAGCCCCAGGGCACATGGCCAATGGTCAGAGATGATGTAAGTTGTAGTCCACCAATATCTGGAGGGCCACTCCTGTTCTATGCCTTCTTAAGTTCTTAGCCATACACAAACATAGCTAAAAGGTGGGGGATTGTGTCAGCTGGCCTAACCCCCTTTTGCTGCATCCATCCTATCCCTACATCTGCCTGACACCAGTGCAAGGAATGCCATATTACAGTAGGGGGCCTTATGCATGTAGGCCAGATCTGATTTGGGGAACACAATTTACACAAATCAGACCTACCTATATTGAGCTATATGTACACAAACCCCAACTTTAACATGCACTAACATCAGATGGGAGCAGAGTCAGCTGGCACAATCCCAATCACCTACAATGTATAGCCAGCAATGCAATCCGTATAGGGTTCACTCTCTATTTGCACACTAACACTTTCTGTCCATCCTATATCTGAGCACAACATAATAAATTATGTTAGTAATTATTTGGAAGCAGATGTATTTTGTAATAGATCTATATGTTAAATCTTCAATAAATAACTGAAAAAACACCAAGTATGTCTTCTCAGTGTCAGACCTGACACAAAGCAAAGTGAATGAGTTACCCCAGTCTACATATCATGAGAATCATTAAAGGAGAGCCAATTATCAACAATTTAAATTAATATACTACTTATTGTAGTGAGGCTGAGGAATGAGCTTGTGTTCACCTCGGGCACCAGTGCCTTGAGTCAGCTTTGTTCTTTAAACATTCATTCATCACCTAGTCACACTAGGTCTCTGAACAACAGAAAAAAGGAACTGTACATGGTCTCTCCCTAAACAGAAAGGCAAGCATGGCAGGACATCATTTGTAACTCTTGTTCCTATCGTATATGTATAAGACACTGGGATTATAAAACTTTGAAGCAAGACTAAATTCAGACTCACATTTTTAGAACCCTTCTCAGTAGCTTCTCCTTCAGGGCCCTCTTCTGAAAAGAACAACATATCAAGTAACAATACAGACTATAAAATGACTGTAACAGTGCAACCCTATATATGACTTCTCAGAAGCAAGTTCTACTGAGCTCAATTATATTTGCTCCCAGGTAAGTGGGTATAGGGTTGCAAGCCTGAAATATTTCACAAAAAGTTTTAATGAACATTAATAAAAAATAGCATACGTGGCATCGGACACTGAATTCATCTCTGGTTGGAATGCCAACTGGTTTCTAAATTTTGGACTAACATTTATAGGGAGATTCCAATATATGTGAAAGTGTTATTGTAATGGCCCCACCAAGTTTCTCAGTTAAATCTCTAGGATGGCTGCTTCTGTAATTCATGCTCAAAAGACCTGCTAACATGGACGCTGGGGCTGCAATCAGAATCTTAATAACACAATGGTGAAAAACACCATTTGATACAAATGTATAAGGACAAACAGCAATTTCAGAGATTACCCACTATTTAAAGGTCTCTAATGGCTCAGAAGACCCTGAAAATTATATGCTATGTGGAAGGACTTTATTTCTTATACTCTTAGTACTGGTGAACAAAGTTGTCTGCCTGCACTGATGAGGGAAATCTGGTTGTCTTGATGCACCCTTTTCCTGAACAACCAAAGTATGATGTGAAGCTTATTTTTATATTATATTCCTGAAATCATTGGTTTACAGTTTAAATAAAGTTTTTAATTATTTTAATGTTTCAATATTGGCAAACTAAGGTGCAATGAAAAGAAGACAAGGCAGGAGGCTTCAGTGACTTGCTCTTACCATTATCAGAGTCAGAGTTGTCAGAACCATCAGTTTTTGCTGCCTTACTGTCAGGCTCATCAGAACTGTTAGCCTGTTTTCGTTTATTAGCAGTAGGCTCATTCTTTATTCTTTTTTTCTATGAATTGAAAGAAAAGACTGTTTTTACTCACATGCACAGTCTAAAAGTTCTCTTATCACCAACCAAGAAATGTTCATTCATTCACATTTTAAGTTCTCTACACTCAAGAAAACTCATTTCAACAGGTACAGACATGCACACCTAAGACCTGACCTATTTTATACGAAACGAACGAATGAATCCCAGGTCACACTTCCTAGATATGACTAAAATCCAGTGATTAATCTTTTCGGTGCTAAGGCAGCATACTGAAGACAATGAGATTCCTAAAGAACAGCTTAAAATAAAGATGTGCCAAGCAGATGTAAGAGACAGAGAAGAAAAATGTTCCCTATAATAAAACAGTTTAAATTACAAAACAGACTCCTTTGCACTCAGTTCTAGGTAGTTCTCCTGCTGGGCAATGTTCCTAAAAATGGGGCAGAAAACAGGTGGGAGAAGATCACATAGGTACTTACTTTAAAATCTGCATCCCACATTTTCCAGTTTCTCCTCATTCGTTGTTTCATGCCGCCTCCTCCAAAGCGCATGTTGCCAGAGAAACTTCGCATTCCCTGGAACATGTTGTATTCAGGGAATAGTTTGTGGGAGAAAAGGGATGGGGGCCTATTGGGGCCATGGCCCCGTCCTCCCATTGGCACTGGCGGTTCATTCCACTGTCCGCCCATGCGCCCAGAATATGCAGAAGCCATGGGTCTGTTATTTCGCCTGTCTCTGGCCCAGTTCTGACCCCGGTGGCCAAAGTTGTCACGTGCTCTGTTGTGGTACTGGTCCCTGCGGTTCCCATAGGAGTTGTCATAGTGGCCTTCATAGGCATTGTCGGTGTCATGTTCAGCTTCACTGTAATCATAGCCGGATCTGTACAGATCACGGTCGTTTAGTGAAGGCCTTGAGTCGTAGGACTCATATGTATCATACCTGCAAGAATTGCACAGCAAGCAAGGAATCTAATCAGTAGCATATAGAGCACCATGTTAAAGTGTCTGCCAAAAATGGCAGTAAAACAGGTCACATTAAAGGAAACAACCTCTCATAATTGTTCTAGAGTCAAGATAATAACAAAGCTCAACTGAGGTTTTAACTCAGTATGAGAATTATTCCCTTGGGCATTATAGCAGTGGGGAAGGGCACAGAGGGGGGAAACAACATAAGGCTACATAGAATTCTTGTTCTGTTTAGCCTCAGTCAATCATAGAAAGAGCATAGCACTCTGATCAGATTGACAAACATATCTTCAATTTGGGGGAGTCATACAAATTCTTATTTTTTTCCTTTTACTGGTTTCACACTCCAATCACTTCAGGTGTTCAGCTATGCAAAACAAGTGAAGCCACTGGATGCAAGGTCGGTTCCCACAAATTATTAGCAGTTTGGAAAATAAAGTGGTTTTAGTAAGAAGAAAAGAAAGCAGAAATCAGCTATATACTAAGAGATGCTTATACATGACATTTTGCCTGCAGGAAAGCTCAGTGCAGACAAAATATGTGAGTACACCTTACAATTCAATTTTCTATGCTCACTATAATGAGTGGCTGAGACAAACAAGTTGACTTGTTTCTATAAAGGAGAGCTTTGAACCAGCACAATTTCACAAGAATGTTCCATAAGCTGCAGAATAACTTTAAATTTAAGCTACATACTATGCATGTAAAACAGTACAGAGGCTCTGAGACAAAGATGAAGTTGAATGCCAAAATCCACATTATTCCTGAAAGCATGTTGTTTCAATTGCTATGGCAGACCAAAATAAAGTCATGTTGCACTTAATAAACCAGTACTGGGCACAAGTGCAAAAATCAACAGTCAAGCTTTGTATCAAGGATCTGAAAGCAAGGACATGGAAAGGAAACAATGGCTGAGGAGGAGACTTTAAAAACTAACTCTGAACAGAAAGTGTCATTCTAAAAGCTATCAGGGTAAGCTCAAATATTCCATCTATCAACCCAAAGCTCTTGTGCCAATTTATAACATAGTACTACTCACTGTTGTAGCTGAGCCTTCTATGAAATTGTTTTACAAAATATAAATCTATTTCAGTTTCCTGCTATTTAGTCTCTAATGCTCACCTAGGCTCTCAAGTGAGAATTAACAGTGCTGGGTTAATATTCACCTAGTATGATAGAACTGAAAATAGGGAGATGCATCACGCTGGCTTCCAAATGTGCAAGGGTTGCAACTTCAGCAGAGCCTGACAACCTGAGTCAGTATCTGCAAAGGGGAGATTAAACTTTTATACTCTTCCAGCACATGAAATCTGTAGTTTAAACACAGAAATACTATTTGGCAAAACTATCTACAACAATTACCTTTCTTAGGCAAGAGATGCTGTTTTAATGAGTGCAAATAGAGAGCACACACTACCAAAACCACATTTGATACTATGTAATCCCTTAAGGATTTCTGTAAATCTCCTGCATCTTCTATTTTTATGAAAATGTCGTAAATTAAAAACTGACACAATATCAGTAAGATATTAAGGAGAAGTGAAGGTATTTTAAAATAAAAAATATTAACATGCTCTATGATACTGTAAGCTACTTTTAGAACCTGGTAAACAAACAGTGACAACACAGAGAAAAGCAATACTGAATGCTATGCATAATTTACCCATTACAGTTAAACTAATATGCTTTGATTCCACTAAGCTGCATGAATGTACACAAAACAGGTTATAATACAGTGGCCCCTTGACACCTTTCCCAGAGGGAATGACACATACAATTTATTTAGACATCGTTCATTCACCTGATCTCTAGAAATGCATCCATGAAACAGGACTGTCAACCAATAAAACCCTAAATATAGCCATTCTAGTAAAGTGCACCAACTGTCTGGGAATCAATGTCTCTAAAACTGTTAAAATCTCAGGTATAAATGTGAAGCAAATACTTCTGACATCTTTTTATACCATATATCCAGCTTAACAGCAATAAGCACCAGTCACTTCAACAATCCAAAGTAAACTTCCTTATGTATGAACAATAACTTAAGCAATTTATTAATGCCTTCTAGGGATGAGAAATGTACTGAGGAAAGATTCTACAGAATTATCTATTTACTTATTTTCTGTTACAGTTGGCTGGAGCAAAATCTTAAGAGAAACTTAAGTTATGGTAACCAGCTAAACACATATCCCATTAACGTTGATGGTACCTGACATACACTCTGTGAAATTAGTGACCTAACCAAAACTAAATGAGGTTGTTAAAACCTGGTATTCTTTCAGAATATTTCATTACAATTAATTTATCAACTGTTACAGTATTAACAAACTTTTCTCACTAAAAGATGTGTACAGTGGTACCTCAGGTTAAGAACTTAATCTGTTCTGGAGGTCCATTCTTAACCTGAAACTGTTCTTAACCTGAGGTACCACTTTAGCTAATGGGGCCTCCTGCTGCCGCCACGGTGCAATTTACATTCTCATCCTGAAGCAAAGTTCTTAACCTGAGGTACTATTTCTGGGTTAGCAGAGTCTGTAACCTGAAACGTCTGTAACCCGAGGTACCACTGTACAAGCACCTTATTTTCAAAGCTAAGGCAGAGGAAGTACAACTTGGCTAATTCTGTCTCCTCCCCACCCCCCAGCTCTGTAAGCAACAGCAAAGATATGAAGCAAAGAGCAATACTATCAGTCGGAGAACAAAGGGAACAGCTCTTAGGCAACAGCACATTAGATCAACATGTCTTTCAGAAACTGCCCTGATCTATAACTATTACTGAACCTTTTCACCTTTGTCTCTACACTCACCTGTCTCCACCTGAGCCATAATGTCCTCCTTGCATCGTGTCAGTTTCTAGATGAGACACCATATCTAAGCGCTTGTTAAATTTTGTTATTACATCAGCACTGGTGCCAGTGGATGCGTTATAGTTCATGTCTGTATCTGAATTAGGCATTTCCCAAGAGTTTGAAGTGGCCATACCGTACCCATAATTGCCAGAGTTATCCTGACTGTATCCATATCCATAATTATAGTCCTCGTAACCTGAAATGAGAAGCAGTCACTGAATTTTTTGGTAAGCATAGATTGCCTGCCATACATAAGCATCTAATGCAAGATTATCACTGTCAAGAATGCTCCTCTTCAGGATATAGCTGTGTCTAAAATGTCTGGACAAACATTTTCTGTAACTCCTACCAAATATTAATCTTCTTACCTATGGAAAAAGCACATAGCAAATTTCCTGCTAAAGTCAACCTTCATTTTTATCTCATCTGCAAAAGGGCTCAGTTGCTACAGCATTGGCATTATCTCCAACTATAGCACCATTAACAATACCGTCAGGTGTATCCTGATTGCTAGAGGGGCCCAAGGTGGCAGCCTCCATGAACAGCACATCTTACCTTGGATAATGATCCACCTCTCTTTAGGACGGGGGGGAGGGAGAGTTTTCAGGAGAGACACTCAGCACCTACCCCAGCATCTACAATTATTCATTTACATAAGAAATCTGCTGAATTTGTGGATAGCCAATAAAATATTCTCAAATCACTTAAAAAAATCTAGCAAGTGGCACAACAGTGTCAATAAGAAGAGAACCTAATTGCAAGACACCATATTTCATCTTCACACAATACTGTAAGGACACAAATTTAGAACTAAAACTGATTAAGGGTGGAAATGAAAATTCATCACATCCAGTAAAATAAAGTTATTCAAGCTAATAGTACTGACTACTTATAATTTATTTCATTTATGAATTGCTCCCCATCAGGCATCCGAAAGCCATTTACAATAGTAATTGGACTGCAGAATACAATGCAGAACTGGATCCCCAGCATGACTTCCATGATTTATATACTCCATTGTTACTATCTCCATACCCACACTTCATAATTTGAAACTAACACTGCATCCTATACATGTTTACTGGAAATCGTCCCGTTCTGTTCCAAGGGGTTGAATTCCTGCTGTTTATACAATTATAGCTTAACATTGTGATCCTAAATATGGTTGTTTGGAAGTAATCTCATTTAATTTAGTGGGGCGTACTCCCCCCAAACTCTATATAGTATTGCAGCTGAACTTCCTATGAAAGTTCATGATGCTTTGTTATTCTTTGAACATTTGGAAAAGAGCTAGCAAGCAAGCAGAATTCAGCTATAATGCTATGCACATTTCTTGTGATAAATCTCAATGAAGCAATTGGGCTATTTCTGAGTTAACATGAATATGATTATTAGCATGTGGGAGGTGGAAGGAGATAAATTAATGCCCAAATTAAACATACAGATGATCAAATATCAGCCATAAGTAAGAATCTGCAGTAGTGTCATTGACAAGGCCAGCAAGTGTAACATTGACTTAACAATATTGATGGATAAAAGGAGCATGAGTGCCAGAAGATATTAAAAGGAGGAAATACATCAAAACTGTGAAAACCGTTACAGTTCAACTAGTTCTGAATTTACTTTTTGATTTAACTGTTATCCATATGGGCAGTCAATTAAGATTTTATGGTACTTGCCTCTATTTGTGCCAGAGTTCCAGTTTCCATAACCTAGAAAGAAGATACCCCCCCGAGGTAAAAAATCATGTTAGTTATAAGGTTATTATCAATCTATCCAAAGTACTATTCAAAATACTAAGCAGACCTGGCATGAATATTCATTGAATGACAGTTAAATCACAAGGAAAAAGTTTAACAAAAATTGACCTAACTTCATTTCATTTGACAGCTTGTAATTGACATTTTTTTGATCTGTGGACAGATGGAATGTGCTATCTGCACTTCCCATGGTCTAATCTGCAGTCTACAATATTATTTTGTAGAACCCTTTCATCTGGTGTGTACTCTTGTTGCTAATAACGATAGGCTAACCTTGAGTTACACAGACTTGAACAACTATGGCAAGCACTGCCACTGAAAGGAAATCCCAGGCTATGTTTATAGACAGCACGGGGGGCGTAGAAAAGGGTGGTATGGTATGTTGAGATAGCAGAATCCAGCACTTCTGAAGGTTCAAGAAGTTTGTATACCTTAGCAATACAGAGCAAAAACATTACAAAGCTATTGAGACCTATCAGCCTGCAACATCTTGTGAATGTATCCCACTAGTAACCTATGGCACCTCATTTTTCAATTTATAGTTTATTAAATTAAATTGAGCCATTTCAAATGCACATTTTTCATCCCTCAGCCTCCTGTCAACATTGCCCTCTGTATTCCAACTTTATCTAAAAGTTTCTCTTTCATTTCTGTCATCTCTTAAACATTCTACAGCACACATATACTCATGTGCATGAAAATTCTCAAACTGGCACAACACTAGGATAATTGTTTTTAATTACTTTATTGTAGTCTAATAAAAGTAAGGCTCAGACAGATTTACTTAGCGTTCATAAGGACATTGCTGAAAATATATATCAATATCCCCTTCAGACCTTCTTCACCTGCCCGAATGGTGGAGACTACTACACAGACAAAAATAGGCTCAATGATAATGTCATGAATCAATCCTGTTTAAATCAATAGCATAAGGATTACAAGTTCAACTGCATCCAGTGAAATCTCCATTTCAAAGCACTCTGACCAGAAGTAAATAAGAAAAGGATTATTGCTAATTTACATTAGCTTGGAATATTAGGGAGTGAGTAATCATTTGTAGGCCAGTATATATGTAACATACAACTATAGTTTAGAGATCAGGAGTAGGCCACAGGATCACATGCTCCTTGTCTCTCCCATCTCACACATCATCCCTTCTCTACCCTCATTTATTTTGTGTAACTGTTACTAAGGGAGCGCCTAAGCATTATTTCCTTGGAACATCCATTAGCAGAATCACTAACAATCACATAACAGTGAACCATGGTAAAAGGGGATAATAGGGAATTCCCACAGAAGGTGTGAAGGAGCACATAAACAGACACCCTCTTCTCCATAAACCAAGACTATAAATGACAATGCACTGACCTTGAAGCAGCAATAACTACTATTTAGGTACTAATTCAGAACTCTGCTGCTTAAGGCCTTTTAACTTCAACACTACCCTTCTAAAAGGAATCAAAGTCCACAAGGAGCAAAGAGCTACAACGGCTAGCTGTAAAGAATGTATCACTGCTACAATCTCCTATAAAGAGGTTGAACTAGTACCAGAACAGTAGTCCTCTGAATCCTAGCACACAGTCCTTTTACTAAAGATGAAAAATACACCAATTCTGAACAACTAGATTTGTATAATTAATCAAAAATATATTTACTGAAAGATGAATTAGACCTTAAGGGACCTGCACTTCTTCAGAAGATACAGCAATATTGTGAGGCACAAGAACTTTTGTAGCCATTTAGCGGACACAGAATACAACTCCTATAGTACATCAGAATCAGTACAAGTAACTTGTATAGCCACTACAAACGGCCACTAACAGTGCACATCTCAGAAGTAAACCTATTGAGTTCAATGGACTTTACTTGATGTATGTATGTATGTGATTGTGGCTCAGCATTTTTGCCCACAATCTTAATTTGTTGAAGTAAGGGAATGACTGCTTTTACTCAGGAGCACTCTGTTCACAGTGAGAAGCACACTACATATGCTTTCACTCGTTTGTATTCCTGGTGTTCAATTCCTGGTGCAAAGTAAGCCCGGCACCTTGCTCGCTAATAAAATTTTTCATTTAACTATCATAACCCATTTGAAATCAAAACAGGAGTGATTAACTCTTCAGATAATCATCAAATTAGGCATATCTTTAAAATCTAAAGTATCTTTATTTCAGAACAAAGATAATGTGTCAAAACTTCACAGAAATATAGTATTACAGTATTTCCAGTACTGCTATTTCACTAGCACAGTAGACTTCTGCTTACACACCAGAACTTCCCCCTCCTCTCCCCTACAATCACCCCCACCCTCAGAATCTCCTCCAGAGGATGCTCCAGAGTAGATTTTGAAGATGTGGAGGGAGAGGAAGTCCCATGGTGCAAGTAGAACTCCAGACATGCAGCTGGACAGAACCCATGCTTCTCACATTCCAGTATCAAGTCCCTACTCAAACATTTGAAGCCAAAAATATGACTAATTGAGGTTAGTTAGAAACACATTGATCAGGGAAATGTTGGTCTCCCAGAGTGAGAGGCTGGGAGGAGAAAGGAAAGATCTCAGGTGAGAAGTGGGAGAAGCTACTATCTTATGTGGGTGGTAAGGGTTAAGAACTACCTTTAAGAGAGAACTCCATACTCTATTTTTACCTTTACCTTTGATAAAAATATTAATGACTGAGAAAAATATTGACCATGGTACATGCTGAGGGAATGAATACCACCTGCATCTGTCACATATGGGACTTTGCAAGTGATCCATGGAAGAATTTCTATCACTTCTAAGTGCACCAAAGCTGTCCAAAGCAGCCAGCAAACTGTTTGGGGTTGCTTTTTTAAGTTTTCAGACAAAAATCAGTCAGGTTTGTCTTCAGTATGCACTAACACGCACTGGGGCACAGGTGCCAGACTATTTTAATTACATATAATTCCATCTGTAGCTGGGCAACCATAATGATAATGAAGAGCCTACCTCATATTTTATGAAATAGATTTGGTTCCACACTTACATAACCAAAGGGCTAGAAAGGCAAATGTTGACACCGCAAGTTCAGATAACCGTATAACATCGCGCATGCATAAACCTAAACGAATAGCGGGCAGCTAGGATTCAAGTGGACATGCCACGTTCGCGTTTTTATTTTATTTTATTTAGAAAGCAACTCCTCTTTGGCAAATAGCCTTTCTAAATTCCAAAGAGTGTTAGTTGGTGGTTCAGCAAGGGGGAAACAATGGCAGTTATTCCAAGGGAAGCCATAACCGATCGGACACGGGGGAAGGTTCCCCCCCTTTTTTTTCTTCCTGCGCCACCTTCCCACACCCACTCCTATTATAACCGCTCGCAGATACCAAGCAGTGGGGGGCGCGTGTGCAAAGGCGGCAGAGACGCAAAGATTCATCCCTCCTTCCTCCCCTCCCACCCCGATTCTGAGGCGGCGGGCGCAGAGGAGCAATGCTGACATTCACCTTTCCCCGAATCCCCTCCGCACATTCGCACAACGAGGGGCGGGCGGCTGAGGAGGGCGGCGCACCCTGCGCGCACAGCCTGAAACCGTCCAAGAACCTCCCCGCCCCCCACGCGCCATTTCTTTATTTGGCGGGAGCAACGGGAAAACGACAACACCTCAGCAACCCACCCCCGCGGGGAACGGGGGTCACTGCAGCGTTGCCAGGAGAGAAGGGAAAGGCAGCGCTGCTGACCCCACCCCCCGAGATGTTGACACAGGGCCGGGCCCTGCGCTCCCTTTGGCCCACTCGCGGTGGGTGGGAGGAACCCGGCCCCCCATCCTCACGCCCGACAGGCGGCCGCCCTCTCCCCCCCCCTCACCCGGCCCCCGACGCTCACCTGAATAGCTCATGATGGCGGTGGCGGCTCCACTACAAAACCACACTCCTCACACCCGTTACCTCCTGCGCCAGACGGCAACGGCAGCTTGCTAGCCCCGCCTCCCGACACTGTTGGCCGCGCTCGCTCACCTAGCCGGTCAGCCATTGGCGGTTACGGCGGTTAGTCCCGCCCTCCTGGCACGCTATTGGGAGCAGAGGCCTAGAGCCCTCGTATTTCATTAGAGGCGGGAGGCATCGATCAGAACCACTTCGGTTAACCTATAAGGCAATTGCGGATGCCAATCATGTTCCGTCAGCGAATAACAGCACCGGCTAGAGATTTCCAAGAGGTCATTGGGTCTAAGCGGTTATCACTCATGAGCGGCGCAACGGCGGGCACTAATTTGTACTCATTGTCCCCAAGTATGCAGCGCGTCCGCTTTCTCTTGTTGCGCACCTTTCAGGAGGCGGGACCAACCAGCTGCTCCTATTGGTCAGAAAGAGAGAAGCTTAGTTCTCCTCTCTCTCGCGAGGGAGGGGGGTGGACTGAGGGCGGGGGAATAATCAACGAGATAAACTGGAAGGAATTCAACTTCTTCCGAATCTGACGGGCTACGGAAGCTCAGGAGGCACAACGACTACCATTTTACAGCGCCTTGTTATGGATAGTCTCCCCTCCCCACGTCTTCAAGCTGCGGCATCGGAATTTAAATACCGAGGGGGCAGGACAGCTCGAGTGTCAGTTGCCTGAACTGCTATGGCGGCGTGTCCCTTATGAGGGGGACAGAGCAAAGAGGGGCACAGCACCGTGGTGTAGCCTGCTTCCCCAAACGTAAAGTTTGATGTAGCAATTGAGCGCCTCTCAGTGAAAAACATCAGTGTACGATCGAGCACATAAACGGTTTCTTCTAAATAGAAAGAAAGATCAGGTCAGATTTCTCTCTCACCCACACACAAAATAATAATGATTTGACAGCCCGCCAATGCAACTGGTGGAGCCAGTGCAACCACCTGCATCGTATCAAACTGGACCTAACTGACATACACTAACAGGGGATGTGAAGGCAGGGCTAAAGTTGCTGAAAAGGTGGTAAAAACAGAGCTATGCAAACCAATGCCCAAAGCTATGCAAACCAGCGTGGAAGCCGGTGCTTCTTCACTGATGAGGTTCAGAATACCAAACACCTTGAATATAGACAACGCTTGGGCAGTTTCTTCCATGAAGGATGGTATCAGAGGTTAGGTAAAAGTCCTCTTCCCACCATCCCATTACACTTTTAAGTTATGGTTGCTGCAATGCAGTATTCTTTTCTAGAAGAGAATCCATTTGCAGAGAGATTCTGGTTTGAACAGGATTCAAATGGAAAGTGAGTTGCCTGAAGCGGTGAGCGGCAAGCTGCAATATCACAGTTGTTTCTCACCTCAGCCATGAATTCACTCCTTGGCTCTTGCTTCACCTCAGAGCTACAGTTGTAATATATGAATATCAGCCTATCTTGCAAGATTACCACATTATTGAAACCAAGTGTTTTGAACACTTATCAACTTTGATAATGTATAGCTATATATATTACACCATGTCTGATTATTCTGAATTAGAACAAACACCTAGTCAATCAGTACTGTACTTTATCTTGAACATAAGCCCTTGGCAAAGTGTCTGCCTTTTAATTTTCAGATAAATATGAAGAACAGAAAGATGGTCTCTTCTAACTCTATGATTCTAACCCATAAATATTTGATAATTAAAAGTAATATTTGCATAACAGCTGGATTTCCAATTGCTAATAAACATCTAAAGCTAAAATGCTATGGACTTAGCTACACCAGAGAGGGTTCCTTTTTGCCACCATATTTGAAAATGCTTGGTGCTTCATAGCTAGTATTGGAACCATTTCAGCTTCTTGGATTAGACATTCAAAATATAGTTACTAGGTTTCCTTCATAAACTCAAAAATTGGACACCAGAAGGTCAGAATAGAGGAACTGACAAAAAATTAAACTACAAAGTGGATAACTGCTTGATGACACAATTTGATTTTTGAATGTTGCCACAGGCAAAAATAGTTATTCTGCTTACTTGTTATTAAAAAAGGACAAATTGAATAGATAGATTTTTACCAATGTCTCATTCGTTCCAGCTTGCACATACAGAATAATGCTGAGGGCAAGAATAAAACATCTACCACATGATGCTAATACTCATAGCAAAGGCACTTTTGCAGGCACTATTAAGCAGCCCTGGGTAAGTAACACACTCTAGATCATGACTTTCTAAGAATCCATTAGTTGGCATGGCATGATTTGAGCTGTTGGATGCCCTGCTTATGATCCTAAACTTCTGAGTATGCTCTAGGCTTGAGCCATAGTATGAAGCAATCTCTGATACTGGTATTTTGTTTCTAAACAAAATCCTGATTTACTTACATTATCAGTCTACTGGTGGCTTTCTCTAAGGGCAGATTTCCTGACTTTAATCCTTTCGGCCTAGACTCTGATAATTGTTTTACATTACTAGATTGGCACCACTGCTGGAACACAATTCTAATCATACATGCTAGCACCTTTGCCTTGTATTTTAGTAGGCTGTGCCAATTTCAACTCTTTTCTACAAAACCCAACTTCATCCTCTTCGGTACAGCCAAGTATCAACAGTGAACTAACAAATTCATGCATAGCCTTAAATTGTTTGAAACTATTTCATTCACTCAACCCTTCTATTGTCCTTGGTGTGCTGAAGAAAATAGTAATTCCTAAAGCTTTAAAAACAAATTGGCCTATGTTTAAGCTGTTGCAAGATCTCCTGCCTCATGGCTCCATTAGTATGAATATGTTTTTGTTTCATCTTTCTCCTGCAGGGTCTCAGAGCTGCTGCAAATGCCATAATGGCCTGACTCCAGTGGAGTAGACCAAGCAAGTCATTCCTTGTCCTTTGGTTTATGTTCATCTTTTATTCCATTAATGTAGATTATAGCAGAAATTTGTACAGCATTGTGTCTACGAGCCTCTAGCTTCAGCCTACAAGGAATTTTTCTCCCAGGTGAAGTACTCGACTGTTCCAGGAGTGTGGCATCCTTGATGAAATTTCCTGCACCCAAAGAAGAGCAGAGCCTCTTGAGTATGTGGGTCTTTTAGTGCTGAAGAGGGCTTAAGCTAAGGGCTCACTGAAGATCTTTACCTCCATCAGGACAACTGGGAAGGGATATTCTCAGATTTCTGACAAAGTACAAGCCTTAGCAAAAAACCAAGACCTTGTCAGACTCATTAAGGAGTTTGATTTCCAAGTATAGCTAATCATGTAAGCTGCTAGAGTGTGATATTAACATTGTCTCCTACCATGCCACAATGCAGCATGAACCACTACTCTACCTCAGTTAACACCCTTGTTTTTACTTCATTTAACAAGATGAGAAACATTCGTATCACAACGTTAGCTTGTGGTAGAGCATCTGCTTTGCCTGCAAAAGGTTCCAAGTTTCTCCTGGTAGACAACACTACTGAGCTAGAAGGTCTCAGTCTAAGTCAGTTTCCTATGTCTGTTCCTTTGTTTGAAGATTGGAGAAAATGGAAACATCATGTCCAACATTTTACGGTGCAATTGAGGGTGAAATTGTTATTAAAGACCCATTGGAAATGGTCTGAAACAGGCTATATCAATATCTGATTGCAGGGACGGAATGAGCATAATGCTCCCTGGCTAAACAAACATAATGCTGTAACTTCTCTGCCCCCCACCTGTAAGTAGCGCAGACTCAGCCTTTTCAGAAAAAAATGTGGTCCTGAACTATCTCACAGAAAATTCCATATTTCCCTGTGATCTCCCTTCTCAACTATTTACATCTGCATAATTCATGGGCTTTGCCCCTTTAAGATAAGGCATTCAAGAGTTTTACTCCCATCTACAGATAATTTGATAAAAGGTTGAATGCAATGGCTCTTGGAACAAACATAATAAAGGGCAGCTTGTATAATAATTACCAAAAAAACCCACCCTCTAACAGGAATAAGATCTTTGCCTACTGGAACATCAAACTTTATTAGTGAGGCAGGCCCTTTCAAAGGAACACATAGTTGGCTCAACTCCAAAAAAAGAATATCAAGAGTACTGGCAAAAGGGGGGAATCAATTTGAAAGATTCCAAAGTTGCAAATGCAACCCAATTAAATAAATGTAAACTAATTGGCTATACAAGTTTTACTTGATTAAATCAATTAATGAAAATTTGCATATTTGTAAAAACAATATCCCTGAAGCAAAAGGCATGCTTTGTTTTAAAGATGATGCACACATACATGATATCAAGCATCTTAAAAGAAGCATTCTTTCTGGTCATAAGGGAGAATGCTTCTTATAAAATGGTGCTTGCTGCCTGCAGTTCTAAAGGTAAAGGTACCCCTGCCCATACGGGCCAGTCGTGTCCAACTCTGGGGTTGCGCGCCCATCTCGCTTAAGAGGCCGGGGGCCAGCGCTGTCCGAAGACACTTCTGGGTCACGTGGCCAGCGTGACAAGCTGCATCTGGCGCTAATTATTAAAAGTATCACCTTTCCCCTCACAGTCTGCTAACCAATTTTCTGGGGAACCTATCAGTAGATTAAAAAAACTGCAACTGCTTAACCAAACTGATTACATTGTGCTTTAGGCAGTGAAACCTCTGGCATTAATTGGTTGGGTTAATGTGGCGGCATACAATTCCAGTTGTTTAAAGAACCAAACAGCTTGCATTGCTACTTCTGTAAGGAAGGGGAATGTTGTCAGTTTGGAGGAGAGTAGAACCTCTCTTCGGGACAGGTGGTAGCAGAAGTCCCAAGATACAAGGAATCTGAGGAACAGGGAGGCCTGAGGCTACAATGCTGAAGGTAAGGCTCAGAGTTGGGAAGCGAATGACAATGAAGAACTTGAAGGAAGGCTAAGTGACTAGAGATGAGACATGAACTTAACACACAAAGGGTCCAATCATAGAGGGAACTCTGAATAAATTTCACAATGTTTAGGATCAGGAGTTGTATGCAGGAGGGATGGTATCTCAGATCAGGAGGTGGAGGTGGAGATCAGATCAGGTGGAGGAGACAGGTGTACTACGCAGCCTGGTCAGGAGACAAGATGGCTAATGGACGCTGTCACTAGACTGCCTTAGAGGCAAATCTGTCTGTTGGGGACTAAGGTCACTGCAGCACTCTGTCCTGACAATCCTAAGGGGTTAAGGGAGAGCTGGATTATACATATTGATTTGAACCAAGCAGCCAATTATTTAAGCTAGATGCTTTCAGTTGCCTTTAGTGCACTTAGAAGTGAAAGCCACTGTACAATGAAAAGCAGAGGTGTAATGCTTTCCTGGTAAGTTAATAGACAGGGGGAACATGGATAGTATTTGGCACATGGTAGCTGCCAAGCAGCATTTCCCTGCTACCACTCTCATAGAATACTTTTCAATCAGATATGATGCTAAGGAAGAACACATCTCGGATGGGAGAGGCAATGGAAACAAGGCAGAATCAACCATGCATGCATCCTTCATGGCCTTTGATTAAAAGAAAGCAATAGGGATGGTTGCATGCAAGATACATTGTGCTACCCATTTCTCCTTCCATTTTTCAGGACAGTCAGAATGAAGCTGGCTGGAAAGCTATGGTGCTATTGCTACCCTTTAATTTAAAGTAGTGACAGGTATAATAACACCCTCCACACAGTGTTTTGGGAAGGCAGCTTTTAGCACAGGGAGTTATGTAATGTTTGGAACTATATTGTCATATTAGTCCCTGCTCTGGAAACTGGCCCAGTTATATATGGTGAGGAATTTGCTCACCAATGCATCATTCTGTGCTGCAAGATTTCCACATACCTTTATACGGAATGCCTGGACTGAAATAAAGGTTTAAACCCCTGCTTTGGTCTAAGAGGAACCCACTGCGACATATGGTGATGCTGTTACACTGTCATGTGCTGGGACATTCTTCTGTATTATAGGCGCTGAATAAAAAAAGCTTAGAGTTGTGACTTTGGTTTCATAACATGACTGCTGCTCAGCCTGCTATGGGAGACCGAAGAATAAAAAGAGATTGTTTTAAAAATCAGAAACAGAGGAAGAAGTTGTACATGGCAGAATAGGCGCCCGCAACAGTGATGACACACTTTGATACAAGAATTTCAGTATCTGTTCTACATAAGTCCTGTATGCGTTGGGGCTCAGACTGTATTGCCAGAGATGAGGTGAGATGTGGGAAATACATTAAACACAGGGAAAATTAAAGCAATTTTTAAAAAAAGCTTATACACCAATACACTTTTAAAGTACACCTTACCAAGACAGTGAGTCTGCTAGTTTCAGTTTATCCTGGAGTGATACAGTCTAAGGTTTCTCCAGGAAACAGCTTCCACATCCACTGGCAGCTCTTGGGACACCTCTCTATAGAAACCACAACACATTCTCCACCTTCCACGTAAGTATACAACCAGAAAAGCACACACTCAGGATTCTCCTTTTGTTTCCAGAACAGGTTTAATCTAATATACATATTCCTAGGTACAGTAATAACCAGAATATGCCCATTGAAAAAGTTAAAAGGTAATTTGCCTCCAGACTCTGCTCAGCCTGGGATCCAAATAAAAATGAATGCTTGTTATTTCTACACAAAACTAGAGTTTAAAAAGTTGAGGTTCTATGAAGAGAGACGAGGACAGCAACAGTGAGAAATAACAGGAAAGCAGAAATTCCAGTAGGACCTACTGTTGCTGGTTTGGGAACTGCACCAAGTTCTTGCTAAAAAGGAGAAACATAGAGGCCCTCCACCTGCAAGAAGTCCAAACTCTTCAGGTACCCTTGGAAAGGACTTGCTTGTCCAGGACATGTCATCCCTGATTTCAGGCAGAGGTTATCTATGGGACATCATTACCCATTCTTCAGCCCAAGGCTAAAGACAGGAAAAATCCATATTCCTTTGCCAAAATCTCATTGCCATAACGTGGCAGAGCTGAATTCCCTACAGGGTCCCACATGAAACAGATGGGGCTAACCAGGTGACATTGGGAAGTTATGGAAAGGGGAAATGTATGTGGGTCAAAGAGTCCATGATTTCCCCTTCAATGCAGGTGGGACTGAGGCCCTCCATCACACAGTTAGGGAACGTGAACATGCACAACAGGATCCAACGTCTACAGAAACTAAAGACTTGTCACCTAAGGAGTCAAACATACATTAACTCTAGAGTCACATACAGAATCAACAGCTTTCCCACAGAACAAAGTGCTCTGTGTCTACCCTCCCAACTTGCTTGTGTCTGACCTCAAACAAATCCTCATGTTCACAACTTTCACTAGAACCTCATATTCACAATTCTCACCATCACATCTCTCACAGCCTGAACTGCAACAGAGCAAGTCCATGTTTCCTCACTGTAACAAGTGTGTGTCTTTGGAGAAACCTGCATTCACTGAAAGGACAAGGAAATTTCCGTTTTAATTTTGTGCAGATAAAAGCGAGCTCCAGTTTGGAATACCATTTCCATCAAAAAGGAGCATCTCCATTAAAAACAGCATCGTTAATTTAGTGCTCAAACTCTGGGACTGTTCCTGCGAACTCTCCGCCCCACCCAAAATCCAAGTTAAGTTTACAGGTGGGCAAAGCTGTGGAGCACGGGGGGGGGGGGGGAGGGTGTCAAATACTGCTTTCACCCTCATTCTGATAACCATTAATCTTGTTCATTTGGAAAGGTAAGAGAGAAACCCTGGAATGCTGGTGCTTCCTAAGAGCTTTGCTACTGGGCCTCGGCTACAGGTGGTGCCGCAGGCACATCGGTCCCACTTCGCAAAGCATCGGCCTTGGAGAAGTTAGTCTCCAAGATGTGGCGCTGGAGGTGCCGCACCCACTCCTCTTGGATGGAGAGGGGTCCCTGGAACTCCACTTCGCAGAACCTGCACAAAGAGAACACAAAAGTCTATTTGAACCAAGCTGAAGATTTGCTCATCTCAAAGCGCATAGGGAAACCCTCTAAAAGTAGAATGTGGGAAAGGGGTGTGTGGGAATTGAGGCTGCCTGCCCATCTCTTGCCCTGCCTCCAAGAGGCCAGGTTCAAGAAGATTGTTGCCTATAATAGGTTTAAGAGCAAACTGCCCACACTATAAAGCCATTCAAATTTCACTGCAGAAAAGGGCATTAGCAAAATGGAACAATGGCACAAACCTGCACTTCAGCGTGTAGATGTTGCCCACAAACTTCACCAAGGAGGTCTGTGGTGGCTTAGGAACCAAGGAGGGCACAGGTCTCACTCTGGGAGGTGGCTGGCGGACCTCTTCAACCTTCTGCTGCAGATCAGCAATCTCCTCTTCTCGAGGTGGAGGAGCCTCAACGGGCTTGGCCTGCCTCCGCTCAAACTCTAGTGAACAGGGGGGGAAATTTGTTTCGGAAAGGATGCTGGGATATAGCAAACAGCATTGGCTGTGATGTATTTGGAATGAAAAAGGAACTTTGTGAAAACATTTTTATGAAGAAAAGAAAGGTGGGGCAGGAGAAAGTCTAGAAGTCATGCGGGAGAGTGGGGAAGCTACACGAATAGCATTGTCATGCTGAACGTCTCCCCATGACTAAGAACTTTACTTGCCAGTCTGTTGAGGAATTTCTCTGAGGCCAAAGGTGAAGCTACCCAAAGCATTGGGGCCAATGAATAATTTGGGAATACTGAGAAATTAAATTGGTGCCTGAACATTCACTGCCACCACTCCCACCCCCCAGGAAGATACAGCTGCCGCCTCAAGAAGGCCTCCCGACTGCCCAGAAAGCCTTGTACCCAGATGGGCCCTGTGTTGAAAATCTGGGAGAAATGACTCACTGTTTATGTTATGCTGCTGATGCTCCTCCATCTTTACCAGCGACAGAGGTGACGTGACTGCAGGTCGATCACCGCCATTGCCGCCACTGCCACTGCCACCATCCACAGCTTTGCTAGGCTCACTGGGCACTATCTCCCCACCGAGGCTTCTGTTCGCCAGTGGAGGGCTGCCTGCCTGCAGGCTCAGGGGAGCCCTCTTCCCAGAAGCATCGTTGTCACGCACGTGAGATGCATTGCGGAACTTTTTGGTGAAGGGCCGCCCACCTTGGATGTAGCTGCGATAGGCTCCGGCTTTCTGGGGACGATGCTTGATCCACTCACTCAAAGTCTCGATTGGGGAGCCGTTCACACACCATTCAGTCACTCCAAACTGCCTGAGGTGCGCACGAGCATGGCTGGCCAGCGCCTTGCGGTTCTCAAAGTAGAGGCCACACAGTTCACAGCAGGCTTCGGTGGCTGGGAGCAGAAATGGCAGGGAGCTAGACTGAGCAAAACCTTCAGTAAAGGACTTAAGCAGTAACAGTTCAAGTGTAGAGCACCAGGACTTATTTGCTCCATGGCACTACTCTTATTTCCCCACAAAGGATCCTCAGGGATCAATACCAACAGCCCGAAAATCCCACTTTGAAACTTCTAAGCACTGCCATCACCTGTAGCCCACAAGTCAAGTAAACCAAACCCCAGAATCCTTTGCCCATAAGTAGGCAAGATGCCCACTTTGGCCCTACGGCTGAAGACATGGAAGTTTACACCATTTACTGACTTGTCCAATGTTTGAATCCCCAAAGATAATGAAATAACTCTCTACCAGCCAGAGGACGCATAAAGGCTAGCTGATACCAGAGAAGGAGAAGAGGCAACGTACTACACCAGGGTTGTTGGCTAACTCTAAGCCCACTATATGTTAAAAAAAACCCTACCTATCAGGACACTGCCTTGCGTCAAAAGGTTTTTCTAAAGGCTGTAGTGGAATACCTTTTATATGAGGTCCATATGTACATTGTTGCATCTACCCTCCCAGCCCAACAAGCCTGAAAGCAACTCAATTTCATAAGGGAAAGCCCTGAAATAGAATACCAAGGTTTATCAGGATCCCAACCTTACCCTTTCCCCCATTCTGGGGTTTGCACTTACATGTATGAGTGGGCTTGTCATGCACATGCTTGGCTTTGAATGGCAATTCCGTCTGGATGTAGGTTTTCTGCTTCACTTCACTGTGGCCGCTCAGCCGCTCATCTGGCAGCGGGCGCTTAGTGGAGAGTGGTGCCAAGAAGCCTTCTGGTGACTTGAGTGGTGACAGACTAAGCTCCCGACCAAGGTGTGGTTTCCCAGTCCTCCCGCCCAGCGGGGACAAGGCCAGGGGCTGCAGCATTTTCCCCGGGGATTTAGGATCAGCTCCATCCTCCCCCATGGGCTGCGGAAGCTCAATGCTCATTGTGTTTGGCTCTTTCTTTATCAAGCACGGCTTGTTCTTTTTCTTTATGATTTCCCGTAGCGTGTCGATGGGGGAGCCATTGACTGACCACTCAGTTACTCCCATCTGGCGCAAGTGAGATCTGGCATGGCTGGAGAGCCCCTTCCGGTTCTCAAAAAACTCACCGCAAAACTCACACCGAATATCCCGCACGGGGTCAGCACGAGAGGCTGCAAAAGACAAATCAACATGCACAGAGAATTCTTTACACTCAAAGGCAAGTAATTAGCAACCAGTCATGCACCTCTCACAACCTTCTTATTTATTTCTGCAGTGCTTTTCAAAACACACACACAAAATGAACTACTTATCTCACTTATATCTGATAAGCCACCCATTTAATTTAAAGGCTGAACAGGTTCCAGGTCTGGGTCCTTCACGCCCGAAGCTAGCATGCTTCTCAACACTCTGTTAGTTCTAGAGTGACTGCACATTTGGAGACAGGAGTATCTGAATATTTGCATTTATTTTGCCAATGAGGAAACACAGAAAGTTTCTCACTGTACTAAGGCCCCAATCACTAATAGCAATCTTACAAGGAATCCATACAACATGGTCACAAGCTCTCAGAATCTCCAGTGCAGGAATGCATGAGCATAAAACTGATGCTACCTGAGATCTTGATTACTAGGCAGCAGCACCCTGTTTACTGAGGGAAAAAATCATGTAGCCCTAATTCCCAATTCTTCACTTTCACACCCATTCCAACATGCATTTTTGCCCATCACCAAAGGCTTATGCATACAGCCCCTGTTGCTAACACTTACAGAGATTGAGTGGGGACATCTCCTCTCGTGGTGACCAAGCTCTATCAGATAGATGTGAATCATTATGAAGTCCCCCAGACATCATTTCCCGCTTGATTTCCATACGCAGCTGATCTTGTTTCAGTTTCTTGTGCAAAGAGGGAGAAGAAAGCCCAGGGAAGATTTTTCTAGCAGTTGGGGGAGAAGAGGTAGGAGAGTGCCCCAAAGGGCTCCCTGGCTGCTGTGCCTTCTTAGGCATGGGAGGCACATGGCTCTCCCCTGGACCGCGTGACTCCAGGGAGCCTCCAAGAACAGACAGAGCAAGTGATTTCTGACCCTGTGCTGGGGAGTTGGAGGTACTGGTCCGAGGCTGAGCTCGCCTTTTTAGGATTTCTCGGAGGGTGTCGATGGGAGAGCCATTCACATACCACTCAGTTACCCCCATCTGACGGAGGTGCGACCTGGCATGGCTGGAGAGCCCTTTCCGGTTCTCAAAATATTCACCGCAGAACTCACACCTGATATCCCGCACAGGTTCTGCTCCAGAGGCTGAGGAGAAAGAGGAGAGGAGAGACAGGCCATTACAGAGGCTGAAAAAGGGATTGGGCAGGGAGCAGGATGTGACGTGGACACCAACTAGGTTATTCCCTTACAAGGCAGTATGAAGCAGGCACATAGCACAAGGATTTCACACAAGACAAAGCTGATACCTTAACAAGATTGGCCAAAGGAAAAGAAATAAAAAAAATAAACCACCAACAATTCCTGTGAAGCATGAAAGCTGGGGTAGGATGTGGTCAGAGCAGGGGACACTGGATACATGACAGGAGACAGTGAAGAGCAGGTGCTGCCAAATTATAAAAAATGCTGAGAATGGCTGGTCCTATGTCATGAGATTAGCGAGGAGGTATACCAGAAGCTGTGTGCTTTCCTTCACACCCTGATCAAGCTTTCAAAGGAAGATGATCATGTGCGTGCAAGGAATCGGGCATGAAGGCCAGTTTCTTCTCCATGATCCCACTGTCTCCTTCAAAACGAAGGGCTACCCGTCTGGATGAAAGTACATTTGCTGTACAGCTGAATAGGAAATCCCACAATGAGAAATGCTGAATACCTTTTCCCGTCCCAAAATTCAATGCCTTAATTCTCCCTGTCAGGAAGTTCAGAGAAGACTCATTTCCCAATGTGTGTCAGGGGAAGAACCACCAGGTGCTCTGTATTTGCCACCGTAAGCTTGAGCCATGCAGCCTCCTTTAGGTAATGCAGGACAGCTAGTGCAAAGGGGTGAAACACACCATTCAATATGGGGTGCCCATGGCTATTTAACAGCTTTAAAGCCAGCAGTATGCAGATCACACTTTGACTGGTCTCATCTACTCTCCCTGCACTGAGGGAGGGAAATAGCTGGAATCCCACCACCTGGAGGCAGTTGTCCCCTCCATCTCTGAAATGGGTCGCAGTGCCACTTTAAAGCCCTGGTAAAATTGGAAATGGCAGAAGCAATCTTCTTCCTTGCTCTGTAACTGCTAAGACATTAAATGCCATGGAGAAACACATCAGTACTGAGCATTTTGCTGACGCTAAACAAAGCCAATGAGTGCTGTGAAAAATGCAGCAGTCAGTTTCAAACCAATGGCCACCAAAGGGCTCAGGCTATGTAAGATTGCACACTCTTCCCTTCAAACTGCTTAATTAATTCCCCTTCCATCTGCAGCAGATCAGATTGAATCCACACTTGTCTTGTGATACTCTTAACTGAAGAGCAACCATATAGCCTTCTCCTATCTGGGGCAGGGAGATGCCATCCATTTAGAGCAAGATATAACCGTGGAGAAAATACCTGGACAGGGAATAGTTAACTTCAGCACACGCACAGGCCAGCTGGGAAAGCTGCATTATACATTTCAGAAAAAGCTTTGCAAGAAAAGCATGTGGGCCAAAATGCTTGCTTCCCCAACCCTTTGCTGCTTATTGGACATGGTGGCAGGAAATGGCAAGGGGCCTGGATTTCTAAGCGTACAGCTCCATGTCACATAAACAAGACTAGGAAGGGGGAGAGGAAGAGGAGGGGACAGGAGCCAGTGCTGATAGAACCTACAGAGATTGAGTGGAGCCATCTCAGCATCTGCTGCCCAGTACGCACTGGAAGAAAGACCCTGTTTCCTTTGCAGGCTGGCCGCAGCTGACAGCCTGTGGCCATGTGGCTTCAACTTCTTGGATGGTGGAGGGGAGTGAGGTGAGAGTACAGATGGCTGTTTGCCCAAAGGCCTTGGTGCGTGTGCTTGTTTCATGCCTGTGGCAGGCGCTGCTGTAGCTGTGCTCTTTGGGCTGGGTCCATCAGAGCTCCCAGTCTCCCCTAATGTTTCTCTCTCGCTATGGAGGAGAGAGGGAGGGCGGCCTTTGAAGTCTTCGCTTTTGATGAGGTCATTTAAAACATCAATAGGAGATCCTTTAGCATCTGGATCGCTCACTCCCAGGTGTCTCAGGTGGGCTCTAGCGTGACTCGACAGCCCTTTTCTGGTTTCAAACCAGGCACCACATAACTGGCAGTCAATTTCTCTGCCCGAGTCACTATCTACAGCTGCGGAAAAAAGAACACATTGATCACAATAGATACGATCACACAACTGATGTGTCTCAAGTACCCGTTACAACCTGAAAAGGACCTTGTTCCTTTTTTTGTTCTAAAGGCCCCATTTCTCACTCCAGAAATGGTAAAGTGGTTTCCTAGTAGGATTTAGCAAGCAGCCCTAAAGGAAAGCCAAGTTATTCACCTGTACCCACTGATGCTGGCTTAACAGTTAAGCAGAAATTCTCTCAGAAGACTTGCATTTAACCAGATTTCCTTTTAGTGTCCCAGGTCACATTTTCAAACACTCTCTTTCCTGAAAACATGATGCTCAAGCCTTTTCCATCTCAGCTTAAACCATCAGGCATTTCAGACACCAGTAACCTTGGAAAACAGCAATGTAAAAAACTGCAGAGTGTCAGACAGCCCTAGTCCCAGACTGAGCAAAGCTTCAAGCTGCCAGCTGGGTTCATACTGGAAAAGCAATGTGGCAAACAGAAAGAGTGACTTAAAAAATTAAACCGTCAATTTAAGAGGTCCAAAGCATTTGCATTTTTGCCTAGCATTTCAATCCTTCAGACTGAAGAATCTTAATGTAAATGGTCATCCCCAACAATGGCACAATGTTAAATACAACACTTTCCAAACTGTAATTGTTTCTCATGCCTGTAAGGTCCATGAGGCTTCTTCAATCCGCTATTAAGCTTTGGGTTTGATTTCAAAATAAAGATGGACAGCAGTGATGTTCTCAGTGCTATGACTCTTACATAGTCCAGCAGCGTGTGGTATAAGCCATTAGGAAGAAATGGGTTGAACCCAGAATTGACAGCTGTTATTACTCAATGAGGGCAGAACTGCCACTTTAAGAGTTTATTTTAGTTCATGCAGATTTATGCCAATTTCCGTCACAAGCAAATTTAAATTCCCAGGAATGTTCTAAGAAGTCATGTAAGCTATCTAGAAAATTGCAAAGTTTGTTGGTTATAAACCTCCACTTTCATATACAACTGACCGGATGAAACACAGTTCAAAATCTTATCAGCCAAGGCAGAGCCTAAAAGCAAAAAACAATAAAAGCAAAGAACAATAAAAGCAAAGGTTCTCGCAGCAATTTCTAAAATATGAAGTGCAGGTAAATTATCAATGCCTGGGGCAAAGAGTTATGTTTAGGAATGGATTACACCTCAAAATGGGAATGGGAAGCAGCTGTATAAATGGTGTTGACTTTCTCAGCAACTGTTTTTCAATTGTATGCTTGAGGAAGAATCACAACATATCTAAGGACTTGAGTGCTCAACTGACACCACAATATTATGTTAAGAATCTGCGGCTCAAGACAATGCAGTTAGAGAAGAAGGCAAACGGGACTTGGAAAAGGGGCTTTTAAATTGAAGGTTCCCTGATGAAAGAAGCAGGAACTCAGTTGTGGGGTGGACAGGTCAGGATGTCATCCAACACTTCCTTACAACTGATGCTGCAGACTTTGTTGCTGCTGGGTCAATAGAAGGTACCACAATATACACCTTGTGCACTGTTATCTTTCCCCACCCCCAGATAGGACTGGCCTTGGTGCCTTGAGCCAAGCCCACCAGAAAATTCCCCTCTCTTTACGATTCTCCTTACCTCTGCCTCAACAGACCAAGTGAGAACTCACTACTCCCTCACCAGCAACAGCTGCAAAACGGCTTTTAAAAAGGACTGGAATGGCAGAAGCAGTGCTGATTTTCTATTATTTTCCTCCAATGCAAGAGAACACTGTACAAGACTGAAGCAGGGATACTGGGTGGCTTGTGCCATTTCTGCCAGCTTTAATAGAAAACACTGTTGAATATTATAGCCCAAAAGAAGCACAGATTATGTTAATCTCCAAACTCCAACATCAGCTGCAAGTCCACAAGCCTTACTATAGGCCCTGAGAAGAAGGGCAAACAGGTAATGTACAACAGAGGAAGCAATGGCTCAGATGCAGCAGAAATTGCTTTTAATTAGGTACTGAGAGCACTAAATTCCTCACTCTTTATTCTGAAAGATTGCTAAGAATTTTGGTTTTAAATGAACAGCTATGCAGAAGATCTCAGAGGGTCTCTCAGTCTTTTCTTCTGATAAGAGTTTCGCTCAGGGCTTTGGAAAGAAACATATAGTGTCTATAGTTGTTCTCCCTTCAAGAGATAAACATCCCTACTTTCACTAGTGAGTTTAAAAATCTCCAGGCACAAATCAAAAAGACACATGGGAAGGCTTTGTGGCCCATCCAATGAATAAAATAAATATGACTGACCCTCTTAGAGATTGGTTTCGGGGAAGAGCCAGTTGAGGAAACTTCTGCTTTTGGGAAAAGAGATTTACTAAAAAGGTGCCTAGGAATAATAATTTTTAAAAACTCCTGCTCACCCAGCTCAGAGAAGGGAAGAAACCCTTCGGGACAACACTAAAGGATCACAGTTCATCAGTTGTTCTAAAAAGAGGAAGGGACACTTTTGCAGGAGATCAAACTTATGCAATAAGTCCTTTATGCCCTTTATTGTGGTGTATACAAGATGCCGTATGTGCGAATGAAGCAAGCAGCCTGTGCAGAGCCAATAGGTGTAAAATACGCCTTGGGGTGGGCAGCCCTACACTGGTTCACGCTACAAGGTAATGTGAAACACAAGAGCTCCCTGCAGCAGCAAACTGCAAGCCAGCTCTCCTGTTCACAAGCAGCATCAGCATCAAACAGACTCACTTAGATTTAAGGGGCCTTCTTCCTCCGGTTGTGACCACTGTGCTTTAGGAGAACTCTGCAGAGGGCTCAGCGGTAGCTTGGGGCTTTTGTCTTCGGGGGTCTTTGGCAGAGGAGAACCAGGCAGAGCAGGTGTCACTTTCTTGAGTATGGGAGATCCTGGCTGGGCAACATTCTTGGGGGTGAAACCTGGAGGGCATTTGATTGCTTTGTTTATTGGTGCCTCTTGCGGCCGTTCCGTAGCTTTGTTGGGAGGCAGCAGTGTCGGCTGTGAGGACCCTGCAGTCCCTTCTTTGGGAGAAGCAGATTTTTTGCTAAGACTTGGAGAGATGGGGCCACTGTCCACTTTGCCCTTCTGCTTCATCAGTTCATAGAGTAAGTCGATGGGGGCTCCACTGCTCTCAGACTCAGCCACACCGAGCTGACGTAAGTGAGAACGGGCATGGCTGGACAGGCCCTTGCGGGTCTCGAAGCAGACGCCACAGACCTCACATGTTGTGAGGTTTGGTGCTGGAAAGAGGAGAGTGACTTATTGAGACAAGGTTAAGCTGAACCCCACACTGCCTTTGCTACCAGTCAGTAGAGCACAAGCGCACACCACGTTATCTTGATTTGGACCCGGCTCCATAAACAAGCCAGGTATCATCAGTTTAGCATTGGACTCGCTAAATAGACTGGCTCTTTATTTTGCAACAGATGACTTCACTAAGCTTTAGTAAAAAATGGTGCTGGATGGTCAAATTCCTTCTGCAAAAATCAGCATCACAACTACTAGTCCGCCCTGCAACCATCACTTTGACCCGTGTTCTCACACAAAATTGGTGACATGCGCCTTATGCTAAGTCGGTGAAAGCCACACTATAAATACCCCCTTTAGTCTCCTTGTTCACAAAACATTATAATTCTTATTTTCAGTAACATTTCAAGTATCACAGCCTGATTCTCCTACCCAAATACAGTCAAAAACAATGAAGTCTATTCCATCAGACTGTAGCAGAGGTAAATATAGGAGGGCCATTTGATTGTCTGCTGAGAGACGAGCTTTATCAGACCCCTCTTCTCCCTGAATTGTTTCCATCCCAGCTGGTCATTATAAGAGCTACAATGTAACCTTAAGAATTGATGCCTGAATTTCCTCATTTTCCTCTTCCTTCCTCATTCATTTTTCCTTTGGTATTGTGTCTTTTAGACTGTAAGCTGTGAGCCTTTTCAGCCACAGAGTAGGGTAAAAATGCTTTAAATGGTATTTATACCAAGTGGCTACTTGTGATCATTTTAAAGCTGAAATCAGAAATATTTATCTCTTCTTGGTTTCAAAAGCATTACAATATTAATTCAGAAAGTTAAGATCCCTCACAGCATATATTCTACATTTCCTTTAAAATGAAGAAAAACCACAAAATGGCTATTTGGTTGTACACTGTAACAAGCAATGGGATAAATACCCCAACCCCCAAATCAATAATGGTACATAATGTTGGTAGATCATATTTGCATATGTTCATTAATTAGCTATTTGGTAAGCTCATTGCTGTTCCTCACAATGTACTTTCACATAAAGCCAAAAAAATGGAAAATACTGTATACTGTATTCACCACATATTGAAAAAGAAACATTTTATTAAACTCTCAGTATTTAACACAAACATTGCAAACTTTTGAAACACACTGAATTCTTTTTGCTATATTTTTCATGTGAACAATACTTTTGTTAGTCATGAAACCTTTCAAATTATTTCACCAAGAGACAGTGTAAATTATAAGCAGTGACACCACTTTATAAAACAAGTGATAAGCAACGGGTTCAGATCTGCATTAAAGTCACCTAATGGGACTGTCACCATCACATACACCATGGACAAGGCTCAGCAGCAACCTCAACAGAGGACAGACTCACTTTTGGAATCCTGGGAATCTGCCTTATTGCTAGAAGGTTCAGGAGACAGTGAGCTTCCTATTCTGTTAGGAATATGGTCTAATGACCCAGCCAGAGAACTTTTCTTCTGGAGGGCTGGTGACCCCATCTCTGCAGTGACCATCTCCTCTTCTTCCTCAGAAGCCATAACTACCAAAATATAAAAGAGAATATGGGGTTTGAGCTGGAAAATTAATAATGCAAAGAGATTAAGCACCATACAAGCTACATTTGCCTCATAGTGCCAGTTAAGAAAAGCAAAAAACGATTAATTCCTGCAAATGATTAAGTCTTGCAGAGTTCAATGAGACTTTTTTCCAGATTAAGTGTGTCTAGGATTACAATTTAACTAATTCACTAAAAAACGAACCAACACTAATGGCCTTTAATGGTTTTAGCATTTTAAGGCATGATTATAATAAACAAGTCTGTCTTGCTAGATAAAAAGACAGAAAACATTGGTTACTCGCTGTCTGTTGGATGAGCTAAGCAAATTCCTTAGATTAATACAATAACAATAGTCACACATCAGCTAAACCACCAATTAGTTATTTTCTAGTTACAGGGTTTTTCAGTTGCAGGACAAAGCACCACACTGAGTGGTATTTACTGTAGTTATACACACAAGAACCAAGAATAGATGCAGGGGGAAATTGTATTGATGAAGAAACCAGTAATTACAAACAAAAGAAAATGGGTATAAATATTTTCAATACAGGGAAACATTTTTTGCCAGAGCAAGACAGTGACATAACATTATATAAAACTGTTTCCGACAAGGAGCCAAGTGTAAACTAATCTCTTCTGATCCAACAACAGATACAGTACTGTGAAAAGAACTACAGTAGCATTACAAAAAGTCATTTAGCCCAAAACAGACAATGAGAATTTCTGAAGGTTCAATCCTAAACACCCTTACCCTGGGATTAGCTATTTTTACAGAGAATCAGCATGGGATTGTGGTGTCCAAATAAAACTGTGGAGGCTCTGATTCAAATTCCCACTCAGCCATGAAGCTTACCCAGTGATCTTGGGCCAGTCACACTCTTTCAGCCTGGCCTACCTAAACTAGCCTTATAAAGTAGCGAGAGAACGAACCATGTATGCCATCCTGAGCTCCTTGGAAGAGTGGCAGAATATAATTGTAATACTATATGTAAATATAAATAAATAACTTACTTCTGAATAGACACACATAGGCTCAAACTGCAAAAAAAATAGGGATGGGGAAGATGAGCAGAATAGGGAATCTTCTCCTAAGTAAGACTGATCCCAACTGTTGTTTTCTGGACAAATTCACTATAATTCAGAGATAATATCAGCTACAACTTTTTTTTTTTGATTCTTCAAAATTATTTAAATATACAACAAAGTAGGCAATCAGAAACGCAGGTTAAAGCAGAATTACTGTATTCTATTGTTTATATTACTAGACTGGAGAGATTAAAAGACAGAAGTCAGCCATTCCGACCTTCAAAGTGCTGGATAGCCAAAACAGACACGAGATAACGTATTGCATTAAAAAATAAATAATTTCCAACCTATGTTTTAGGTATGCATATTTCTCATACTGCAATACAACCAATTCTTGGTGTCTTACTTTGGGCTTTTGACGAGTCAGTAACATTCTTTTCAGGATTTTCAAAATTCACTTTAATAATATGTATCCACAAGGGAGGTTAGAAAGTCAAAGAAACGAGAGCCGGTTTGCCTCGATGTGGATTATTCCCGTTCTCTCAGCGGACAAAAGATGCTTTATTAATTTTTTTTAAAAAATGTCTCACTTTCGATTGCCAGCTGCTGCCGGAGGGCGCGGACCAGACGTGACAGGCGCTGGCCAGTGGCTCCGGGTGCTGCAGAGGCTAAACGGGAAGCGGCCGAAAGGATGCTGACCAGCGGGGAAGGCACGGCCGAGATACCAGGGCGCCCCGTTGGCGGGGAAGGAGGAGGAGAGCCGCGGGCTACCAGGCCTTGACAGGAAAGCTACCACGGACTCGGCTCGGAGAAGCAAGACGCTGCCTCCTGCCAGCCACCCAACCCGACCTCACGCCACCCCCAGAAAGGGACAGGCGCCGCGATCCCTGAAGGCGCAGACCGGGCTGCCCCGGAGGCGGCGGGCGAGGGGGGGGGGCTGAAGGAAAAGCAGGTCTCCAGCATGACACCTCCCGATCGGCCCTCCTGCCTGACGGACATGTCTTCCTCCTCGCCTTCCGGGGACTTACCGGCCTCGGGCGGAGGACCCGCGCTCGCTTCATCCTCTCGGGGCCGCGGCGCCGCCACCGCTTTTGTCGCTTTGGGCTGCGAGGGGGTGGAGGCCGCCATCTTGGGTCCGGCACATGCGGGGCGGCAGCCAGGCGGGGCGGCGGAGCGCCGAGACTCCAACTGAGCGCGATCAGGTGGAGTAGTCGAGCGCCGAGTCCACCCAAGAGAAGCCGGCCCAGCCGAACCAGGAGGAATCCACAGGCCCAGAGAGATGCAGCGAAAAGCACGAAGCGATCAGGGTACGGGTCCAGGCAAAACTACTCCACCATCGAACGACAGATTAAGGGAAAGCCAGCAAGGATGGAAGCCGCGCGCTTAAGGCTCCAGCAGACGAGAGCAGTAGAGCACCTAACTCTCCTGGCCACAGCTAGGACGGAGGCGGCAGAAAGGGAAAGGGGGCCAGTTTGCGAGCGGGCAGGTGGGGAAAACAAAAAACCGAGAGAAGATGCACTCTGTGGCCAGAACGCCTTCAGAATAATACTGCTGAAAGAGAGATAAAGAGCTTCACAGCAGACAAGCAACGTGAGGTGTATAAAAACGCTCTGCATCTTGAAGGAACAGTTTTAAAAACATTTTTTTCTATTTCATCATCTGCAAAACCACTTACTTGAATGGCCACAGTTTTCTAGCCCAAAACTACAAAATGACTCAAGTGCACTGAAGTGGTGGAGGATGTAGCTGTCACAGTTGCAACCTCAATCTATATACTAGTTAAACAGCAATTGCTCCTGCATAGGTAGCAAAGCAAGGTAACAGATTAATCAAAATACAACATATTTTAAAAATTACAACAGATACATAAAATAAGTTGTAATTTATGAAAAGCCCCCTTTTATCTCAAGGCTGAGAAAACAGGGTTTCCTTCAGATCCACTTATAAGGATCAACTGCCTAAAGAAGACTGTCTTTCCTTAAATCCCAATCAGATTTGGCATTTTGGACACTTCCTTGCATTGCAGTTAGGCTTTTTTCAGCTCCAAACCCATTTGTAATGGAGGGGCCCAGGTCATAGATACAAAGAAAGGTGACAGTTTAATAGAAGACAGTAAATTCCATCCTGGTTTTTTATTCCTTGCTTCAGTTGCACCTCTTCTAATAAACAGATCTTCCCTTCTTTATTGAAGATTAAGAAAGAAGAACCATCTCAAAAAGAATAAATATGCACTAAAGTGTGCTTAAAATCCAACATCCTCTCCATCAGTTCAGGATGAGCAAAGCTACTTTTGAGCCATAAGACAAGGGAGAGAAATATTTCAATCAGAAGACCATTTTTCTGAAAGTGAAATGTAATGCAAATATCGCCTCTCTTTTGTTGCAATCATAATCCCGCTTATCTGGGTGTAAGCCCTATTTTACATTTCTCTAAATTTTCTATTCCTATATTTAAATTTTCATTTCTCTGAACTGTATTCATATATTTTTCATCTCCACTAACGTGAGTTGGGGGTTGAACTCATCACTAAGCAAATGCCTAGGGACAGAAAAAAAGGAACTACCTTTCAGCAGGCAAATAATGCATTTTCTTCACCAGCACTAGGTGCATAAAAAAGTGACAACTGATTTTAATAAAACTGTTAGGAAGGGGTCCTCTTTCCTTCTTCTGTAATGGCATATGCTTTTAGCAGCTGTAGAATGGACAGAATATACTTTGTGGGCCAGGCTGGGCTCATAGACCATATATGTTTTAACAGCACTGATCCAACCTTGTATTCTGTAATTTTCTTGGGTCTTCAGCAGTGTTACAACATTTTTACTAAGCTTTGAAAATTGTTGATTCACTTCCTGTTGCCAAAGAAAGGGATTTTATCAATAGTACCAACTCAAGAGTTCTAGAAAATATATTATCTCATTGTGAGAATTGACACCCTCCCTGAAAAAAGAGGTAAAAAAAATAATTGGCTGCGGTTAGATGAAATTATCTAAAACCAGAATGCTACAGTTTAGGGTCAGCATTAAGAATAGGAAGTCCATATGGTTATGAGAAGTGGGTAAAAATAAGATTTAAGTTTTAAGGTTTTTTATAAGATAAGATGAAAATAGATTAAGGTAATGTAATGACAGAATATTATGAAATATGGAAAGGATTTGCTGCGATAATTATTAACTGGGATACAAAAAAGGGAGGAGGAGGAGGTCAAAGAAAGAAGGTAATGAAAGTTGAAGATTTGAGAATGATGGTTTTATTTTTATCTGTTTGTGGTGTATTTTTGTTTTTTGAATTTGTATTATTGGATGTGGCTTGTTTTTTTTCTTTTTTTCTTTTTTTTTCTTTCTCTGCTTTGTCTTTTTCTGTAATTTAAAATTTTTTCCCCCAATAAATATCATTAAAAAAAAAAAAAGAATAGGAAGTCCAGATGATAAAATAAAAAATGACCAAGATGCTTTTAGCCCACATGCCACTCAAAACAAGGTCCATGCCTCTTTGGAATCTACAGACTTTGCACGAGTTAGAGACCCAGCCATCTATGTATGCAGATTTAGGGGATATCTGAAATACATGCCTCAAAATATATCCATGAAGGGTTTAGGTCACCGGGGGCTGGGGAGTAAGAAAGCATGGCAGTTAAGTTTCATTGTACACGACCTTCCAGTGGCTGGCAAAAAATGCAGAGATAGAGACAGAGTGACACAATGCTGGTCTGGGAAAGAATGGTTAAAATCACAAATTCATTCTTTTTCTTTGCTAAGGTTACAAAATGAATTTGAGCCTATGAACAATTAGCTTCCAAAAAGAAGTGTCTTAATGTTGAACTTTCACAACGTCTATATTTGAAAACCTTCGCTATCTACAAACAAACAAAAATACCCCACAAGAAACCACTTCTTAAGAAGAGGAACATTGTTCCCCATGTTTCTAGGGTTTATACACTCTGGGCATGTATTAGGAATCCACTTTATCCCGAGATTTATAATGAATTGGTTAATCCAAATGGGAGATTTCCCCAGGCTTCCAAATTACATAAAAGCCTGCCAGAAATCTAATCAACCAATGCTACTTGCTTAAATAAAAATAAATAAATTATCTTGTTCTTTGTGGTGTTGCTTGGCTTAGTAAGGCCTTGAAAATATAGAGATGTCTGTATTTTATGGATACAGATAAATTAGAGAGAGCATAAAGTTCAGTGGAGTCCTACTCATAATATTTTAAAGCAAAAGGCATTTGCATTAAGATAAATAATGATTTGTAAAGGATGAGCTATAATTTTCTAATTGCAGGCTAGCATTGGTTTCAAACTAGATCTCCATTTTGCCTACAGAAAACCCAACTGTTCAACATATTACTGAAAACTGAGCTGAAGAAGAGAATAAATTCCTAGTATTTTTCATGAGGAGAAGCAAAACATTCTAGAGTTGCTTTCTTCACTAACATCGGACTCCATCTTCCTAGTCACTTTAGTCTCATTGTATTTCCATATTTTACATAATAAAGCTATAATGTAACTGCTGTCTGAAAATGCTGTCATTTTTCTCTGTACTCTAGTCAGGTTAGGCTAAACTACTTTCTATATTGGCTGTCAGTATGCAGCAGAGTTACATCCTTCTTGTTCTTAGAGGATCATCTTCCACAACTGCTTATAGTAGTGAAAGCAGAAGCACCAGAAGGTTTTATATAAAGATATGTCCTCAGATGACCATGTTCCTGACTGGCAGCTTTTATTTCTGATTACAGCTTCACTCTGAGGGAGGAATCAGCTTTTACAGGAGACAGAGCTGCAGCCACTCCTTCTTTGGCCTTCCCTCCTAATGCTGTGCATTCCAATTTACATCATCCTGTATTAGCATAGCCTAAGGTCAGGGATAGGGACGTGGGTGGCGCTGTGGGTTAAACCACAGAGCCTAGGACTTGCCGATCAGAAGGTCGGTGGTTCGAATCCCCACAACGGGGTGAGCTTCTGTTGCTCGGTCCCTGCTCCTGCCAACCTAGCAGTTCGAAAGCACGTCAAAGTGCAAGTAGATAAATAGGTACTGCTCCGGCAGGAAGGTAAACAGTGTTTCCGTGCGCTGCTCTGGTTCACCAGAAACGGCTTTGTCATGCTGGCAACATGACCCGGAAGCTGTACGCCAGCTCCCTCGGCCAATAAAGCGAGATGAGCGCTGCAACTCCAGAGTCGGTCACGACTGGACCTAATGGTCAGGGGTCCCTTTACCTTTACCTTTAAGGTCAGGGATTAGGGGAGTTATAGTCCAGCAATATATGAAGGGCCACACATCTTTGACATACACAGATCTGAGAATCCCCTGGCCTTTGTCTAGCACCCAATACCTGTTCCTTTCATGATGTACAAATGCAACCACCTTTTGAGATGAAGACTTGCAAGTGCTTCCATCAAGGGAAGTTGTTGGAGGTTTTTCTTTTTCTTTTTATAGCATGGTGATCTTGGCACCACTGAATTCTGCAATCCTTCTTCCACAAATCAGGAAAGTTTATGAAGCCATCCAGTAATTTTTTGGTCCATGTTCCCTACCTTGTTTTCAGTAACCTTCTCTTTTACTAGGAGCTGAGTAAATAATGCCAATTTAGCTGTTTTATTTCATTTCTGAATGCATCCAGAATGACAAGGCATCAAAGATTTTGTTCATGTCACTGCTAACCTTAATGAATTCGACTAGCAACAGAAATCCATGAATGTTTGGTTTCCTATAACACAGCATGATACTTTTCTGCAGTCAGCTTTCCATTACAGTCTCCACCATAATTTCCTATAGGCTGTATTGCTGTCCTCAGTACTGCAAGAATGTTAAGTAAATTGATAGGTAAATTAATAGGTATGTGCATGCTGATGACACCATATGCAGTTTCTGACAGTTGTTTGTGTGTTTAGGCAAATTTTCTAGCTACATGATGTCTCCACTTTGCAAAGCCAACTGCTGATTTTTCACAGTTCTTAGTATAGATTAACTCATAAGAGTTAGAAATGCACACCATTATTCCCATCCGTTGCTTTTTATCAGTAGATAAAAACATTTATTTGCAGAAACGTCCATCTGGCAGCTTGTATATAATGAATGATATATTGAGGGCTAGTAAACATGTTAATTGATTATTTATTGCATTTATACCCTGCTGCTTTTCTAAAGGGTGACTTAATTATGGCTTCCAAGCAGTCTCTCATCCAGGCAGCTCACAGGGCAAGAACTGCTTGACTGTGGATAGGCATTATGTGCCTGGAGCCAAACATATAGCTTTTCTTCATTTCACAGTGTAGCAATGCCTGCAAAATTTCTTTTGAATCTGCCATTTAGCATTCCTTGCATTTGCTAAATGCCATTCCACAGATAGGAGGACTTGTATCGGCTCCTTAACACCAAGGCCACTTTGTGGCAATGCACACTCACACCTTTTTCTTTAGACTTCAGTAAACAGCATATACAAGATGGGATTTGGGATCAGAAATACATTCCAAGTCCTATAGATGAAACTATGCAGAAATCTATTTTCTACCTTAGTTAGTATTACAGATCACAAATATGTCACTTGCTAAATACCATGCGCCTACAATGTAACAGTATCCATCAATTCTTCAAACCAATGAACGAAGTTCAGACTACTGGCCGAAAATGGTTTAATACTGCTGGTTATATAAAGGTTAAAGAATACAAAATAATAGAAATGGGATGGAGATTGAAAGTAATTATACCCTTGTAGAACTGTGTATGTGAAGCGGTTTGTCGTTTAAGTAACATCCATGACAACTTTAGTAGAGTCTCTTTCTGCACCATGAAAGTTTTTCCAGTGAGAAAACCTCAGAACCACACCCAGAGTAGACAAGCTGTTCAGACAAAAATCTAATAGTAAGAACCTAAGTTGTCACAGTTAGAAATGGGGGTAGCCCAAGTCAGAATAGGCTGGCCTGAAATGTAGCCGAATGGCAAGGATATGACATGGCAACATGATGTATTTTCCTATTTGTTTTAGATTTAGATCAGATTTTGAGGCAAACTTCATATTATGACTGGAGAAAATAACTGAACACTTCCTACTAATTGGAGGACAATGAATTAACAGAATGTAAAAGAAAATAGCAGATGGGACACGGCAGTACAGGGACTGGAGTCTACCCAACCATGACAGCAACAAGCATTCTTCAATAGAGATAGCATCTAGACAAAGTAATATCACTGTACTGCTCTGGTCAGACACCTAGTACTGTCCAGTCTGCACACACTTCAGAGCGACAAACTGAACGTGTCAGAGGAGGGCAACAAAGCTGGAACGTGTATGAGACGGCAGGCGGCATTTTAGCTGAAAGAGGTTAGGTGATATGATAGTGTTCAATATAAAAAGGATGTCATAGAGGAGAAGGTGTTTCTGCCCAGAGAAGACGGACAATGATCCAAACCAAGAAAGAAGATTCCACAAACATTAGAAGAACTTCTACAGGAGCTGCGACAGTGAATTGCCCAAGTGGTTCAGTCTTCGAGGCCCATATGTCAGGGCTGATGGTGTTTCCTGCTTGGCAGGGGGTTGGACTCGATGGCCCTTGTGGTCTCTTCCAACTCTATGATTCTATGATTCTATGATTCTATGATTCTATGATTCTACTATAGATGGGAGAGAGATTAGTCATTACTTTTGATCTGCAGTCTACTTTTTAATCAGGGGTGCAAAACCTGAGCACCTAGTTATGACTGGCTGCTTAAAAAATTGGTCTGGTGATTTGCCTAGGAGATCAGGAAGAAAAATGTTACGCAACTCATATGCATTCCTATGTGGTCCTGGTTAACACATCCACTTCCCATAGAATCAATCCTCTCACTTAACAAACTATCATTATTTATTTTCTCTTCTATCCCACCCCCTTTACGACATTCTTCTTTGACTTAATCTTTTTCTGCTCTGTTCCTCTTTCATCTTCACTTCCACCCAATATTTTTCTCATTCCCACCCACACACCAGTTCTAGGCTTTGACACTTTTGTTTCCTTCTCTTTGCTCCCACACTATGTCTTTTATTGAGACATGTGTGTGTTTATATATACACTCCATTATCTCAAAAGCCTTCCCTGAAGTAGGACTTAGACCAGTCTATGACTTCTGGGAAGACTTGGGCCACTGCATGAAATCTCAATTAAACACTCAACACATTAATGGAAGGCAAGATGGACACCAGAATCCATCCTCTCCCTGGAACATCCAGATGTCTTCCTCTCCATGGGCTCCTAGGAAATGTCTGAATCCTGTGTTTTACTACTGCTTATCACTATAGTTCATAATAATCACCATCACTTCCTTCAGGTTGTTCTGTAAAGGTTATCACCAGGCAGGGTTAAGGAGGTAGCATGCTTACTAAGATTAGTACTGTTTCCAGGATGCATGTAAAATTCTGAAACTGCTTACCATCTCTGAAGGGCTGCATGGGCTCATCTCCCCAGGAAGGAGGGAACGGGGAGAAAGGTGATTGTGAAATGCTGCATTCAGATATGGGGGTCGTGCTTTTGCAGGGCCCAAACCCAAGCATCTCTCTCTCCTGATTTGGCGATGAAGGATCTGTTCCTAGTGCAGACTGAAGCATAGGGTATTCTGATGAATTGGCTAGTAGCTCCTTCAAAATGTTAATTGGTGAGATGGTGAGCTCCCAGTTAGTGATTCCAAAATCCCTCAGGTGAGCTCGGGCGTGGCTGGATAATCCTGCACGTGTGTCAAAGCCAGCCCCACAGAATTCACATCTCATTAAACTGAAAGTACTTGGATCAAAGTTTGCAACTGTGAAAGAGGGGATAATAATCAGTGTCATAGTAAAACATAAAGAACAGGCAATAAATGCTTTCAAAGAACCCCCACTAGATAACATGATTTTTTTTTAAAAAACCCAAACTATGAAAACTAGACATTGCAAAGATGCTATAACATCTATTGTTGAGAGGGAAAATATGGGAACATACATACCCATCTTCAAGGAATGAAAAATATTAGAAAAATTGAAAAAATTATAAATTGAATACATACTACCTTTTTTCTTCTTCTTTTGGAAGGAAAATTTTTGCTCAATAGCTTTCACTTCTTCTGCAGAGATGAAGTGACGGACATTGTAGCTCACACCCACCCTGTTCAGGTGGCCCCGCACGTGATTGGCTAGGCCAATCCCATTGTGGAACCTGTCAGGACAGTACGGGCATTTCCTCTCCTCATTCTTCAGCATCAATGAATCTGCATCCAGAAGGTCATCCAGTTCTAAGGAGCTTTCTAAAGAGGAATCTAATAGGAAGACGCCTAAGGGAAGGGATTCATCCATTCCAAACTCTTGGGAAGGAGGCAACATCTTTTTCTTGAGAATCTTCATCTTGGGCCGCTTCATCTTTCTGGGATAAATATTAATCTCATCAACAAGAACAATGGGGACCATGTGACGTAACTGATGCTGCTGCCCCGCTGATGCTATTGGATAATCTGTTGCCTTCAAAGTGCCCCTGAAATTCCTTTTGAGGTCCAAAGCAGATTGAGGAATAGCAACAGGCCTGAAATATCTATTCTCTGCTAACTCTATTTCTGTTGCTAAAGGGAATTCTTCTTCCATACTCCTAATATCGCTTATGGGTAACCATTTGTGCTGGAGTTCCTCCAGCCCACCTGGGTGGCTTTTGGCATTCTCTCTCTCAGTCTCAAGTGGCGGTGCTGTGCTTTTATTCCTTATTTGTTTCAGGGCATGCGGAGAATAAGCTTTCGCTGAGGTAAGAGTAGACAAGATCTTATGTGAAGAGCTATAGGGAGCTCGTTTCCTAGCCCGAAACCCAGGCATTGGGATTTCTTTTTTATTAGTGCCATTGCTTTTATTAAGTCTCTGGTGGCCCACTGTGAAGCCATGAAGGGATTCATAGTGGGACGTGGTTTCACAGTGGGACTGGGGGAAATGTCTGCCTGCTTTGCTCAAATAATCAGTTTCTGAAAATCGGCCTGACCTGCTAGGGCTGTAGGCATCCCTACTAGTTCCAGGCTGGTTTACATCTGCTTCAAAAGACTCCATGTTCCAGGACAAGTGGGAATGAGCATATTTCATGTGTTCTTTTAAAATGTTTTCATTTGGGGCTGGAAAGCTGCAAAGCATGCAAGTGCTAAGACCTTTGTTGCTACTGTGTGCATGCGCCACTTGAGGTACATGATCATTTGGCCTGAAATGTCTACTATATATGTTGTGCATGGAGCTGTCCCGTGGATCACTACCACTGGAACTGCCAAACAAGTTCACATTCTTCAAACTTTGATCTTTCCTCTCCTTGACATGCATCTTTGCATGTTGGACAAACACCTTAGAGGAGTTGGTTCCAAACACACACTTTGGGCACTGTAGCCTGGCATCACGGCCTTCATCTGGGAATTCATTGAGCTTCTGAATTTCCTCAATGATTTTTTCTCTGGACTCCTGATGGAGTCTCCTGTGCTGCTCTAGAGAACCAATGTCCCCAAAAGCCCATCCACATTCACTACAGGTCAACTGACACTGACCTCCAATGCCCTCTCTGCTTTCATCCAGCCCTAGTCCCCTGTTATGCTGAAGCATATGGTCCATCAAATGTTCCTTCATCTTAAAATAGATGCTGCATTCAATGCAGGTGTACACAGCTGGGTCCTCTTCCTGCGCTGCGCCATCTTTCCCCTGCTCCTCCACCAGGGCGTTGCACATATAGGGTCTTGTGTCATCATAGGTGCTGCAGGAAGGAGATTCCACAGACCTCAGAGGAACACGTTCCGAAGCATCTCCGGCATTAGCAGTCCAAGCATGTTTGCGGACAGAAAGGTCTGTGGCTGTCTGATGCCCTGACATCTGTAATGCCCACTCGGCAGTGTTCGCAGAACTTACTTCGGCTAAATCGGAGTCCATTGCCTGCCCCTTCCTGGGGGAGAGTGCACTCTCAACAGTCCTTGCTTTACTTGCGTGAGGATTTTGCATTTTTCTAAATACTGGCAGAGCTAACAAAGAAGCTTCTCGTGCAGACTGTCCCCTAACGGCCAGGTTTGTTGCTACATCTGTTGGCTTATTTACATTTCTGTAGGGAGGCCTTAGCCCCTCATTGTGCTCAGAAAGCCAGTCAAGCCTCCGAAAGCCCTTCTTTCCCAACCTTTGCCTTTTGTCTAAGTGCTCTTTGCTGAAGGCTTCTAGCTGCTTTGGTTCATTGCTATGGTGTCTTTCATCCCCACTAACAGTCTGTGCTCCAGGAGGGGGTGGTGAAGTTTCCACTGCTGCTTTGCCAGGGTCTAACGGCTCAAGCTCCCCTTCTAGATCATCCGTATTCTTTTGCACAGTTTTTATAATGTTAGGTTCCATTGCAGAAGTGGGTTCCTTTGGATAAGAATTATTTTTCTGTGCTGCTTCCTTGGAGCTTGCTAAATCCTTCAAACCAGGGAGTCTTTCTAAAGTGCTTTCTTTTTTGGAGACACTACCCATTGTCTCCCGTGTAGAGCAATGCCACAAGGCAGTCGTGCTTCTTTGATCTGCTGAGCCCCTAGATTTTGCTCTGTAACAGCCTTTCCTGGATTTTAAACGGTCTTCTGCCTTGGTGCTGAAAAGAACAGTCAACAAAAATCAGCTACAGGAAATGTATTGAATTGTTGCTCTAAAAAGATATATGCATTTATAATCATGAACTATTTATTGACTCTTAAGTCACAGCTGAGATCATGCATTCTACACAGCCCTCCCTTTGCTGCTGCATGGAAAACTGGTGTGCGTGCAACATTTCAAATGCCTATATACATCTCCCTGTGCACTTCCATCACTCAAACAACAACATTCTCAGATGAATCATTCCTCTTCACAAAAGGCAACACAACACCTCAAAGCCCTACTCTATCAGCTCAACCTGTTGGTGGCTACTGCCATTTGGATCCCCTTCTCTTAGCACTTTCACCTCAGTGGCTATTCTATCTGGCTACTATGTAACCAGAAAGTTTTTGTATTAAAATTGGCTTTTTCTGAATTCTCCTATTTTACCCTCATTATATATCTTTCTCTTTTCATAGTATGGCCTTTATATTTTAAACCGGAAGGCATAGACTGTGACAATTTTAATTTTTTGTACCTCTCAGAGCCAATTTTAGTCACTTTATCATCATAAAGAGACAGGACTTCGTATATCTTTCTAACTAGATAATGCTATCTAAAGTTTACATTGTCCCTTCATAACCAGCCCATTTTCTACTATTGTTCAATTATCCAAAAGAAACCTTTCATTTCCAGCACTGGCAACAGCCTTAATTTTGCTAAGCGACTCTGCAGTACTTGCCATTGGGTTATGAGCCATATTCATTAGCGGTGTTTTTTGTTGCTGTTGTTTTCTACCATTTACCTCATTAAAGAGATATAAAACTTGCCATGATGGTTCTGGAGCAAAGTCACAGGGCCAAAATACAAGTTATGTTAAACATGCTTGTCACTTCCCGGATTCTTTTTTTTTAGAAAAAGCAGCTGTACAGCAGGTTTGTTTTCTAACTCTCTTTTCTCCATGCCTTTTCGGACAAAAAACCCCTGTTCTCCCCATCTGCTATTGGCTGCCCAAAAGCACTACTTGCAGTAAACACTACTTTTGTGGTGCTTCACAGTCCAGATCCAGATTAGAGCTTCACACGTCTACATTTTCGGGGGGGGGGGGGAGAAAATGCCCAGCGCTAACCATGATTTTAAAAATGTTTGGTTAACGTAACATGCCACTTGGATCTGAAGCTGTCCCACCTCCTAGCCATTGTTCCATCATCGTTTTACTTTTTGTACTTTCAATTTACACCATTGAATCTCTGGACTCATTCATTTTAGACTCCTTGCGCCTTTTGGATGCTAACTTCTTTCAGTAGAAGCTATGTTTGGATTGTTTTCTCTCTGGGCTAAAGTAAAAACAGACTTGTCTGAAATGAACTATACACTTCATCGGAATTCCATAATGCAAGTACTTTCAACATCTTCCTTGGCCAAGGTCATCCCAGATGGCAGGGAAAGAAAACAAGAGCACTTAACGGAGCCAACATATCCTCTGCCAAGCCCATAGAACAATGAAGAGTAGAGAAATCTGATAATGAATGGTTGAAGCTTCATGCAACATAAAGGCCTAGAGACTGAGCTCACACTGCAGTCTTATGTGCCTTTGCTAGGCAACAAGTCTCACTGATTTATCAGATTTTATTTTCAAGTTTGTTTGTTATGTTTATAACCATCTGCTCATTGCTCAGCATTGAATAGTCCCAGGATCAATAATCAAGTGGCAAGTATATGTTCTATCAATTGATCCAAGGACCTGAACAGCAAGCTTCTCTGACTTGACTATGACCCACTTCAAAACGAGAACCCAGGGAAATTTTCCAGGAAGGATTACATGAGTGAAGGCACACATGTTATATTGAATGGTATTATACTAAGCTTGATGTTGCAATACAAATGAAAGACCTTGGGAACTGGCCCACAGAGATTAAAAATGCCAAGCCCTGTAATTCTTCCTCTAGCAATTTCAACACTTACCAGGCTTCCTTCTTGCGAGTTGTGTTTGAGACAACAGAACAAGGAGAAGGATTGGGCTCATCTGCAAGAGAGAAAAGGTAGTAGCATCATATGCCTGACTTGTGCAGCATACCGGGGCTTCAAGTGTACTTTACAAAACATGTAATGTTATAGCTATAAAGCTTTCCAAGCAACTAAACCCACCCAGTTTGTGTCCCTTCCTCAGGGCGGGTTTGGATTAGTATGGGATTTCTAACCCACACTGTTTAATCCCAAGCACCAACAATTTGATATACAATCATTCTAGCAGTTAAGCAGTTTAAAATGAAACAAGATAGATGTAAAATAAAGCACGTCCAAGAATCCATCTTATAAGTAATAAAAAAAACAAACAAACACCCATTCTAGTGCCTTAGTTATCAAAATACAAATTTGCTTCCTCTGCAAAGTGAGATAATTTCAACTGAAGCAAAAGGGAGTCTCTCTCTCTCTCTCTCCTCCCCACCCCACACAAACTGCTGGTGCAGATGGCCAGATTCAAATCAATATCATAGCTGTGGACAAACAGTTAACGTCACCCTACCCACCAACCCCCATACCACCTCTTGAGCCAGACTGGACCACCACACTAGAAATTTGTGTTTCCACACTGGAAAGTTGGCTTTCTTTTGTGCAGAAAACAGGAGTGGATGTGAGAGACACACAGCCCTGCTTACACCTGGTAACACATGGAGGGTGTGCTAAAGCACACATTATGATAGTATATCTTGACCTGCTAGGTTTGCAATGAATGCTTCAAACTTTGTCCACACTCAGGCACTTCCAGTTCTGTGTGGAATGCAGGCTTGATTCATCCCAATCTTCTGTTACGTTGGCAAAAGGAAGCAGCCACCAATATCTGGCCAAAGCTTCCACTGAACACTTTCTTTTGTTAGAATCCATACACAGCTCTAGGACCCAATTCTATGCCAAAGTGCAATGTAATCTGGTTTAATTCTACAAAATTCCCAGCAAGATGCTCTGCAGTGGGAAACTGTGTGTTGCTGAAGCCACAGTGCATAGGATGGCGCTTTATACCAAGTCATACCATTGGTATGTTTAGCCTATTATTGTCTACACTAACTGGCAGCAGCTCTCCTGGATTTCAGGCAGGAGTCTCTTCCAGCCTTACTTGAAGGTGCCAGGGGCTGAACCTGGAACCTTCATCGTGTAAATCCGATGCTCTACTGCTGAGCTATGGCTCTTTCCTCAAAGAGTCCTTTCCTTGCCAGAACCTGACTGCTTATAAAATGGCTTAAGGAGAGGAACTACAGAAGTCATATACTGGACTAACTAAAGGTGGTTTTAACATGATTCAAGAACCAAACTTGGCATGTATATTTCACACCCATTTTGTCCCCAAATGGTGGAGCAACAGGGTTTTCTACACATGATGTTGAATATGTGTTTCACATTTAATGGACAGGGCTTTGTTTTGCTTTTCAACAAATAGCATGGGGGGGGGGAATTACTGGGATCACAGATTGGGAGTTCAACCCTTCTACCCCTGCTGTAATTCTAAGAAAAGTTGCTCTCTGACGCTGTTATTTATTTTGACAGGGAACAAGTGCTCGGGAGAAAAAGAGTTGGAGTTTGGCCATAACTCAGCAGAGGATTTGCTGAGGCAATTTCTACAGTTTTGAGAGTACCGGCAGGTGGAAGGAATGGTGGCATCTTGCTGACACACATTGCTACAAATAAAAAATATTTTTGCTGACATACATTGCTACAAATAAAAATATTGTTAATATGTGGCTCTAAAGGGAAGAGGCGCATTTGGCAAAATGCCAGAGCTTACAGGGTCAACCAAGTGCTACTGGAGAGCCCAGGACAGGAGTATCAGGTTGAAACTGAAAAAGCCTGAATCCGCACCCTCCATTTTTGTGACTGAGTCTTCGTACATTCCTTCCTGCACCTGAATGCCTTCATGGACTGGAAATGCAACGGCATCCCGGTTATATCAGGCATTGTTTACATTTGTAGTGCAATGAACATGAAAGAGATGAAAATAAAACAGCAGGTTTTGTATTTCGTACTAACTGTAGGCAAGCTTTACAATTCAATGTGATATTCACTTGCAATGATCCTAGGAAGGAAAAGTTGCCCGTTCCAATCCAGGCCTAAGACAGATATAGCATTTTATCAGTGTGAGTTTGCCTTCAGGCCAACTTCTCAGCTTGCCTCGTATACAAACGTAACACATAACAGCAAGTCAAACAGAAAGTTCAACCTTGCCAGTTATGCTTCATGTGGGCTATTCCCTTAAAAAAAGAAGCTGCACATACAGATAAAACAGAGATCAAAGATTTAAAAAAACCCCAAACCAATAGCAAAACTAATCTGAGAATTGGAAAGGAGGTGTGTACAAGGCAATCAGTGGCATCCAGAGATTAATCTCCCACACTTAAACGGAAATACTTTGAACAACTGCAGAATGGAACACTTTTCCAAAACCTGTCCCAGGAGAAACAGTTATGTTTGGACTGAACAAACCGAGTGCTCTCCCACTAGTCTGAGGACATACAAAGAGTTCTTTTGGACCACATTAAAAGCCTATCTATAGGGACACGGGTGGCGCTGTGGGTTAAACCACAGAGCCTAGGACTTGCCAATCAGAAGGTCGGCGGTTCAAATCCCCGCGACGGGGTGAGCTCCCATGGCTCGGTCCCTGCTCCTGCCAACCTAGCAGTTCAAAAGCACATCAAAGTGCAAGTAGATAAATAGGTACCGCTCCGGCGGGAAGGTAAATGGCGTTTCCATGCGCTGCTCTGGTTCGCCAGAAGCAGCTTAGTCATGCTGGCCACATGACCCGGAAGCTGTACACCGGCACCCTCGGCCAATAAAGCAAGATGAGCGCTGCAACCCCAGAGTCGGTCACGACTGGACCTAATGGTCAGGGGTCCCTTTACCTTTTAAAAGCCTATCTAGTCCAACATTCTCTTCTTGCTGTGGCCAACCAGATGTCCATGGGAAACCCACGAGCAGGACATGCGTGCAACAAATGTGCATATAATACATTTATCTTCACTGTCAGACTTTGATTCAAGATGCACAGCCATGCCGTAACTTGGATGGAAGCGTATCTTTTCCAAACAGCCTCTGCTTCAATACGTCCGTGAAAGAGAATGAAAGACTCTATTATACACCATCTTCAAGCCAAGACATGGAGTATCTCCAGATTTCTGTTACAAACCTGATGGAAATCCATGCCAAAAGAGATAACACCTCTGGAGTTTTAGAGCACTGCCTGTCCAAAAGTTCTTCACATTTTTTTAGAGTGTTTTGCAAGGCAGCAAAAAAATGAAATTAATATGTTGGTGGATAAACAGCAGGGTCCTGTTTGTTCAGGGGGAAAAGATACCAAGTAGGCTAGTTTCACTTGAAAGCGAGAAAAGAAGCTGGAGAGAACTGCAATCTTTATAAAGGGACAAAGAAAGGTAAATTTTGAAGTATTAAAAATATGGAGCTGTTAAGGAAAAAGCAGTAGAAGTACAGATAAAGAGAGAAGGACAATGGCAGAGGTGGATCTTAGGAATTCTTTTGTTCATGAGAGCTCTAGCATTTCTATTTTTAGAAACCATCTCCTTTAGAGGAAAAACAGAACGATTTATCTTCTTACTGATGAGCACAAAACTGTACTCGGTGCTGCAAGACCTCATTTCTTGGAAATAGCAAGAGATGAGGGAATTTAATGTCTTGATCTTAGGAGGCGAACATTTTAACCTCTCTGGTAATCCAAAATAAACATTGCTTCTGAATATTCAAGAATGGGAGTCGTGGGTTTTTAGAAAAACAACACACACACACAGAGCACGCATCAGATTTTCCCTTTAATCACAGCCACAGTTTCAAAGCTAGCAAAGCATCCTCATAATCTAAATAGTACAATCTGATCCGTTTTTTCAATGAAAGAATAGATATAGCAATCTAGTTTTTAAAATGATGCAGAAGTGCTACTTATCTGCCATCTTATCTGCCATTATATTGGTGTATGCTTTACTGTTTTTTAGTGAACCGAGTAACAGCTACAGTCCTCCAACTGACCTCTCCTCTAGTCTGCTCTGATGCTTAGCACAAACCACCCTGCCAGGCCCCCATCAGGTTCAGAGTCTTGAGCTGTTCATAAGATCCAGAGCTGTGTTGCTTAAGAAAATACAGTTGTACCTCGGGTTAAGTACTTAATTTGTTCCGGAGGTCCATTCTTAACCTGAAACTGTTCTTAACCTGAAGCACTACTTTAGCTAATGGGGCCTCCTGCTGCTGCCGCTGCTCCGCCAGAGCACGATTTCTGTTCTTATCCTGAAGCAAAGTTCTTAACCTGAAGCACTATTTCTGGGTTAGCGGAGTCTGTAACCTGAAGCGTATGTAACCTGAAGCGTATGTAACCCAAGGTACCACTGTATTGGTAATCCTTATATTTTTTTCAAAAGACACTACCACATCAAACAATTCCAAGTTTACCTTCCTCTAACCAAGAAAAACAGCCTGCACTGCTTTGGACTTTGTCCGTTCAGCTCACACTATATCAACCTGCATTCATTTCATGTGGTTCTAAGCACCCAGAAAAAAAAACTGGTTCGCATTCTCCATTTTCACAAAGGAGCTGGAAATTATCACGATCTTACAAACCTGATAATGCAACATTTTAATCAAAACCTTATTCTCAATGGCCAGTAGTTGCTTTGGCTCCCTCAAATTGTACACTTATTTCATAACCATAAAATCTGATGTGGTTTAAGAGTACATGAATGTCGCTGGGATGCACTTTTCAAGCCTACCATTTTCTTTAAACATGTATTATGATTGATCCTATTAGAAATATATATTGTTTAAACCCTTTACTCCTTTTAAGTATATGTAGTTGATGTAATATCTTCCTTCAGATTTCTCACATACAGTCATACCTCGGGTTGAATATGCTTCATGTTGAGCGCGTTTGAGTTGCGCTCCACGGCAACCCGGAAGTAATGGAGTGCATTACTTCTGGGTTTTGCCGCTCGTGCAGATGCTCAAAATTACGTCACGCGCATGCGCAGAAGCAGCGAAAAGCGACGCATATGTGCGCAGACGTGCCGTCGCTAGTTATGTTTGCTTCTGGATGCGAACGGGGCTCCGGAACGGATCCTGTTCGCATCCCGAGGTACCACTGTACATTTTGCAAACACGAGAAGCACATTTCCTCACTTTACACACATAACTCTATCTCCATTATAGCTACTCTGGCTAGTGTGGGGGTGGGGTTGAGGGTATTCCTCTGATTTACACTTCATTCATCCTCCTAGTGGTGCAGCAATAAAACTGCTAGCACATTTACAAAGCTAAGCAGGATCCAATAAGGTTTCAAATTGGCGGGCAACTGTGTGTGTTGAGGTTCCTGCATTGCAGGGGGTTGGACTAGATGACCCTAGAGTCCGTTTCCAACTCCACAATTCTACAATTTTATGATTCTTAGGCATATTTTTTGAAAATAAAATTACTAAAGCCAACTTTAATACTGATACATGAAGGATCAGGATTGAGGTTCATGGAAAACACATTGGACATGAATCACCATTATTATTACATGAAGATACTTGAATTACTATGCCTTGAACATAAAAAATAAATATTTGGATAACATATGTTAAGAGCATAAAATGTAAAACAGTGGTTAAATGCTCAAAAGAATTAGCATATCACCTTACTGTCCTTCTTCCATAAGATATATTTTATTATTTTAAAAGATTTATAAACTGTTCACATTATAAAATATCAGAGCGGATGGCAACAGAGAGATCACATCCAAGCCTAGCAGGGACTTTGGAAAACTACCCCAGAAGATCAAACTAGATGACATCAACAATTTTGTGTGTTTGAATACAGGACAGGCCCAATGGCACGGAAAGAGGGGTGGGAGGGAGAATCTGGTTTTAAAAGCAATGAAAGGGGGGGGTGAATGAACACTGAATCCTCACCCCACCAAAACACAGAGCTTACCACCCCGCACTGTCCCTTTGGGAACTTTTCTCCCAGCAGAATTTCCAGTATTAGAAGTTGCCCTCGCTAAGAGAAAAGTGTTTGAGGAGAGAAGCCACAGCTCCTTCAGCCACTTGCTCCTTCTCCTTTTAAGACTGGACCCCCTGTTTCTATGTGACTGAAGCTGTTCCAGGTTTAAACATACAGAACGGCGGCTGTCACATCTAGTTCGGCCTAATCTATCATTTGCTGGGCATATCAGCATGATCTTCTTTAAGGGAATCTGCTGCTGCACCATATCATTTGTTGCTGTTAGTAATAACAAAATGCCTCTATAGCGGCAGCATTCTGTCTTTTCCTTTTTACGTATAAAAATAGAGGAGACGATAGATTAAGGACTCAGAGTAGTCATTTGGCATCCGCTCTTTCCCCCCAAGCTTTTATAAATTCTGCAGGACATTTTCCCCCCTGCAATGGCTTTCCTCAAGTGCAATCTGACAATATGCCATTCATTCCAAGAGATTTAGCCTTAATGAAAAAAAAACCTTTTCCGTAAATCACAAGGAAAAGTCAAGTATTACTTTTTAGTTATTAGTTATCAGGAAAAAAGGTGTCGCGACTTCAAATGTGATAAATACTATATTTATATAGCCAGCAACAGCAAAAGCAATTATAGATAACCTAGAAAACTACAGTCTCAAAAATGGGGTCATAGAAATGGGATACACTTCAAATGTATAATACTGGACATGTCACCAGAACAAACACATTTTTAACAAATGTTGCAGAAAGAAAGAAAGAAAGAAAGAAAGAAAGAAAGAAAGGGTAGTTCACAAACCCATGTATGTCATTTGACATTCACTATCTCAGTTTATTGTGTAAAAGAAAAAAAGAGCCACGTTTAGGCAATAGAAAAGCTCTGTAATGGATTCAGTGAAATATTTCTGGTCTGTGGGGCCCTGTGTACAGCCCTTTTGGGGAACTCTATTCACCTAAATACATGTGACGGTCTCCAAAAATACGATGGAGCTCAATGCAAAAAAATGAGTTAATTAGTAACATGGGTTATCTTTTCCTGAGTCCAGATCGCCTGGTGTGCTGTTTTTTAAAACGAAACAAAACAGGCCACAAGAAGATCTGGTGTAAAGGTATAAAGACAAGGCTCATGGCAATTGGCTTACTAAAAAGGAAAATGTGCAGGTAATGTTCTATCCAATCAAAGCATGGCATATTGGACCCGGGAGACTTAATTCAGAATTATGAGCCTCAGAAATAAATAGCACGAGCAGGCACAGAATTTATCTGTCTTCCCCAATGGGGAATCTCTGCTTGTGTTTAACAGGATGATTCCACAACAGTAACTTCAGCCTGAAATATAAACTCATTGGGTTTTATCCAATGCTAGTACTATTCAGAGTAGACACCATGAAATTAATGACCATGACTAACTTCGGCCCATTAATTCCAATAAGCCTACTCTGAGTAGGATCCACCATTGGATGGGGGGGGTCACACTACTCAGTGTTTCACTCAGCAGTGAATATGAGCACTTAACCATCCCTAACTTAAGGGGCAAGCAGTTGACAACATCACTTCTGATTTATCCAGACAACCAATCAAAGCGTGTTTCCAGCTACATTTCAGTTGGGCAGTTGCACTATTCCTAATTCAAAGGTAACTTCTAACCCACTACTTCAAGGGGCTTACAAACAGTAAACAACTAAATGGTAAAAAACCCCAAAAAACCCAAAACACAATAAAACACAACAAAGGTTAAAGCCATACAGGCAGGGACAAGACTATGGATGTTATATGCCAAAGCTTAAGACAAGGGAAGTATGATATTTCTACAATTATTAAAATATAGGTTTATGCCTTTGGTTACGTCTTGTAAACTGCTGTAAACACAAGCCTTTTATCTAAATGTAAATGCACCTTAGAGAGGTAATTAGGGTGCAATGCACAGGGTGCAATGCACAGAGGTGTGACTCCCCTTCCATGCCACCACAAGGGGCAAAAGTCCTTGCAAACCCCAGGTATACACAGCTGCCATGCAACCAACTGATGCTGGAGTACTCTGAACAGCTCCTGGCTAGGCAATAAGATGGCATGGGCTTATGGCCATCTGGCTGGAAGCCATAGCTATTGATTCCACCAGTCACTGCAATTTTGCCACCGGTTACAACAGGTATCTGTGCTTCACAGTGTCCCGACCTCAAGTAAACTCAGGATTTGACAGAACGGAGGAAATTAAACATAAGCATATCAATGGCACACTGCAGCTCTGAATGGCTGAGTTGCAGATCTGGTCCCTGGGTACTTTGAATGCCAAAATAACTTTGATATGAAACTTAAGAACCTCCTCAAGGCCCTTCCTAAAGCCTTTGTGCAATATGTTTACAAGCCTTCTTGCAAATACATAATAAAATAAAAATAATGCAGGCATGGAGAAAGAAGAGTTAGTATCTGTCATTCTAAACATCACAAATACTACGACCCAACAGAGGCCTACAGCATTTGCACAGCGACAGAGCAATCATGCTAGGAATTAATGTTCTATCTGAAGGGAGGCTTTGCAAAATATTGTGTTTCAAGTGCTGGGATAATATGACATTCCATGATGGAAAAACACAGACTAGAGGGAAGAGATGTGGACCTGTGTGCAATGAATAAACAACAACAATGTGCATTTATTATGTAATAAGTTGCTTGTGAAGAAAAGTTCTGACTTTGGTGTTTGGCTGGAGTTGCACCAATTACTTTTTTGCTGAAAGAAACCAGCTTGATGTGGCACTGCTGTGGCGTTCTTTGGAGAACATCAGATCACATCACTGAAAATCTAATGAAGCAAACTAACTTCCATTTAATTAAGGGCTTATATCATCCACTAGGGACGCGGGTGGTGCTGTGGGTTAAACCACAGAGCCTAGGACTTGCCGATCAGAAGGTTGGCGCTTTGAATCCCCGCGACGGTGTAAGCTCCCGTTGCTCGGTCCCTGCTCCTGCCAACCTAGCAGTTCAAAAGCATGAAGTGCAAGTAGATAAATAGGCGGGAAGGTAAACGGCGTTTCCCTGCACTGCTCTGGATCGCCAGAAGCAGTTTAGTCATGCTGGCCACATGACCTGTATGCCGGCTCCCTCGGCCAATAAAGTGAGATGAGTGCTGCAACCCCAGAGTCAGCTACGACTGGACCTTATGGTCAGGGGTCCCTTTACCTTTTATCATCCACTAACAAGTACAAGTATCATTTGCTTGTTTGTTTTTCAATGTTTTCTAATATTTCTTACCCATCCTTCACCATAGTTTCGCGGAAGGTGGAGTAGAGGTAGAACAATTCAGTGGTTCCTCTGGATGCAAACGGGATCCGTTCCATAGCCCCGTTCGCATCCTGAGCAGAACGCATCCTGCGTCTGCGGGTCGCTGCTTCTGCACACGACGTCATTTTGAGCATCGGTGAAACCCAGAAGTAACCCTTTACGGTACTTCCGGGTCACCACGGGACGCAACCTGAAAAGATTTAACCTGAAGCGTCTTTAACCCGAGGTATGACTGTATTTGTTAAAATTTGCAAAAACAAGAAAACCCATTCCAACCAGAACAGAACAATATAAATTCAGCAAAAGTGGTGTGTCCCACAAAACAAAATACAGTGGTACCTCAGGTTACATATGCTTCAGGTTACATATGCTTCAGGTTACAGACTCCGCTAACCCAGAAATAGTGCTTCAGGTTAAGAACTTTGCTTGAGGATGAGAACAGAAATTGTGCTCTGGTGGCGCGGCAGCAGCAGGAGGCCCCATTAGCTAAAGTGGTGCTTCAGGTTAAGAACAGTTTCAGGTTAAGTACGGACCTCCGGAACGAATTAAGGACTTAACCTGAGGTACCACTGTATCTTAAATGTCAAAGCCCAGAGTAAAGAGGTGCCGTGAAAGCTACACAATGAAGGTGCTAGACATACCTCTGTGGGAAAGGAGTGCCACAGTTTAGGGGATGCCACAGTGAAAGCCCTCTCCCAGGCCACATATTCTGCACTTCTGAGAGTGACTGAACTCCCATGAGAGCCCCTTCTGCATATCTTAAAAGGTCTGTAGGGCTGGAAGGGATGGGGTCAGCGGCGTAGCGTGGGTTGTCAGCACCCGGGGCAAGGCAAGTAATTTGCGCCCCCTAACCCCTAACCTGCCGCCGCTGCCAGCTTCTTCTTGCTGGTGCCTGGTCTGGTCTGGTGTGGTCCTCTCCCGTGCTCAGCGCTGCGCTGGGCGGCCGCTGCACTGTCCCTCCCCCAGATAGTCCCTCGCTCTCTCTCCGCACCGCACGCCTGGCACCCACCCCCTCCACAGTGGGCGGCGACCCAGCGGCTCGGATCGGATTCACACAGCCAGCACTGCAGTGAGAGAGAGTGAGTGAGCCAGGTAGGGGCAGAGAGCTGCGAGCGCGAGCGCCCCCCCCAGATGTTGCGCCCGGTGTGGCCGGCCTCCCCTGCACCCCCCACGCTACGCCACTGGGTGGGGTTGCCATACAGTGGTACCTTGGGTTACATACGCTTCAGGTTACAGAGTCCGCTAACCCAGAAATAGTGCTTCAGGTTAAGAACTTTGCTTCAGGATGAGAACAGAAATTGTGCTCCGGCGGCGTGGCAGCAGCAGGAGGCCCCATTAGTTAAAGTGATGCTTCAGGTTAAGAACAGTTTTGGGTTAAGTACGGACCTCCGGAACGAATTAAGTACTTAACCCGAGATAAACTGTATTTCAAAAAGTGAAAATCTGAACAACGTTTGGGAAAGCTGTTGAGCGACATGGGTTGCCATACATCCGGATTTCCGCCAGACACAGTTTATGACCGCATAATGGTCTTTCAGATATTTGTGGCCTACATCTTTTATCCACCAAGTGAATGTACAATTTAGATAATTGCTAGGATCTTGTCTGTCCATTATTTCTGTTTTAAAGGAATACTTTACATTAGATCACTTTCCATTTGCTTGGCTGGGGGGTGGAGTCATGTGTACAAGGGTTGATTTCTTTCTGGTTCCTCATCTTGGAGAAACTTCTCTGCTACTCTCTAATGTGCAGACTTGTCTAGTTGTCTAAAATGGATCATTGGAAAAAAAGAGAAGAGTCCAGAGGTCTTCTGCAGAACCAGAAAGCTGTTGGAGTAGTAGGTACACTGCAAGGTTTCCATTATGACCGACCATAAAGAATGCTTCTGATGAGAGCACTATCAAACCAGTCTGACACTTAGGTTTCAAATGACAGAGAAACCCCTCAAGCAATCAGGTTAAATGCAGGGTGAATGTTAATTGTTGTATAACTGCACCACAAATGAATCAGAATGAATGCTCAATAAAACCAGATTTAACTGCTGTGTCAGCTTTATATGAGCAAATCAGGGTGAATGCTTAATAAATAGGTAATCTATTCCTTACTCCTCTTTTCTCAATTTCCCCACCTCTCTCTCTCAGTCTCTCAACATTCTGTGCTGCTGACTTATTACTGGGCTATTTTGGAGGTCGCCCCCCCCCCCCGATTTTTTTTGTATATTTGGGCTACTTCAAGTCTGTGACAGTACTTCTCCTGTGCACAAGCATGGGAAGGCTCAGACTGGTATTAGTAAACTGATTAGGCACTCAGAATTGTACTGACAAATCATAAACACAACAACAGCAACCATGTCTCCCCCCCACACACCCCAAAAAAACACACCACATGGGAACATGGGGACAGGTGTTTGTCAAAAGCACGAGCTAGGCTTGGTGCCAAGTATCCGGTCAGCAACTTTTGTTAATTCAGGTTTTCAGCTGTAACAGCACACCTTTCCTGCCTAAGGGAGAGAGCAAAGAGAAAAGCCAGAAGGCATGAGTAGACAACTACCCTGATTAAGTATGATCTAAATGCTCAGGACGCGGGTGCCGCTGCGGTCTAAACCACAGAGCCTAGGGCTTGCCAATCAGAAGGTCGGCGGTTCAAATCCCCGCGACAGGGTGAGTTCCCGTTGCTCGGTCCCTGCTCCTGCCAACCTAGCAGTTCGAAAGCACGCCAAAGTGCAAGTAGGCGTTTCTGTGTGCTGCTCTGGTTCGCCAGAAGCGGCTTAGTCATGTTGGCCACATGACCCGGAAAAACTGTCTGTGGACAAACGCCGGCTCCCTCGGCCAGTAAAGCGAGATGAGCGCCGCAACTCCAGAGTTGTCCGTGACTTTTAAATGCTTATGACCAAAGAAGCACCTGAAATGCTGCAGACCACAAAGAAAATCCAACTTGCAGAGTTTTCCTGGGGGTAATGGCGATGGCGAAGGCACTAATTTTCTGACCAAATAAGAATATTTAGCATTTGCATGAAGGACTTATTCTCTGAGCGTATCTAGACATCTTCAGGCCAGACTCTATTTTGCAAAGGTGATTAAAGGAGACACATATCCAAATAATCATTCAAAATGTGCTCTAGCTACATTTTGCCATTTGCTGAGACAATGGCATCATTTATAGGCCAAGCAAAATGGATGGAGGAGATTGGGTAAGGGAGGAACAGGCTTACAGCAGGGTAAGAAGCCTTGCCAAGGTCAGGGAAGGATTGGGATTTGTTTTTAAATTGCAGGCTGTGTACTTCAGCCCTAGAAGTGGGGAACACTCAGACATAACAAAAATCTATAAAGTCAGGAGAAAATCTTCAACAAAAAGCCGACACAAGCACTTTTACAAAGCAAAATGAAACTAAAAGTGTATACAAAATAGTGAGGGGAGGCATTAGATGAACTTGTGCTACATTCATTTGTAAAGTCAAGGTCACAATCCAACAGCTGTCTACAATTCTTGTTCAATGGCAGTTTACACATCACTAGTTGTCTGGTGAGGGTAGAAAGAAAAAGATTGCATTTTCCCAATGAAGTAAATGCAGTACTGGGAAAATATAATTTCCCCACAGAAGCGCTCTTTGAGGGAGGACACCGGGATCCTGCACAACAACTAATGTAAGAAACCACTTTCAATTCGCCTCAAAAAACTGGGTAAGCCTTGAGATTTGAAGATTTAACAGGTCACAACATCTCTGGAATGTGCATGTCTAGAATTACAGAAGAAACCTATTTGCCTGGCGTTATAGGTCAGAAGTCAAGGCATTCTGAGTTAGCGTCTCCTGAAAGTGTTGGCCTTCAAAAATACCGGTGGGAACAAGCTGGTATTTCTTCTCTCTGCTGAATTAACTTTTTTCTATGAGTAGAGCTAAAATTTGGTCAAGATAATTTTTCTAAATGTCATGAAATGCATGCAAAAAAGCTATTACCAAAAGGTCATCCAGTAGTGTAGTTGCATCACCATAAGGATTTTTAAAGATATAAGTCTTGCAGAAAATCAGAAATGTTTGTATTAATCAGAAATGTGCCAGATATATGCAACTAAAAGCTTTTAAAAGGGATGAGGAGATTGAGCATGACTTGCAGTGATTTTGATGGTATCTTGGCTGTCTCTGAGCGCAGATCCAGGTCATTGAGCCTGAGCTTCCACAGCCATGGCCCAGTAGATATGTTCTATGCTTATGAAAATATTTAATTCTCTTGCTAACTATGCAGTTTTAAATGCACATTTTATACTTGACTTCCTTTAGTAATGTTTTCTTTTGATTTTTTTTGATATCTTTGCTGTGTTAGATGTGCATTCTGTAGTTGACCTCCTTTGCAATGTTTTATTTTTAAATCTTTAAGGTAATATTTTAGTTCTCTATTAATTATGTTGCCTTGAATGTATACTTTGATGTTTTAATGCGTTGTTAGCCGCCTTGAGTTTTTTTCATAAAAATATAAAGTGGTATAAACATGAAATGAATAAACATGAAACGAATAGGAAACATCCTGGGCCCTCACTGACAAGTGACAGTCAAAGAAATCACACTCCCAGCTCTGTTTCTTCCAAAGTCGTAAATCAGATTGGTACATAGGCTAGGCACTGGTTACAAGGTTTAGCAGGAGCAAGGAAATTATAGCGACATGGTTAAGCACCAGCTAAGACTTTGATCCAACAAGCAATGTGCCCCTTGCATCTTCCTTTTGAATAGTGAGGTGAACACAGTTCTTAGCACAGCAAACAGCTGCAGTCCTGGGACAGGGTAAGTAAATGGGCACTCAGATTCCTATGAGTGGGCTGGGCCTTCAAAGCTTGTCTGTGCTGGCATCTCCATGGAGACAGAAAAGGAGTTGACACCAGCACAGCATCTGACTTATTCTCAGTCATTTCCATAGAAGGGGGAAGCTCTTCACTGACAGGAGGCGGCACCAAAGGCAGCTCCACACTAGGAGAAGTCTGACGAGAGGCATCAGATACCACAGGGGATGAACACTTCCTTGTCAACCCAGTTGATATCTCCTCTGGATCCAGATGCTTACTCTTTGGATCACGGGCCCCTTCCTTGTATTATGACATTTCTTGGGAGCACAATTTTGCTTCCTCCAACCTGCTGGGACCCTCCCTGAGTCATCAAGCTCCAACTCCGCAAACTCCTTCCATTCTTTCATAGGATTGAACCATCCCCTCCATAACATCTCAGTGGAGCTCATTAAACACAAACTGTTAAAACACAGTTACGAGTGCTGCTGCAGGCATTATAAATATACAACGCTATTGCAATCATGCAGTCATTCTTACTGAACTACTATTCTAGCTTGATGGGTCTACTGTTCATCTTCTCACACTGATCACAAACTTGGCCGACACAGAAACCATTAGGTCTTAGAACACTGCACTAATCAATTGCAAGCTTAAATGCTTTATCATCTTTTGGTGGGGCTCCCAACCATTCATAATCAAGGCACGTCAAAACCACAAGTCCATTTCCAGGAGCTTCTGTGGTGTGCTGATGAGACATTGCTATGACCCCAATGAAAACACCACCACCACAATAGTGCCAGACATGGGGTACTGTAAGTGTGTGGGCAAACTGAACAACCAGATGCACAAATAATTAGTAACATCCCTTCTTTCCACTGTCTCAGCCCACAGATCTCAAACTCCCTCACTGTTGGTTTTACAAAGCCTGTAAGATTTCAGAAATGGATCTGAAAATGTGGCCTAAATGTTAGGGGGCAGTTGCTTCACATTCTGGACCCCTGACAATGCTTGCTTCAACATTCATTGGTCACCAACTTCAAGTGAACATTTTGGTGATTTTTGGCATCCAGAGCTCTCTCCATTTCCTGCTGCTCCACAGTCAAAGAGCACATCCTTTGTCAGATTTAAAACTTAAGCATAACAAACTCAGAAACATAATGGCAAGTTCCTCACAGAAGGAAGCTACAGATACAGCCGCTCAGAAGAAAGAACTGTGAGTTTATGAAAGAGACCTTTGTGCGCTGACAGTCAGAGTCTTTAAGAGGCTGGCAGATCTGAAGCAGACTCAGTGTGACATCAGGATAAAAGCAAAAAAAGTTCTTTCAGGCAGCAGAACACATATTATAAGACCACTCTTTTCACTTCAGCAAGCTAACCTGAATACCTCCCTCACCATCAGATGGCAACTGAGACTCTTCTACTTTCACCTACTCCCACTGAGATTGTGTTGTGGAGGAGCAGATTTGCCACCAGTTTCTACAAGTCATTTCCTATGTTATTTGGGAAAAATGTGCAATCAAACCCTGGATCAGTATTGTTCACATTTGTCTGCCAACATAATAACAACTGTTTTAGATGACTCCCAAAGCTTTTACAAAATGAGCTTGGAGTGAGCCATCTCACGGCATCTTGTACTTTCCAAGTATTTGTCTGAAATTAACTGGAGCAGAGGTAGTCACTCAACTGAATGACCATTTGAGTCTATAGAAAGGTAAAGCTGAGCCAAAATCTTTACTCTCAATCAACCTAGGGTGGAGGTGGTCAGAGGATATCAAATTCTACAGTAAACAGAACACGGATATTGCAGTCAGGATAAGTCAAGTAAATCAAGCACAAGTCCATTATTGCTGACAATATTTTGGGGTTTAAACACAACTAAAAATTATGGTAGGTAGTGATGCTACACCAGGAAGGGGGAAATCATTTTATTTTGGTATTTGCATCCTGCTCTTTGAAGGCGAAATGCCTTCACAAAGTGGCTTGCCAATAAATGCATATGGCACCAACCACAATAGATAGGATGAGATTTCATTTTAAAGAATATGGGGATAGACAAGAACCACAGCTACAACTATAGTTTCTGAGTCAATTAAACAGAAGCTGACCACATTTTCAAGCTAGTTATAAGGCTAGTCTAAGGATGAATATTGTCTGCCATCTTTATAAAGCAACCTCTTAATTACAAACTCTCATTGACTACAGCTATGCAGTAGAAATCTCCAGCCTGCCTAAACTGGCATAAGGGAACTTCATAATGGTGCTTCCAGACAAGGGCTTAATATTGTAAATGGGTCATGGAACATCACAAATTGATTATTGGCAATATTTAAAAATAAATAAATGTTGGATTTATTCAGAAAGGGTAAATCCGGATTACATGGGTGGGGACAAATATGGGCTGGCATTTTGTTATCAATGACATCATAACAAATTCCTTCTGAAGATGAAGGGGCTTTCAATAATTTTTTTAAAAAATATGTATTTATATACTGCTTAATTACCAGAGTTTGTGGTATGGCATGGATGCCTGCTGTTCAAAGAAGAGATAGGGAAACAAAAATGCCACTGGGCACATCCCTAAAGCAGTTCTTTGGATCCCAGCCTATGCAAACTGAACAAATTTGTATTTATTTTCTTGCTTTGGGTTTTATTCTGACACTGGTATATCTGGTGAGAGACATGAAGCTATATATAGCAGAGTCATTCTGTGTCCACAGGAAGTGCTGTTTAATCTCTCTCTGGCTCCAGAAATTTCAGACATTGTTCACACACATTTTCGAGCCTATCTTTGCAGTCTTAAGGGCTAGAAACTTGCATGAAAGGAAATAAATGACAACATGAATATGCAATATGCTAGCTTGTGTGTTCAGTGTAAAAACCCTATCTTTCTGTGCTGCTGCAGCATCACAATACTGCCCGCCCCCTTATAAAAAAATACCCGCGTTGACTTGGCATCAGATACCAACTATCTGTATGCCTCTTAAAGAGGCCAGATTTTCATTTTTTGCAAACCACAGTTTGAAACAGACGGAGACCTAAGCTGGAAACTGGCCGATAATTATGAAAGTCATTTGGAAATTACTATGTTCCCCCTCTCAAAGTCCTAAATTTTCTTATAACTAATGCATGTGCAAGATTCCTTTCTGAGATGTAGATTAGTTTTCATGAGGCCACTTGGGATTTGTAATACACTGCCTAGGCAACTACGGAGTGCTCTCTTTCCTTCCTTGCAAGTGGCATGTGATGCCACTTTGTCCCTTGATTAGCCGTTGCTCTATGTTTGTAAGCATGGGGCAGAGACAGGAAGATGTGGCCGTGGTTGGAGCACTGGCACAGGCAGAAACACTTTTACTTGGGAGATGAGTGGTGAATGCTGTTCAGATGCAGACACCTCTTTTCCCCACTGGCCTTCTTCATCTCCCACCCGATCTTGCAAGTGGAGCCAGATCCAGGTCAGCAATTTTGCAAGTTTTCTGGCAGAAGTGGAAATCGCAGAGGCAGGACTGGTTGATGTGGAGACTGAGAAGAGAGTGAGGTCTGTGCTATGGTGGGGCTGGGGCAGAGGCTCACTCCAGTGACCGGATAATAGCTAGTTGTGTCAAAGTTAGAGTATGCCCGTCTTAGTTAAATGAGAGCTTCAGCGAGAAACAAGCTTAAATGAGGAGGGGGATGAGTGACTGCTCTGTCCTGTTGAATGTAACCGTCCAGAAAAGCGTAGGATTAGGATTTTCAAAATCACTACATTTCCTGTCCCCAACACAACAGCCAGGCTTGTGATGTGTTTTTCTAAATGTTTACATGATGCATACAGCCCAAGGGAGGACATGTGAGTTATTTTATCTGGAAAATTCCTAGCTAAATTGATTGCTTGTGTAAAGACTTCAGAGCCACAGTATTGCTCGGGAAATTATATAGCCATTTTTAAGAGTTTCTAAATTTTGAGAATCAATGCACCACCCACTGACCTTTCTGAGTGCTTCGTTCAAGAAACAGAGACTACAATCATATTATATAGATGCATATTCTTGTAAATTTATTAATTTTAATTACCAATAGAAACCCATATTTAGGGGCAAGGCATTTTGCCAGAGAAGCTACTCAGTTCCCAAAATATTTGCTGGTTTTAATATACTAGTGAGACAAAAAGATCAGGTTTTTCTACACCCTCTCAACAAAAGCTTAGAAACTCCTACTGAAAGCAGGCTACAGTTCTACAGAATTACTTCATCCAGAGGTAGTGGTAATAAAGACATTGAGAGAATAGGGGACAAAATGACCAGGCCCATCACTGGAAAGAAAAGAGGAAAATAAATAGGCTTGCCATACATCCGGAAAATTCAGGACATGCTCAGAAATCGGACACCCAAAATGGCGTCTGTGGCAAATTTTTTGGTTTTTTTCCTGGGGTTTCTTTGCAGGGCACACAGGGAAGGCTCCAGTTGCCCATGGTGCCGCTGCTGTTGGCACTGCCCGCTGCCTCCCTTGTTTGGCCGTGCATGGCTGCCCTGTCCGGGAACTGCTTCTCTGAGGCATGCGTGGTGCACTAGACGGCAGTGGCGCAGTGTCTTGAGCGCAGTGGGCTCTTGCCTGAAGGAGCGTCTCTACCCCCTTCCTTCTGCCTGGATGCTGAGGTCCAGCGCCGAGGGCCTTCTGGCGGTTCCCTCATTGCGAGAAGCAAAGCTACAGGGAACCAGGCAGAGGGCCTTCTCGGTAGTGGCACCACTGTATTAGCACAAACATCTAAGGGTTAAACTGCCATGTTTATTTTGGAAAATTCTGAAATCCCTTTATTATGGCCAACTGGTAGGTCATAAAATAACAAGGAACCTTCCGAGTCCAGCAGAAATTGTCATAAGTCTAGAGGGTGGTTATGAATAAAAAGCTAGCTTGGAATTGATGTCAGCATTGGTTACAGGGATTGTCGTGAAAGGAATGCACTTCATCATTTACCACTCCACCACTGATGGCAGTACTGCCTATCATCGGGACCTTGACAATATTTATTCCTGAAAGGAACTATGAACATGGCAATCTCCTAACAAACAAATGCCAGTGGTGCAACACAGTACAGTGGTACCTCGGGTTACATACGCTTCAGGTTACATACGCTTCAGGTTACAGACTCCGCTAACCCAGAAATAGTACCTTGGGTTAAGAACTTTGCTTCAGGGTAAGAACAGAAATCGTGCTCTGGCAGCGCGGCGGCCCCATTAGCTAAAGTTGTGCTTCAGGTTAAGAACAGTTTCAGGTTAAGAACGGACCTCTGGAACGAATTAAGTACTTAACCGGAGGTACCACTGTATGTTGTTGAGAAAAGAGCAGGTCACAGCATCAGCCATGTCCAAGCTAGTTAAAACTGCTGTATAGCCCAAGAAGATGATATAAACATGAAGTGTCAAAAACAGAATTTCTTGTGCAGGGGTGACCCACTCCTAACCCACAGGACTGACCGCACCCCCCCAAAAAAAAAATCCACCCCAAGAGCAAACCACAGCACAGGCAAATAAAATAAAATAGATACAGTGCTGAGGTAAGGCTGTTGTTTCATGCTATACATATTTCTCTGTCCTCCTTCATGACTAACAGAAACAAAACAAGCTAGGTAACCAGGAAGAAGCCAACACCACCATTTGTGAATTTCATACAAGTTGTAGGATTCAGCTTTCCTTGGCATACAATACAAGGAACATTTGAGCAGAGTTTTCATTTTCTTTTAAGCACTTCAAACGTACAGATGGGTACCCAGCCTCCAACGAACTCAATGATTCACAAAACAGCAGGCGCAGTGGATGTCAAGGCGTTATGCTGCTCATCAGTAACAACATTCAGTGAATGCCTCTGACACATTCCGCACTGTGGTCACAACAGCAATTCATGGCACTCTCTGGGGGGAAATGCTGTGTTTACAGAGTCACGTTTACTTACTGTACAGTATGTTTGTTCTTCGTAAGTAAGTGCTTCCAATGTCTAAGTTCTTTTAGAAAATGAACTCTGCAGTCAGAATGAGCGCAGATTCGCCTGCATTCCTGTGGAACTACAGAAGTGTCCGATGTCACCTCAGCATATTCCTATGTTGTGCACGTGTCTCATAGACAAAGAACAACACAAACAAAAGCAGAGGAAAATGGCAAATCAGCCATTTGTAGCAGAGGGGAAAGTGGCAAAGCTCAGGAGGAGCAGGAAGCATTGCACCTGTTGCAGCCTTCTCATAGTCTCAATTACATTCATGGGATAAGGACAATTTCTGTTGTATGTACTTCTTTTAAACATTTGTCTTTCACAGTTTTCCTTGGAATGTACCACCGCACTGTGCTACAGGCTATTACCTTAAATAGGCATAAAGAGGACTATCAGTTAAAACATGCATGCCCAAACGGCTAAACAGCAAAACAGCCATTTTTACTTGCACAGTTGGCATATGAAGTCAAAGGATACTATTAGGGCTTGACAAACCTATGATATAAATACTTCAGAGTATTAGTCTGCATAAAACAGTTAATGGGCTAGGGCTTTCTACCATGCACCACTTAAATTCAGACCCCTGTCTGTGGTGCTGAACTCACAAGTTACAACTAGACTGCTGAACTCTTGAGATCCATTTTGATCCTCTTCCTATATGTCACAAGCAAACATATTACAGGCCACTTCACACATTGCACTGAAGGAAGTGCACAGTCTTCTACTTGGATGCAATTAGTCACAGGAACAAAACCATCTCGCAGTGGCTTCAGACAATTCTCTAGGCTGATATTTCTTCACTTTCATCTCAGAGGCCTGCCTGGCCTCTACCTTTTATCTACTTTGAAAGAAACAAACCTGTAAAAGTTGTTTTGCTTTGTTTTTTTAAGAAAGTGCCTGTCATTGCAATGCACTGGACTTACCAGTCACTTTACAGGCTTCCAAAGCAGCATCTGGCTGTTGATGAGTAAATGGTGTCAAAAAGCTGGGCTCCTCTTTACGGTTACACATCTCATCCGTCACTTTCCCCTCTCTACTCGTTGCTTCTAGTTTCTCTGAAGAACCAGGGACAGTCTTCTTGAGAACAATCCCCCCTTCCTTTGACGCCCCCACCAAAGCCACACTTTCCAGAGATGTTTTTGCATCTTTAATAAAGGCAGTTATTCTTTCTTCACCTTGAGGGCACTCAAGGGCAGCAAAATCCTCTTTTTTTGACACCAGGGACATTGGCGCAGTATTTTCTCCATCATCCTTGTGCTCTTTCTGCTGTTCTGATAAAGTAGTGGGAATAGCTTTCTCCATTCCTTGTGGATTTCACCGTGTCAATTTGACAAACCAAACATCAAGGCTTTGGGTGGATTTGCATCAATTACTGCCAGACAACCTATAATAAAAAAGTGACAAAATGTTCAAAAGACTGAATTTCACACAAGCCCTTTTCAGACATTTTGGTTAAGATGCAGTACACTCAACAGCTTCTGAATTTATATAACAAATGCTTGAAAAATTGTAGCTAAGGCCTAAGGACAGCTCACATTTCTAGAGCGGAGCACAGCAATTCCTATTTCAACAGACTAGCATGCTACAAGAAAATGAAAAATATGAAAAATGAAAAACATCTTAACCTCAACTTCACTGTAGGACAGAGGGTGGCCAACCTGCAGCATGTGAAACAGGTAGTAGTAGGTTGTAGCATGCTCAGATTGGACAGGAAGGCTGGCAGGTCTGGCCATAACCCAGTAACAAGTCTGAATCAGTCCTGCAGTGCCAGTTCAGTCCCTGACTCAGCAGCCTTGAAGCCACTATAACCTTTGTGAGGGATTGCAAACTTGTGGGCCTCTAAATGTGGTTTGTCTACAGGTCTCCTCATTTCTGACCACTAGCCGTGATGGTGCCTGAACATCATGTGGAAGCCTACAGGTTTCTCACACCACTTCTAAGTGGTATTATATCATGCTTTGGGCTTTCTCTTTATTTGGCAACTATTAGCCATAACTGCCATGTTCTACCTCCACTGCCAAGAGGCAGTATGCTTTGAATGTCACTTGTTGTGAACCACCAGTGGGGAGAGTGTTACTGCGCTCAGATCCCGAGTCTAAACTTCCCAGAATAGGCCCCTGGGTTTGGCCAGAGTGCTGGACTAGGTGGTCCTTTGGCTTGATCCAGCTGATCCCTAAATGTTCTTTTTATCACAATCAAAGAGTCATAGGGGGTTTCCCCCCCTACAACTGACTAGCATGACTATCCCTCTGGAACTTGCCAGGAAGATTGTCCACAATGAATTATCTAGTTTGGGATTTAAGAGTAGGTCCATACCTTCACTATAAAATAACAGCGGAATGAGCTCTATAGACTTCTCCACATACTTAATGAAAAATGTGTCTTAACCACATTTTAGCCATTGCCAAGATGTTTCTGAATGGGAACTTGAGGCACTAATAGCGCTGCAGCACAAGCATTAAATTGTACCTCTGCAATCTATGCTCACAAATCACATCATCCCCTCAGAGGAGAATGGTTGCATTGAGTGCAAGTGAAAACAAGGAAGGGTAACTGTATGACATTTATGTTCACCAGGTCCGCAGGGATACCCTACTTCCCTTACAACAGTTTTCTTTTATCTTGGCTGTTGGACTACAACTCCCACCAACCCTGACGGGAGTTGTAGTCCAACAGCATCTGGGGACCTCACTTTAGAGAACACTGCCTTACACGACACCTGATAGGATCCACAGTTCAACAGCTGTAATGAGATGCAAGGGCAAAGCATTCCACATAAATAAGCAAAAGCCATTAACATCATGGGGTGATGGGAAAGAGAGGAATCTGCTGAATTGTGGGCTGGTCTGCAACAATGAAGCCAACTCAGATCAGCTTCAACAGAAATATAAATAAATAAAATAATAATAATAATAATAATAATAATAATTTGTTATTTATATCCCGCCCATCTTGCCCAGCCACTCTGGGCGGCTTCCAACAAAATATTAAAATACAGTAATTCATCAAACATTAAAAGCTTCCCTAAACAGCATTCACAGCATATTGATGCAATTCACCTTTGGGATATCATAATTCAAGGGATGTGCTCTTGGGAATTTTCTTTTACCTTCCTCCGTATACTCATAATGACTATGCCTACACATAAGATTTACACTGTTTGTTATCGAATTATGTGAAATCTTCTGTTTTCCAGCTAGCTACTATGCCATTTCTTATCAACACTGCTGTTTCTAGTTTCAGGCCTACAGAACTGAGCTAAACCCTCATAAAACAAATTTTAAAGCAAGACATAATGGAGTTCATTGTGGGTTCAGGCAATTCCTTCAAACTGGCACTGTCACATTGAACAAAATAATATGCTGAAACCAATTTCATACACAGCAAGAAATACAGAACTCATTAATGTATTTTGCACATGTCCTATTAGTTTAAATATATTTATATATTTATTAACAAGAACCCCTATTTGTTTCAGAGATCCCAATTAATTCTCAGCACAGAAATCACCTTTCTTCTAGAACCGGCTGTGTATATATTATCTCTCACGCACATCCACTACATGCTCTTGTCACTGGGCCCCTCTTACGAGTCCTATTATCTCTTCAACTACCCCACACCCTGACCAGTTAAACTAGCTACCAGTGAGACACAAAATATTTTTGTCCAAATTTATCAGTTCCAATGTCATTCTACATTAAAACTGACTGGGGAGAACACATGCCATGAACATACAACTTGCTCTCTATAAAACTTTAATTTCAAAATCATTATTTTGCACTCCGGATTACCTCACAACTTTCCTCAGCAATTAATATGAAATATATTACCACATACACACAATCCTCAGGTAAAGGACACATAACAAACAAGACAATGCCAATGAATCACAGTATTTGGGAATCTACTGTTAACAGCCCAGTCCATTTCATGTTTATATGGGACCCATCAGCTCAAATTCCTAAGTGTCCCTTCCATGCACAGAAGGCTTTTGATTCAGGATGGAATCTGCTGGCAGTATGAAGTTGGTCTGTCGGTCTGTCTGTATCTTTCCCACTCCCCCAGCAACCCCTCTCCTTTTCGTTCAGGTAGTTCCCCAACCCTTCAGTGAAGGGTTCAGAGGGAAATCAGCAAAGTTTACCTCTCATCCACCTGCAAGAGAGTCTCATGAGCAGAACCCTAATCACAGGATGATCCTACCAGCAGAAGGGAACTCCTCCATATTCAAGCCATCGGGTTCACTGAAACTTAAAGCTAAAGGTAAAGGGACCCCTGACCGTTAGGTCCAGTCACAGACAACTCTGGGGTTGCAGCACTCATCTCGCTTTATTGGCCAAGGGAGCTGGCGTACAGCTTCCGGGTCATGTGGCCAGCATGACTAAGCCGCTTCTGGCGAACCAGAGCAGCGCACTGAAACGCCGTTTACCTTCCCGCCGGAGCGGTACCTATTTATCTACTTGCACTGCGTGCTTTCAAACTGCTAGGTTGGCAGGAGCTGGGACCGAACAACGGGAGCTCACCCCGTCGCGGCTTACTTAGAGGTAAATGGGCCTCAGGCTGAAAGCCTATACTCACTTATCTAGGAGCAAGCTCCTTTGAAATGGGATTTGTATTTCTAAGTAGACATTGGTTTTCACATACATGTACATACAGTGGCCGCTAAGAATTCTATACAGACTTTTTTCTCTCAGGCTTCCCAATACTTAGAGAGGGTCCCCCCCCAAAAAAAATACACTTAATCAAACTGTGAAAGAACTTTATGTTAAAATTCAAGCCAGAAAGTTAGCAACAGAAAAGAAGTGACCACAGTATGCTTCAAAAGCTTAAACCCCAAATCAGAAAGAACTAAGTAATTACAAAACAAAACGAATTCATCAGTCAGAGATCTACCTTCATTTAAGAATATTTTAGCAGAGCAGACATAAGAGGCCCTTACATGTTGCCTGGTCCACAGGCATCATGTTATTATATTACTGGCTACTTCTATAGAGCTCAGATTTGTTCTCTTTCTACTGTACTAGCTAGAATCTAGAGCCAAGATGCAGAATGTCCATTTGGAACCCCAAGAAGTGCTGTAACTTAGCAGTGAGCACTGAAGAGTGTGCACAAACCAGTGCAAGCAACAGAGCAACAAATGTAGTTACCACTAGGAGGAGATAGATGCCCAAAAGTGGTGATAAGTGAGGCTATGGCAATCTAAGTAAACACATGTGGCTGGTGCATGAGAGGTGCAAGATAAAATACAGGAGACAACAGCTTAGCAAGTCTTTTTCCTCAAGGTGACAAACTTGTTACACCTTTCTTCCATACAGGCTGTTCCTGGATGACACATTCACCAGACGAGCCACAATAATCACCCTGAAACATGTCTTTCCAATCTGTCACACTGTGGCATGTGCCAGGAGTGACCTTGTAAATCCAATATTAGTTCACAAAGATGCTACAGAAGAAGAGCAGCAACATTAGGTCTATATACATAAATACTTTGCCCGGCATCATCATCATAATCATGAGAGGCAATTTGGTTCTCAAACTGCCTGCCCTATTAGGCACTTCTGGTTTTGAGGCTGAAGAACTAAACAGGCCATGCCACTAACAAGCTACCTCTGACAACTATCATTGCACAGAAAATACTGGCCAAGGTAGACTGATGCACTGCCAGAATTCCTTCTGTTGTGCACCTTTGCCAGGAGAAAGCAGAGCAAATTACTCAAGGAGGAAATTATTTTGGCAGTTACTGAGTAATTAATTTTTCCAAAGTGGCAGTTATTAAAAGCACAGTTCAGGCACTCAAAATATAATACAGAAACTTCATCATTTGCCACAGATACTGTAGAAAAACACAGACACAAAAAATGAAAAAGAATGGGATTAGTTCCACAGAAAGGTTTCACACAGTAGTACAAGTTCACAATTTTAAGATTATTATAGTCTGGATCCACCAAAACGTGCTGGAGCAGTACAATTATCAAAACCACTAAAATGAAACTAAACTGCAATAGCATGTAAGTTTACCGTTATATTTTTCCTCAAGTTAGAGTGCACAAGATTGCAGCCTAGGAATGATATTTCTGTTTCTAGTGCCCAAACTTTGTGTGTGTGTGTGTTTGTGTGTAAAACTTCCTGGTTAGCAGACCACAGTTGTCATGTCTTGTTGAATGCCTTTATGTACCACTTTCTGTCACAAGTGACCTCTAGACAGTTTAATTTGCTGATAAGATACTTTGTTGGTACAGTATATAGAAGCAATGCAACTTGAAAGAGAAAAATCAATCTGATGAAGAATTTAAGAAAATTATTTAAGTAACACTATCCATGTACAAGTTTCTTTACAGACATTACTCTGGGGAGACATTCCTCAACCCCAGAGAAGTTACAATCTGAATTTCCCCATTGTGGCTTAGGCAAGGTGAGCAGAGAGAGACTATTAACAGATCCAAGAAGAGTTTTCAAAGAATCTAAGAATCTTTTCAGGAGCTGTGGTCTCTACCCTCCGAAACTATGATAATTTACACAAAGAAGTGCTGTTTGGGCTCTCTTTCTCTGGCACCATACATAGGGCCATGTTCACAGAAACCCTTCCACATATATTATTTTTCTGAAGAGGCTAAATAACCTGCCTATATTGTTCTATACCTTGCTGCATTTCAGCTCAGAAATTCATCTTCAAAACATAAGCAGAGTCTGCTGAATCAGGCCAATGGGCCCACCTAGTACAGCATCCTATTCTTACAGTGGCCAACTGGATGCCTGTGGGAAACTCACAAGCAGGATTCAAGCACAAAAGCATCCTCCCCTCCTGTGGTTTCCATCTTCATCATAAACCATTTAACAGAGCTACTATTACAGTAAAATGTTATGAAGCGTTTTAATAACTTGGTCACAATGAAAAAACCATGCATTCAGTCATTCAGCTGCAATCACAAGCCTTCAAATACACAAGGCATAGCTAATTAACAACTGCCTGAACATGCAAGCAGACTGAGTTCTAAATTTTATAAAAACAAGCCTTTTAAAAGAAGTTAATTCCACAGTGCCAAATGCATGCATACATATGAGCCTCCAACTATTACTTAGCAGGTCTTCCCATTACATACATTTCTGCAGTAACACATCATGGAGGAACCAATAAGCAACTGTTAGAGGCCTAGGGAATACTAGCAGGCAAAAGAAGCCCCGTTTTCCATCACCAGTCAAGCCATCTGCCACCCACGAGAGGCAAAGAGCAACTCTCCAGGGTGTGCAATCAAATAGTAAACTCTGTTTCTACCTGTCCCCACCAATTTACTTATCTTTTAATATTTCTATACAGTACTGCTTTCAGTTTATTCCCCCCACAAGTAATTTTATAACAATAAAAATAACCATATACTAAAAAGAATTAGTGTCAAAACTATCCAACAGAAATAACAATATACATACTAGACAAACCTCTTTGGCAGAGAACTCCATAAGTGGAGGGCCTTCCCCAACCAGGAGAGACTTCTCTCCAGTTACCACTCACCTCATCTCACATTATTCCTAAAAGACTCCCAACAGCTTACTTGTTTTCCTGCCTGCGTCTCTATAAGAAACATGAAAGCTAGGAGCAGAGCAAAGGAATCTGATAGCTTTAGTAAACCCTAAGCCCTAGCTGGACTTTTCATCTCTTATTTGACCTAAATCTGTAACTTCTAGAAAGGCAAACAGTTACATGCCTGCAGTAAGGGAGACTTGGAGTCACTCTTCACTATCAGTCTGTTGGGAGTAATTAAAAAGGTACCACTGACAAACCTTTACATATAGGATGCCCTATAAATGCCTGTTTTAGTTCTTTTTAAGAGTTTTCATTCCTTTAGGATTACAGCAGTCCTCATACACTGGCCTGACTCGCACATCACACTAAGCTAAACCATGGCTTAGCTCAACATAGCAGCAGGAAGACTGGAAGAGCAGCAAGGCAGTCACATCTTCTCTGGAAGCCGACACACCTACATGATCACATTAAGTCATGGTTTGGCTTAGTGTGACATGTAAACCAGGTCACTGTGTCTTTTAGCTGAGCATTATATGGGTATCATAGAATCACAGAATTGTAGAATTGGAAGGGATCATGAGGATCATCTAGTCCAACCCCCTGCAATGCAGGAATCTTTTGTCCAATGTGAGACTCAAACCTCTGACGCTGAGATGAAGAGTTTCATGTTCTACTGACTTCAGCTATCACAGCTACAAGTATTAATTGGTTAACTGAACTAATCAATGGCAATGAATATTCATCAGAGACTGGTCAGATGAAGTGGACTAGTCCACAAAAGCTTATGCTATAATAGATGTTAGTCTTTTAAATTGCCACAAGATTATTCATAGATTTTGCTGCTACAAATTAACATGGCCATATCCCTGAAACTCATCTAAAACTACATAGGCAAATGCATGTAATGTGGTGGACTATATATTTTAAGGTTCAAATAGTTCATCCTGAATGTTATAACTTTTCCAAATTCCAACAGGCAGCACTGAACCTTTCTTCTGGCCATGTTCAGTAAAGCAATCCTTTGCTGCAGATTATTAAGTCTCATTTTACTGCTTTTTGCATGTAATTAAGGGAGGTATACATTTGTTCTCACTCCAAATCCCAACACCAATGGTGCCAAAAATCAACAATACATACTACCTCCCTGAAAAAATATTCACTATGCAGTTCTCCTATCTCCGTCACTAAGCATGCCTTTCACTCTCACTGTACACAGGTTAAGATGCATCCAAGTACTCTCAACAGTTCTGGCACTACCTGTTCTATTTCACCTTCAGCATCCCACTACTTCCTTTCCAATGGACAGTGCCAGCTGAAAATACAGAAACTAAGGTCTGCAAATGACATAACCACTTAACACAGGAAGACATCTGGGTATGGTAAAGATAAACACAATATAATAATTTAAGCAGAAAATGCCTCACCCCATATTAACTTCAAAACATTTTAAAGTGCACCAATATTGTCCAAGGCTTCATATTTCACAACCTGATAGAAACAATGCTTACTCAGCACAGTCACAATAATTTCTATTGGTCATTCTTCCAAGTAAGTAGGTTTAGGATAATAGTCTTAAGCACTGTCCTAACCGATTCTTTGATTTGCTGCAGCAGCAAACCTTTGGCAAATTGCCCAAGTGAGAGCACGCACCAAATAAATTGCCACTATAAATGGATAGGAAACTTACTTCTTAGTAGACATGTATAGGATTGTGTTGCAAGTCCCACAGAGTGCAATGGGGCTCACTCTCTCAGGTAATCAAGTACAGCAACTTAAAGAGGGGGAGAAGAGGCAGAAATCTGACACAAAGTAGACCTATCAAAGACAAGCGATGTCTGTGAGTCCTCATCCTAATGGGTGCAGCAGTTCCGTGTATTGCACTAGTTCGAGCTCATCCATTTCTCACAAGTATAACTTCATGTAACAGCACATGACAACACAGAGGAACTGTGCCAAGGAGAAGACTGTGGCTTCTTTACAATAAAGCCCCCAAACTCTTGGATCTTTGGGTCAAGCAAAAGGCAGGTGTCCTCTCTTGTCCCACCCACCTCGAGGCTCGTTTGCTCTCCTCCCAGAGGAAACACTGACTTACCGGCTTGCTGAAGAACCTCGGGAATCATTCATGCCCCCACCCTAAGCACCACCACCCCACTCACCCACGCAGAGGGTGTGTGTCCCTTCATGAGCATCCCGCTCAGTCTCATCACCTGATGCCAGGTCCGGATGCCCATCACTCCACGCACACCTGTGACCCGCCTGCCGCTCGGAAGTCCTTCGACGGACACCTTCCCCCTTCCCCGGCACCTGTCCGCCTTCCCGGGCGCCTCCCCCCAGTCACCTGCAACCCCCTCGGGTGTGCCTCGCCGCCCCAGCCTCCTTGAGACCGGGCACCTGCCACCTTCCACCTGCCCCATTCAGACTCCCCACCACTTGACCTCCCCACTCCTCTCCGCTCCAGGGGGGAAGAGCAGCCGGAGCTCCCGCCCGGCTCGTGGCCTACCTGTCACTTACCTCCCTGACAGCAAGGCTCATTCACGGGCGCTCCTTCCCTCCTCCTCCTCCTCCCTCCTTCCCTGTCACTTGCCCTCCTCCTAGGCACCGCCTCCTCGTCCCCTCCTGGCTTCATCCCCTCCGGTCAGGTCCTCCTTTCCCAGCCTCGCCGGGGCGCACTCACCATCTTGCGCCCAGTGCTGCCGCCGCCGCCGCCGCCGCCCCGCGCTGGGTGCTCAGGGCTTTCTCGTTCCCCCTCGGCAGCCCCGCTGCACCCTCCTCTTCTGCCCTCCACCCGGCTCCGGCCTCTTCAGCAGCAGCAGCCGAGGCCGCCGCGCCGGGGACATGGCTCCTTTAAATCCTCCTCCTCTCTCTCAGCTTCTCCCCCCGCGCCACCACTCCCCGCTCCGTCCCACCAACTCCCTCCCTTTCTCTACCCGGCCAGCCCAGCTGCCTGCGCCGCTCCCGCCGCGCCCCCCTCCCCTCTCCTCCTTCCGAGTCGCGACCGCAGAGCGTCTCTAGCAACGCGACGGCAGCGGCGCCATGTTGGGAGAGGCAAAACGAACTCTTCCCCCCCCACCTCTCGCTCCGGGATGACGTCATGGGGCTGCCAAGGCCAGGGCCTCAGGCAACTATACTGCGCGCGCGGGGCAGGCTGGGGTGGGGTGTCTGAACTAGCTAACGGGCCGGGGCACTGGGACAGCTGTGGTGACCCAACTTGCCCAGGGTCAAAGCTAATACCCTCCGAGCTGTGGCAACGTGGCTTCTCTCTTGGTGGCCACCTGTATCCGGAAAAGAAAACCAGGCGCGGGCCACGTTATGTCCAAAAGCCCGTGGCCATTGGGGAGGAGAGAGAGAGGGCAGTGGGCAGGTGTATTGGCGCTTCTTGCCAGGAGTTACGCCTGAGGAGACCGGCTGGGGCAGTCGCCCCGGGAGGGAGGGAAGGAAGGAAGGAGGGAAACCTGCATGGCTCCTTTCTCGTTTCACCGGCCAGCGGCTCCTGTCACACGACGTCCAGAAGCGCTAACCTCGAATACACTTACTTCTGACTTGGTCCAGCACGCATGGCGGGAAGGAGGCGCCCCCCCTATCGGAGAGTCCTATTGCTAACCCTCCTCAGCGTCCCGAAATCAAAGCGAAAGGGCGCCAGAAGAACCCATACATACAAGTTCTTCAGTCTTTGATATGAGTGGGGTTTAGCTGGGTGGCAAACCTAAAAGCGAGCGATCCGGCCGCATTAGGCGTCCAAGCACCCAGGGCGAGTGGATGTTTCGCCACGCAGGCGAACGTCCGTGTTCCGAAGTGAAGGCGGGACAGCTCACCCCACCCTTGTAAACACCAATCAACAATACTGATAATGAAAACGTATTTACTCTCCACGACCAGAGGAACTAGACGTTCATTCTTTGAAGCTGTGTATTAACGCCGCCCTCTTAATTTTGGATTTTTTTTGGTTTCACTTTGCTTTCATTTAATCCAGAAATAATTGAATAAAAATAAAAGATCATCAGAGTTGACTGCCAAGTATGCATGCCTGCGGGCTTCACACAGGCACTGAAATCAGGATGCTGGACTAAATGGGCATTTGGCCTGATCCAGCAGCTTCTTATGTAATTATAGGATTACAACTTTAGTATTAACAGAACAGAAAGCAAGCCTGGCCAGATGAAAATCCTGCACAACCAAGAGACTGTGATTCCTATAATAAAATTACCAGGGCTTGTTCCAGTCAGCAGATCTCCCCTCTGTACATTTCTCCAACATTATTACACCATCCAGCATTTTCCAAACATCTAGCCCATGATTCCAATCTCCTGTTTTGTCTCTCTATGATCCTCATGAAACCCACGCTGCAATACTATTTAGGTTTACTCAGAAGTCCCACTGAATTCTTTGAGAGGCTACAATCCTACACCCGCTGAACTTTTTGTGACTTCTCTCCTTGAAAATGTCTCCAGTAATTGGACTGGAAAGACGGCATGAGGAAAAGTGGGGTGGGGGAGAGACCCAAATTGCCCTTACAATATGGGGTTGCATTGTCATCATAAAGTTCCCTCAGACAGCATGGCAAGCCATTAAAAGACAAGAACACTGGCAAAGTGTAAAGGTAAAAGACCCCTGGACAGTTAAGTCCAGTCAAAGCTTCAAGCCGAGGGAGCCGGTGTTTGTCCACAGACAGCTTTCCGGGTCTTGTGGCCAGCATGATTAAACCGCTTCGGGTGCAATGGAACACCATAAAGCATGGAAACACTTTTACTTTCCTGCCAAAGCAATACCTATGTATCTACTTGCACTGGTGTGCTTTCGAACTGCTAGGTTGGCAGAAGCGGGGACAGAGCAATGGGAACTCACTCCGTCATACGGATTCGAATCACTGACCTTCCAACCAGCAAGCCCAAGACGCTCAGTGGGTACTGGCAAAGTAAACTGATATTCACACCATGTAAGTGACCTTGCTTCCCAGACTGCTGTGCTTAAAAAGATCTCATAGATGCTTGATACCTTAGAAGAGCTGATAATTGTCAGAATAAGATATTATTATTTATTATATCTCTATATTGCCCTTCAGCCAAAGATCACAAGGTGGTTCACAATATAGGTCAAAACCAGTGCTTTGAATTGGGCCTGGAAACTAATTGTCACCCAGTGCAGTTGGGCCAGGATTGATGCAATATGCTCAAACCTCTTGCCCTGGTGAGCAACCTGGCCGCCAAATTCTGCACCAGTGAAGTTTCCAAACCATCTTCAGAGGCAGTTCCATGTATAACAGTGCTATAGTACAGTGCTTTGGTTCAGTTAAAAGTAATGTGCAAGGGCAAATGCCGAAATAAGTCAGGAAGGGAGTCTGTTAATTGTAGCCACAGGTCACTGACTGGCCTGACTCTCTGCTGTCTTTATACCACTGACATCCCCATTCCATACTGTTACAAACTAAATAGTAACTGTTAGGGCCACAGTGGTCAGAGCTGTACAGTATCTATAAATAGTTTATTGTATTTTATAGTATTTCTATAATTTGTAATAAACCTAAAATAGCTTTAATCTGCCCATTTTGTGACAATGAAGTAAGTCTTTAGACCTCATGTGCTCAACTCACCACTTGGGGGCCACATGCAGCCCTTGGGGACCTTCAAGTGTGTCTTGCATAGGTGACCAAGCAGCCTTTACTGCTGAGTGTTGCTATCTCTCTGCCATAATTGGGCTTCCATATATATAAGATTTTCCCCAGCCCGCCGAGCAACTGTTTGGCAGGCTGGGGATAGTGCAGTTCTGATGGTGAATATGATGCACAAGGTGGGGAGGGGGGCAGGGGCTGTCCACCACTGAGATGTGCCTCTGCACTGCCGTGTGTGATCATTTGGGGCAAAGAAGTTGTACACTACTGAGATATATAACCATATGCATTTAAATATTAATAAAGATTCAAAGAGATTCAAATAAAGCAGGTACACTTTAAAAAAATCATTTATTACATAGCATTCTGTTGAGGTAAATTAGGGCCCAGAACCATCCAGAAAAGGAAGTGGGTAATTACTGGAGAAAATCAGTTTATCTTCACAAGATGAAAGGAAATGGCCAAATGTGTGGTTGGTTGGTAGGCAGCAGTTAAACATTCATAATCTGAGAACTGAGCAAACTGTTTCTTCATGTACACAGAAAAACAGACTCTGCTCCAGCTATAGCCAGTCATGACTAAGGACCTTTGAAAACAATGGAAAGAAAATCACAACCCTTTTGCTTTTCATGTGACTTAGACCACATGCATGTCTACTCAGAAATACTGTAAGTACCACTGAATTCAACTGTGTATCCCTAGGTAAGTGTGTGTATAGGGTTGCAGCTCAACATTACCTGGCGTGAAGCTAATAAATCTGGTAAGAGAGCAATTAAATTTTAGTTTTAAAATTTGCTTGCGCTCAAATTTCTAGCATGATATTTTTAAACAAGTCTGGTTTAAAGAAACATTTTAATCATCGAGTTTCATCTACCCTGATTTATTATGTGTTCTCAGCACTCAACATTTCTGCTTTTACCTTGCCCCACGCCTTCTTTCTCTATGCAGTGGTACCTTGGGTTAAGTACTTAATTCGTTCTGGAGGTCTGTTCTTAACCTGAAATTGTTTTTAACCTGAGGTACCACTTTAGCTAATGGGGCCTCCTGCTGCTGCCGTGCCGCCGGAGCACGATTTCTGTTCTCATCCTGAAGCAAAGTTCTTAACCTGAGGTAATATTTCTGGGTTAGCGGAGTCTGTAACCGGAAGCGTATGTAACCTGAAGCATATGTAACCTGAGGTACCACTGTATTCTCTATTCTCCCATAACTGCAACTGCCTGAGCACTCACTCAGCCTCACCCTCCTTCCTGCCTGAAACCTCCACTCCAAAAACATTGCTATTGCATGTATTTTGAAGCATAACCTTATTATTGTGCAAATGACAATGATGTAATAGTCTACAACCTGCTCTTTTTTGGGTGATGTTCTTTTAGTAATGGTTATTAAAATTAATGTTTCTTTTTACATTATCCACTCCTCTGGTTTCGCACTGCATACTCCTTCTGAAGCTCTTCCAGTATGAACATAATGTTACACGCAGCACAAGATTCCAGGGGTATCAGTGCTCTTACCAGGGTCTGTGTTTCCTTTTGGATAATAAGGCACATTGCCTTCATCATTAGGGAACATTCATGTTCTTTTCCTCATCTCCTTCCAACATCCAGTGATCTGAACTCAGAACCTCTGGATGCAGACTGCCTGCTAGCATAGGCAAAGGGATCCCTACGTTTTACATATGATGACTATCATAGATATCATAATTTAATATATGGCTGGTGGACAAACACCAGGACACAATTTTTCTAAGAAAGGATGGTGGGTGATCTAAAGCTGCTGCCTGGGTGTATTGTACAGATCTTGGCATCTTGTCAAAGCTAGAGTCTGCCAGTAATTATCTGATAAGTATACTTCCCTACACCTCATTAAACATCTTTGTCTGCTGACCAAATGGATCAAATGAGCTTCTTGAGGACAGCTCTCATGTGCACTAATCCAATAATTTTGACTTGCATAGTGCAAGTGGTGCCGTCTGCGGTTGTTATATAACTTATATCCAACACAGCAAACAATAATCTTTAGCCTTTCCCTTCACGTGTCATATAAAATGTTACAGCTCCATGAAAGCTCTTTATAAGAAATTGTTGCAGAAAGAGAAGCAATCTTTAATCACTGGAGCTTGAACCTTTCTAGAACATAAACTGCAGTTAACGGCTTGACGGGTGGAAAAGATGTACATTCAATATGTTGTGCATTTAATCAAATAAATAAAGTTTTTCTAAACAATGTAAGGTAATGGTTTTAAATATCTTTAAATTTAAGTTTTCTATTCTTTCCATTATGTTTCATTAAGTTTCAACATTTTTAACATATACAATCAAAACACAATTTCTTCTTTTCTCTTATTTTTCTCGACTTCCCACCCCATTTCCCATGAAGTTGTTGTTTCTCCCCTTCTGCTCCCCCACGTCTTCTATCTATTAAATCATAACCACAATATTATAATCTAATCACTTCTGTTGCTCATAGCTCAAATCCTGCTCGTGAGTTCATCATACAGCCGTACCTTGGAATTCATACAGAATCTGTTCGGAAGTCCATTTGACTTCCAAAATGTTCAGAAACCAAAGCGCGGCTTCCGATTGGCTGCAGGAAGCTCCTGCAGCCAATTGGAAGCCGTGGAAGCCCCGTCAGACGTTCGGCTTCCAAAAATAGTTCACAAACCAGAACAGACTGCGGTGTTTAGGAGCCAAAATGTTCGAGAACTAAGCTGTTCAAAAACAAGGTACGACTGTACTATATTTCATTAAATAGTCCAAAGAAGGCATTCTTCCATAAAATACTTGTCATTAGATTTTCTTTAAATTTTCTAATGCATAGTCATTATCTTTTAGAATCCTTAAAAATGCAGTATTACTTTTTAATTAGATGTCATGTGTAAATGTTTGGTAAACATAACCATCTAATTACTTATTCATTAAAAGCCATATAGTTAATTGGCTAAGACTGCAATTCTATACCTACTTATTTGGTGGTAAGCTCCATTGAAACTAAGTTAGATTTATATTTGAGTAGATATGTATAAGATTGCACTGTAGGGTGTGATAGTCCTGACTGATAAGAGTTTACATTCAGATTTCAAAAATACTTTACCAAGTAGTAATACTCTGAGCTGAAATTGACCCTTCCCGTAATATTTTCTTGTGTTAACATTTTAAACAATAACATTTATATTCTGTATTTAGATTTGAATTATTTAATTTTAGATCATGAGCATGTGGCAGGGACTATAGGTATTTTATTTACATATAGCACCTAATACATTTTCGTTGGTTTCATAAATAATGCATTATTATGAAGATTTAAAAACTATATTGTTAATGCTATCAAGCTCCAGATATGTAACTTTTTAATATGCCATTTCCCCCTCAAACGTCACCCTCTGTCATCTCTGTTTAAATAGCTCCTAAGGTACACAAAGGGTCTTTGTGGCACTTTTTAAAAAGGCTATCACACTGGAAATAACCAGAAAACAGTGATTCACGTACATGTACCTTTCCAACATCTTCTGCAGTGTAGATTGATGCAAAGGCCTAGCAACCTATATTTTTAGATATATCTATCCAGTGGTTTAAATTTTGATCTATACTACATTTCTCAATATAATTGGTACATACGCCTCACAGACTTCTCCCTCAGGACTAAGTCAATTTATGTATTAGGTGCACATTTGCTTAATACTAGGTCCTGGTGAACTCGGTGGGAATTATTTCTGAGTAAACATGCATAGGAGTGGGCTGGCTGAGTCTGCAACACATGTATCTTCTGTCTCACCTTTCTAGAGCATTTGGAATTAGGACATAAGGAGAGCACAGCTACCTGTTAGCCTAATTAGAGAGAGGAATTGGCATTAGGGACAAAGCCTCACACTACACATACACATAAGTTCATTAATGAGGCTCTTGAAATTCCACAGTGCTATTTCTTCCTTATCTGTACTGTACATTAAATGGACAACTTAATGAAATCAAGGGGCTGAACATATTGCCCCTGCAATCCTATATAAACTTGAAAACTTTGCCCCGGTAATCAACTTATTGATACCATACAGACTGACTACATCTTCTTTATTGCTTTTTAAAGTAATGTTTTGATCTGGGGGAGGGGGAGTCATTCAAAAATATGAAAACCACTAAGGGAGAAAGCATAGCTGTAGTATTGTCTCATCTGCAGCAATATTAGTAAGCACAGAACCAAGGGAAGAAGACTGATAAGGTTTTCAGCATCTGTCCATTCTGTTTAAATTACAGCCCAGTCCTATATTTTCTGCTGCGTGATCAAAAAGCTGATAAACAGCCATAGGATGCTGACTTGGAGAGGTGCAAGTGCTGGTGCAGCAACAACAGCTCTTCGCAGGTGTAAACACAGTTATGCTGCCACCAAGTGGCTGCCCAAAGGGCTTTACACGTACATATCCTGTCCTGAAACGGAAATACTGTGCGGCTGTTTTGTTTTCAGTTTTCATATCCTAATCCTACAATGTCACCTCAGGGTTTGATGGTATCTGCAGAGTTGAGACTGCTTTTCATGGCCAGTTGCTCTGATTTATCTTAGTTATCTTAATTAATTAATTAATTAATAGCTTAATTCTTTTCATACAATTACGGGGCAAATCCACAGATAAGAGAGTCAAGGACACTGCGATCAGGGAAAGCTCCCTTGCCATCTCAAGGTTACTGACGATATAAAGAGATCCCATGTGAAACACCAGTATAACAGGGGAGCAATGTACCCCTTTCTAGTCCAATATACTCACAGCCACTACATATTTACCAAGCTAAGTGATCCATCGGCTGGTAGATCATAGTGGTAGAGTGGATTGTAATGGCACTGTAAATTATCTAGTGCCTAACTCTGCTGTGATGGACTGTATGCTCTTGAGATGGGACACTTGAAATAGCTGTGGTAAGCCAAGTAAGGCAATCGGTCCATCTAGCACAGTATTGTTGACATTGACAGGCAGTGATTCTCCGGAGTTTCAGGCAGCAGTGAGGCAAAAATTTAGTTACATTTGATAATGCCTGTGGCTATAGAATGTGGTGTTTCCAATTCAAAAGCAACAGGTAGCCATCCTCGCAGCTGGTGGGTACAATAGTAGGTTAATTCAAGCCCGAAGCTGTGCTAGCTCTTTTTGAATCATTGTCAGGCACTGAGTATGAGTAATCGAGGGCTTGGTAAGACTTCAGGTGGCTTGAGAAAGGAAGGCACTCAGGTGAACAAGCAAGGAACCATGACTAGAGCCTTCATTTCTAAGACAGAGGGCATGCTCTAACTTGAGTGGGCAAGTCAGATAACAGACCAAGAAGCTATCTATTAAAAGACATATGAAGGCAGCCCTGTTCAGGGACGTTTTTAGTGTTTGATGTTTTATTGTCTTTTTACTGTTTTTGGTTGAGAGCCATCCAAAGTGGCTGGGGCAATCCAGTCAGATGAGCGGCATAACAACAACAACAACAACGAGGGACAAGTGTCAATGAAGACAGAGCAGCAGTCTGGTAAATGCAAAGCAGCGGCCTGTAGTCTGTCTCAACAATAAATTGCTCAGAAGAAGGATGTATGGCAAACCTCAAGAGTAGGAAATGTGGTGGGATTGGAACATAGGAAGCTATCTCCTATACCTAGTCAGACCACAGATCCATCTCGCTCAAAACTGTCTACTACGAAGCAGTTTTTCAGAGTCTCAGACAGAAGCCTTTCCCAGTTCTACCACAAGATGCTGGGGATTAAACCTAGGCTTTTGTACACAGAACCTGTGGTCTTCCATTGACCCACAGTAATTCCAATACTGTACATTTGATCACCTAACCTGACCCAAGCACAGGAAGTTTGTTGGGCAATAACAGGGGCCCCCAGCTGAGCCCTGCAGTCTTTGATAGTAACTTATCTTTCCCATATTATCCAATGAGTGGGGTCATCTGGAGTTCTGGAGTACCTTGTCAGCAATATGCTGATGACATACAGCTCTACTTTTCCTTTGCATCTGCAGGTATGGCAGTGGATGAGCTGGAATATTGTCGTGCCTCACTAACGGACTGGATGAAAGCCAACAAACTGAAGCTCAATCCAGATAAGACTGAAGGTAGGAGGTTGCCTGCACTTGACGGGGTTACACTCCCTTTTAAGGAGCGGGTATGTAGTTTGGGGGTACTCCTGGATCCTTCGCTATTGCATGAGACCCAGGTGGCCTTGGTTGTGTGGACTGCCTTCCATCAGCTTTGGCTGGTGGCCATACTGCGCCTCTATCAGGACATGGATAGTCTAACTTCTGTGGTCTATGCTCTGGTAACCTCTAGGTTAGATTACTGCAACACATTACGGTGGTGCCCCGCAAGACGAATGCCTCACAAGACGAAAAACTCGCTAGACGAAAGAGTTTTCCGTTTTTTGAGTTGTTCCGCAAGATGAATTTCCCTATGGGCTTGCTTCGCAAGACAAAACGTCTTGCGAGTTTGTTTCCTTTTTCTTAAAGCCGCTAAGCCGTTAATAGCCGCTAAGCCGCTAATAGCCGCTAAGCCGCTAATAGCCGTGCTTTGCAAGACGAAAAAACCGCAAGACGAAGAGACTCGCGGAATGGATTAATTTCGTCTTGCGAGGCACCACTGTATGTGCAGGGCTGCCTCTGAAGGTGGTTCGGAAACTTCAGCTGGTGCAGAATTCAGTGGCCAGATTACTCACTGGGCAAGACGGTTTGGGCATATTACACTAATCCTGGCCCAACTGTGCTGACTAACAATTAGCTTCCAGGCCCCTTCTTTGTGTGCCTCCTCTGTGAGAAATCTGGAGGGGGGCAACACAAGAACAGGCCTTTTCAGCAGTGGCTCCACACTTGTGGAATGCTGTCCCATGTAGGCTTGCCCGGCACCTTTGTTGCATATCTTTAGGCATCAGGCAAAAACTTTCTCGTGGCACTGTGGGTTAAACCACAGAGCCTAGGTTGGCGGTTCAAATCCCTGCAACGGGGTGAGCTCCTGTTGCTCGGTCCCTGCTCCTGCCAACCTAGCAGTTCAAAAGCACGTCAAAGTGCAAGAAGATAAATAGGTACCGCTCCGGTGGGAAGGTAAACGGCATTTCCGTGCACTGCTCTGGTTCGCCAGAAGCGGCTTAGTCATGCTGGCCACATGACCTGGAAGCTGTATGCCGGCTCCCTCAGCCAATAAAGCGAGATGAGCGCCGCAACCCCAGAGTCGGCCACGATGCAACCCCTAATGGTCAGGGGTCCCTTTACCTTTACTCTTCTAAGTCTTTGGCTAATTAAACAATCTACACATCACTCTAAGTCTGTTTGTCACACTTTGATAGTGTAATCTCCTCCTACACTACACGATCCTTTTAACTGGAGATGCCAATGATGCAGCCCAAGATTTTCTGCATACAAAGCTTGCCCTGTGCCGGAGCTTTGGGCCTTCACCAATCCATACGGAGATAGAATGTGCATGTGATCATTCTGTATATCCTTATAGAAACTGTTGGAGCTCTGCTTAATTCACAAAATGTACATAGCGAAAAGTTCACTTGAAATACTTGCTAGATGTAGTTATTCTTTCACCTACTGTTCAAGGATCTGCTTCAATCATCAAAGGTCTCTCCTACTGAGGATTATATTTGTGCTTTGTGAACTCTAAACTAGCGCAATTTTAAAAAGTAATTTTGCACCCTCTGGCAGGCAGTTCTGCCTGAGAGTTGAGGTCTACGTTCGCTGGTGATGTATTTCATCAGCAGCGCCACTTCAACACTGGCAGAAAGCTAGGCAACCTCAAGACTGGTGGTAACTCTTAAAAGATCAGGCCCCTGAAACAAGAGCATGCAGTTATTCAATTTCTGACATTTTAAAAACTAGGCAAACAATATACATTTTATTTAAATTAATGTAATTGTAGAGCAGAGTGGTGAACTGTTAAAAGGTTAAACAAATAATGCCTGCCACCATTACATTTCAGTTTTGACATTGCAGTACACTATTATTCTACAAATTCACAGGAGCCCAGATTTGATTAAAGGAAATTACAAGCCACTCCTATTCAGGTCAAAGGCAGATTGGGATGGAGATGACTCCTAATATAGAGAGCAGAAAAGTCACAATGATCAAATCTCAAACACAGAAAATGCTTCAGTTTCTCTTCCACTTCTGTGCTCCCAGACTTGTCTGCTACTTATGCAAAACGGAAAAAGCAGTGATTTCCATTAACCATTTAAACAGCATTCATTGAATATAACTGCTATGTAAACTGGGTTTTCAGATTGTGCTGGTGGCTGTGTTTATTTCAGAACAAATAAGGATATTCCTGAGGTCACTGTGGTGATGTGTATCAATCGTTATTCTTCACATATGTATTAGAAGCAAAAAATGAGACATGGTTGTATTTAATTTTTTAAAGAAACGCTTGCTTAGTAGAGCACATACAGCAATTTCCATATTAATAATAGGGGCGGCACATGAAACGACTTCAACAATTATTTTAAATTGCCTGGATTTCAAGTCGAGGCTGTTCCTTAACCTGCCCTTGGCTCAGTTGTATCATGCAAAGTCTTGCCTTTGAAACATTTGTCAACTCAAAATGGCCTAATCTAGTCCCTGAAATGGCATTTCATTGATTTAACAGCCCTATGTTCCAGTACCAATTGTTCTGCCTGCCCCACCCCCAAGGCCCTTTTCTGTATTTACAAACACACTCTGCCTAGGTCACTGCCCAGACACTGAGGATGATGTCATCTCAAAAGCACATGTCTTGCTGCAGCATCAAGGTTTGTTAATTCCTCCCAGAAGGGGGCTGTGTAAAGTGCAGATTGAACAGGAAGCAACGGAGGGGGCTTCCTGAAAGCGAAGTAGCTTACTTGTGTATATTATTCAGGGCGCCAAGACTATATAATTTAGTTAATCGGAGATTATTGCACGGCGTGTTACAACCTCCATAAGCAGCTTGACGCCCAGAGCATTGTGGGTAGCATGGTTTGTAAACCAACTGCAGACATTTGTGTTGGACAAAATAACAGGCAAGGATTTTTTCAGACTACTGGACTGGAATTTGCCCAACAAAGATAACTGTGAAACGAAGGATGTGACAGAGAACATACATATGACAATCTGTAATGCATTTTATTTATAAACTGGCTGTACATTATGTGAATCAATAAGAGATTCTACAGTTTATATAGAGACATACCAAATGATCACAGTCTGGGTTGGTCAAGGATCACAACTCTGTAGCAGAGGGCACGCTTTGCATGCAGATAATCCTGTGCTGCATCACGGGCATTTCCAGTAAAAGGATCATGTAGTGAAGGTGACTGGAATGCCTTTGCCCAAGACTCTGAAGGACTGCTGCCAGTCCCTATTGCACTAGACAGAGAAGTAGTTTGACTTAGTATAAAGTCTCATATGCTCTATTTTCCCTGCTCCTGTCCCCCATAATATTTTGGTATCTCCAGACTGTCACTATTTTGTGGGAAGGATATAAGCCTACACCAGAAAATTAGGTTTGTGCAATTTAATCCAATGTGCTTTGTCACCCTACTGCAACAAATAAACTAAAAAAAAAATACAGAGAGAGGCTTTTTTGCAGTTAGGAAAGTGAGTGGGAAAGCACCATAAAGTGTGGGATGGATGAATGAATGATTACAGAGAAGATGAATAAGTACCTCACAAGCAAATCAGAATGATTGCTGTGTTATATATCTGCCTTGCAAACAAATTAAAAGGAATGTCCAATAAAGACCAGACACAGTCTAGCCTCCATGCAAACTTTGTGGAAACAAATCAGGATAAAGCCCTTTGAATCCCATTATTGGCAAACATGGCCCATGTTTGATAAAGAGCCCCATTTTAAAACATATTTGAGACTAATCTCTTGCACATACAAATACTTTAAGCTGTGGTTCCTCCTTTCTTGAACATAAAAACAGAGCAGGTAGGTTTCTCCCTAGGTGTGAGCTTGTCTAATATAATGTAATATCCTAGCACTCACTGCAACCTAAATCCTGCAAATGCAATCCTTAGCTCATGCAACATCTAACTTATAATTGTGCAATGACAGCAGCAAAGCAGATTGTTTTGTGAAGCTTTTAAAATCTGAATGGCTGTTTTGGAATACTAGCATTATTCAGAATATTTCAAAGTGGTCTTTGGGATTGAGCGAGAGCACTTTATGAGCTCCAGTTCAGTCTGCAGAAATCATGGGACACTTCAGACACCTTGATGAAATTCTAAAATCAGGTGAACTGAGTCACAGCATCTCTAGACTCTGATTTAACAAAACAGTTGCACTAGTGGGAGCCAGTGCAAGGAGTTCTGCTAATGCAAAAGGGCTTTTTATTTTATTTTTATTTCCTGATGTGCTCCACCCCAAATCAGCTGCGGAGGATCAGGAGAACTCCCAGAACAGTGTACATGGGGATGGAAAATTATTTGGTCGGGGAAGTAGAAATGTTTGCTTGTACTGTATACAGTGGACACTCTGGTTGCAAACGTGATCCGTGCGGGATGCACGTTCGCAACCCGCAGTGGCACGTCTGCGCACACATGGGTTGCTATTTGGCGCTTCGGGTCCGTAACCCGAAAAAACGCAACCTGAAGCGTCTGTAACCCGAGGTATGAGTGTATTAGAATACACAAGAGCTGTATAATTTTCTTTTTAGTTTGAGCTAAACCCACAATTAAACATACTTTCCATTATACTAAAGGAGATAGGTGTTGGGAATTCAGTAATATGACTTTGAATTGTTTTTAATTGAATTGTTTTTAATATTTAGGGAAGGTTCAACTCTATTCCTTTTAATTGGCCTTGTACGTAAAGGCATTCTGAATTCAGTAAGTTCAATTGATTTCAATTCTATGCCCTGAAAATACTCAGAATGAGATCTCCTGCCTAGGACCTATGGAATTCAACAGAGTATAATGTATCCAAATCCTATGTAGAAATAGGTCGCAATATTAAACTTGCTTGCCTGGGGATGTCCCATTGAGACTACCTTCTGAGTCAACATGTGTATGATTTCATTGCTAGGATTGTGTTAGCAATGTTCCACTAATGCATTCTGTAGACCCAGTCAGGTTGGAGAGCTATTAAAATGCAGAAAGTTCATTTATGTGTTGTACAATAAACTCAAGAACCACAGCTATGTTCTTGAAGATAGAGTCTTTTATTTTTGCAAAAAAACAACAATCCCTTATTTTGGTTTAGGCTTCATATAAAAAACTAAGCGTTAAACTAAAAATCATTAAAACAACCTTTAAAACAACCCATTGCAAAATATAAAAATTTTAGAAGCAAATTTAGTTCAAAAGGCATTTTTATTTGTTGAATAAAATATTGACAGAAGATGTGCTACACTTGGGCAACCTGCAGAGAGAAAGTGTTTGAATCAGTGAGAAAATTATTTAAAACTTTGGTATTAATGGTATATAGAACATTACAAATTTGAGACTAAAGTGGCAGTTAGGTATATAAGGAACACAACTCATCACCAAGGTGCTAGTCTTAAATTTTAACATTCAAAAGGTTTAGGAGTGGATCAGAATAGCTCAAGGACCATCAACACCTGCATGCATCTGCCGTTATTGAGACCCTTATCAAAACCTCTCTCTCTCTCTTGTAAGTTTCTCCTCCGTCTACAGCAGGCAATGAGTGACCTGGGATAGGTGCCTGATCTTTGGCGCATTCTAGGGTCACATTAGCTTGAACGTCAGACCTTTTTGCATGACAATCATGCGTTCCACTACAGCTAGTCTGACATAGAATTGATCTCTAGTAGGTTGAAAAGGAAGAACGGTAATGGTAATATGTTGTAATTAGTCGGTGTAGAATGAGACACAAATACCGTAATCTGTTTGGTTATTTGCCTCCAGTGAGAACTATCAGAATGGTAATGGAGCTGAGGGTGACACACAAATACTGCCCTTATCTTTCCCACAATAATAATAATCGGGGACGGGGACGGGGGGCGCGGGAGATGACACTGTGTGTAGGAATCCCGTTTGTAAGGGTAGTGTATATGAAGTTGAATGCTACAAAAATATATGAATGGGACTTTTCCCCTTGAGTAAGAAAACAGTGAAAGTTGCCTCCTTTGCTTAATTCAGATTTGCATGCTTATGTATGTACAGTACTGAAGATGATATGAGTTGCCTCTGAAATTTATATATCTGTTTACAAGCGTAAGATATTATTCACTTTTTCTGGAGAGCAGTTCCCGGAGCAAGGAGTAACAGGCATCTGATTCCCCACCGCCCGCTCCAAGCAATTAAAACATATACAGTGTGCATATATCTATATATAATCCAGTCCGCGTTTTTCTACCGCCTGCCTTGCTGTCTTGTCTGTTCTGAGGCACAATCTACCTTGCTGCCTTGCGCTTGGTCCCGGCGCCGGTTGCGATTGGCACGTGCGGAATAGCTCCATGGGCGTGCAGCGCTCCCATTGGCCGAGCCGGCCGCCCGTCGGGCGGACGCGGGGGGCTGCGTGAAAGTGTGCGTTGCACGGTAGCACTCCGCTGCTTGTGTCTGTCGGTGTCTGGGGCCGGCCCGGCGGGCGGCGTGTGGGGGAGGCGGGGGGCGCGCGCGCGCAGGGTGGGGGGGGAATTGACGGAGGGGGGCCCCCCTTCGGTCCCGCGCGCTGTCTCGGCCAAGATGGCGGCGGGGACGGCAGCGGCGGCGGCGGCCGTGGCCCGGCTGGAGGGCCGCGAGTTCGAATACCTCATGAAGAAGCGCTCGGTGACCATTGGCCGCAACTCCTCGCAAGGCTCGGTGGACGTGAGCATGGGCCACTCCAGCTTCATCTCCAGGAGGCACCTCGAGATTTTCACGGCCCCGCCCGCCCAGGCCGCCGCCAACAGCACTGCCGGCCCCGCCGCCGCCGCCGCCGATGGGACCGGGCCCCAGCCCGATGGTGCTGCCGCCGCCCCTGCCGCCCCTGTACCGTCTGGCGGCGGGGGCGATTTCTATTTGCGCTGCCTCGGCAAGAACGGCGTCTTCGTGGACGGGGTGTTCCAGCGCCGGGGGGCGCCGCCGCTGCAGCTGCCCCGAGTGTAAGTGCGGAGCGGAGAGGGAGGGACGACCGGGCGGTGCGTGCGAAGCGGACGGGTGGAAGGAACACGCGCTCCGGCGCCACTGTGACCTCCTTTTCTTTTCTTCTCTCTCTTTCTCCCCCCCCCCCTTTCCCCGTTCCCGGTGTGTCAGTCAGGGGGGCGTGAGAGAGGCGGGTTCAGGCCTCTCCGCCAGGCGCTCCGGAGGAAAGGGAGGGACGGCACCACGCCTTAAGGCTCTTTCTGGCCGCGGCACCCGGGCAAGGAGGCTTGAAGGGTGTCTGCAGCAAAGGAGCAGCAGCCGCACCTGAGCCCGGTTTCTTTTCTGCCCGGCTGGCGTGGGCATCGCGCGTGGTCGCTCGCCCGGTTTCCTAGCGCTTTTTGGAGCCGTGATGATTTATATATATACCCCAGCCCCCCCCCCTCCACCACCGGGCGGTGTATTTATTTGGATGTAACTCGTGTTGGTTCGAGGCTTAAGTCGTAAAGGCTGCACAGCCCTCGACCAAATAACCCCTTTTGCCCGCAACGTTGATCGGGGCGAGAGCCTCCTTTCAAGCCACGCACATCTGTCATCTTATCGATTTGTATTTCCCCCGATGCTACAGGAGGCTCCGTGTCTTCCAAGGGGAAAACGAAGCACTACAGACCTCCATTCCGTGCTCTGAACAAGAATGCCTGGTGATACAAAAGCCTTGTGGCTAAAATGTCACTCCGGGGTTTAAAAATAATAATAATAATTCAGAAAGTGTGGTATGGTTTAGAAATGCGCTGCTTTGAAATGATATCGATTAGGAAATATTCATGGAACATCCTTTTTGAAACACAGTCGCTTTCGGAGGTATTTAAATAATACTGCTTGTTAACCAATTTTCTAAATAAAAAAAAGCCCCAGCAACACTTGTTTTAAGTCAGCTCTTTTTAGGCACTTCAATACTTTTTACCATTGCTTAGTTATGTTTCTGTGTATAATGCTGTATTGTCAATACAGTTAAATGACTTGTTTGACCTCTGTCAACCGTGACTTCCATTCATACTGTTGGCAACGATACAGAAAAGCAAAGCAAATAGTCTGCTTTGCCTTGTTGAGTTATTTTGTTGAAACTGAAAGGAATCTGTTAGGAAGGCACAAATACTGTACATTGTTTTTAACCATGGTTGTGCTTCATGTACTTAATATACTGTAATGTAAAAGAAAAATCAGTTTTATAATGAGTGATGGGAGCAGGTAACTTTTAATTTTAAAAATTGAAATGATACTTTCTCCTCCAATCCACACCTGATGATTTGTCACTGTGAATCTGAATATTCATTTGTGAGGAAAATTCTCTTAAGCATTACATTTGTGAACTTGGTCTGTTCATTGTGATTATTTTGAGAGAATACTTTATTTAATTTTGTAGCTTAATGGGTTGTGATAGTTTTCAGAAGACCTTACAAATCTAGGAATATAGGAAGTCAGGTAACACGTGGTTTGAAATAAGACTGCTCTGTGTTTACATCTGTTATTGTCATGATTTCCTTCAGTGCATTATATGCACAAATAGCAAGCCCCCCCCCAAAAGTTGGGAAAGTTCAAAGTCATTAAATGGTTAAATCACCCTCAAGGAAAAAAAATGCTGTTTAAAATGTTAATTTCAGGATGTAGCTAGCTGTGTTAGTGACATGTCACAGCATTCCAATCTGTGGTGTGTCTGAGAATGGTGTAACATAGTTCATCACCTACACTGAGTTACCATTTGCAAAAGAATTTTTGAAATAATATGCAAATGTTAAGACTGATTCCGTTTTAAGCAGCACACTGATAATGCTATATTTATGTGAAATAACTAGTTATTAACTTATAATGTGTAATTATGTGGAATTTACAGCTGATTTTATTGTCAATAGTTTATTTGAGATTTTCATCTTTCTTTCTTTCTTTCTTTCTTTCTTTAACTCCCTCCACCCCAATAAACTTGATTCCAAATGTATTTAATTGGATACAAGCCTTGGTGATTTCAGTCAAAATTTCAAGTAGATGGACTTAGAATAAAATCAAGGTCTGGTCCAGTAACCTGGTGTGTGATTAGTTATGTTCATCTTGAACAGCTCAGCCTGTGTGCAATTTCCTTGTTTGATCCTTTCATCACTTTTAAGCAGTTTTCTAGCATCTTTCTGTTACTCATAGTGGATTGAGGGCAATAGGCAAAACAATAAAACATTGAAAGTCTCTTATGTGGTACTGGACAGACTTGTAGAATATTGTAAATAATAAGAGATCTTAATCTTGTTTAACTTCAGAATGAGTGCTTAGGTAATCTTGAGATCTGCTTACCAAGGGACCTGGAGTGAAATTCCACCCCACTGAAGTCAGTTAGGAGCTTTGCCAGGGTTTCATCAGTGGTGTTTACTTAGACTTTGAAAAAGCCTGTTTAGCTATGAGTAGTTAGTCCAGCTTTCATTTAGGCTCAACAGCTTTTAATGTCTTTATATCTTGATGCTGAAAAAGAGTGTGCTTACAAATATTGGTGGTTTGATCAAAACTTATTTTCATTTCAGTAGGAAAGTTAAGCTCATGTTTCAGCTTGTAGAATCAAATCCTTTTATAATGTGAAGGCATATAAAGAAACCTTGAATTCTGTTGCCAAGAAATAAGGTTTTTACAAAGTTGTATGACATAGATCTTGTTTAAATCTAATAATCATTGGTTTAAAAACTATGAAAATGGAGCTTGAATAGCTTAGCTGTGCAAGAGTTCCAAATTATGTTTTGTGGCTTGCTTCTTACCATGTTTACTTAGAAATAACTCCTGGATTTTAATTCTCGTTACTTCTAGTCATACAGCTCATTTTGCAACTTGTGCACAGTGCAAAGCAATGTTTTACATTAGTGTACTACGCACTTGAAGTCTCTTTGTAGACAAGCAATCCTGCTTTGAGATTCAGTTTAAAGTGACACATTGTAAATTTATTGTGAACTAGGGAGCTTTAAGTTAGCTTGTATATTTTTCATATGTTACGTATCTGAAATTCACATTAACCTTCTGTGTTACATTCCATGTTTGGGGGTTTTTATTTTTTTGTTGTTCCACCAATCCTTCTTTTTTCTTGGGAGTTTTTGGTCTGACACTCAGAGATTTGACCTTAATTAATGTTATGGTTGTCCCACACCCTAAAGAAGGTATAGTAAAAATCTATTTTGTGACATATTGGTTAGCATATTGGGCTAACTCAGTTGCTTTTACTCTTTATAGTAAAAATACTTATTTTCAAATGTGTATGCTACCAATGAGTAGCCTGGAATTGTTCTATCTGCCGGAATACTAGCAGAAATTGATAATGGAGATAGTTAGCTATGAGTTACATGTATCCTTATCGTGGTTACATAGCAGGTTTTGTTTATCTTAAACAGAAAATTTTGATTCAGACTGTAACTAGTTGTTTTACACACAAGCCGTGGTGTTTATCTTGCTTAGTGTTTGTGTTTTGAGGAAGCAGTTTGTATACTGGCAAATCCCCAATCTGACAAATCCCTATTGCAAATTCAGGTGTTTTCCCTCCTCCTGTTTGGATACCTTAGAAACCCAGTATTGGCCACTTAAAATAATTTTTAAAATTTGCTCAGATTAATTTTTCATAGCAGTTAAGTCAGCTTAGAAATAATAAAATTTTAAAACACAGCTTGGGGTGTCTTCATTCTAGGTTTTGAAACTATAGTTTAAAACATAGAAAGATGGAAGCCTTCTTTCAATCCATATACATATCTAAAATGTGTAAGTATTGAGAAGTATGGTAAGTAGTTGTTGACTGCACAGCAAAAGTTAAGGTGGAGGCCTTGCAGTTAATAGGTATACACATTGATCACTTTTCTATTTATAAATGAATTGTTTAAAGTTGTATCCTTTATTGCTCAAGTGGCCAACCTGTGGCTCAAGTAGCAGACATCTGCACACCTGGACAGGAGCAGAAAGATTGCAAGTGTGATTATGCCATATGCACTCCAGCCAGCTTCCTCTTTGCAACAGTTTCTCTGTAGTTTAGAATCAAAATTATATTGGAGTCCAGGAGGACTGCATCTATTCATTAGTGTGTAATAGAGTAGCACTCTCTTATACTGTGAACTGGACTTTTAGACACACTTGCCCCAAAGGTTGGCTATCACTGCTTTGAGCATTAGTAATAAAAACATGAATGATTGATATCTATTGACTGCTGTAGAATTAACATTAGATAGAGATTGGGATCTCAAGTTGCAACATGGCGGACAGCACTTCTGCTTCCCCTCAATTTTTGTCAGTTCCCTGTTGCTGTCCAGATGTAATACTATTCCAGAGGCTTCCCCAGTGCTTAGGAGTGGATTTTCAGATGGTTACAAAGCTGTGGTCCAAGTCAGACTATATATACTGTTATGTGTAGTCTTCTAGTAGAAATAAGAAACTGGTGTTCCATGTTTCAGTCTCTAAAATATTGTGTGCTTATACAGTACATGTCTTCAGAATAAACACACATTTCTGGAATAAAAGAATGATGTCAATGATTGCTTCTTGGTTTTGATGGTATTTATTTGAAGTTTCAGTGATGTGTTGTGTCTTTAGGAGTAGTTATCACTTTAAATACATGCAAACGTATACATTTAAGCAGTAAATACAAATAGCAATAATATTTTCATAATAAGGAGTCTTTCAAGAACAATAATATTTAGAAATGCTTAGCTTAAGATGTACCTCCTTCAGACGAAGAGTCTCTACCCTGCTTCGTTTAATCCAGTTCTATACTGTAGACAACTTCTGATTTAGCCCTTACTAGCATGTCTGTTCAATATTGTATGTAAACAAACTGACCTGAGTCGGTTTATGAATTATTAGCTTCCAAATTCTGTTCATTGAGAAAAGGAATAGGCACAATTGCCAGTGAATCACTAATAAATCTTACTATACTGTGGCAGATTTTTAAAATTTGGTTCCTTCTGAGATAAGATTTGTTTTGGTTCAACATAGGTAGTATGAACAGAGAATTCTAATCTTGTGATATAGTAAGCCATAGAACCTCTAGGAGGGATTGCTTAAGAATTTGAAGAAAGGTTCAATTTACTACTTGTCTTGGGGTCAAACCACCTGTTAAATGGGAAATCCATGTCTGATTTATTAAATGTTTTTAAAAATGAAATGAAGCTGCAGGGAGCTTCTAATTTGCCCCCAACTCCTATTGGATAAACAGCAGTGATGGGTTTAGGAGTGGGTATTATGAGAAAATTACGAAGGGAAGATTTAAACACCCCTTTGAAAGAACACACATGCTACTCTATACAAAATGAACTTACAACTACATTTCAGTTAAAAAAGAAAAATCAATCGCAAAAATCCAGTATAAATGTGTAGCTTGACTCTTAACAAATACAATGTAGGATTCCCAAAGAGTAGTACATCAATAAGTTTCTAATACAGGAGAACAGAAACCTTTATCATGCTGAAAACAGAAACAGCTGGTGATAGCCTCTTGCTCTTGAACATTAGACACTTACAGAAGGCAAGAGATCTGATCTAAACCCATTAGTGAATACTCTGTTTAAAACACTAGGCATCAGTTTTGTTCCCAAGACAGAACAGCATGTGTAGAACAGCATTGGTGTTCAACTGCTATAAACAAGATCAAAAACTTGTAACAGACTATGAATCCCATGGAATAACTTCTGCTGTGCATCAACTAAAATGTAGTTACTAAATAGTAAAAAAAAATATGCTTTTACTATTTGACATCTGGCACAATTCATAGGAGATGCTTGCTGGTTAATACATTGCCATTGCATGTATTCTACAAACTGCAATAACTGACTTCTGTGCCCTTTCATATGCCACTTACATTCTAAGCATATGAAGAATACCGGTAGATGTGACTTCAAGGGTGTGCTATAATCAATCTGAGTCCAGTGGATTTCAGTTCAAGAGTATTTTCCTAATGGTAACTGAACAAGTTTCTTTTAAACAGTTTTAAACAGTTCCTCAGAAGAAACTGCTTTAGTTGTTCTAAGGTAAAGCTCTTCTGACTTAAAATGCATTGGGCATCATTGTGCACCTTGAGGTCTTTTCTTCTCGTGGTTTCCTGTTCTGGTGCCTCCCTGTCTTCCTTTTGGTTTATTTAGTTTTTCATTCACAGTATAGTTTAAACCTCTATTTACTTTCTTTCTTATACAATATATCAATCTGTTATCGGGATCCAGAAGACTCATTTTCAGCTTCTAACTATAAACAAATATTATGAGCTTCCAATTTTCAAAGACATATGGTAAATTGGGACCCCACAATATTAATTTAAATTCCTTATTGTGCTATCAGAGAGCCCTGGAGGAGAAAACAAAAGAGATGCATTGGTGAAGCACTGAGTTCTAACAGGAAATAAAATAAAACAGAAAACAAAAGATACCTAGTTGAAATATTACATAGTAAATATTGTAATGGAAGGGACCCAATGTATCCCAGTAGCCTAACAGAGTCCCACCCGCTCAAAAAGTATTATAAATAAGAAACCAGTGTTACAGGGTTGCACTATAAGAGTGTTAACTAAGTCATGATGAAGGCAGCATGGATTGTAAAGTGATTCAGGTTTTGCTAAGATGTTTTGCAAATACAGTGGTGCCCCGCAAGACGAAAGCCTCGCAAGACGAAAAACCCGCTAGACGAAAGGGTTTTCCGTTTTTCGATGCACTTCGCAAGACGAATTTCCCTATGGGCTTGCTTCACAAGACGAAAACGTCTTGCGAGTCTTGCAATTTTTTTCGCTTTCCCCCCCTTTTTCTAAGCCGCTAAGCCTTTAATAACCGCTAAACCGCTAATAGCGCTAATCCGCTAAGCCGCTAATAGGGTTGCTTCGCAAGACGAAAAAACCGCTAGACGAAGAGACTCTCGGAACGGATTATTTTCGTCTTGCGAGGCACCACTGTATTTCAAAGTGCTGCTGGGGTTCACATCAACCCTATTAACATACAAGGGTGGAGGATAAGCTACAGATGATCACCTTACTTAATCTATTGTGGGTAATGACTGAGGCTACTAATGCTGGATCGGTGTCATAAAACAAAATTGGGGCAACAAAAGCAGCAGCAGGAAGTGTTACTAAAAGGAGGAACTTGGATTTTTGTTGATGCTTGTAGCTGGATCCTGAAAATTATAGGAGAGGTTACATGATGGCAGCCTTCACTGTAGCTCTGCCCATTGCACTATGTCACATAACATGAGCAGAAATTTTCTGTTAAATACAATAAATAGCATTGGCAACTATAGTCCCACTTAGTTTTGCACACACTTTCATAGATGTGTTTGTGTTGTTTCTGGTAAACAGAAACTTTGTAAACAGAGCTTGTAAACAAGCATGAGTGGTAATATAGTGGCAGCATACTTCTTTTCTCTTTCCATCAAATTAATTTTTCTCTCCAGTTACTCTTTAGATTGGTGGGGATATACCTGTTGACTTTAGTTTTGCTGGGCTTGCCTCTCTGTCTTGGAATGACTTGCAGCATTGCATGGGAGGAGTAGACATTGACATTCACATAATAATCAGTAGATGACACACAGACTGCATAGTGAATGAAGAGATAATAATTATTAAGCTATTTTTGTAGTCATTGTAGTTTCCCTCCAAAGAAGAAAATAGTGATTCTGGTTTGGGGTGATTTTGAAAGGAGAAGCTGTTGAATCTGCATCTTATCTCAACATTCCTTATGCAGTCCTGGGTTTCTATTTATAGATAGCATGCTATAAAGGTAAAGGTAGGTATTGCTACTTGCTATCAACTCTGTGAATACTATAACAAAAATGTAGACACAATTTTTATTTCCCTATTTGCATTTATATATCACCAAACTTCCATGCAGGTACTGGCCTCACATGTCTTCAGACCATACTTTGCGGACTTCTCCCTAACGTGTTTGCTTCTGTATATCTTGAAATCTATAGTTTCAGTTGTGTGAAAGCAACAACATTCTGATGATCACATACTGAATTTTGCAAATTCAAAGAGCAGTTTGTTTTGTGGAATGCAAGTCTGTTTAAGCTTGTTTCAATAATCCAAGAAACTATGTAGCATGATCCTAAGCATCTTGATTCAGAAACAAAGTCCCACTGAGTTCAATGAAGCCACATTTACATTTCTTTCCTCCAGAAAAACTGTTATGTTTATGTTTTTAAAAAGAAATCAATTTCTTTTTTCAGACTGTCAGTTTGGAAATTTGGGATACAATGTTATGGTGTTTCTATTCCTATCTGAACAGCTAGTTCTAGAAAGTGGGGCTGAGGTGCTACAGCTTGGTTCAAGGACATTTATGTTATAGGGTCCTGCAGGGTTCCATCTTGTCCCACATGCTGTTTTATATATTAAGTGCCATCAATAAGTGAGTGAAACCCAGCACTACTTTCATTTTCAGCTGATTCAAGGAAGGCAATGTAAGTACCAGATCAGCATCTGGGTTTGATTATAGACTGAATGAGAGTCAATAAACAATCTCGGAGGAATTCAATGTTGTTTGCCAAGTGGAACAACCCCCCCCCATTTGTTGTTCTCCTGACCCCCAAGAGCTGGTTTTGGGGTCTTGAGGGGGGGGGAGCCTCATTACTTTACTGGTACTCATTGTGCTGGCTGAAACTAATATGGTCCTCAGTCTAGAGAAGATGGAGGTGCTGTTGGTAGGTGATTCATTTGTCCAGTTTAGTGATGTAGAAACTGTTCTGGGTGAACTTTCCCTTCTTCTGAAAGAGCAGGTTTGTGTTCTGGTCCTCCATCCAGCTTTGTAACTGGAGAGGCAGGGGCACAGAGTGCCTTACACAAGTTTGAATTCTTCCTGTACAGAGGGAATCTAGCTCAGTTAACTATGCCTGGCAACCTCCTGGTTAGACTATCACAATGCATTATACATAACATTGACTTTGAAGAGAATTCAGAAACTGCTGTTAGAGCAAAATACTGCTATGAGAGTGCTAACTGAAAACCAGGTGTTGGGGCTGAAACCTTGTTGATGCTGAGACATATATCTGGTTCCCTGTCCTTACTGGACATGAGTCAAAGTACTGATGCTTACCTTTATTCAATATGAGCATGCTCATGCCTTAAGGTCATCATTAAGGTCCTTTTTGGGGTAGTTCTGCTGTCACTGATGCAGTAGGTGGCAACTGGAGAATGGGTTACTTTTGTGCCCTGTTCAATGAATCACACCTCCAGGGAAGCTTGACTTGTGCCTATCTTCAATTGGAGCAAAGGCCCTTTTGTTTTCCTGAGTGTTTAAATATCATTTTAATTTTGTTTATTTGCCTACCGTGTCTGGATTTTTATGGTGCTGTCCCTGGTTGTTTGCTTTTATTAGCTTATTAGGCTTTGTCTGAACCCAGACAAATATTGGTTAATCTTAACTATAATCTCTTGGAACTGAACCCTACATAAGATGTCCATCTGTATTTCTTAACAGAATGTAGATGGTGTCACTGATTTTTTTCTTTAAAAAAATAACAATTGATTTCCTCATTTGTTTCAACAAGTTGTCATTAAGATAAATGTAAGCACTGTTTACTTGAAATTTCGATTGTTTTTTGCTAAGTAATTTTACATTCTCTACTTGGATTCTCATGTTAAACCTTGGATAGTTCTCCAGTGAGTACCTTGTACCTCTCTAACATAAATAAGTTAGACACATACAACCCCCTTTTCTGGGGCAGCCTAAAGCTTGGCTCATTGACTGTACTATATGCTTGGTTAACATTAACCATAAGTGCTTAGATTCTTGCACACCAATCCTTCGTATAGACAGCAGTTTGAGGTACTGAATGTAAGTCTTTGTACCATCTTAGAGGTACAAAGCTGCCATTTCAGCAAGGTAGGACTTTATCCTTTGCCAGCCACACTTCCAGTCAGCTGCATTTTGCCATTGCCACACTAGCAGCACACCTGCTGGTGTGGAGGTCTAGCAGGGAAGGAAGCAGGTTCTTGTGCTTTGGTTGATATCATCTGCCTCATAAAGCAGTGATTCTCCCAATGTGGGCTTGGCCTGGAAAAAGTGTCAAGACATGGGTGGATTTTTATGTTTGATGTTATATTGTGTTTTTATATTAGATGGAAGGCGCCCAGAGTGGTTGGGACAACCCAGTCAGATGGGCAGGGTACAAACTATTAGTATTAGTATTATTGGTATTATTAATGCTAGAAGAGCTTTTAGAGGATTCTCCCTGGATTTGTGAGGATGGCTGCTTCTCCTCTGACTGCTTTGATGACCTGCTTTGTTCTAATGGTGTTCTATATATGGTTTTAGGACAGAGATAGCCAGTGTGGTGCATTCCAGATATTGTAGACTACAGTAGTCATAATCTCTTACCATTTGTGCCATGTAGCTGTGGCTGATGGGAGTTGGAGTCCAAAACTTTTGGAGGGCACCACATTGCCTGTTTCTGTTTTAGGAAGTATCAGATATGGCTTGCTATCTTTTCTAATGCTAGTAATCAGTTAGTTCTGCAGTCCGCAGATTTTTGTGAACACCAGCAAGTTGCATGTACATTACTGTATGCAAGGATCTCCGCACACCCAGCTGTGGAACAGACTTAATAATGCTGGATTTGGGGTGAGGGTAGAATACAGAATAAGCTCACGAAGGTGGCATAAGCTCAAGGTTTGGGAGACACTGGCATAGGACTTGAGAGGCTATTGAAAATGAGTGGTTCGTCTGCTCTTATTGTCAGGCATTAATCAGATTTCAGTGGGGCAGGTTTTAAGTACAGTATGTCAAAGTAGCAAATCTGCAGGGAAATGTCCAAAATGATGTGCTTAGAAAACTGTTGAAAAGTAGATGCTCTTAATAGTTAATCTGAAGAATGCTTAGGTGCACTGCTTCATGGGTTGTTAAGTTTAAGTGATATGCTGATCTTGTTGGACCATATGCTGACTGGGCTTGTCTAGGAGAGTGTGGAACTAAAAGGTTACAGATTAATTAGGCCGTAACCTGTGCTGTATATTGCTGAAAACAACACTGCTTTGTTGTTATGTTGGCTACTGCAGCAGCTTGCATCATTCATAGATTCCTCCTCCTTCAGAAGTAAGAGTGCATACAATGTACAATTCCATGAATTGAACAGTGTGTTTGTTTGATTTGATATATCTCATTTTGTAGTAAGAAAAGGCTCTCAAAATGGCTTGCATAAGATTTGCACAATATAGTCACATTATAGAATCGCAGTATTTTGAAGTATAGTCCATGTTTTTAATTTTATTGTTCCCTTCAGAAGCTACAGTAAACATGTCTAAATAAAACATTGGACTAGATGGAATTAGCATCAAGAGTTAGAGCAGATGAGCCTACCAGCCTATGTCCTTGGCTTCTTATGTTCCCATTTTATACATGCATTGGAAGTTGGATGGGGAGAATTATGTTTGGTCTAGCATTTCAGAGTGAACCAGCCTATTTTGCCATTCTTTCACTGATACATGAATCAGAACACTGCATACTTTGCCATATTTTGCAGTGCAGTTTTGGTTCAGAAAAATACACACAAAATGCATATTGTCAATGCATTTTAGTGCAGTTTTTTTTAAAAAAAAGAATGGACTTATGATTGAATACATATGAAAGTGATACTGACTGGAAAAAGACTGATCTTTCAATCACTAATTGAAAGGCGCTCAAGGCAGGCATCCCAAACTAAGCAGGTCTGGATCTGGTTGGTGGCTGGATGGGAGACCATTTGAAATCTGATGTGTTCATTATTTTTTAATTATTATTTATTTCATTTGTGAACACTTCCCATGACACACCCCAAAGCAATTTACAATACAATAAAAACATGTGGAGCAATTGCTTGTATAAAACACACCAGAACCGTTACATGTATAAAACTTTTATTATAAAACTTTTATAATAAAAGCAATTAAAACCGCATATATATAAACAATTTAAAGCACCAGCAGATACATAAAAGCAATTTACGTCCAATACGGGCAGAACCTGGCAGCAGCAGAAGCTGGGAGAGAGACATGCTTGATTTCTGCTAGAATCCAAGCCTGTGACTAGGGGAGAAACAATAAATTTTGGGGTGTTGTTAATGCTGTAAGCCTCTCCAGCTTATGTTCAGGTTGCATATATGTGTAAATAAACCAAATACCCTAAAGACACCGCAGTCTCTGCTGTCTCTTATTTCCAGGAAACCAAGCCTTGGGTAAGTGCATGGAACCCCTGCCTGGAATCTCTCACTGCTTGAAAATTAGGGTAGTATATAATAGTATTTCCTTCTTCTTCATTTTAACGTATCTATATGGGTGGTTGGTTGGTTGGTTGTAAGTTGCTTTGAGATGCCTTTGGCAAGAAATAGTGGCTGATCACCATTTTTTTAAAAGATAAAATACAGATACCAAAAGGAAAAAAGTCTTCTCTCAGATGACTTTTTGAATAATGAATGCCTTGTATGTATGTCATACATGGAAAAAAGGTGGGATATAAATAATGTACTCTCCAAATCACAGTAAACACAGCCACATTATCTCAGTATATAGCCTTAATTTTGTGTTCAGGTGAAGATGCCAAGTTATATGCACCCTTCATACTCCTAAAAACATCTGGCTTGTTGTCTTCTTTTTGGTATTATGAGAACTTTTCTGACAGAAAAAAGTGTTTATCCAGAAATTTAGTCAAAACTTACAAGTGGTTGCTTGAAATGTATGCTGTTGAATGGTGTGATGTGGGCTAAATGTTACTACACCAAAGAGACACCTACCTGCTTGCATATGAATGAAAAGTTGGGTAAGTGTCTAATAGAAGGGCACAGCTTTTTGTTTGTTGACCTTCTCACATGGAAACATAGATACTTACAGTGGTTATAGAATAGAAAATCCTTTTCTGCTTACAATATGAATTAATTTAACAGCAGGAAATAATAATAAACTGAAAGGGGGAAAGTTGGCTTGATTTTGAAGCAACTGTTCTATTACTTCAAAGTGGCGTAAGTTGTTTAAGATGCTGAAACAGCCATTTATAAATCTGAAGCAAGTGTAGACATGCAGTCTTCTTCCAGACAAATTATATTCATTCATGTTCTTAAGGTTGAAGATGAAATTTAGAGACCACACAACCAGTCTGTGTTTAGCTTTTGTGTTGAAAGATGCCAAATACTTAAAAGTGCAGCATTTCCATAGGCAGAGTTTCTTTTGTACTCGCAGACGATGGAGCCTCAAATTCCAGAGGCATTACATGGGTAGTTTTAATGAATTAGTGTCTGGTTTTCCTGCAGCTGATGTGACAAGCAGCTTTATAAGCTGCTTCCCATCGATCCCTGCTTTCCAGCTCTTTTGTGTCTTCTGCTTGGAGGAAAACGATGAAGAGCTTGGTTTCTACAGTAACTACTGCCTGCAGGCAGATTTCTTTCAGGGTTCCTTTCAGTCTGTGCAAGGATGCTGTGTTTGGTTTCTTTAGAGCTCTTTTCTTTGGTAGCCTTGGAGGTTTAAATTTTATATGGTTTAATGTTGCAAAGTATGGTAGGATTTGTAATTGGCAAGTGAAGTATGTTTTCCAGAAGTGGCTTCAATTGGTGTTAGTTGCTGTTGGCCTGAAATTATTTTTATTGAAAAATTGCTATAAGCTAAACTTGTGGGGTGTCAATGCTTGTAAAAATAAATACATATAGTGTAGGGAGGAAATTTGGTCCAGTCTATGGAGGAGTTGGTTGTCCATCTTATTTTCAGTCTAAATAAGAACTCTGTTGGATCACTCCAACTCTCCATCTAGTCCAGCATTCTGCTTCCAGAGGCCAGATGTTTCTAGGAAGCTCACAGTTAGGGCTTCAGTTAGGGCTACCCTTCCCTGCTGCCTGTCCTCAACATCTGGTATAGTGCCTCTGAACCTGAGTCCGTTTGCTTGTCATAGAATCATAGAATTGTAGAGTTGGAAGTGACCCTGAGGGTCATCTAGCCCAACCCCCTGCAATGCAGGAATCTCAACACATGGTCCCCCATCCCATTTGAAACCGTTCACAACCCTGCTGGTTTTGCAAATGTGCTAGCAGCTTTATTGTTGCACCACTAGGAAAATATAGCTAATATCTTTTTATAGACTTCACTTCCACGATTTTGTCTTAATTCCCTTTTAAAGCCATCTGACACAGTATTACCATTGCCGTAGTTAAGCACTGTGAAAAGCACTGTCATCCATCTTGAACCTACCCTGATTCACTGAGTAACCTAGAGTTCTAGTACTATGAGAAGGAGATTTTTTTGGGGGGTGGGGTATGCTTTTCATTATTTGTTACCTTCGTAGGTGTTCCAATCACTGGATTGTTTTGGTTTCTGATTTCTGTACCTTTGTAACTGTGTAATATATATTGGAGATATCCTTTGAAATATTCAGATAAGAAAGCTATTTTGTGTGAATGTGTATGTATTTATATTATTGACTAATGTGGATAACGATTAATTATAGCTTTAACAAACAAAGTCTATGTCCCTGAAAGAGCAGATTTCAAAATGTATCAGGAATAAAGAACACAGCATTTCTATACAGTTATTTCTTCCTCCACCCCATGACATTCAACTGTTTGAAGCAGCCCCTGGTTGTCAGAGTTATCTCAGCTGAACAAGTTGGTTGGAATCCTGCCATACTGTAGGATCACAACTTGCACACATTTAACTTGCACAATCACAGTTCTATGCGCTTGGCAACTGGCCAGCTGATATCACACAAATTAAATGCATGCGAGGCGGAGAGTTTAAAAGCTGTAAGATTTTTCATGTAGAAGTGGTTCTAGGGGGTTGTTCTGACTAGATGTGATTTCAGTTTTACACACTACCCCTCCACCCAGAATATAACATACACACCCCAAGACGCTATGTACTGTATTTTGAAATTTTCTCCAGAAACTAGAGAAAAGGACAGTAACCTAAAAAAAGAAAGAAAAAGAAGAGTTCTTGAGGTTTTTAATGTATGCCCTTTTATGAAGTGTGGATCGTTTCCTAACCAATTTTAGGTCAGTGTGTAGGACTAAGGCTTTTGATTCAAACCTAGCTTTTCATGATACTATGCTATTTCTGTGAATGCTAGTTTTGGTCTTTATATGTGTGTTTAGTTCTCTGTGTTAAGACTTTTTAGAAACTGCAAATAGTAATTGCTCATTTTGTAACTTGAAATAACACTTTACAATTAACATTTTATTAGAGTAAAGTAATACTGATGAAATTATGCAAATAAAAATTTATACTCTTCCAATTAATAAGTGCATTTTGTTTTTATTTTGCAGATGTACATTCAGGTTTCCCAGCACAAACATCAAGATAACATTTACAGCTTTATCCAATGAAAAAAGAGAAAAACAGGAGTCCCCGCAGTCCCCAGTGAAACCTGTGCAACCCCAGATCTCTCCCCTAACAATAAACATTCCAGACAACATGGCTCACCTGATCAGCCCTCTCCCTTCTCCCACAGGAACCATCAGGTATTTAGACATTGTGATACTGCATGCACAATTAATATAGGACCACAGAATTTAATACGAAGTAATACATCACTTGAAGTTTTCATTTGTGCAATAATACCTGGAGCTCAGCTCAACTTGGGAATAAACTGTAGACTTGCACGTTCTCTTCAGCCGCCTAATTGTGCTGGTCTTACTTGAATTTACAGTACTATGGATTGCTCAAGGCCAAACTAGAGGTGATGGTTTCAGACACATATTTTTCATTGTGGGTTTGCCCCAATTATATATAAAGTAGGTAAGAGAGGATGCCCTTTGCTTACCTTGATAGTACGCCCATGGGGCAAGACAGTACCATGGAAAGCTCCAAGTGAGCAAACTAACTACAAAAGCTAGGATTGAACTAAATCCTTTTATGTCTGCAGATCAGCTTCCAAAGCACTTTCTCTTCCTTAAGGTGTAGAAGACCTTAAAGCAGCAGGACTCTTAGCTTGAAGCCCAGCATTCTTCCTTTTCCACTCATAACACTTTTCTCTGGGCTAACTGCCTGTAGTGATGGGTGGGCCAACATGGTGATTTGGGTTCCTGTCATGAAGAGAGTTACTTCCTTGGGTGGGTTCAGGCTTTTGAGCTTCAGGCTCTGGAGGATCCAAGCCAAGTATTTCTGGTTCAAGGGTTCAGATCTAAACCACTGTGGCCTGGGCCAGTCTCCAGCACCTTTACTTTTGGTGCTGCTAGTTTGATGGATTAGGAAGACGCTAACAAGAGTGTGGGTGCTGACAAATGGTTCAATTTTAAGAGGAAGAGAGGCATGCTGGTGAGTGGTCTGAATACCTTCCAGGATCACTTAACTTCTTGCAGCCACTACCCTCCAGTGCTTTTTCTCCCAGCCAGGCTTGCTTCTGCTACTGGAGCCTGGCTGAGAGAACAATTGGAATGGTTGAGAGCAGGGAGTTTTAACGGTGGAAATGGAAGGAAGGTTCTGCAGTTCCCACTCACATGCCCCCTTTGCTCCTAAACTACATGATTGGGGGAAATCTGCATGTAAAAGGAGAGGTCTGCTGCTGTTGTGTCTAGTTTGGCTTTCAATATGTGAGTGTTTAGAAATTGTCAGACTTGGAACATTTTGTGAACCAATGATTCATACCTGCTGGGATTCCTGGGAATATTAGATTGAGTTTAAGAACCATGATAAATGTTGACTATGTAGTAACCTAATACAGTGGTGCCTCGCAAGACGAAATTAATCCGTTCCGCGAGTCTCTTCGTCTTGCGGTTTTTTCGTCTTGCGAAGCACGGCTATTAGCGGCTTAGCGGCTATTAACGGCTTAGCGGCTTAGCGGCCATTAACAGCTTAGCGGCTTTAAGAAAAAGGAAACAAACTCGCAAGAACTCGCAAGACGTTTTGTCTTGCGAAGCAAGCCCATAGGGAAATTCGTCTTGCGGAACGACTCAAAAAACGGAAAACCTTTTCATCTTGCGCGTTTTTCGTCTTGCGAGGCATTCGTCTTGCGAGGTACCACTGTAGCTGGTTTTATATGGGTGGTGGGCATGCTCAAAGTCACTTAACAACATGGACCATCTCTCTAATAAGCCATCTTTATTTATTTTGTTTGAAGCTTATACATAATTTGTTAAGTTGTATTGATAATTCAGTTAATTAAAATGTGGGAAAATTCATCTGATCTTTTTTATAGCAGCTATCTTTTTTGCCTCTAATAAGTGCTCTATCTCTAGTAGGGAATGGTTGACTAAGATGTGAAAAATTGCTGAGACGAAAAGTCTTAACAGCACAAATGCAAAGGTGTTTCTGTTTATATAATGGTCAGCCAACACCTCACAAACAGGTGTTTCTGTTGTGTTGACTATCTTAATCTCTATGAATTCAGTTAAGCAATTGCATGAGTCAAACAACACAACTGAACTTCTCCGTCTTCCCTGTACCCCCAAATCTACTCTGGAGATTTGAGGGGGAAGCACATGGGGGAGGAACGGAAGGGAAATTCCACTGTGTCATTCTGTTTAAGCAGTGACTTAGTTGGATGCAATGCAATGCTGTGTTTTATGGTAACACTTTCAAAAAGAAAATACTAAAATCAAAAGTATTAGCTTAAGAAAAGTATTAGTTCCAGCTTGCATGTCCTTCTTGTTTTTGTTCTGTGGGATTTCTCAGTGTCCCTGACCCTCAGTGCCTTCTCCAGTTGGAGGTTGGGTTGGGATGTGGGAAAATGTCTGCCACATCCCTGCCCTGGGTAAGTTTTGAGACCCTAAAGTAGGAGAAGGGGATGAGATGGCAGAGGACTCTGGTTCCTTGCAAGAGCTGAAAGTGATCGCTTGTATGGTCTTGATCCTTTGTGAGCGTTCACTTAGAACACTTGCAAAGAATTGATCTCTTTTGGGGAGAAAAGTTGGGTATACAGGCATTTCTAATTGCAATTTAACTAAATCATTTTTACCAAGGATGCAAAGGCAATTTGGATGTCATTTGCAAAATATTTTAAGCAGCTAGAATGTGCAGAGTACATTTAAGAATATTTAAGTTGGTTTTGCACCACAAAGGTGGCAAAACTGTGACTTGAGCTGAGACTTTGGAATCATGATTTGTGTGTAGTAGTATGTTCAGTGAAAAATGTGTGTGGTTGATTTTAACTCAGACTGCCGTGTCTACATAACAAGTATTGAATCAAAATGCTTCTGTAGATCTATTACAGTTGTCTTTGTGTTGCCTAGAGTATGTGGGCTGTATCCAATGAAGTCATTGACTTTAAAGGATCATCCCTGTTCATGCAGTAGAATTTCCCCTGCCTTGCCTTTCCCCATGTGCTCCTGTGCACCCCACATACCTTTTCTGGGTTTCTTCCCAATCCTCCAGAGCAGATTGTAGGGAGGAGAGGGAGGACTTTTCAACTTTATAGCATTAAAAATAGTATTCAAAATAACTTTGAAAACATTACAAGGCTTTTCAGCTTTACAGCACTAAAAATAATAGTCATGGCTATTTTGAAAATTTTTTAGGAAAGGCACTACATTATAAATGCTGAAATCTAAAGAATTGTCCATGCAGCATTCTGTGCACATGCTGTGACTTTTGTGTGTGTTCCCAACTCCTCTTCTTACCATAATCTCTCATCACTGCCCTGCCTCCGAAAAAGCTACTCCTGGAGGTCATGGAGAGCTGGAGTGGCAGTGAGGTTCTGTAGCTAAAATGAGAATCACACAGTGTGGTTGCTTACAGGCACCCTGGAGTTTTATTTTAAATTACATTTTTGTGCATGTGTTATTTTTGTGAAATTATAATACATTACACATTTTATTCCAGTTGCTTTGTCAAAATAAAGCATGTCCAGCAGCTTCTGAGGCACATAAATATAAAATCACATTGGTTGATTCTTGGTATCAAAACAAACATTCGTCCATGCAAATTCTTTCCTATCAGAACAAAACATAAACAACATATCTCAAGAGAAGCAATTGTGACCATATAATCTTTCTCAAGGGAGAACTGACTAGAACTTCTGTGTGTTACCCTGCACATTTATATGAACAAGGTAAAAGAAAGACCCAGAGATGCAAATATTTTTCATGGAACTTTCCCCCCAATGTTGATACCAAACTTCTGTGTTTAAAGTCTCAAAATGCATTAATTATGAGAGATCAAGGGTAAATCAGGCTTTTAAGATTCCTCCTTACAGCATCTTCACAGTACTGATTGGAGCTGCATAAATTATTGACTCCAACTATATTACCAGATAAGATCTATATTAAAAACTAAGCTAAATTGTCAAAGGTAAGTTTAAATTGGCTGACTAAAATGTGCCCTTATTAAATGGGCAGCACATGTAAAAATAATAATTATATATAAGTACTTTTTTAAAAAAACCACCTACACATGGCAGGCACCATCTTAGAAAAAGCATTCATTTTCTTTGTTTAACATAAAAAGAATTACTGTAATATTCTAAGACATTATCTTCTATGACATGCACATGTATCATCAAATGACCTTTTTTTCTCTTCAAAACTATTTGTTGTCTTAGACAAATTTAATTAATTTAAAATCGCATGCTGTTAATTTCCTTTTAATTGGGTGGAGGCCCTATTGAGAACCTGTAGGCAAGGGTCAAAATATATATAAATCCCTGCTCCTTTTGCACACAGGAACTTTTAAGCTTTCCACTCCATTAAGTGTCAGCCTCCACCCAGAAAATCCCATCCAAAGGCTGAAGATCCTTTGGAGCAGAATCTCACGAGGGACTGTTGTCAACGGAGATACTGCCTTTCCCCCTGCACATGAAAGGAAGCTCTTTCCACTCACACATGTAGATAGTGTGTTTGGATCTCACCATAGTGTTTGCTGAAAATTAAATGGAAGATGGAGCCATTATGTGGGCTTATTCTCCATCTAATAGCTGGGTTGGCAATAGTTGATTGTTGTCTGGATAGTGATCCTGGGTGTGTCTTTGTCATGCAGGTGCTTTTCTAAAGCTGATTTGTTTATCAGTTGTACATTTTAGAAGCTATATAGTCAACATTTTGAATGCTTTTAAAAAATTAAGTTCATTCTGAAAACTTCCACAAATAAAGTTGATAGGTATTCAGTTTGAAATGCTGAAATAGGCCTATAAGCCAGTACAATTGTGGGCTGGGCATGCAGCAAAACAGACTTCGAGAGCCAGTGTGGTGTAGTGTTTAAGAGCGGTAGTCTCGTAATCTGGGGAACCGGGTTCGCGTCTCCGCTCCTCCACATGCAGCTGCTGGGTGACCTTGGGCTAGTCACACTTCTTTGAAGTCTTTCAGCCCCACTCACCTCACAGAGTGTTTGTTGTGGGGGAGGAAGGGAAAGGAGAATGTTAGCCGCTTTGAGGCTCCTTAAAGGGAGTGAAAGGCAGGATATCAAATCCAAACTCTTCTTCTTCTTCTTCTTAACAACCGTAGCTCAGGAGTCAGTTGGTTCCCTTTTCTCCACAGGTTGATCTTTCGTCTCTGTTGTATTATCTGATCTAACAAAGTTTTTGGTATTGTTCATTGTGAAGAATAAACAAATTATATGTTTACTTATATCATCCTTTTTTGAAATCTTTTGAATTGGTTTACTGCCCTTCTCACCATTGCCCACTATATCCTGAAGAGGATTTAGATCATTGTAGCGTTTCTTTTGTAACTGGTGTGCATTACTGGTGTGTCCTCAGCTACCTCAAATCTAATCTACTGAAGATAGGGATATGCACCTAAAACAATTCTTTGCATTCCTAAAGTTACCATCCTGAATGTAGTTCCTCATTTGATCTGACTGTAGTCACTGGACACATGTGAGAGATTTGCCTACGTGTACAGATATCTATTCCAAACTAATATGTGACAGTTGGCACCTATATGCAACCACTTCCATATTTAACAAGCAATCCTGGCATCTAGCAAGATTGCCAGATTGCAGCCTGGAGACTCTTCTGTCTCTTTACAGTCTTGCAGTCATGCAGGAGGATGCAGCTGTGGCATTAAAAACCAGCATTTAGACCACTTTACCGCTAAAACAATAATTACCTCCCTCCCTCAACCTGTCAAGCCTCCCATGTGCTGTTGGAAGATGTTGCTTGAAGACCTCACAGCTTCCAAGTTGAAACGAAGGCTGGCTGCTCTTCACACTTGCTAGAGGGCAGCACCACATTTTTTGAAAAACTAGGTAGAATCAAACATTTCTTGATCTTAAGAGGGATTGTTTTCTCTGTATTGAGAGCATGTGAGACTTCTGCCAAGATGTTAACATTTTCCTAATCTAATAGTAACAGGAAAGTAAAGCCTGCTTCTTTCCATATGTCACTCACTACTGCCTTCATTGGTGAGTGACCCCTCTCTTTTCCCCTCAAAAAGAGCATTCAGATTTGTGATGTAACCACTGTTTACATGGAGTATTTTCATCAAGGCGTCAGTGAATTGGCAAATTTAGCCTCCATATCTTTTTCCAAGCACTATGTCCTATAAAAGAAACTGGATTTGACAGTGTGATCTTTTTACCTAGGCTTTGTCAAGGCTCTTTGTCTCACCACATTGAATTTTGTACTCCATGTGTTTCAACTGAGCAGTTTCTTGTCCTACTTGTGTAGTTCTAAATTTTGAGATGCCACATCCTTGTTTAAGGCTTGTCCATCCATTTTCATATATACTGTTGTAGACACAAGTAAAGCACTAGACTCTGAAGAACAGTTTTCTAAAAATGTTTACATGTAAGTTCAATTCCTTTAGAGAAACATCACATTCATAAAATAGCGGTTAATGTTATCTTTATGAAAGAGATCCCAGTGATCCCTTCCCCCATAACTACTAAAGTTCACAATGCTGAGAGACTTATAAGGGTTATTGTGGAAATGATTGAGGTTCTTAATTGCATGATTTATTTTGTAACCAGGGGTGTTTGATATTTTTAATTTGTGGGTGGATATACTCTGTAATGGATATACTCTTCCTATTCTACAGTGCTGCAAATTCCTGCCCATCTAGCCCTCGTGGTGCAGGTTCTTCAGGGTACAAAATGGGCCGTGTAATACCATCTGACCTACATCTAGTGGCTGACAATTCACAGTCAGAAAATGACAAAGAAGCATCTGGTGGAGATAGCCCAAAGGTAAGTTTGATTGGAATCAATATTGTAACATTGATTCTTGAGTTCTGTGTTACACTAATGGAAATGTATTGGTTGGAAAAAGCAAAAGTAGCAATAATAACTATATGTGGTTTAGTAGTTTGAAATAGAAAACAACATGTATCCTGTATATCTGTGCTGTATTTAGTTTGGATGCTACAGAATGCTGTGAAAGTATCATAAAGCTAGAAGATTATACTTTCACAATTTTCTTTTTTGTTGTCAAGTGATTTTCTAAAATATCTTTCAAATTATATCCATTCTGTGTGTTGGAATATTGAAAATGCTAAAGCCTATAAAAGTTAGTTTCAAAAAGGAAAGGCATCAAATATGCAACCACAGAGTCAAAGGCAATGTAGGCAATGTAGTCCAACTCTCTGCTTGATGCAAGAAATCCAGAGCTAGAACATCCTCAACAGATGGCTGTCTAGCTTTTGCTTGGAGACCTTCAGTGAAGAAAAGCCCACTACCCCTCCTAGATCTGCCCACTTGGAGCAATAGAGAGCAAGTCATTGTCCTCTTCTGTGTGACAGCCATTCAGGTATCTGAATGAGTGCTATCTTGTTACCCCTCAGTCCTCTCTTTTCCAGTCTAATCATGCCAAGTTCTTTCAACCTTTCTTTATAATAATAGGACTTGTTTTCCAAAGCAGCAGCTGTATTTGTTGCCTTCCTCTGAACTCATTCCAATATGTCTATATATCATGGGAAGTCACTGTTCTGAGCACTTCTGTACTGGATCATTCATTCATTCATATTTTGTTCGTTTTAAAAACATCTCAGTACACCATAGTAATGTAGTTTTAAAGTTGTGGGTGCTGTATTGACAAGCTTGAGTGTGTGCACGCTAATGGAATTTTGATGTCTGGAAACCATCCTATGAGGAATGCTTGAAAGAGCTGGATCTGTTTAGCCAAGAAAAGAGAAGATAGCAGTTTTCAATATTTGAAGGACCGTCATGCAGAAGATGGGGCAGACCTGTTCTCTGTTGCTCTAGAGGGCACTACTAGAGGGCAAACGATCGATGGAAACTGCAGGGAAGTAGAATGCAGTCTGCTAAACATTGCAGAAACTTTCTACTGGCGAGCACTATCTGATCATGGAATATAACTGTCTGAAGAGGGCTTTTATTTGCAGGAGGTTTTTAAGCAGAGACTTGATGGTCAGCTGTCAGCTGTGCTATAATGTAGTTTTATCCTACGTTGAGTGGGGGGCTGACTTCCAGTGTATCTTCCAGTTTTGGTATTAATATGGATATGGTGTTCCACTTGAGATTGAATAATAATAGTGCAGAATAATATGGAATGATTACTTTCCATGACTTGGAAACTATGGAAACTATTAATGTAGCATATATTCACATTAGCCTTTTTTGTATCACACTGTTGACTCAAGTTCCACTTGTGATCAACATGAGTCCCAACTCTCAAACACATAATATCTCCCAATGCAAATCTATTCCAGAATTGTCTGATATTTTCAAGCTTTATTGTAATACACAACTGATGTATTTCTTACGTTACTGAATGGATAAGATGCTGTAGAAAACTTTACTGTATTCATTTTCATCTTCTTTTATAGGATGACTCAAAGCCACCTTATTCCTATGCACAACTAATAGTACAAGCAATTACGATGGCACCTGATAAGCAACTTACACTAAATGGAATTTATACGCACATAACTAAAAACTATCCTTACTACAGGACAGCAGACAAGGGCTGGCAGGTAAACATAACTAGTATTGTTTTAAGTAAAATAAACAGAAAACAACTTAGTTTAGTTACTACTTCAGACACGGACTTCACAGCCCCCCTCCTGCCCTGGTTATATGTTTAACTTTGTGAAATAGGTTTTTGGAGCTTTGAAAATGATTAGCTGTTTCAGTAACCTAAAATGGTACACTGGTTCTTTCAGTAAAACTAACCATTTTCCCATGACCCTTTTCCACATAGAAAGGTTAGTAAGGGATGTATCTGTAGTAATGAATGAGGGTTTTTCAAAATTGTAATTGAGAAATGAGAAATCCCTAAATGTCTGGTAGATGAATGTTATGTATGTATGTATGTATGTATTTATTTATTTCATAAAATTTATACATTGCTTGATTGTAAAAAACCTCAAAGCGGTTTAAGTAGGAGTCACAAATTCTGTGCCAGCTTCTCCAAATGCTATTTCCAGAAACCCCCAAACTGGATTACTTATCCTCTTCATCTAATAAAACCAACTTGAACATGTGCTTTAGTTTTTATAATGTAGTCTGTAGGCAGCTATTGTTAGGTTGCAGAACTTGGGATATTCCAGTATAGCCTGGAGAGACACAGGGGATGGGAGAGGAAAAGAGGCAGGAATTTTTAAGGAGGAGGAAAAAAGAGGACATGGAATGGGAGAGAAACAGTGAAGTTTGAGGAGAATTCTTTATTACCAAAATCCTTGGCCATCCTCGTGTATTTGTTCATGCCTCAACAGCATATGTTGCCAGAATATTTCCAAGCTTTTTAAAAGGAAAATTCATGTTTTGGTTATTAAGAAACTAGAAGGCATTGTTCAGTACATCCTAGGAGTGTAATGTGAAGAGCTTGCAAGATCAAGTCAGGGAAGAAGGCCACCAGAATGTCAAATGACTTTTCAGCATGTAAAATTTAAAACTGCTGTACTAAGCAAAATTTGAAGTATTTCAGGTGACAGAAGGTAAAAATACAGTTGAAGCACCAGGAAAAGGCAAAACCATGTGTTAAAGAGGGAGAAACTGCAAGACCTAAATATGTGGGGCTATATTAGTGATAGTTCCACCGCTGAAAAAGTTGGTTATGATGGAAGGGTGACTGCTGTCAAATGAATATGTGGTGACTGGAGACTGGTTTCACAAGGAGTGGAAACCTTTGCATTAGGCCATATTCCTGCTTGATGCTGAAGAGATGGATGATTTCTATATATTTTTTATATTCCATAGAATTCAATTCGTCACAATCTCTCTCTGAATCGTTATTTCATCAAAGTACCACGTTCCCAGGAAGAACCAGGCAAAGGCTCCTTCTGGAGGATAGACCCTGCCTCTGAAAGCAAATTAATAGAACAGGCTTTTAGGAAAAGGCGGCCGAGAGGAGTACCTTGCTTTAGAACCCCACTGGGACCTCTCTCTTCTAGGTAAGGAATCAAAGTTGGGGGTTTAAAAATACACTTTCAGAGGCTTCACCTTAAGTGTGACTCGTTCTGCTGGGCATAGGGTAACCGCAGTCCTAAGTGATCGCAATGTTGTTAGAGCTAGATGTATAACAATTATAAAGGACTTTTCCTAAATAGAGAACGGGTGTTCATTGTAATTGACTGCACTAAGGAGCCATTAAAATTTCTTCTTGAGGAGACTTGGTGGGTTTTGCTTCATACTAAGGATCTGTTGCCATTTTGGGGGCTTGAAATCCCCCCCCTCCAAAGTTTAGGCCGGCTAGTAATGTTGTTCCTTCTCAGTTGTAGCCCTTTCGAGTGCATTGCAGTTACCTCAAAACACTAGCTGTGGAGGGCTAGATTCACACAGTGCAGGTAATGTAGTGTCACAAGAATCGACTTTCACACATTGAATGTTGTCAGTTTGCATTATTAACATAACACCTGACAAGCTGCCCTCTTGCTCCACAGTTGCTGCTCAGGGATAATGCCCAGCAAGGGCACACTCTTCTTTCCCTTCAATCTGTTCACTCTTCTGTAGTAGCTAGCTAGCAATCAGCGCTACATGGCAAGCAGCTCTTTTGATTGCATTTTTTTAAATCATTGGCTTGCCCCATGGCTTGAGCCTTCTGGAGAAGTATCCATTTACCTTTTGGACCTAACCCACTCTGCTTAAATCTGGGTGTGTATAATACATTATATAATATTTTAAATGGGTGACACCCAGCCGTGCTCCCCCAATTGTCCAATGAATTCTGCTTGTACAATGGGACTTCTTTCACCCCTCCCCCCAAAATCTTCCCTTGTTCCACAGGGATTGTATTGGTGGCGCAGGGGGCAGAAACTTAAGCACAGATTTTGAAGGTTTTCCTTAAGAGCTTCATGTGTTCCATCATTTAACTAAAATTCATAGTGGCTAGGCATGCATTTCCGAATAGAACATGAACAGTTAGTAGTTTCCTAATAGAGAGAATACTCTGGTGCTGCTTAAACCAAGATGGAAATCACAGAAATATAATTTTTTAACAGTTCCATTCATTTTTTAGGTATTGTCTCAAAAATGATGTATCTAAAAATATTTAAAGCAGATCCTGTGTGTTAGAGAAGTAGGGAAATCCAAGGAGAACGTATATGACAGAGTAACAAAGATCAAGGTATTTGAGTTAGGGAATTCCATAACTTTTGATCGTCTAGGGTGCCTGTGTGCCTGCCAGTGTCTGCTTTGGTGCCCACACAGGGGCTTCAGCACACTGAACCTCTAAATTAAGGCATGCTGAATAACTCATTCATTTTTATTGACATTTGTTTCAATGCCCCCCACATCCTGCTCCTTGTTCTGTGCTACTATAGCAACCATAGTCTGCTTTTGAATTACCTCTGCAAAAGTCTGCGAAGTCAGGAATTGGTAGTACTTCTCAGTCAAAGAGCTCCTCCTTGTGGAAAGTATATGTATTAAATGGTTTTTGAGGCTGACTACTCATCGTAGCTGTCAATTCTCAATCTGAAAGTGGCTGCTTTTGTTCTTCATTTGCAGAAGTGCCCCAGCTTCCCCTAATCACTCTGGAGTGTTATCTGCTCACTCGAGTGGTGTGCAGACCCCAGAGAGCCTGTCAAGGGAAGGGTCACCTGTCCCAATGGAACCTGAGCCGAGTACTATCCAGCCAAAATTAGCAGTAATACAAGAAGCACGATTTGCACAGAGTGCCCCAGGTGAAATATTCATATAGTGTTCATGTATTTAATATGCATATTAAAACTGTACCAAACTAATGGAAAGTATAATGTAGGCTTCACTTCAAAAGCCAAGTTTGTTTGCAGAAAGAAATTATGAATGAAAATTAAAAATATAAGTACTCTATGCTTTGTGAAGGGCTAATAGAACCCCCTTTTCCAAATACTTTTAAGATTTATGAGTTGGGGTTGAATGGAATTGTCATGCTGAAATTATGACAATTGATGGTGCTGGGTGGGGTTGATGGAAGTTGGGAGTCTAACAACTTCTGGATTTCCCCAATGCTGTGTTAGGAGGTCTCCAAAGGGGAAAGCAAACCAAATTGTTTCATAGGAGCACAGAGATTACATTGGTGACCTCCTGCAAAATGTGTTCAAGCCACTGAACTACGGATCTACAACACTTCCATTTTTTTGTTTTTATTTTGAAATGTAGTTATGTTAACTATTAGTGTTGCCAGTAGTTGCAACCCTCTCCTTGTGGCACAGCAACGTTGTTTTTTTACTTTTTTACTGCTGAAAACAGTGTCAGTAATACTGAACTAACTGGATTTACTCTTAGGATAGCTGAAGAAACTGTTGAAGGAAGGAGTAGGCTTTTTTAAAAATTCAAGTAAACAATATGTTCATAGACTTTTGGAAAGCGGATGATTTAACTAATTTCCCCCCCTGCCTTTTTTTGATAGGATCACCCTTATCTAGCCAGCCTGTTTTAATTACTGTACAGAGGCAGCTACCACAAACTATGAAACCTGTCACATACACTGTTGCAACTCCTGTGACAACATCAACATCCCAGCAGCCTGTAGTACAGACAGTTCATGTTGTTCATCAGATCCCAGCTGTGTCTGTCACAAATGTGACTGGATTAGCACCAGCAAATACTTTCACTGTAGCTGGACAAGCCGTGGTCACACAGGCAGCGATGGTGGCCCAACCTAAGGGAGAACCTCAAGAGAATGGAGACCACAATGAAACGAAAGGTGAGAATTTGGTTCCGGTTCCCCTTGGAAGTAATACAGTCCAAATATTTTTTTGTATTTGTTGCAAGTAGAGAAAACAACTACATAATACTGATTTCTCTTAAGAAGTGCTAATTTTGATGCTTTAACCATGAATTATTCAGTGCTTTCAAACTTATTCTAACAGATTTTTATTTTTATTCCCGCCCCCAGTTAAAGTGGAGCCTATACCTGCCGTTAGCCATACAACCATAGGAGCTGCTAGTCGGATCATTCAGACATCTCAGACGGCACCTTTACAGACGGTTACTCTAGTGCAACAGACACCTCTAGGTCAACACCAGCTACCAATAAAAACTGTAACTCAGAATGGAACACATATAGTACCCATCACCACAGCAATTCAAGGTCAGGCCAACACTGGTAAGCATTTGGAGTGGTGTCTTTAGTGTCACAAATTTTCTTTTGTCACAGGGATGTCCAGTATCTGTGGATTCTTGATTCTCAAAATTGTTACAGATTTGTGCTTAATTCTTTAGCTTATTTTGAGGTAACTACTACCTTGGAAAATTAAGGGGTTTTTTGTTTGTTTTTTAGTCTACATCCTTTCCCTTTCACGTTAAGTTAGGAACTGATCTGTGATACAAAGACCTGTGTAACTGTGCTGTGCATTAGTATTTCTGGAGGAATGGCTCCCCATCCCAGATAGAAGAGAAGAAGAGTTTGGATTTGATATCCCGCTTTATCACTACCTGAAGGAGTCTCAAAGCGGCTAACATTCTCCTTTCCCTTCCTCCCCCACAACAAACACTCTGTGAGGTGAATGAGGCTGAGAGACTTCAGAGAAGTGTGACTAGCCCAAGGTCACCCAGCAGCTGCATGTGGAGGAGCGGAGACGCGAACCCGGTTCCCCAGATTACGTGACTACCGCTCTTAACCACTACACCACACTGGCTCTCAGATAGCAGTCTGCTTTTAAAATCAAAAGGATGTTTCTGTTGAAAGTTAGGGAATTGTTCTGTGGGAGAGTCGGGAACCACCACTAGTTATGCTCAAGGCTTTGGGCATGTCTAAAGTAACTCTTTTGATCCCCTCATTGGTTTGATTCATGGTTTAATTAAGCTTTAGATACTCAATTATCTTGGTGTTGTTTTATTTCTTTCTCCCCCCCCACATGCTGCCCTGAACCTTGAAAATGCAGTTCTTTACAATGTATTATAGTTACTTACTCATGCTTTTTTCTTGGTCGTTTCACAATCCTTTGGGACCATCTGCTCCCGGTAGAATATAGACTGCTATCCTATTCACACTTTCTGGCAGTAAGTTCCCTTTATCACAATAATGTTTTTCTTCCTCTTTAGCCATGAGGTCAGCCACTGCAGATATTTTCACCCATGCAAGAACATCCTAGGGTCGTTCTCGAATGTGTGCCGCATCAAGCTTTCATGTAATACTAAAGCCATTCGTGGAATTGGGCTTCCTCTTGCCTTGCCTGCGTTTAATGTATCTCCATTCTTTTATTTTCAGCTGCTGCAAGTCCCCTACACATGTTAGCAACCCATGCATCTGCATCAGCTTCTCTTCCAACAAAACGTCAGAACGGAGACCAGTCTGATCAGCAAGAGTTGAAACGTATCAAAACGGAGGATGGAGAGAGCATAGTCATAGCTGTGAATGTGGAAACTCCACCTGTGGCAGTGAGTGAACAAGGCAGCCAGAACTAGGAACTTAAGAGGAATATTTCTTTTTAGAATGATGCTCCGTGGTGCCAAAAGGAGACATTGAAACACCTAAACTATTGAACATGTTCTCACATGGTGGGGAAAGGGGCCCTGTGACTTCAACTTTCAGCACTGAGAAAAAAAAACACAGGTGGCCTTAGAACTCCTTAATTTAAAAATCGAAACCAAACTGTCCAACATCTTGTTCCAGAGGCTGTGACCCCTTTCCCCCCACTCCTCCTTGCCGTTCTGAAGTGACTCTTTATAGATAAGGAGAGATACAAAAGTTGGAAGTCTGCAACTTTAAAAAGCTCTATTGGATTGATTACTTTAAGGATTGAGTATCTCAGTATATCACAGCATGATAAGTACTTCATGTGACTGGATTTCAAACGATTGTATATTCCTCAAAGGGAACAGAGGCAAGGAGCCATTTCCTACATCTTGGCAGCTAGCCTTTCATAATGACCTACCCAATGCAGTTGTTGGTAGATATGCAGTATTTTGTTGTTCACATGTGGAATTAGAAATTTTTGATGTGTACTTTCATTTTATTTTCAAAATAATGGGGTCTTTGACATTTCAAATCACTCCATTTCTACTCCAGAAACTTTGGAATCACACAGTACTTTTCATGTGAAATTTTGTTTGGTAAAACTGAATGTAGGGTTTTTTAACCAATGGAATGATTTAATTTTGTCCTGTTAAAGTTCAGATAAAGCTACTTTGTTACATCTGCAAATTTTCATATTTTAGCAGTTGCCTGATAAAATTTAATCAGATTTTATTACCTTGTGTAGTGATCAAATGCTTCTTTGGGCTTGCATGTTACTGATTAGAAATACAGTGTAAATGAGCCGTTAACTGACGTTAAAGAACTGCTATGATGAATTTGACCAGAGCTGCACTTATCTGTTTCTCTTTCTTGCTACCTTTTGCTGTTTGTTACTTTGTGTTGACTTTGATTGTCCCTGGCTTATTTTTCCAGTCTAAAGTAAAACAAGAGTCTCGCTTAATATTGTGTATGTTTAAAATGGCAGACTGTTCTTCATTTAGAAAAGAGAAAATTCTTTATCACAAGTCCTTTTAAAAAGAGAAAAAAAACTTGTCCAGAGGTATATCCAATATTTTTCAGCATAAGCGCCCACCGGTAGAAATTAATCTGATGAGTTTATCTTTAACTTTTGATGTCCTGCACAGACCTTCTGGGGTCTGCATTAAGAGTAGCTGTTGAGGTTTTCTAACAGTGGCTACCATACTATAATAAATGTGGTTTTTTTTAAAGTGTGTGTTCTGCAGTTGAACATTTTAAAGGATACTTCTCAGAGTTGTGATTGTAGAATCCACCTTACATTTCAGAACTGAACTAAAAGCTAAGACTGTTTTTTGTCTTTCATTCACATGCTGTCTTGTCCCTTCATATTAAGGTGAGTTAAAGGTAAAGACTGGCTTGAACCTTTGATTTGCCCTTTTTTGGCAATACCATTATTTATATATATTTTTTCATTTTGAGAAGAATCTGTATTTTCATGATGGACTGAAATGGCTTGGAATGGCTTATATTTAGTCAGTTTTTGAAAACTGTTTATCTGAAGACCAAATATGAGAAATCTGTACCAAGTATCATGTTAACCCACACAGTAGAGCTGTCACAGTGTCGATCTGGATAATACATATTAAAAGATTATGAAAAAATGCTGTACACTAGCTGGATTTATAACAGCCACTATAAGCTGGGTAAAGCAAAAGAATTTATGTAACTGCAGCATTCTACTTTTTGTGCTGTGGTCACTTAATTTAGAAATAATTAAACTGAATTATTGGCAAAACATTTGGTTATAAACCTACTATTTCATGAGTATTAGGCAAACTGCTGCAAGTTTTTGAATAAAAAAATCTGGTGAAATTCTTAAGTCAGTCAAAATTTATTCACACTTGGAAGTTTTCTTATGCACCCAATATAGTCAGTGTAGGACACAGAATCTTGGAGCAAGATTTACATTGCCGTCCTATGCACATCTGTCAGAATGCCATGGTTCCAGGTAAGGGCGCATAGAATGATAGCCTTCAATATAAGAATCTTTGAACTTACCTGCTGTTGATCTACCCCTTCTTCCATGGGCAGGGTACTCTAGAAACGCTTGCATTTCCATTCCATAAACTTGGTTAAGTAATGCTATGCTATTTGAGCACTGGGGAAAGCTTAGATATAACTTAAAAGTGTCAAAATGCCAATTGCCAGGGCTGAGACAAGTGAAACAGGAGGGCATGAGTAGGATAGGCATCGGAAATAATAACATAAAATATTACCAAATACAGAAATTCTTCCTTACCCTGTCTGCCAGTGGTATCTTATCTTTGCTTGTCTTACTCACTTTCCCTTATTATATGTAATACGTGAAGCTTTTACTTCAGTCGCCTTTGTAAACAAGTAATTGCACAAAAATACTAGGATTTCATGGAAGTGTATATTACGGCTCTCTGACATTGCAGCTGTCTCCTTGTGAGACTGCTACTTGAGACCGGTGCTGATGTCGTTTGCAGAAGAAAATTTCATGCAAGTCCATTTTAGGTTTCTGAAGACACTTGGACCAAGTGGGCAATTGCCTGGATGAAATAGCTAATACAAAATCAGACTATCCCCCCCCCCCCGAGCAATTTGAGTCACATGAGCAAATGCCTGCTAGTTATATCAACATCTGAGTTTATATATTTCCCCAATGGTGTTGCACAGAAAAGGAGCTCTGGGTCATTTCTGAACAGCATGGCAGTCTCTTACCATATCGATGTTGTAGTTAGCCGATGTACCTACTAGTGTTTGGATTATACTACCATTACTACAGTTGCTAAAAGTTGTTTCTGCACTGAACAGTGCTTATTTTTCATCAGAATTTGACTTTCCTTTATGCATGAATTATTGTGATTTTAGCTAGTGTTTTCCATGGCCAAGGCTCAGGTGCAGAGAAATGGCATATGCATTTAACTGTTAATAGCTGTTCTGGGTTGTACTTGTGTTTGTAAGTATAGTGGTACCTCAGGTTACATATGCTTCAGGTTACAGACTCTGCTAACCTAGAAATAGTACCTCGGGTTAAGAACTTTGCTTCAGGATGAGAACAGAAATCGTGCTCCGGCGGCGCGGCAGCAGCAGGAGACCCCATTAGCTAAAGTGGTGCTTCAGGTTAAGAACAGTTTCAGGTTGAGAACAGACCTCCGGAACAAATTAAGTACTTAACCTAAGGTAGCACCGTAGACTAATAGGCATTTATTTCAAAACCAGTCAGATAAGCCCCTAATGTAGAGGAAGGTCCATCCAATCTTGTTTCATGTGCTGTGGGAGGAGACCTCTCAACTCATTTTAACAGTGACAGGAGAAGGTTAATCTGTCAAGTGGGAATATGGCATTGGTGAGAAAGGAGGCATGCATGCACACAAATGTTACATTTAAGTTTCTTTTCCTGAACATTCATAGGATGGTGGAGCAATAGTGTATTACATTATAAGCTTTCAAACAAGTCTACTTTGGTAGATAATATTATCCTAGGGTTGGCAGAGGTAGGCATGTGTGTGTGTATCCTTATAGACAATATGCAATATGCATAACAGTGAGGATCATGGAAGATGAAATACAGAAGACTGAGCATTTTTAAGTCGTAAATGTGTGTGAAGTAAATGCTGTTACAATTGACAAACTAGTGTTAATAATAACTACTGGGATTTTTTAAAAATGTTACCTTACGTCAACCTGTGGGTGATGGAACTGAACTTCCTGTTTATTTTGCTTCGGCATACCTATCCACCTTGAAAAATTCAGCAAACATTACTTCTCTACCTGAGTTTTACGAGATTTGGCAAGGGTCTTGCAGTGATGGATTTCAGCAAAGAAACAACACTTTTCAAAATGTTTTTCCCCCCTTTTAGCCCATTTTTTAAAGATAACATTACTGTTAAAAAACTATATGATAAAAGGGTACGCCTAGAACAAAAGGGAATGATAAGAATTAGAAGTTGGTGTCAAAGAATTTGGCCAGAGGCCAAACTACCTTATACAGACTGTTTGTCCACCTAGACTCAACAAACATGTTTCCCTTCACTGGTCCACTAATTAAAAATCTCAGCAACATTGTTGGATACAATCTATTAGCACCATAGATTACATGCATCCTACTCCTAATTGATCTTGAGCTATTTAGGCAATTTAACTAAAACAAAGAACAGCACTAGCACCCATATACAGTGGTACCTCCGGTTGCGGATGGGATCCATTCCGGAGCTCCAGTCGGATCCCGAGGTTTTCGCAACTGGAGGTGCCTGTTCTGCGCATGCGCGTGGTGTGGTAAAACGCTTCTGTGCATGCGGCGAAACCCGGAATAATACTTCCGGGTTTGACACGTGCATATCCCGAAGGATACGTAACCAGAGGTGTGCCTAAGTAGAGGTACCACTGTACAGAACTTCTGTTACCATAAAATGAATACAGCAAATTAAGTCACTTTAATTAAAGAAAATTACAAAAGGTGTGCAAAACAATTTCCATGATTAAATACACATTTAAAAGCAACATGCAAACTGACATCTGAATATAGGTTTTAGTTAAATGACAAATTCCAATACTTTTCAACTTGAACCAAGACTTCAGTTCATTTTGAAGTATGCATGAAATCAAGGGAGCTATTAACTGAAGTTGTGTTTTAAGGGGATGATATTGGTAACTTCAAATTATGTCTCCAAATACCTCATTTCCCAAAATATAGTGTTGTGATTGATATACTACTTAGTGTTCAGAGAGACAGCAGCTTAGTTTGTTCTGAACACATAATACGCTTGTTGTATGATAGGGATTTCTTACAGGCTATAAGGTGGGAAAGCTGCAGCCCTCCAGCTGTTTGACTACACCTCTCATCATCCTTGGCCATGCTGGCTAGCACTGATGGCAGTGAAGTCCAGTAACATCTGGAGGGTCACACTTTCCCCCTTCTTGTTGTTCAATATACTACCCTCTTGGCCATTACAGATTATCTTGTACTTGTAGAACTTCCCCAGCACAACCTAAGTGCAAATACCAATGGATCAAGAACTGAAGTGTCTGGAATGGTTATTTCCAATATCTAAGCTGTTTGCTGTCACTTTCCCAACATCTCAACATTGTCCTATGCCACTTCCTGCCCTGCAGAATGGTTATTTAGGCCAACAGTACTTTAATGATGTTTGCTATGGATTTCTTTTGGCACCTCTGACAAATGACAAACAAGTTAATATCTATTTATAACAGCATGAAAACAAGGACCTTGAGCATTCTATCTATGTCAGAGCAAGTGCAACTAAGAGCCAACTTGCTATAATATTCCTTTCTGTGTATTAGAAGATAGGAGGAAAAGGACATTTTACAAAGGCAGAAATTGCTGGTATAGATTTCCTGCCACCCCCTTAAGCACGGTACTAGAACTCAAATCTGTATGTACTTTTGACATGTCCTGTTCACTGTTTAAACCTTAGTAATCTCCTGCCCCTTCACTCTTATGGAGTGGCAGGCACTAAGCTTCACAGTTTAATTACAGAGAGAAACCCAATAGGCACAGGCTATTGAAACATTTTTTTAAAAAAGGGGGGAAAAATTGAAGGAACAACAGCAGCCAAAACTTAACATTTAAAACCAGCTGTTGACAGTTAACGTAGTAGTCCTCTGCTTTGCTCTGTCCATACTGGTTTGGGCTTCTTAAAGTCATCTGTCCCATCTTGAGCAGCACAGTTGACTGAAGGTAGTGAGAGGCCATCTCTTCAGGAAAGGGAGAATAAGCAGGACAGGGTTCCAGATATCCTTCCCCCTTACCTACAAATTTCCATCAGTTCAGTCAAAGTTTGTCATCAGTCATTTCTAGGAACTGAGCATAGACATCCCTGGAGCATTCCCCTTTTTGATTGAATAAAAATTTGTAGTAGCTGCCATCTGCACAGATCGCTGCAAGAGAAAGATACTGTTTTCAGTTTGGCAACTGAAGTCAATTGCTTACACATTGTGTTTCACTGCACAGCTTTTGCTTGTGAGAGCAGCAAGAGACACCACATTACCTGCAGGCTAAGAAATGTTCTCCTATAAGATCTGCGCTATATACGCCAATTAGTTCTAGCGCCTGGCTTGCCCCACCCCAGATAGTTCTTGATGAATCATTAAGCTGCCCTCCGTGAGATCTCAAGCAACAACCTGGAGTGTTCAACATTCCTTGCCATCTAAACATTTTTTACAATCTTAGGCTGCAATCATATGACATTAATCTGGAGTTAAAACCCATTTATATAAATCACACTCCCATCAAGGACAGAGGGAGATTCCTCTAAAAAGCTTGTTTGTGAGCACAGCTGCTTGAATTCATAGGCTATGTTTGGGATATGCATAGCGAGGGGCCTTGTTTGATTTTTGGTGAAACTTGAGATTCTTACCTAGGACAGAATTCGGCTCTGTTCCAAAGGCACAGATGCAGGGAGAGCCTGAGGGAACCTGAAATTTGGAAAAACTCCATTTGGAACTGAAGTATTTGGGCAGGAAGCTGGCTGATGCTAAGCTGAAAAAGAAAGAAAGCTCTCTTCAGCATCATCTCAACCCAGTAGTCTAGGCACTGAAGCAAACTGACTCCTAGCAGCACGTATTAAGGTTCACAATTATTTTAATAATAATAATAAAATTTTATTTATATCCCGCCCTCCCCAGCCAAAGCCAGGCTCAGAGCGGCTAACAACAGTAAAATGATACAACATTCTAAAATCATTTCATTATAAAATCAGTTCAAATCAGATTAATGGCAACCATTGGGCTAGAGTTCTGTGCAGATTGCCAAAGGAGGGGGTCAGGCTGTGCCCTGGCCAAAGCCCTGGTGGAACAGCTCTGTCTTGCAGGCCCTGCAGAAAGATGTCAAGTCCCACAGGGCTCTAGCCTTTTGTGACAAGAGCGTTCCACCAGATTGGAGTCACAGCTGAAAAAGCCCTGGCTCTGGTTGAGGCCAGCCTAACCTCTCTGTGGCCCGGGACCTCCAAAGTGTTTTTGTTTGAAGACCATAAGGTCCTCCGTGGGACATACCAGGAGAGGTGGTCCCATAGGTATGAGGGTCCTAGGCCGTATAGGGCTTTAAAGGTTAAAACCAGCACCTTAAACCTGATCCTGTACTCCACCGGGAGCCAGTGCAGTTGGTATAGCACTGGGTGAATGTGATCCTGGAGGAGGACCCCGTAAGGAGTCTCGCTGCGGCATTCTGCACCCGCTGGAGTTTCTGGGTCAGTCTCAAGGGCAGCCCCACATAGAGCGAGTTACAATAATCCAGTCTGGAGGTGACGGTTGCGTGGATCTCAGTGGCTAGGTCACTGATTATTTAAATTATTTACTTTATTTTAGCTACTGATACATTCTTCCTGTATGAAGTTACCTAATCATTTTTGCCTAGAGATCATCACTCTGGCCCCAGCTGCTTACCTCGACTGCTTGTTCCTCTTAGGATCCTCCGCAGCAAAAATGTGCACTGTGGCATGATCACTTGACACACAAATGAGAGAAGCATCTTGGTTGAAGTTAATGCTAAAGGAGAAGTCAGAAACAAGTCTGCTTATATCACCACTGTCATGGAATAAGTTACTTTTTAAAGAAATGCCTATGTATATATACTGCAACTTTTCAAACACTATACGCCAACCTCTTTCCCAAGTACCTTAAAAATAAGAGTTTCTAACTAGGTTTTGGGGAGGTTATCTAAAGCAATGCCACCTTGCAACAACATACCCAGTGAGATGCTAACCTTTTATCAGCAGGTGTTGATGCAGAGTGAAGCAGCATCAGCAACTGAAGTGGTAGAAAGTGAAAGAGCATTCACCCCAGAAGTAAACCACATAGACGGGAGGAAGGGAAATATATTCACACCTTTAAAAAGCATTAACTCCTCCATAATACATGTAGCTGAAGAAAAGGGCACAAGGATATTGGTGAGGCATAATTACTTCTTAATTAGTATCTTAGTTCCTCCATAAACCAACACAGTTGCAGGATGAATGCTACTTTAATTCTGAGTTTTAAAAAAGGTGCAGATATCAAAGATCCTACGGACATAGAACTAAGGGATCCTTGTTTCCCCAACTTTTTAAAGCTATAGAAAAGTTCACATGTTTGAACTGATGCTTTATTGTATATCTCATACACTGCTACCTCTCAGACTTAACCCCCACTCCCATTTTTTTTTGTTTTGTTTAATGCTCAACTCTCAATTGGATTAAATTCATCTTGAACTGTACTGCTGCTGATTTCTCTACCTCTGTGATGTCACATTTCCCCCAAAGAATTTTCAGATACCAAGCCTAATGTTTATATTTGTCTGATGTGCTACACATAACACTGAACTGGCTAATGTGAAAAGCCAGCTGACAGTATCAGCTGTATGATTAGTAGGTCACAGATGGAAGAAAATTATTCACACACAGGAAGTTCATGTCTCTTAACTGGAAAATGGGGGAGTAGTTTTAAAGCATGAAACCCCATTTGTACAACGGCCACTCCCTCATCTTGCTGATGATCAAGGCAAAGAATGATTCCTCCAATCCCCCCAACACATTAACAAAACCAATAAACCTTACCAGTAGATATTGGCAGCCTGAGACCCTCTGCGCAGTTCCTGGATTAAATGCCCAGATGATGTATCAAATATTCTTATTAGGGTCCCCTTGAAAAGCAACAGCACACATTAAAGATGTGAGGGGAGCCTTTCAAAAACAACACAAGTTCTTCCCAGAACACAACATTAGGATACATTTTTCCACCACCCTACACTATCGTAGCTGCCCTTCCCATATGGAATTATTTTTGTTATCCAGTGCTATCCTTCCCACATATTTGGAAATCTTCTCAGGTTTATCTGCATGAATATATCCAAGATCAATGCCACTAAAGTCAGTATTTTGACAGGAAAATTGAGAAAGTCTACATGAACTGGATTTATACCATATACAGTAGTCTGAACCTAGTATATAACAGATTTGTTACATATATTGGAAGATTCTGGCATGCAATAGTGAGGCAGCAGGATGAAAGGTTTGAGTGAGGAACGAATAGCCAGGGAACCTATTTGAAGCAATGCAGGTTACAGGCTGCCAAAGAATGCAGAGTTTATCTCTTGACCAATATTTGCAATAACAGCATGCGTATTTTCAAATGTAATCACTACAGCCTCAAAGGTTACCAACTTTCTGTATAAACTTTAAAGCCAAGACTTCCATAAATTCAACTTCTGTGTTAGATGATACAGTCTTCCCAGTAGGCGTAACAGTAAATTAAAGACTATACAATGCACCTATTAAAATGCCATGCAGACTCTCAAGATGACACAATTCAGGGTTCATTCTAAATCATTAAGGACTCTTGTGTTGTTTTCTAGCCAACTGTGGAGTAAAATCACTGACTTACTTTTTCTGATGCTGTGGCAATTCTTGTTCCCTGTAGGTTAAGAGCTATGCAACTCAAGACCCCTTCATGAGCTGGTATATCTACAGGAGGTTTCTCTGTATTTGCCAGGTCCACTATCTGCACATGTCCAGTATGTGTTCCAGGGAATGCAAGTAGGGAATTATTACTGTTTGGGCACAGGACACAAAGACCTGAAATACAATTTAAAGTATTGAGGAATAGGCATTTTTACTACCATCTCCGTCCTCCCCACCTTCCTTCTGAAAATAAGTTTTGAGAGTACTTGGAACACTCAAAAAAGCAAGCTAGGACGCTTCATGTTACCACATAGCCATGAGTGTCAATGTCTGTATAAGCAAAAGGCAGGATTTACCGAATGAGTCCCATCAGCGCAAACCCTGCAATAGGGCTTCCGTTTGCACAATAGGGCTCCCCCCCACCTTCTCCTGCTTCCATGGCTCTCAAAATTGGCTCAAGGTGATTAGGAAAACCCTCAGAACAGCACACAGGGGAGGAGAGGGGAAACTGTTTTGTTGGACAAACTGCAATGCTCGCAGTGATGCAATGTTCATCATAGCATACCGTTGACTCCCACCCAAAATTGACAATTAGCCCTATTCCAACAAATGCATTTTCCAACAATGTTTTTTCTTTTTTTCCAAATCCAATGTGAAAACTATGGGAAGATGGAGGACAAATTGTTTCATAAGTTTTTCCACTGCATTTAATGGGGATGACAAGGATGCTATGGCTCAGCATCACAGCACTTGCAAAGCATGAGAAAGGTCCAAGTAGTTTTTTTATATAGTTAAGTCCTAGGGTGTGCAAAATAGACAGCATCAGTTATCATAAGGAGTACAATAGCAAACAGAAGAAGAACAGCACAGAATCTTTCTTTGTTCCTCTTACACTTTATGTAGTGGATAACACTTACCTTTAGGGTTGTAGCAGGTTTCGAAGACGTGCAACTGGTGAGGGTTGTGCGTGAATGTGAAAACCTTAATCATAGAGTCCAGAACTACCACGATTCTGAAAGAGAAGGCAATGGCAGGCCAATTAGCATCATGTCCAGCTACACTGGTCCAACTCCAAACTGGGGAATAAACAGAAGAAGCTCTCCATACAACAGTGTGACCAGACTCACCTATCTCTTCGCAGCTTAACTGCTTTGACTTCTGTGGAAAATTCTATTTCGATAACGGTCTTCTTTTTCAGATCATCCCAGATCATCACTGCAGAAATGGAAGTGGCCTTATTAGTCTTAAAATAACACCTTGCAATCTTATAAAGTGCTTCCAGAGATGCCACTTTGGGAGTCTAGCTACATGAGGAACTACTGCATCCCAGACTACCCAGTTTGCACTGGTTCACTTGGCAAGAAAACAAAAACAAAAACCATACCCCAAGTTCAGATCTTCAAAATTAGACATTGTACAGTTAGCATTCAGTTACAATTGGTTTGGAGCAGGAGAAAATAGAAGCATCAGCTACATCCAAACAAGTCTTATATGATGGCATTCTGAAGCTTAGTCTACCCTCTTCTTCACCCTCCCCACCTGCTACTGCCAATAGCTTTTTATTCCTATTTATGTGGGAGTGCAGTATCATGGCTGCTTATCAAAATCTGTTTATCCTTTGACCATCTGGAAAAACACAAATTATCCTGAATACAGGGAAACAATAGGTCACAGATTTGCTCTAGCTAGCACCTGGCATTAAAAGGAAGGATACCTCGTTGCACAACTCGAGAAGGGTAACAGCTAAGTCCACATTTATTCAAATTTTAAACTACCCAGGAAGTTTTCGATAAAATCTGCTTGAACACCAGTTACATTAAAGCTGCTTGGAAATGTTTCGTGCTGAACTCAGCCCTAAACTATTGCTTACTTACGGCTCAATACTTTACCTTTATTAGGTGGGTATTTGGGTTTTTTCCCTCCACCAACCAAAGCTAAATAATTGCAGCGAAACAACATTTCAACATGGCCAACACCTCCTTCTAGAAATTCTGGAGAGGGAAAAGGGACATTTTTAATTAAACACTCAAAGCAAAGAAAAGTTTATTAATGCTGTAACATCTTTGTGTATCAAGAGGATTCTCTCCAAAGACTCCAAGTTAAAATGCAGCTGATGTCAGTTCTCTTTTACTTTTTACTCCGGGAGTGCCTTGTTTCAAGACAATGCTTCATCATCAGAAAAGCCTGCTCAGAGCCTTCTTCTGACCACACATTATGGACACTGCAATATTATACTGGATCAAAGTTTTAAAAAAATGTACTCAAATTCTGGCAAGTGAAATCTCTGTTCTATGCACAGTTACTTGAGGGTACAGGATTGCACAGCACGTGGTTTAAGATGAAAAAAATGGCACAGCAGAACAACTATGTATATTGAGGAAGAATCTCACCTTGTTTCTCCTTCTCTTTGAGCGGATCTGCATTAAACACTCTAAATCCATTTTCCATCCCACATGCAAAGCACCCTAAAAAAGAAGAGGATTACTATGTCAGGTATATATGCTCTTTATCAACAGGCAAAAGACAGCTCAGTAGTAGCACATGCTCTGTGTACAGAAGTCCCAGGCATCTCCCATTAAGAGGGTCAAGTAAGACTTCCCTGCCAGAGATGCTCTTAGTCACAACAGGCAATACAGGAATCTAACTGCAAGTACAGATCCAATGCATTACAGTGGTTCAATTGTGTCCATGGCAGTAGAATGGATTTGTGAACATTTTAGAAAAGCAATTGGCACTAAAAGCTATAAAGATGCCTGGAACCTGATGTATTTTCTTGGCTATTTAGGATCAAACCTACACAGCTGTTTATAGGGATTAGGGAGTCCTCATTCTGCCAAGTGTAATTTGTTTTTGAACAGGCTGGCCCACAACAGGCTTAAATTGAGAGCTCTGTCAACCACACATTTCCTGTTTCTTGTAGTTGATGCCAGTTATTGAGAAAAATGTGTCTTCCTTTTCCCCGCCCCCTTCTGTTCCTCTACCTCAGCATTTATAGTAACTGCATATTATTTTTCCCATTTATTTGTTTACCAAGAAGCACAATCAAGTACATCAATCTAAATATTTTTTTTCCTTTCAGCAAGTTCAAAACTTTATTCACTATAATGGTTTAGAATGAACCTTGAATTTATGAGCCACCACATAAAACGCCAGTTCTTGCGTTGACACCTTCCAGACCTCTTGTGGGGGAGGCACCCAAAGAAGGGCCTCAGGTGAGGATCGCAGGGGTCAGATAATTTCATGCGGGGAGAGGTGGTCCCTGAGGTATTGCAGTCCTGAGCTGTTTAAGGCTTTATAAGTCAAAACCAGCACATCTGAATTTGTTGCCAAGATAAAAGCTGGAATTCCAACAACTCTACTAGCCTATAAACAAGCACCCTAGGAAACCGCATCCTGTAGGTGTAGCCCATACAACCCACATGATGTAGCCCATACAACCCACATGATATAAAGTTTCTGATGCAAATAGAATGAACATTTTACTAGCTTACACATTCTATGAAACTCCACTGAAGTGACTACTCAAATTACTGCAATAAAATCTTCTCAAGGTAAAGAACAGCAAAGCATAAGCTTTTCTGGGGTGAGGTTTACTACAAGGAAGTTGATCCCTAACTTGTGTTACTCTAGTGAGTCATAGCCTATTTTCTTGGCAGAAAAAAAAGAACACCAGCTAGGATGACTATTTTTGCTCATTCACTAAGGGCCACATCAATTTGGGATGCCTCACACACTGTATTTTTAGGGGAACACATGAAATGTTAAATGTGCACCTAAACAAGTGTGATTTTCTTAGAAAAATAATTATGAAATGAACAGGAGCACAATAAACATAGGACACTCCTCAATTTGCAAGCACATGACTGGTGTAGTCACTCAATTTGAACTAGCTTCCCTAGCAAATTAAAATGACAAAATATTTGTCATTGCTACTAATTAGGGATAATTGTAAGAACATAAGAACTGCCTGCTGGATCAAGCCAATGCTCCATCAAGTCCATCGTCCTGTACTTCAGCGGCCACTCAGATGCCTGTGGAAAACTCAAAAGCAGGACCCGAACACAGGAGCAGTCTTCCCTCTTGTGCTTTCCAGTAACTGGTATTCAGAAACATTACTGTCTCCAACTGGGGAAACAGTTATCATGGCTAGTAGCCATCGATAGCCTTATCCTCCATGAATTTGTCCAATCCTCTTTTAAAGCCATCCAAAAGTTGGTGGACATCACTGCCTCCTCTTTAAGTGAGTTCCACATATTAACGATGTACTGCGTGAAGAAGTACTTTCTCTCATCAGTTCTGAATCTTCCAACATTCAGCTTCATTAAAGGTCCACCAGTTCTAGTGTGATGAGTGAGGGGGGGCCCTTTCTGTCCATCCTCTCCATGCCATGCATAATTTTATAGACTTCTATGTCACCTCTGATTCACCTTTTCTCTAAACTAAGAAGCCCCAAACACTGCAACCTTCCCTTGAAGATCCATTTCCCTTATCATTTTGGTTGCACTTTTCTGAATCTTTCCCAACTTTACAATATCCTTTTTTGAGGTGAGCTGACCAGAACTGTACTACACAATATTCCAAATGTGGTTGCACCACAGATTTGTATGTCATTGTGACATTGGCAGTTTTATTTTCAGTTCCTTTTCTAATGCCCCCCTAGCGTGGAATTTGGCTTTTTTTCATAATTGCTGCACACTGCGCTGACATCCACTATTACCCCAAAGTCTCATCCCTGGTCAGTCACCAGTAGTTCAAAGCCCATGAGCGTATATGTAAAATTATTATTCCTAGTGCTAACAATTCATTTACAATGAGTTGCATTTGCCATTTTACCAACCATTCATTCAGTTTGAAAAGGTCCTTTTGGAGTTCTTCACAATCTCTTTTCATTTTAAAGACTCTGAACAATTTAGTATCATCAATAAATGTAGGCACTTCACTGCTCACCCCTTCCTAACTCTTGATCATTTGTGAACAAGTTATAAAGCATAAACACCAATACCAATTCTTGGGAGACTCCATTTTGTGTTCCTTTTTGTTCTCTTCCATTTGGACAAGACTTCCTTTTGTTAAAGGAAGCCTTCTTGCCTCTAACGGCTTCTTTGACTCTGCACATTACCAAACTGGCATTCTCTTGGCCCTCATGATACTTTTTGCCATCTATGGTGTACACGCCAGCTGAGTTTCTAATTTGGAGTGATCCAACCCACTTAACTTTGCCTTTCAACTTCCTTTTTACCAAGTAACTCCCTTTGGGGAAGTTTCCTGTTTTGAAATCAAAGCACATTTAATTTAGTAGTGCTATGGTCACTGCTCCCAACTGGCATGACAATAATTACATCTGGCATCAGGTCCTGGGCGCTACTCAAGATTAACCTCATGGTTGCTTACTTTCTAGTTGGTTCCATGACCAGAGGCAGTCATTTAGGGTATCTAGAAATTTTGCTTCTTTACTGTGACTGGGACGCATAAGAAATACCGCAGGTCATAATGTTGCTGCTATGTGCCCTTTGATTAAAAGCAATAAAACTGTTCAGGACATTCAATTCTGCATTCAAATTCATATGCCCAAGAAAGCAGCTACCTCTGAAAGAGCTGCAGTTTGATGAGAATTCAAGCAAGGCAATCTGAGGAATAGAATGATTCAGTGCACAACTGGGCCAAAACACACATCTTAGCCCTAAGTCCAGCTTTGGCATCTGCTTTGTGGGAACTGTTGAATTATGCATCAGTTGCAGTGGAAATGGCATTGAGTAGGAGGGCAAGTCTGACACTCATGCCCAACAAGGAGCTCAATATATGCAAGTTTTTAAAGAGAAAGACTAAGGGAGAACAGGATGAGGCAATGTACAAGGGGTAAAGCATCTGGGCTGGGCCAAGCACTGTTGTATTAGGACAAAACAAGGCTCCGCGTGGAAGCCTGAGAAGGCAAGGAGGAGAATGGAAGCAACTGCCTCCCCTGTCTTGGTGTCTCTGGGCAGAGGCCGATCCTCCCCGCGCATTTTGCAAAACACCAGACTCCGATTGCGCCCCATAAACACCCAAGCGCGATAACCAGAGGCCGGCAAACGGAAAGGGGAGAGACGAGGCCGAAGAGGGAAGTATTGGCACCCATCAATGTTAACAGAGAGTGCCAAGCAACGCAAACTTAAGGGACAAAGGCAAGCTGCTGGGGGGAAAGAGGAGATGTGTCTGAGCCCGGAGAGGGCAGCCCCCTCTCTTGGCCCCAAGAAGGGAAGGTAAAGCCCTCCTCCCCGCCCGCACTTTTTTGTGCCCAGGCATTCGTCTAGGCTGGCCGCGGGTTCGAGACCTGCGCCTCCCTCCTCTCGGAAGGCCTGGAATTATTTGGGTGGGGGCGAGAAACTCAACTTTCGCCTCTCCCAACCTCACCCCATTACAGACGCTTAACACGGGGGAGGAAAGGAAACCCGCCAAGCCCGAAAGCTTCCCCCGCGGGCGGATAGGCGGACCCCTGACTCCCACCCCCCGGCGCCCCGCGAGGGTCTTTACCGTGGTCCTGGTTGAAACCGGCGAACAGCAACCCATTCCCGTGCGGGTTGGCTGGAAGCAGGTTCATGGCGCCGGACTCCGGGGAAGGCCGCAGCCGCGGACGGGGGGGGGGGTCCTTCACACCATCGGGGGAGGGTCACTGGCCTGAGGGGGCGGCAGCGCCACGATTCCTTCCGGACTAGACAGGCGCCGCGCCGAGCACCGAGCGCGTCCAATGAGCCCCTCCCAGGCTGACCAGAGGAGAGCCGAATTGTCGAACGCCGCCCGCCGCCGCCTCCCTCGGCTTGGCTCTTTCCATTCCCCAGCCTGCTACAATACGTCCGTCCCCCTCTTTGCGAGCGCAGAGCGCGTCGCTCAAGGCAGGCCGCCCGGCGGAGTGCCAAGCTAACGATCAGCGGCCCGACTCTCACCTGGCTGGCGCCACCGGGAAAGGTGGCCGCCGGACTGCGCTCTCTTCTCGCGCCTCTCACGGTCTCCATCGCGTGTCGCCTTCGCTGCCCTTGCAAGAGAGGTAAGGGATCCTAAATGGGGTTACGAGGAGGCAAAAGACCCGTTGGACGTGGGGCAACGTAACCCCCCAGTAAAGTCACCACCATTCCAGGGGTTGCAGACGCGCTTCTTACTCCAGAGTTAGTCTTTCCTTCGGGAATGAGGCACGACCAGTGCCGGATTTACGTATAAACTAAACAAACTATAGTTTAGGGCCCCACTCTCTTGGGCGGGGGGAGATTAAAGGGGGGGGGACTGGATGTACATTTCCAAAATATAAGATAAAAAAACAAAAAAAACACCTACATACAGCAACAGTGTTTTGTGTCCGTTCTTAACCTGAAACTGTTCTTAACCTGAGGTACCACTTTAGGTAATGGGGCCGCCCGCTGCCGCCGCACAATTTCAGTTCTTATCCTGAGGTAAAGTTCTTAACCCAAGGTACTACTTCTGGGTTAGCAGGTGTTTGTAACCCGAGGTACCACTGTATTTGTTGTGTGCAAATAACTTTAGATACCTATTAGGTCCATAAATTACCATATAGCATATATTCAACACAAAAAACAGCCCAGTTGCACCTTAAAGGTAAAGGACCCCTGACAGTTAAGTCTGAAGAAGTGTGCATGCACACGAAAGCTTATATCCTGAACTAACTTACCGGTAATTGGTCTCTAAGGTGCTACTGGACAATTTTTTAATTTTTTATATCTATTTCGTCAGCGTCAGACCAACACAGCTACCTACCTGAAACAAAAAACAGCAACAATTTGTTGTTGACAAAGGACAGCTGGACATATAAAGGGCCCCATTACCATTTGATGAGGGCTTAGGCCCTCATCAAACCTAAATCGGCCCTGGCCCATACATTTGCAAATGAGGCTTACCTTTTCACCCCTTTGTGTCGCCTAAATGGCTTGTCCCCAGGCAGTCACCTCACAAGGAAATTACCTGTTAATTAACTTTTACACTTGTTGATTCTCCAGGGTTAGCCATGGCTGGCACCCACTTAGTACACAGGGTCTGCCTTCATTAAGCTTCTCACATGTTAATGTCAGGAGCTTTGAAGTGTGTCTGCAGAACCTAATACACATTTTAGGACACAAGGGCCTGACATGCCATTTTCACATCCCAGTTCTAATTATATTCCAACATATATTAAACCCGGGCATTTAGCATCTACAGACCTATAACAGTATGCTTCACGTGTTGCTGTGCTTAAGACAATGTGCTGAGGAATAAACCTTCAAGTGCTCAGACCGCAGATTTTTCATAAGGCATATATAATCAAAGGACATTGCTGGTTTCAATAACACACTGGCATACACACAATACTACCATATACAGTACTACAATTTCTGTTCTGGTGTTTCATTTGTGGTTCACTGTGCTTAGGAAACGATTTCCTCCCTTTCTTCTTCATCAGGCACTTTCACAATTAGGAACATGAAGTGACATGGAGGTGTGATGTGTTGGCTTGGCAAGTGTGTTTTGCTTATGCTTATTTTTGAATACTGCTTTTCAAACATGAGACCGAAAAACAGCGGATCCTGCTGACTCCAGGAATTCCAATTGCTGGTTTTCAAACAAATCACTTATCAATCACAGCTTTGACTTCACTCATTGGCTAAAAATACTGACTGGCAGGAGCAGCCAGGTTGGCTCATTTCACAGAAACTGGGTACCTGCCTATTTTGCTTCATAACTTACTTTCTAGGAGGGCTAAAGGCTGGATTTGTTTTGGTTTTTTAATTTAAAAAGACAAGAGAAGAAAAGCTCTGAGTACCTTCGCCTAGGGGTACCAATTAAGACATTCAGTCTTGAATTGGGGGTGAGCAATGAGGTCAACAACTTTGCTGATGACAGCAAACTGTGTAGGCTGGTAAAAACGAAAAGGGATTGTTAGGAACTCATGACCATCTCTTCAGACTGGATAGACATTAAAATGGTGAACGTAATTCAGTGTAAGCAAGTGTAAAGTGATGTATATTAGAGCAAAAAACAACAGCACCCTAATTTCTCATATACACTGAACTGGTGGTGATTGAGCAGGAAATATATTTGGGGTTGTGGTGGATAGCTCAGTGAAAGTGTAAATCTTGTGTGTTGTACTTGAAATTCTGCTCATCTCAAAGATGATACTGCAGAGCTGGAAAAGATGCAGAAAAGAGCAACCAATAAGATCCAGGGGCTGGAACAACTCCTCTATGCAGAAAGCTTACTTCACTTGGGCTTTTCAATTTACAAAAAGGGTGATTAAAATTAGCTACTGTGGAATTAGCTACTGTATGATGTAGCAATGGCCACCAACTTGGATGGCTTTAAGAGTTAACTTTGCCTTATTCTCCATAATTTTTCTATCAATGTAATGGCCTTTTTTGCCTCCAGTATCATAAGGTGGTATGCCTTTGAATACTAATTGCTGAGGAGCACAAGTGGAGAAGAGTGCTATTGTGCTAATGTCCTGCTTGTGGACTTCCCAGAGGCATCCCATTGGTCACTGTGAGAACAGGTGGGCCTTTGGTCTGGTCCAGCATCTTATGTTCCTATAGTAGATTGCAATAATAAAATAAGATTCATAGGCGGTTGATATTGCCCTTGCAGTAGCAGCTCTGAAACAACAGGTATTATTGATGGTGTCATGTGGCTTCTGGTTGTTCACCTGAAAGATGGTGGGGGCAGCCAAGGGGGTAACAGAGGGCAGTTGTTCTTAAGAGAACTCTGCCCAGTAAAGGAAAAACAGAGTAAAAAAATAAAATAATACACCATCAGAAATGTTTTCAGTTCAAATCAAACTGTACAATATAAAATAAAAAGCAAAACCATATTAAAACAAAGTAAGTTGAAAACAGAACAGCACAGCAGTGGGGGAAAATACCCCCCGTTTACTTAAAAACCAAATATCAGCCAATAATAATAATAATAAGTTTATTATTTGCCGCCACCCATCTCACTGGGTTGCCCCAGCCATTCTGGGCAGCTGTTCAATGTAAGCATCTTCCTGACTTCACAGACAAAACTGGTAGGAGATGACCCTTTAATCAAGTCATGAACAAATTATAATTGAAAGTCATTACCTCAACAGAGTCTTGGGAGACCAGGAAAATATTTAACTAGGAAAAACCACTCCAGCACTTTTTAGAGCTTTTAAAAAGTGTTTTATTTTTAAATAGCGTCCTTTCCCCGATAAAGCAGCTTTTCAAATCACATTTTTCTTACTGCTATGTGGCAAATACATCTGATGTCTTTGGCTTTTTTTGCAATATAACTGATCACTAGAATATCCATTACAAAAATGTAGATTTACCAGAAAAATAAGCATATAAACCACAGATTAATTCCTAAACAACATAGCAAAACTTTTATCAAATATTTTATACATGGATGGGAGAAAATCTTGTGTATATTGCATTTACACACTGGTAGCTCAAAGCAGTGCTTCAAAATCACTGAGGAAACAGTACAAAACCATTTTCAGATGCTCTACTGCAACATCACAAATAATTGTTGCACTACAGAATTTGTAGCTTTTACAATGTATACAATACATTGTGGTTTAAAAAACTGCCTGCATCTACAGACGGACACTGATTCCTATTTAACTGCAAATAAAATGTAGTGATTAAACAATATTTGAGCAATTAAAACAACTCACTTCTGAGATTTAGTGTCATCGAAAGCTGAGTAGTGTGATAAATTATTCCCTTTATAAAACACACAAAGTCTTCATGCACATCAAAAAATTGATATATAAAAAACCCAACAGCAAAGTTTCACATCCCTTTGTTTGCACAGAGTGCATCACACATCTGGAAGCAGCATTATTTAAAACAAATGACTCTAAAATAGCATTTTTTTTGTTCTGTTTCTGTAATGCAATACATACAACAGACCTGACTATGAGTCCTTGTGTTAAAGGCTCTGGCCCAAACCTTTCCAAGCAGAGGCTTAGGAGATTTTACAGCTATTTCTGGTGCAGTGTTTCGGAGGGCTCTGGAGTGGACGGATAATTTTGGCTTTCTTCAGACTATTTCTTTTGTTGTTGTTGCTGGCAGTGAGAGAGTAGGAACGTCCGTGCATCATCCGAGCATTAAGTCCATTGGCCATAGAGAACGATTTGAGATGGCTTCTTAAGGCAACAGGGAGTGGAAGTTTGTCCACAAGGTGCACTGGGGTGCATGAAACTATGGCGCGGCAACAAAGATCTTGCAGACTCAGGACTTCAAACAAGAAGCAAAAACATGAATGAAGATTAGTCATAACATGATTCTAAATAGCCACAAGGTGACATGAGTGCACAACTTTGACTTCACTGTATTTTTCAGAGCTCTCGGGTTCTGTTTCTTTTCACTGCTTCTGAAGTTCCTTCCTAATTCTACCCTGAATCCCCATAACCATGGCTTGCCTCCATGAATAAAGGTGATGTTGCAACGATTTAACAAGGGGAAAATGGGTAAGAAGAAAATACAAAAAATTGTAACAACACATAACCCTCCCCCTGAAAAGAAAAACAGCCAAATAAATAAATAAATAAATAAAATAGATAAATAGATAAATTAAATTAAATTAAATTAAAGCAATACTACAACCTCCAGCTCTAGATGGCAGCATAATTCCAGGGGCCCACGGAAGTAAATATTAGGTAAACAGTACTTCAGTGCTTGAACATCTACTTTAGTCACCTCCTTTTCTCTAACAACCCATGTATAGCTTGCAGGTACTTATTCAAATTATTTAGGGGTAGAAATTCTCCTTCCATCCACCTTTCCACCTTAGAGAAGGAGAGATAAATTTGTTCAAGACTCTGTTGTTTTTGCTGCAAGAGACTAGCATGACTCACTCTCTGGAAATTGTAAATGTTAACCATGTCCAGTACTAGTACAGATGCAATGCTGAGCATGGTCAAAGCAGACAAGGGAAGTGAGTGGGGAGGAAGGGTGCTCCCAAGTTTGGCGCTCAATTGTCATACTGTTTACAGCAGGGTGGCTAATCTACAACCTGCATACTGCTCCCCACCATTAGTTTTTTAACATAGTTCCCCGGCACGGCCAATGTATATTTATGCTGCATGTGTGCACACACGCACACACAGAGCACTCTCTCATACACACACATACACCACACTCACCACATCTGCAAGCACACAGCATTCTCTCACGCAAACACATACACAACACTCTCACTCTCTCTTTGAGTGGGGCAAAAGTCTTCCTATTCCTTTTCCATTCTCTATGCCTGTTCTTTAAAGATTAGCTCCTCATCTTGTGCTCAGCGTCACAACACAGATATGAGGAGATAAAAGCTTCATGGGACTAGTGGACCACTTCCTGTGGCTTGCAGGCCCAGAGCTGGCTCATGAGTTAGATGCTCCGTTGCAATAAAGCAAATGATTTTGTGTTACTTACCTTTGTTTGGCCTCCACAGCCGGTCCATTCCATGTCTCATTAACACAATCCTTGCAAGTTCCGTAAAGGACTCTGTGATGTTGAAATTGCAGAGTGGGCTTACTTCAAAGAATGTCATGCCTAATCTTTCAGCATAGGCCTGTGCCTGCTCAGTAGATACTTGTCGTTTGAAGGCCAGATGCAGGCGGTTGCCAACAAGGATTTTGGGTACACCAGGAGCATGCTAAGTAAAGATAGACAGCAAAATGTTAGCTTAGAAGTCTCACACCCTCTTCTTCAACAAAATACTGATTATTAACAACAACAGTAACAACAACTCTTTAATTCCCTTTGTCCATAGTGCTGTGCTATAGGTGGATTCCATCAAGAAAACCCAATACAAGAAATTATAATAACCAAACAGAATCAGCAGGTGGTAAAAAAATGTATTGCTTTGCCAAATATAAGTTGCAGAATTTTTATTTTTTTAAAAAACAACAACAACCCTTCAACATAGAATTATGGGTATGTAAAAGTTTCAAGAATAAACTTTCTGGTCGATCATATCAAATGTGTCTGATAGAGTTACCACAACCAACTGAAGATGAAAATCATTCACCAAGGCAACTACAGCAGTCCCAGTTTGAAAACCAAGCCAGAAGTCAGACTGCTGTTGATCAAGTAGAATAATGAGCACCAGGAATGCTTAGAATCATCTGACAGGCCACCTGCTGCATGTTATAAGAGGAAGATCTGGAACTGGACAAGAGTTGGTGTCATCCAAGTCCAAATATAGGGTTTGAAAAAGGGAATGACTTTAAGGCAAACAGGATATAAGCAATTTTATCTGCAAAATGTCTCACATGTCACAGCATTCAGAGATGTGTCTTACCTCATCTATTTCCTTTATCCATCGATCAATGCCATCAAATGACCAGCGATTTGTAATATCATATACCAATATCACGCCCTGAGTGAATAAAGAAGATTAGATCAGCCTGACACGTAGATAAGGTACACAGTACACCATACAATTTTGTGTAACCATTCCTTTATTTAACCAGGAAAAAGAGGAGCAGACTGAGGACTTAACAAATCTGAACATTTCTCTAAAATAATTTATTTCTGGTGACCCAAAGGATGCTCCCTTTATTCAGCAGCAACAAATTGTATAACAATTTTTGAAAGCAAGTAGTACAATAAGTAAGTATAGTTCCCCCACCCCTTATTGTAGCTCTTTTCTTTTAGTTAATTCTCTACAGTGACATATTTTAGAGATGGCAGAATTGTGATTACCTGGGCCCCTCTGGAATAGGAACGAAATATGGTGCAGAATCTGCCTTGCCCAGATGTGTCCCTGTGGAAGGTAAAATACAGTTAAAAATACATAGTCCTTTCCATTCTGAATAACAGTGTTCTTGTTGAATTCTTAGCTGGTCTTTCTGTTTTGCTCTCTTTATTAGTATTCTACCCTTTGCCTTAGGGGGAAAAGCAGTCCAGGTTAGGTATGTTAGGTACGTGAGACTGAAAGACAGAGACTGGTCCAAGATCACCTAGTGAGCTTCATGGATAAGTGGGAATTTGAACCCTGGTCTTCCAAGTCCGAATCCAGTACTCTAACCGCTAAACCACATGGACATCATGCATTTCAGCAGGATCGTCCACTGAATCTACATGGGTGATTATGTACTCCTATAATATATTCACCAATCATTTAATACTACTTAGGCTCCTTGCACATATACAGAGAAACCCATTAATTTCGCAACTGCTCCCTTGTCCTCAACTATAGCTCTTTAGTACAAAAGGCTGGTGGGTAGTATGACCTGTTCTTAACTGTTATAAGAATTAAATATTTGTAGTCAACTTTACAGTAAATATGACATCGCATCCAAGCAGTGTTACGTCCACTATGAATTGTTTTCAAAGCACAATGGCACAATCCAAACAGAGAACATAATGCAAAGTTACCAGAGCTGCAGCTTTATTCGACGGCCATCCAGGAGTATTGTTGTCGTCTTGTAATCAATACCTGGGGATGGGAGGAGGTAAGGCAGAATTTTAAAATACTAAAAGCATGCCTATTTTTTTCACTCTACAAAGCGACCAAGCGAGAAATGCCTATGATAAATCACTTTAATAGTACCAACCCATTTTTGTTTTTTTTAAAAAGTCCAGTATATAGGGAAGGGCCAGTGGAAAAGCACCCACTTTGCATGCAGAAGCTGCTAGGGACAGCCATGCCGCCACCCCCACCCCATTTTTTAAATAGGCACCAGATTTTTAGGGCAATGGGTGGTGGGTAGTATGGCATGTGTACTTTATTATTACTAATATTATCCACAAGGGTTTTAGTCAGACTGCTTTTGCAGTGTTCGTTGTACAGGCTTCAAACTATATGTGAAAAAACCTTTCAGAGGAGACAGAGAGAAATATTACATGTTATGCACTGCACTTGATTATTTCTAGGGCTTATTAGAATTGTCCAAAATGTTGCATACTTCAGCTGCCTATTGGCTTGTGCCAATGACATCTCTGGATTAATCAGTCAACTTCCACTTCCAATCATTAAAGCAGTTTTGCAATTGTAGATGAGGAATGCATATGTAGTTCTTTTAATAACAACAACAAAATAGAACCAGGCTACCCACCACTACCCTAGCCACACAATATGTTGCTGTTTCAGTATCGCCTTATTTCTTCTTTAAATTCACTACTCTAGTAGGTGAGGCTGTTATCTTATGGGTTTTTTAATCTTTATTTAGGAAACAACTTTTCTTCTTCCCTGTAGCAATTTTTTCCTTCTCTCTCCCGTGATTCTGAACAAGATGACTACTCATTTTTATTCTGTCTGTATGCTTATTTAGCTACTGAGTCAGAATTTCAGACATAGGGCCTCTATAGCAGTAGAGTGGCCCTTTTTTCCTCCTGCAAAGGTCAGGGGACAGAGAAGGATTATTAAGGGCTCATATGAGACACTTAAGTAAACTCTTGGGGCGGGCTGGGGTAATAATTGCATATTTAAAACCCATAGATTTTGATACACAGTCACTCAAAATGTAAGCTTTTAATTTACCTGCTTGTTAAAATGTTTATAATTTATAGTACTTTGACTATCACATTTTTAAAACTACCTGTCTAATGCTGAAGGACAAAATCTGGTATCATGAATTCATGAAGACCCCAGAGACTACATAAAAGCATCTTCAGATTTGTATCTTTTTTGCCACTGTAAATCATGAAAATCAATAAAATACAAAAGCCAAGCCTTCCATTTTTCTTATTACATTGCAATAGCTTATATAATTGTCTTTCCATATCACATTCTGATATTTATGTGTGATAAATGGCTTTGTACTTGGTTTCTCCTATTCTCACATTGTATAAATGTATCCCTCTTCAAACAGGCACAAATCCTCTGCAAAAAGTATCTAAGGTCCTGGGTAGATAATCTTTAAAAAAAGAGAAAATGTTGTTTGCTCATTTACATTTAACCTTGCTCCAAACAGGCTGCATTTAATTAAGTCTCTTAGTATGGATTAACAGTGCCTACGCAAGGGGCTAATCTGCATTAATTTATCTGCATTAAATTAACACGTTGCATAAAACTACCATGTTTTCTATTTGACACGGAGAGCTACAGGGCTTGGGTAGGAAGGAAGAAGATAGTGGCTGTCTTCAAGGCAGACAATAGTTCCATATTCACATTTTTTTCATTTTGGCAGGAGTAGCATTTAGGGAGGAAACTAAAGAGCACTGCAGCAGCTTTTTCCAATACTAAGTAATCATTGTAGCCCACCCCTAGTTGAAATTTTGGCATTGTTTCAGCCTCTGTTTAAGAAGCTAATCAAGTAATATCTGATTTTATTTCAATATCCATGGTAACAGATCCTCCATCCCTTGTTTTATAACAATCTAATAGTTTTACAGGTATCAGGCAAACATGCAGGTTATTAACTGAAACTATTTGTCTTACACTTAAGCATAAAAAACCAACTGTGTGGAAACATATCAGTTAATATTAAAAGTCAAGAAATTAAATGTAATTGTTTTGGCAAGTTTATTTTACTCTGCCAAGCGTCCAACCACAATCTGATTATTTTCAGGAACCATGGAGGGCAGTTCTCAATTCTGATAACCTGTTTCTACTACAGTTATGTATGTCTATCTGATTTAAAGTGTATAATTACACAACCATTAAGCTTGTAGCATGCAAAGTTAAAAAAGAACGACATTTATTTCTGGTATCATACTCCGAATTAGTAGGGTTTAGCAGCCTAGTCCTTTGAGCTGTCACTCACATCTCACGGTACTAGTTGCATGAAGAAATGGAATGAAGAAAGGAAGATGAAAAGGTGGCATTGAGGAATCAGTCGCTGGGATATTTTTTTAAAAAACAAACATGCAAAAGGCCTTGCTAAGACTGAGGGAAGATGGGGATTGTTGTGATAATATGTCTGCTTCCTCTCCTTGCTTGGCCTGTTCTTTGCAACTGACCAGAGAATTCCGCATAGATCCTTCCTCTCTGCTCACTTGGCCCACGCCCTTGGCCTCCCTGTTCCAGCATAAATATTTATATTTGCAAAAGGGGTGGGACCTCTGTTTCACATGAGTTCTGTGCAAATCAAAAAAGTTATAGGATCTCTACTAAAGCAACAGGACACAAGTTGGTTTCAGTATTAATATATGTACATACAAACTGATTATGTTGGCCCAGCTTAAATACATTTCGAGGACTGGGCTGTCCTGTAGCAGTTAAGGAAAGACAACATGTGAAGGGAGAGCAGCTAGACAACAGCATTCTGAACTAGCAAGGAATGACATTATACAAGGATCTTGAGATTTAACATTCACCAGCTTGACCAAAGTACTACATAGTTGTTCTGCATGCCCTATTAGAACATTGTTAAATTTCAGCTTCTCTGCAAGATAGTATTGTTTAATCATTCACATGCACTATGAAATGCTGTGGGTTTTGCCTTTTATGATGCGATTTCAAACAGTTTAGACTATGATCAAAAGTACACCAATACCACCGTCTTAAAAGTTTTAGTTCCCTGGAAACAACTCTAAATGATTTCAGTAAATCTAAGTACCAAATAAGTAACTTAATAAAATGGAAGGAGTAGGAGGTATATTACGGTCAGAAGAAGAGAGAGGAATGAATAACAGAAATGTTATTTATGTTGGTTGTTGTTCTTCATCACCTCCTTTTTCTTCCTGTTCTATTATTCCTCCTACTCCTTCAATTTTATTGTATCTCTTTAGGCAGTATACACACTATACTTTTATAGTGCATTTTAAGCACATTCTTTTCCTCTAATAATTCTGAGTGCTGAAGTTTGTTATTGGTTGCTATAAATTATAACTCTTTGGAGGTTAAACTACAGTACCCAGAATTCTTTGAGGGAGGGGAATGTGCTTTAAAGGTGTAGTGTGGACACTGTCTTATTCTTCATTTTCAAACATTTGATGCTATTTCTATTTTTTCTTCACTTCAATGTACTGCTTATCTTCTTGATCCAATTCCCTCTCCCATTTTAGTAAATATTGATTTGTTTTTCTCTTACCTATACCTTTCTTCAAGCATTGTTTCTTCTTGCTTTGAATATGCTAGTTTCCAACAGTCATAAAATTGTCCACATATATTCCCCCCCCCCCCCAAGTTTTGGGAAGCTAGCATTTTTAAAGCAAGATGAGACAACGCCTGACGAAAACAAAAGAGGTAAATTGTGTGTGGTGGTGAGGGCCCAATATTTACTAAAATTGATTTAGATCGGGGGGACTTAACTGCTCCTCTTAATCTTATCTAAATGTGACAGTTTTCTTTCATCTAATTTTTTATGGTCCTTTTCAGCTGGTTTTTGACTCAAACATTCTAGTGAGATTGCTCTGTGGAAAATCTAAAGTAGTATTATATTCTGAAATACACCAGCATTCTCTATATGTACTTTCATCAGCTTTGGGTACAGGTGATCATTATCTGCTTCTTTTACAGTTCTTTGGGACTGGACAGTACCATCCACTCCTGCTTTCACTCCTGTGTCATAAAAGCTTCGTTTAAGTCTTCCTCAATTATTATTCTAAGCCCTCTTCTCTTCACTCTTTATATGCTTTCTCTTAGCAATCCAATTTATTCTTGTGGCTTGCAATGTGCCACTGTTATACGAATGATTTCAAGCGCTATTGTTTGGTCCTTCCCTCCCCTTTACCAATACTTTATTTCAAATTGTCTGTATCTGCCTGGATGTCACTGTGCAAAAGATACTTTGCCTTCTCTTCCAAAGTTCCAATTGGCACCAACCTTCAGTATTTTCTACAGTTAAAGGGTTTTGGTGTTATCTTTGATCTATTTCTATTTCCGCTCACATATCTACCTAAGTTCTGCCAATTTTATTTCTATAAGATTTCTAAATTTGTTCTTAATATCAGCTAACATTCTTGTTCAGACCTACAGCCTACGGTGTGTTAACTACTAAAATGTCTTGTTCACTGATCTTCCTGTTTCTCAGTTTAAACCTATTATTTCTGTTTTCTCTTTTCTACTTTCTTTCCTAATTCTTCAGTCATTTTATACCTCTCTATATACCGGTATTTCCCTTCACAGGCTTCATGAAGTTTAAACTTCTTAAAGGTTAATAAAAGAAGTTTAAACTTCGCATAAAGCAATACAGGAAGGAATACTGATAGAAAAAAGGGGCAAGAATATGACTAGATATGAAGGTTACATCTGTTCATGTTTTTGCCCCCTTTTCTATCTGTTGCTTTCCATTTTTCTCTTTGGTCCCTCTGTTAATAAAGCACTGATGTTTTTAATTAAATCTCTACTATATGGTTATATTTCTTATCCCCATGCTTTCTTTCTTATGTCTAGCACTATTTTCCCTTTACATTTTTGACCAGCCCCTTCATCTCATGAAGAAACAGTTTTAAAAACTTCTGTCTTGATGTGCTATTTGGATTTTTTTGTTTGTTTCTTCCTTACTCCTAAAGTTCATTATTGTAGTCTTTTAACACTTTGCTTCTTTCAGATAGTGCAGCTCCACTTCCCTTCCCTTTTGTTTCTTCATAGCTTCTGAACCTGTAAACAGGGACTTATATCTGTACAATGGCCTAGGAGCATATGTTAATAATTTTATAACTAAAAAATTACAAAGTAAATTTACTTTTGATAACTATGACTCTAAGTGCCATCAGAAAGGAAGGAAGAACTGGACTTTTCAACAGTTGTTTTGAATAGACACAAAACTTTTAATTTCAAAAAGAAGAGAGTTACTGAGGTATAAAATTACCGCAGACCAACCACAGAGGCTTTCAGTAATGCAAGTGCCATTCTTTGAAATATGTTAACAGACATGTTTTGAGGATGGAGCTTCCTTCAAATATTGCGCACAGATTTTACAGACTTAAATTCTGTTGTTTTATTCTCTTCCTTCCCTGAGCTCATAAGCTATTAGTCATTATCTCGTTTTAAGCATGATTCATTGCACCTATTCCAAAATTCTGCCACATTTGGCAATTATGCCTAGCATGAGACAATTTGCATCTGTAATAGATTGCAACACCCAACGCAGCACAACAAATGAGGAGCAAGTAGGTGTTTGCTTCGTGCTGTAACTAGCAAAATCATTTTTAAAATTAAGAATAGCATGCCCATGCCTGTGCTCAGCTGCCAGAAAGAAGCTCACTTTTACTGTGACAGTAAATCACTAGTTATCAGGCTCTATACCCCTTGTATGAGGGGAACATGTGTTTCCAGAAATCATCTCCCTTTGCAGCCACTGCCAGTCAATTTGGACAGTACTGAAATAGATGGACTCAGTACTGTATAAGGCAGCTCCCTCCGTTACTATGTTACAATGCCCAGTGCTTTCTCTTAAATCTCAGAATCCTTCTGGGAATTCATAATGGCTACCAGGCAAAGACAACAGTTAACCTGCTTTGACCCTGCCAGGATTACTGCCTTGGATAATTTCTATCGTATACAAATTTTATATACCATGATAGCTGTGATTCTGGCATTGCAGGAGGTTGGACTAGATGACCCATGGGATCCCTTCCAACTCCACAATTCTCTGATTCTATGATCACCATAAAGTAGCTTTTAAGGTGTAGGATAGAATCCTGCTTTCTGCACAGTGTGGTAAAGGATACCTGTCTAAGCTGACAGTTTGTGAGATCATGTCCTATTGCAGGGAGGGGAGCCTTTCACAGCCTGAAGATCACATTCCCTCATGGGTCCCCTGCGGGGGCTGCACCCCATTGGTGGGTGGAGCCAGGTGTAAAAGTAGGCACAGCAATGGATGTGGATTCTTACATTTCTCCAGTAGTTTACATTCCGTCCATGCAAACGTCAGCTGGTGCAAAATGCAGCAGCCTAGATTACATCTAGGGTTTCCCTTTCAGAACTCTGCATTCTTTCCCAGTTTGTTTCTTAGCACAATTTGAAGTAGTAGTAACTGCCTATAAAGCTCCCAGCACTAGGATGCCTGCCTGATTCATGACTTATCTATTTGCATTTCAGTGTGCTACAAAACCTTGTTTATTTTGCCATGTCTTTCAGTTTGGTTTTGTCTCTCCACTCTTCCCCACATATTTTAACGTATGACTTCTAATTTTTAGTTTAGTTCTAAGTTTAGTCTTTATTATTTTATGGATGGTATATTGTTTTAATCAATGCACAGGGTCCTTATGAAAAGCCAGAAGGTAATATATTCATATTTATTAAAATATTTATAATAAACCAAATGGGAGTTACTTTTGAATAGACATGTACCAGATTGCATTGTCAGTCTTCTAATTATAAAAGACCTGTGTGAACCCATTGCACACAAAAGGAGAATATGCTTTCTGTGAGGAGTGTATTTTACTTCTTAACTCTCCCATACATTACTCAACAGTTAAACCTGAAAAACCTGCCAATGCAGTCTAACATTTGATGACAATGCACTGTGTTTACTAGGCCCGATAACGGTCAAAAAATTACCACATAACTTAGGTTCAAAAAAGCAAGTCATCTGCAAAGGAACTGTGGTAATTAGGGAAGAAAAGGCTTTAGCATTATGGGCCTAAGTGATGTCTGACCATTTTGTTTTGTTTCTAACCCACAGACCAAGGACATTTCTGACATGTGCCCCGACAACAGTTTAGCCTTTGCGTGATACTGCTTCACATTCTTTTCCAGTGCCTTTAGTGCTATAGTCTGTATAATAAATAGGAAAAATAGCTGTTACACCTACTGTTCCCTTAAAAAAAACTAGATGTGTGTACCTAGGAAGGGATAGGCAGAGTCTTTAGATATTTTTTTTTCCAAAACCAATCAATTCTAATGAGGAAAACCAGGAACAGATGAAAGCGCTCAGCAGAGAAAGGAGAGGGTGTAAGTGAACTTGTGGCATGTTCCTGACTCTCCAAACCATTACAAATATGGCATCCAAACTGAGCCATTGTGAATCAGTTTGTCTCTTGAACACTCTCTACTCCCTAATACACTGTTCCAGATACAGAAATAACTAAGATGAACTTTTCTACTGGGCGGTGTATGATGTACATATTTGCTGTCCGTGTTGTACAGAAACACAGCACATTTCTTGAAGTGTTTTTTCTTCTTCAGACATCTCCACCCTGACCCTACCATTGCCCCATGCCTCAAGGCTTCTGGCACCCAATAGGAATGGGTGCATGTAGAAAATAATTACCAGCTTTGCCCCAAGTAGTTATAATTATTTTTATTTAATGGCACAGGCAGCATTTTCCCCTCAAGCATAAAGCAAATGAAAAAAGGTTTCACTTTGAAAGGAGACTGAAATTATCAGCAAAATGGTGCACACAAAGTTGTATCATCTTTTTTCCTTGAGCAGAGTCAATGATTACTGCTCCATTTCTATGGGTTCATTTTACCATTTATCAACAGACATAAGGAACGCTAGAACTGTTCACAACTAAAGTCTATTGCAGTTTGCAACTTGAAATGTCTACCTTTTCAGCTACCAGCAGATTTGGTACCAACTGGCAGATCAGCTTGATGGGAAGGACTCAATTTCAAATGGCAGGCTGAATCTACTCACAATAATCTCATGAACTGAAACTATTAGCTGAATATTTGCAAATAGCTACAATAAGAATATGCTGTGAAGAACAAAAAGTGAGTCCCCATCTCTCCTGGGAAGAGGCAACATGGTGTTCACATACCATAATGCTGTAATTCCATGCTTATTTACAAATAAGTTAGTCCCATTAATTACATTTGAATAATGTTTAGAACTGGACTGCATGGGTGCAATCCTGCTGCTACTGAAGTCAGTGACAAGTCTGACATTCGATGGTGCAGCCATCGTCAAAAATGAACTCATTAAATTTTTGATGTGAAATCATATTCTGAGGAAGTTTTTATTTTGCTTTGCATCAAATCAAATTAAAGAGATGCATAGGTTCAGGTTTTCAGCTGCATCTGACATGGTCTGAGCCTCTCATTTGTCAGGTTCAATGAAGGAATGAACTATAAATAAATGTTCCAGTGTTAATGCCAAAAATACTCATCCTATCCATATCAGTTCTTCAGAAACACTTGGTAGTGCTATTATAATCTTGTGCTATACTTATTCTCGTCTTTTCCTTTTTAAAAAAACATAATTCAGACCCTTATCCACCTTTATTACTTTTAGGCGGATGTCCAGATGTCTTGCACTGTTCTAAATATTTTGCATATCAGCAGGTTAAAAAGATTCATCATCTTGATTAAAATACATGTGAATTCTTCACTCTCTGTTTATTAGGGTAATACCATTCGGAGCCTATGCTTAACCTCCTGTGAGAGCCAGCTCTACTATTAGGCAGAGACAGCTGCCTTAGACAGCTATGGGGTGTCATGAAAGGGTAGTAAATCGAAAGTTATTTAATTTGCCGTATTTTTACTGCTGAGAAGGGGAGAGACACTTGTGGGATTTTCTGCCTCATGTGCAAAATAAATTGACTACCTCTGAGTACTAGACACCTTGTCTTGGCAGTGGGTGAGTTGGAAGCATTTGCTCTTCCACCTCAGACAGAAAAATGGGCCAGCCAGTCACCATGTTTGCAGCAAGAAGATATACAATCATACCTCATGTTACGTCCGCTTCATGTTACGTTCTTTCAGGTTACGTCCTGCGGTGACCCGGAAGTACCGGAAAGGGTTACTTCCGGGTTTTGCCGCTTGCGCATGCGCAGAAACACAAAATGACGTCATGCGCAGAAGCGGCGAATCGCAACCTGCGCGTGCACAGACACGCCGCTGCGGGTTGCGCTCTTTTCATGTTGTGAACGGGCCTCCGGAACAGATCCTGTTCACAACCAGAGGTACCACTGTATGCTACATTGGGGTAATATACATTGTTTTCCTTGGTCCTTACTCTAGAACCAAGCTCCTGATGGGAGAAATGATCACATGACCATTTCCCTGTCAGGTGCTGATAAAGTAATGCACGTTTCTCAGTGTCTACCACGGAAACCATGTGAGCTACCAGTGGAGGTAGAGATAGCATTCTGGATGCTGAGAAAGGAAGGTGCATAGCTGTACATGCATGGGGGCAGTGTGAGAATGAATGAATGAGTGTGTTGGTGGATGTAAGGTAGAGTTTAAAAGGGAGGTTCACCGCGGATGTGTGTGAATGAGGTATCCCCAGCCACTTTTGGCTTCAGACCTATCCACTCAGAGGCGGAGCTAGCTGCTCCGGCACCCGGAGCGGCACACATGCGTCCCAGGGGGGTGCAGCCACGGTGAGCATCCCAGGGGGGTGGCATGGCGATGCCACCTCCCACGCCAATGACACCTAGGGTGAATCGCACCCACTGCACCCCTCTTCCTCTGACAGTGTATCTACTGCCAGTAAGCAGGCAGCCTGAGACTACTGTTCCCTGAGGAAATGTGGTCCTCACCTTTTTTAAAAAAGTTCCCCAATTTTCTGCATATGGTCATATAGTTTATACTTTTAAAACAGCAGACAGCTACCTGCAAGAACTAAGAAAAGTGATTAATTTTTCAAAAAATGAAAATCTCCACCAATACTCAGCATTCCCGATGGTCACTCTAAGAAAACTGAAAGACGCACAAGACCTGTATAGCAAACCTTTCCAGTCTCTGTTTAACAAGAGGTATTCTTTGTAACTTCCCAAAGCTGTTGTACAGCACAAGCTTGCTGGCCTGGCACAGAACACAAACCCCAAATACAAACTTACACCGTTCCTCTTCTTCAACGATATATGCACAGCAAAATGTTAATCTCCTCCACTTAGTGTGCATCCTTTAATTTGGTGTGAATGTGAGCATCACTGTCATGATTTCAAGAAAACAAAGTGGAGGCAGCAGTTCATTTTAGCACTAGGATTAAATGACTTGAAGAGGCCCAAATAAAATTGTTTGGCTGTGTCCTTGTATGTGCTTTGGTTCTTTTTGGGTTGTGGTCTCCTCTGCCTGTAGCTCTGCTGGGTCTACAGAACACTTAGTTTCACCAAGCTAGTCTGACCATGGCCATTACATCTACATGACAACATAAACTTTACTGACTCACGAGGAAATTTTACAGTGCATTTGTGCTCACACCTTGTAATTCAGTTGACAGGAATGGGCAACCTTTTAACGTTAAGGGAGGTGTGTGAAACCTGATTATTTGCAATAACCTAAAGGTGGATTGTGGGAAGCATAATCAAAGCAGATGACGACAACACGTCAGCCTGTAGCCGATGGGCTTTCCTGCCACTGCACAGTTTCTAAAGAAGGCTACCAGAGAGCTCAAGGCAGCTGGGAAGGCAGATGCCCTGTCATGGAAGCCCTGCCCTATAACTGCCAAGGTGTGGGAGGTGTCTGTGGTGACTCAGTAATCGCGAAAGGCAGCCCTGCACAAACACTACCTTCCTCCGTGCAGTCTACAGGTGTAAGAAAGAGCTACCTGCCGCCAAGTAACCGAGGCTGGCCTAGAGCTTGGCCGCAGGTACAACCCCGTTGCTGCTTACCCATATTGTACCCGTAAGGCGACTCAGTGGCTCCATCCTCCAGGCTGGCTAGTATCTCTCCTTTGCCCACGTCGCTGTCGCCCACCAGCAGGAATTTCAGCAAGAAGTCATAAGCTTTCACAGGGCTGCCCACGTGGTTCATCCTCTTTCGCCACCGCTCCCCGCTCCTCCTCCTCTCCCTTCGGCCTCACAGAAGTCCCTGCGGGGAGTCAGTTCCCAGCGCCCATGAGAGGCACCCAACGACCAGCTGTGGCGGCACCGAGAGCGTCACGGACGACGGCGGCGGCGACGGAGAGCAGCAGCACAGGCGCAAAGGCATGTTCGAAGAAGCCGCCCCGCGGAGCACGTCGCCGGGGGCAGCAGCCGAGATGGCGGGGGGAGCTCGCAGCAGGTTCGGGTGGGTTGCCGCCAAGAGAAGGAGGAAGAGGAGGAGGAGGGAGTCGCCTCACGGTGCCAGCAGTGGGAGGCGAGAGGCAGTGGGCGCCGCAAGGTCCCCGCACAACCGTGACAGCGGAGGAGGACTTTTCAACGGCGCCATCCGCGGCCACGCACCCACGAGGCCGGCATGCGGAGAGCTGGGGTCGCGCAGCCGACGACCAAGAGAACCGACGGCGGCCGCTCCCGTCCAACCTGCCTGGCTGGGCGCGCTCAGTCGCAGCGAAAGAGAAGAAGGGGAGAGCCCGTCACGACCGACGAGGAGCGGAGGAAGAGGATCTGTGCTCGCCGAGGAAGGTAACGGGGGACGCTCTCGGCTGCCGTCGCCACAACTCTTCGCCGCTGCTCGAGCCCCTCGAGAGGTGCCGTTGCCGTCGCTGCCGCCGCCGCCGCCTCTCCACCGACCGAGTTCGCTCCCAGCGCAACACCCAGTGACAGCCTCTCCAACCAACACCTACCCTCTTGTGCCCATGGGGGCGCGGCTCCCGAGGCCACGCCCTCCGCCGCTGCCATTGGAAGAAAAGGGCCCCGCCCCCACACTCCTTTTCCTCCATTGGTACGGCTGCGCTTCCGAACGCCACCTCTCCGAAGACATTGGCGGGCGCGCACCCGCCCCCTCAAGCACCAACAATTCAGTTGCTGGGGTATTTCTTCCGCGGTATTGGCTCGCGCGCACGCCCGTCACTGTGGCGCTGGGAGCTGCGCGGCTGTGTTTACACATCGGAGGATGAGGCATGTGCTGCTGTGCAGTTACGCGTGAGCGCGCTTTAGCGCTCTCCGGTTGGAGTCCAGCCTCCAGCCCACGTTTGTCGAACTGGGGCTTACAAAATAGAGAAAATTGTGGCCTCTGGATAAGGGTGACGACTGATGGAACTGCAGCGTACAGAACGAAATGTCAGAGCAGGGTTCAGAGGCAGTAGAATATATGATTCTGCTAACAAACTATTCTAGAATGGCATTCATAAGGACAAATGTAGAATCAGATCAACCATGACTTAAATTCTGCCTCCAACAGTGGCAAACCATATGCCCTTCACCTGGCAGGATTGTTGGGTGGATTTACACCTCACAAGTTTAAAGTTTAAAGGAAACAGCTGTTATTTATTGGTACCCTGTTATTGTGCACATGCTGTACAGTACATACATAATTACATGGATTACACAGGTACCAACCTGCTTCCAAGGTGCTTAAATCTAAAATAGAAAGTATGGAAACTGAGGACTGAGAGAGAGAAATGTGTTGGCAAATGTTGCATGTACCTAAAACTGGGTTGCAGTTGGGAATGTATATTAAAAGGATAAATCAAAGGCCACTTGGAAGATAAGATCTAAGAAAGATTAGAAGGCATGGACAACTGGCATATGTATTCACCCTATGTTCTGGGGGCAGCAAGGAAGAATGGGCATGTAATTGAAAGAAGCATGAGACCTTTGGTTGGATGAGATTGGTGGAGTTGGAGAAGCAGTGGTCATAGGTGGAGATTTAAGGAAAAGCCAGGGTCAAGAGCTTGGTGTGGTCAAAGTGGTGGGTAGATTTTCAAGTTAAGTACAGGGCGCACATAGCAGATAAGTATGAGAAGTCAGAAGTGGTTTGAAGAGGCTGTTTAATACAATAGAGATGGATACATTTGGAAGTTGAATTTTGGATAGAGGTAAGAATTGAAGAATGAAAGAGGAAGGCTAGAGAAGAGAAACTGGCAATAGTAAGGGCATGAAATAATCTAGCATGAGCTAGAGGGGACCGAAAAGAATCGGCGTATTTATAAAAGAGAAGCAGCAAGACTTGGCAATGGGACAAATGCTAAGAGCAAAGGAAAAGAAAAAATAACCTATGAAGCTACCCTGTGTCCCTTATCAGTAAGGTAAATAGTGCTGTCAACAGGCATGACAGGGACTGAGGAGAAGAAGACTTGGAAAGAAAGATCCACATCCAGGCAGAGAAGAATAACATGAAGGCACAAAATACAAACAGTATTTTTTTTGTTATTGTTGTGCTTTTTCGTTTCGCAAGACTATCTTTTCTCAGAAACTAGCTGAGTCACTGATCTTTAACATCTCATTGGTCGGAAGAATTATTTATACATTACGAAAGGGTATGTCACTGTACAATTTAGAAAAGAGATGGGGGATTTTATGTTTGAATGTTCTCTGTGCACAGGAAACTAGCAACTTGGGGAGATGGCTTGTAAAAATGCTTGCATCCTTCCTGAACTAACCTTCAACCTACCCAGAGACATGAACATGCACTTATAGTGGTGCTTCCAGTAGAAAAAGATAAGAGATATTTTCCATTTATACATCTAAACCTAGCAAATGAAAGGCAGCACATACCAATTACCTTCTCTTTTCTGGTAGATATTGTCAGCCAGAACACAGCTGCTGTCCTTTTTTATTTTGGTATGTATGTATTAACTGATGACTCACCAAATAATTCCAGCCCAGGAAGCCAGCTGCTCTACAGAAATAAACCTTAATTAAACAGAAAGTTGACCACTAGGGATGTCCCTGTAATGTCACTGTATCCTAGAAAGACATCCTCATTAGGGTAGAAAAAAGACAGGGTTGGACTGTATTCCAAATATTAGTCTGAAGCTCAACACAGCAATGAATAGTGTTGTGTGTATGTGTGTATTTAAGTGTAAGGCAGAGGAGTTAGAATGTTGGGCTTAATAGGGTTGCCATATTTCAAGAAGTAAAAATCCAGACACCCCTAGACACTCCAGGACAAACCGCAGCCTTCCAGAAATCCCCCCCAAATATCACTACATCCCAGACATATAGCAGCCCTAAGGCTTGACAAATACCCCCCTACTAGCAGAGTGCAGGCCGCACAGCATCTCTTAACTCACTGGCAAGCCAACGGGTACACAACAGCATCTACGAGGGCTACCTGTGCAAGTTTGCAACTGTACTGAATCACCATTTTGGTTCAAATTTGGCCTACAACTCCATTTTCCCAATTGGCCTGCAACTCCATTTCCCCCCAAACCAACTCCTAGAGTCCAAGGTCCCTTGTCCCCCCTCTCAATAAAATATTTGAGCCCCACATCTGCTGATGGGCATTGCTATGCATTTGGTGTGCATGGGCTGAGACTTATGATCTATTATGCAGGGCGAGGTTTACCTGCCCCTCCCCAAATATTTTATTCAAGATGGCACCCCTGAGTCCATTTAATGGTGGGTTTGACTGAGGCACACATACATATGATCTTCCAATTAAAATAAAAAATATATCCACATGCGCTTTATAGTTCTACATATTTATCCAGAACCAGTGCGGAGATAAGCGCAGACCTCAAATAGCAACCAAGCCACTCCTTTAAAATACGGCCTCCCCACACGACACGCGTGAACCAGAAGAAAAGGGGAGGAATTTTCCCTCAAAGGCAGTGACCCACCCTTTCGCAGGCGCCGCCCTGCCAAGAGGCGCGCTCTCTCCCCTGGCGGGCGCTTGCTGCATCCCGCCATTTCAGCGGGCGGCGAAGAGCACGGAGGCCTCCGGAGGGGGCGGGGCCTGCGGTTCCGCGGGCGGGGCGAGCTGCCTCTTAGCGCCCGGCCTCTTTCTCCCCGGGGCTCTGCGGCGGGATGGAGGAGGCTCTGCGGCGCGAGCTGGGCACTTCGGCGCTCCGGCCTACGGGCCACTCGGGGGGCGGCTGCATTAGCCACGGCGAGAGTTACCACACCGATCACGGGCGCGTCTTCGTGAAAAGCAACTCCCGCGCAGAGGTGGGGGAAAGAACCGGAGGGGAAACGCACCGGCGGGTAGTATTCCCGGTGGGGAAGGCGGATGTGGGCGATGGGGAGTGAAGTGCAAAGGGTCGAATAAAAGCCGTGCTGCAAGAAGGCGAATTGTTGTTTACTGCCCTTTTTCTGAATAGCACTCCCATGTTGTTTGCGTCTTTTTTTTGCAAAGTGGCCTGACATAGGCGCAAATGCACAGAGCGAGCTCGTAACCCGTGACAGTGACGCGACGACGAGGCTATGTCCATGATTTACTTTTCCTGCCCGGCAGGCAGCTGTTTAAAAGCAATGGTGTCGCGGCCGAAAGAAAGGAAGAAAGTGCCTGCGGACGAGCCAGAGTTGTGGTGCCCCTGGCTGTGTGTTCGTTGGCGAACTTGCTAAAGTCTGAGCTGGAGAGGGGTTTTCTCGCCATCCATCTCGTGGGCCCCGCCACTGCAGCGAAGTGGAAGTTTACTTTTGAGGAAGTGTCTTAACACAGGCACCCCCAAACTAGGCCCTCCAGATGTTTTGGGGCTACAATTCCCATCATCCCTGACCACTGGTCCTGTTAGCTAGGGATGATGCGGGTTGTAGCCCGAAAACATCTGGAGGGCCGAGTTTGGGGATGCCTGTCTAACAGGACATATTGGCAGGGTTTTAATCTGAGCCAGGGCCTTAGGAGCCCATTTAAAAAGCTGTGGTTTTGTCCACACCACGAAACCTGTGAAATAGTAAATGAGAGTGCCCATGATTGCATGCAGGGTGCCTTGTTTCTGCTAGGAAAGTAGCTTGCATAGGTAACAGGATTTGTGCTAGGCATTCTTTTTATGCCAACTCTCCTGTTAGAAAATGGCCACTTGTGAGGCATGATTGGCAGAGGTTTTGATAGCTAGTGTTAACGAAGGAATGAGCAGACATGGCTTGGCAGTTTGCTACATAATAGCTGCTGTGTTGTGAATTGTTCTCTGATTCAGTGCTGAAAGGGCGGATGTGCCCAGAAAGGGGCAAATGTGCTGTGTATGCAGGCTCCTAAGATTATTATTTTTCTTTTAAATCTGACATGTGCTGGAAAGTTTTGTATGTGAAAATGTTTACAGAAGTCCCCATCCCCTATTTTATCTGACAGGCAAGGAGAATGTTTGATGGAGAAATGGCAAGTTTAACAGCTATCCTGCAAACAAAAACTGTGAAAGTTCCTAAACCTATAAAAGTTATCGATCTCCCAGCTGGTGGTACTCTGTTTGTGATGGAGCATTTGGATATGAGGAGTTTGAACAGGTAATCTGTGTCTCAATTTCTTGCTGTGATTTACTTGCATATTCGAGGAGGAAAATCAGTATCATGTAAACCACCTTGAAGGAAACAAGTTAATACAAATTAATCAGATTTACTATTCATTTATGCAATGATGTGAACTAAAGTTGGGTAACATTTTGGCCCATAAGTGTTTTATGAAGACTTCTAAAGAGGAGAAAGAGGACCCAAGTGTTTATTCAAAAATGTTAAATTTATTATTGCTTTGCTTCAGTCTGAGCTGCAACCAGCATGCTGCCATGTATTCTAAATTGGGGTTGGGGTATCTCCTTCGGCCTGACGGCTGCATTCCATTGTACTCAACTTTCCAGAGGTTGAATGCCAGTGGTGACCGGGGACAGAAGCAAAAGTGGGTAGAACCATGGATATGACGTTCAGGTTTGTGGCATAGGCTATGTGCTAGGCATGCAAACTAGGCATGCATTTCTCACCTCTCCATTTTTCCAGGTGGACAAGGGGCCTTATCACAGTTCAAGGACTTTGCAGCCAGGCAAAAGCACATTAGAGTGTGGAGCAGGCCCCGTGACGGTTGTGGACTGGGAAGGTGCATGGCAGCAGAGTCCAAATAGGGCCAAACAGAAAAGCCTGGAGAGCTGCATTCTGCTCTAAATAATGAAGCTATAACTTTGTCTGAGATGGGAGCATAGCTGTCAACATTTCCCTTTTTTTAAGAGAAGTTCCCTTATTCCGAATAGGATTCCTCGCAAGAAAAGGGAAAAGTTGACAGCTATGGATGGGAGGGTAAATTACCCTGATCTTACTGAACTTCCTTTATGAACTTTGGTACAGACAACATTTTCCAAGTTACTGTGTTTGCTCTTTAATATACTGTATTTGTTGAGATTTCAATGTTAATATATTAATTAATTATGTATGCATTTACTTGTGTATAGGATCTTACTGACTTTGAATGCATAGATTTACAGTCAAAGTGTGCCATTATAATTTTCTTGGGAACTTTCCCAGTAGGTGATTCTGTTGGACTGCTGGTAACAGCTTGACAGTCTTTTAATCTTTTATTTTGGAATGGAAACTCAGAGTTGATGCAATAAATCAATTTTTATTGTAATCAAACAAATCAGTTTGGTTAGAAATTTATCAGTTTGGATATAGAACCCATATTACTTCAAAGACACACACTCAAAGCCAAATTGCACCTAAATCCTCCAGATCAGTTTGTCATCACGGGACATCTCACTGGACCAAAATTCCTCCTCTATTGTTGGCTGAGTTTCCAACAGGTCAAAAGTTTATGCTAATCGATGCAACACATATTTCTTCTTTCAAGAACTCCAAACCTGGAGTTTTCATAGTCACTTGCCCAAAGTCCAAGGTAACTTAACAGGCCACTATATGATAAACAACCCCATATTTGGGCTTCCATCACATGCAACACTGAGGCTTAGTGTAATAAGGGATCATAGTGTCTTGAATGCATGCAGTGAATGTGTTGAGGTGCTGGATGAGACAACCTCCTTTTTGTCCTTTAGAGATAGGAACCTCTTAAATTGGGGTTGGATAAAACATGTGCCCTCCCAGATGCTGTTTCATGGTGAACCATCAAATTTTTGTTGCTTTGTAAACGTTTCTTTTTTACACCACTAGACATGCAGAAAAACTTGGAACACAGTTGGCCGATCTTCATCTTCACAATCAAAAACTTGGGGAGAAGCTGAAGAAAGATGCAAACACTGTTGGTAAAGTACCCAGCTGTCCGTGACTTGCCAATGCCCCCAGCTGTTTTGCTCTAACTCTGTAGCAGAACCCCTAGAAACACTTCATTGCATGCATAAAGAGATATTAAAATGCCAACAAGCTGGGGCAAGTCAGCCCTCCCTGAAAATTGCTCCTCATGAAGTTGTTACAGTAAGTGTCACACTTTTAAACAATAAAAATAGGTGCTGCTACTGCGTACCCTTGAGTACCCCTTGGGGAAAAAAATCACTGGGCAGCTGCATTTGGCCCCCAGGCTTGAGGTTTGTCACCCCTGATTCAGATCATGATTTTGTCTCCAGTAGTAGCAACTGCATACTTCTCAGAATCTTACTTAATTTGTTGTAGCTGAAAACTGAAAACATAAAAACTTAGTAAGAGCTATGTGTTTTAAGGTTTTTAAGATTTGGGGGAGCAACCTTTATGGTTCTCATGCTAGTAGCAGCTGAGACCTGTGGGTATAGGGTGGTATATAAATTAAATAATAATAATTAATATTAATAATAATACAGTGGTACCTTGGGTCACAGATGCTTTAGGTTACAGACTCTGCTAACCCAGAAATAGTACCTTGGGTTAAGAACTTTGCTTCAGGATGAGAACAGAAATTGTGTTGCGGCAGCTGGAAGCCCCATTAGCTAAAGTGGTACCTCAGGTTAAGAACAGTTTCAGGTTAAGAACAGACCTCCAGAACGAATTAAGTACTTAACCCAAGGTACCACTGTAATAATACAAGCAAGTCTATTTAGAATGGAGGTTTTTAAATGATAGCATAATAAAGTTTCCTGTTTTTAGAAAGTTATTCTGTTCAGAACAGACAATCACCACTTCTCTCTGTTTTAATAGGTAAAGGTGAAGAACAAACTGGGGTCCAGTTTGTGGAAAAATTCGGGTTCCACACTGTTACATGTTGTGGCTATCTTCCACAGGTATGATCTGGACTAATGGCTCTTCCACACTGAGGAAATCATTTAGTTTTTTAGTTCACTTCTAATTTTCCTTTAATTGGGAAATGCTGAATATGTTTGAATAGGAGGACTTTTAAATATTAATTCAGAGAACTGTAACTAGGTATGAAGATTCCAGGGCTACTGTCATAACTTTTGGTATTAGTAACCAATCTTCACCTTTCAGCTAACACAACAGAATATGTTGGTGTTTACAGCTGCACCAGTGAATGCCCCTGAAAACAACTGCTGTGCCTTATGCAGCGTCAAGAGTTTGTGTTAGCAGTAGCTAATAGCTAATTAACACAGCAAGAGTCTTCTTTTTATATATAAAAGTGTATTATTTCATATTTTTGTAAAGTGTGTAAAAGTCTGAAAGTCTCATCCACAAACCATTTAAATCTGTTTCAGCACCAGAGAAGTAAATAGGTCTAGATGAGCCTCCATACAAATGGTATGGCTTAATTGGTTTATGAATTGCTTGTCTTATTTCCATTTTTCATCAGAGGGCCTTTTTCTTTTCTTTTCTTCTTTTTTTTACTTTTACTATGTTTTTCTCTCTCTCTCTCTCTATATATATATAAAATTAAGGATTTTCTTGTTTTACAGAAGTAAGTGTAATGCCTCGTATTTTTTCCATGTAACATTTTTACAAACCCGTTTCATTTGTTGAGACATTAGGGGGAGAAGAAAAGAAAAAGAAAAAGGGGGGGGTGGAGGGAGGGAAGATGGATGAGAGTGGGGTAGGGTGGCGATGTTTCTATTATGCTTAATGTATGTAGGGTTTGGTGTCAGTGTTGCTTGTGCTGTTCATTTGTGTTCCTTTGGTGGTGAGAGAGTTGGGGTTAGCCTAGGGTGTGGTTGTTTGTTTGTGACTGGCTGTGGTGATCTTTGTTTTCATGTGTGAGTGGGGTGGGTGGGTGTTTTGGATCAGAGGGCCTTTTTCAAGGCATCTTCTCATAGAGGCAAACTGGCTGAAACTTTGACTACTTGCTTGTTTAGGTGAATGACTGGCAACAGGATTGGGTGACTTTCTTTGCCAGGCAACGAATTCAACCTCAGATGGACATGATTGAGAAGAACTCTGGAGACAGGGAAGCAAGAGAACTTTGGGCAAAACTCCAGGTAACGATGTCCCATAGGGACCATAGAGGGAATTGTCACATTCGTAGAAGTGGGGTTGTTCTCATTGGGTAGAGTTTCTGTAATACCTACACTGTCTGTGCAAATGTCATGATCCTCTGCTCCCCAGAACCTAATAAACTAGCGGAAAAGAGTCTTTTCACCCACATGTCTCTGAGGTCTCTACTAATTGTGGAAGAGCAATACCGTAGCAGCATTAAAGAGCCCTCACGTGAAAAAGACCAAATAATATATGAAGGGAGAGGAGGAGGAGCTATTTGAATATACAATAGTACATTTTAAAAACAATTAAAGACTAAAATAAGCATTCTGTTCATTGAAATAAACACTGATATGTGGCTATATAATGTGAGAAGGAATGTCTGAGAATTTTTTAAAATTTAAATACAAAAGGCATAAAAATCTTCTCTAAGCCTTTTGATAAAGTTGTACCTCAGATATCTGGTTTAAATGCAAGCAAGACTCTGGAAAACCTTGTTACTTAATTTTTGGATGTGATGTGCCCCCTACTGTTCATGTTACTTTAATTCGAATCCTATGCACCTAGGGGATGGGACGCGGGTGGCGCTGTGGGTAAAACGTCAGCGCCTAGGACTTGCCGATCGCATGGTCGGCGGTTTGAATCCCGGTGGCGGGGTGAGCTCCCGTTGTTCGGTCCCAGCTCCTGCCCACTTAGCAGTTCGAAAGCACCCTTAAGTGCAAGTAGATAAATAGGTACCGCTTTATAGCGGGAAGGTAAACGGTGTTTCCGTGTGTTGCTCTGGTGCCGGTTCGCCGGAGCAGCGTCGTCACGCTGGCCACGTGACCCGGAAGTGTCTGCTGACAGCGCTGGCTCCCGGCCTCTAGAGTGAGATGAGCGCACAACCCTAGAGTCTGTCAAGACTGGCCCGTACCTTTACCTTTACGCGCCTAGGGGACGCGGGTGGCACTGTGGGTTAAACCACAGAACCTAGGACTTGCCGATCAGAAGGTCAGAAGTTCGAATCCCTGCGAATCCGAGCTCCCGTTGCTCAGTCCCTGCTCCTGCCAACCTAGCAGTTCGAAAGCACGTCAAAGTGCAAGTAGATAAGTAGGTACCGCTCTGGCGGGAAGGTAAACGGTGTTCCCGTGCGCTGCTCTGGTTCGCCAGAAGCGGCTTAGTCATGCTGGCCACATGACCCGAAAGCTGTACGCCGGCTCCCTCGGCCAATAAAGCGAGATGAGCGCCGCAACCCCAGAGTCGGTCACGACTGGACCTAATGGTCAGGGGTCCTTTACTATGCATCTAGGTCGTCCACACCCTAGGTTTGTCTCTTTTTCTCTATACAGTATCAGGATTTGATGTGTCTACTGCTTAAAGCCAAAAATTAGAACACCCCGCCCTCTTACAATTAACTTTAGCAACTCCTGCTTTCTTTTTCAGCTGAAGATGCCCAGTTTGTTTGGCGATATGGAAATAGTTCCTGCTCTTCTACATGGGGATCTGTGGGGAGGAAATGTAGCTGAAGAGGACTCTGGGCCAGTTATCTTTGACCCTGCAGCTTTCTATGGTCACTCTGAGTATGAGTTAGCAATTGCTGGTATGTTTGGTGGCTTCAGTGGTTCATTTTATTCTGCCTACCACAGCAAAATCCCCAAAGCACCAGGGTTTGATAAACGGCTCAAGCTGTACCAGCTATTTCACTATATGAACCATTGGAATCATTTTGGCGGAGGGTACAGAGGTTCATCTATCAATATAATGAGGAATTTGGTCAACTGAATTCCTACCTGTAGCTTTTATTTCCCTGTTTTGGAAAATATATACACACCATGGGGTTTCAACTGTGCTAATGTGTATATGCTGTAATAGAACCTGAGCTTGCACCCTCTTTCCACAGCTAAAGGCCAAGTCATCCTGTGCCCTAGGTTTGGTGTCCTATTCTTGCAGTTTATCAGAGAGCTGCCAAGGAGGTAACAAACCTTTGATTTGCACAAAAGAGGTTTTGTTTTGAGGTGGTTCCATAGATCTAGGGGAAAATTCCTTCTGTGCAAATAGTTTGGAATAAATTTTTAATGCCAAAGAGAGGGAGAAATCCAAGCAGGGCATTAGAACAGGTAACAACTTGCTAGCTATGTTCATACATATACATTCAAAGGAAAATTTACAGTCTTAGTGAATAGAAAGATTTTTCTTGTCCTCCTACTTAGCTTTCAACCTAGTATTTTGGTGACAGATACCAAAGGAATATAGCAGCCGTGTTCTAAATAGAACTGGAATTGGAAATAGATTTGGAAGCATATATTGAGTCTCTGGGGACTTCATTCCATGTGGGAAGATAGAGGGTTGCAGTCTAGGTGCTGTCCTCCCCCCTCATTAGCATTGCAAGTTTGTCTTAGTACATCTGTAGCAATTGGACTGAACAGTCTGTATGGACCACAGTTTATGGTAACCTGCTTCCATGCCATTAAGTTTCATCTATCAGCCTCCAGCTAGAGTCCATTGCTAGCCAGCATGATCTTGCCTCCTTGAATAGTCTGCTGACTTAGAATGTGGTTCCAGTCCCTGGTGAACTAGCTGTGCATTTATAGGCATATATAGCTGTCTCAAACTTAGTTTCTTATGGCAGCTTGCTAGACTCTCTGCCTTTTAATTCATTCCTTAAGAGTTTCCTATGCTCCTCCTGACAATTGGTAAAATGAAGTGAAATGCCTTCTGGCAGATAGTAATGCAGTGAAAATAAATTCTCATTAAAGTGTTTCCCCTTACCCAGTGGTTTGGGAATGCGACACACACTTTGAGGAAGGCATCATAACACTTAGGCTGTTCTCCATTTTAGGACCACATTTTTGTGTTGGATTGCAAACTGCTTTTCCAACAGGGCTCTCATGATTTAAGTGTAAAATGACAGGCAAAAAAGATGGTGCATCTTTCCTCAGTGCAGCATCTTCCTGCTGGGAAAAGTTTGCTTGTTGATCTTTTACGTGTCCTACAGTTGTTAAGGCACAAGAACCTAGCCAGAAAAAAATCTAACCAAATTCTACTAATTCTAACCAAAATGCTGTTGCAGCACATCCTCCTCAAAGTAATATTGCAGTAAAATTCTGTCTTACGTGATTCAGTTTTTTCACCAGCCTGACAGTGACTTACCACACCTAACTGATATTAGAGATTACTTCTAGCGTTAATTTTCTGTCCAGGTAGCAGCTACCCTCATGTTGGTTGTGTGATGCAAGGTTAAATTGGAAGTGGAGGAAGAGGCATATGTAAAAGTAGCATGCATAAGTTACTTAATTTTATTCTAGTATTCTTGTTTGGTGGTTTAGACTGGTACACGTTCACTGCAGGTATTGTCACAGTTCCTTTCTGGTTCATTGCTGGTACTCATGCTGAATACATGTACCTGGATTCTTACTGGAAGTTCCTTAACATTGCATTTGGAAATAGGTTCCCTCTTGTGGCCATTATGCATGTCAGTTTCCTGTTCTCATTACATAATTATTCAGTTACAGCATTTTGTGAATTCTGCTAATGGATCAAGAGCTCCTGGGATATGTCTAATAATAATGGGATTACAATGGAATTATACATATGAACAAACACTATGCCTAATATTACCAGGTGAGAGGGGCATGATTCCTAGAATGCATGCTCATGTCAAACACTGAATTCTTTCTGTTAGCTTTTACTTAACATTCCTCTACAGTGTTTCCTGATATTTTTCAATTGGTTTTACACTAAAAACAAACAGATATAAACTTATTTATTAATTTCAGGTGTGTGTGTATGTGTGCTACTTTTACTTTTACTAATAGTATCCGTGGCTGATCTGGGTTTAAAGCAAAGCATTGCTCGTGAGTGTAATTGGTAAACTTTCTGGGTTGTGTTGAATAAAATATTTTCCGGACAGATTAGTTTTCTTTGGATTTTTATTTATTGTTATCTATCTGTAATGGTAAACACAAAATATTATGACCTCCAAATATTTGCATCGTGTAAACATTGTGAATCAACCTTCACAAATATGCAATGCATACTATATTGTTTCATCAATAAAGTTAATCAGTGTTTCTGCAATTGGCTTGTTAAGCCACAAAGTAATTCATTGCCACATTGTAGGTTTCTTGCCCCTCTTCTGTGTCCTTTAAAAACTCAGCTTCCTCTGACCCATTTGCTGGATTTTGCTGCTGCTTTCTGTACCGAAGTCTTGGAAGAAGCTTCCTGTACCTGTCAAGGTTCTCTATATGTGGCCTAGATTACAAACAATGATACCTTCCCTTCAAAACCTTTCAAGCACCTCTGCTTGTAAATATTGTGAAACAATTAAGAACCAATAGAATATAAAAGTTCTGCAAATTTTGAAAAACAGTTTCTGCTTGTACAGTGTTAACCAAGATGGCACAGTCACATAACAGTAAAACAATAGCACTGAATTTCTTTGATAATCTTGACAAATTGGGCTTTTCCTCCTACACCACCTGTCTTTTTCCTTTTCTGATTTGGGGGATGAGTGACAATAGCTTATAATCCAATATACACACAGGTACTACTACTATCAGTGTGTTTATGAAATGCAGGTTCTTAAATACCTGTTAGTGCAGTGAGTTGTAAGTTGCTTTGACTGCTTTCAAGGGACTAGACCAGGGTAGTTTATATGGTGCCTTCCGGATGTTATTTGACTCTGCTCCATCAGTGCCAAACAGCTTAGCAAATTTTTAGGGATGATGGTAGGTAATGAAGCATTTGAAGGGCAATACATTGGCTATACCTGGACTAGACTGTACCACTGAAATATTTCACAAGCAGATGCCATTGAATTTTGAAGTGTGTCTTTTAAATTGAACAGGCCTTCTGTGCTGCTGTTAAAATGTTAGAGCATCTGCAGCAGCCCAACCATAGCCTTCATCTGCTCCAGCTGCAACAAAATATGTATCTCCCGTATCTGTCTCTACAGGTACAGGAGACCCTATAAACCTTCCAACACTTTAACCTGCAAATACGCAACTGTTGTCTCCTGATACAGATGGATGCCATCCACCCCTAAACGCCCTTCCCACTTTGAGCTATGGCTAAATGGGCAGCTGTTCCCAAATGAGTTATCAGAATCTTGCTATGTAAATTGGGAGTTATCCCCATTAATAGGGTCTGTATAGAGGTCTTTTGTACTGGTGAGGGTGCCGAGTTTGGAAATCAATAAATAACGAAATTTGTTTACATAAACACTGTTCCACACACCTTTCATATTGCAAATCCGCCAGCAAGGGGTTTAGCTATATTGGGGTTGTATTGTTTTCACAACTTTTCCCTAACAAAATACAACTATTTACGAAGCAGGTTTTGACATTAGGAAATACAGCTTCAGTATTTCCCAGGTGTGAAGAAACTTTTTTTCCTTCATAAAATGGAAGACAAAATAGGGAGAAAAAACTTGATTATGTGAAGTGGGACATGTCCCACTCATACGGAGAGAAAATGATTAGACTGCTACAGTTTCCGGCTATATACCAAACACCCCATTGGCCGTAATTCTCAATGCGCGCAGGATGCGATGTGCACCCCGGAAATTAGAGCGGAACTAGTTAAAATGCAGACCGGAAACGCAATAAGGATCGCGGTACAGTATTGCGCCAGCGACTAGGAGAAAAATCCAATCATCTCGATGGTTTCTTGCCTGTCAAGATATACGAAATCTCTATGGCCAAGGCTCCGTCACATGAAACGAGGAAATCGGGTTACAGTTAGTTTCCTACTGGCCGGGCTGCCTCACATGGTGCGAGGTTCTCTTTCTGGCTATTGGCTGCTGGGAGTTAGAACGAAGCTCGCGAGCGGGGGCCGAGGACGGGATTGGCCCGCGAGCGGCCAAGTGGGCGGGGAGTCTGGGCAGCGTGCGCTGGGCGGCCGAGTGGAGTGGAGCCAGCAGTCAGTTGGCTGCGTCTCCCGAGCAGCGGCGGAGCGCGGTGGCTGGATGTGGCGGGGTCTCCTGCGGGTGGCGGCCAGAGCCATGTCCGGGGGCGGCGCCTTCCGTCGCCAGCGTCCGCCGAAGGACTCGCTGCGGCACCTGCGCTCGCGAGAGAAGCGCCAGGGAGCCACGGGGCCCTTCCAGCCCTCGGGGCCCAGGACCGTCTTCTTGCAAGTGGCGGCGGCCGGGACGCGGGATGCGGGAGCCGCGCTCTATGTGTTCTCCGAGTATAACCGGTTAGTGGTGTCCCGAGGCCTTGAGCCTCCCCTGAATAAAGCGCCTCCTTCCCTTCGTCCCGGTTTTTAGTTCATGGAAGAGGAGCGACGCTTCTCTTCGCCCAACGTGGTTGTTCTTTCCTGCCGATCTCGGCCTTGTTAGTGCAGGCAGCACACCTGGCCCCTCTCCCCATCGCCCTCTGCATTAGGACTGGCAGTTGTGGCCATGCCCAGTTGCATAGCGGTGGAGCAGGCAAGACGGCCAGGGCACACGCAGCCCTCCGCCAGGAGCGCCCCTCCAGTCTGCCGCATATGATGCGTGTCAGAGGTAGACGCACCCAGTTCACGAGGCTTGGCTGGATACAAGGTGCAATCAGGCCATCTTGACGGCTGGCCCTTTCATTAGCCTGAGTGCGGTGACAGCTCATGCTGTGGGGGTGCAGTAGCGTCCCCTTTTTGTTTGCTCTGAGCTCCCCCTGCTACTATGCAGCCTGTCCTGGGTCCTCTAAACCTGGGGTCAGCAACCTTTTTCAGCCGTGGGCCGGTCCACCGTCCCTCAGACCATGTGGTGGGCCGGACTATATTGGGGAGGGGGGGATGAACAAATTCCTATGGCCTACAAATAACCCAGAGGTGCATTTTAAATGAAAGCACACATTCTACTCATGTAAAAACACGATGATTCCCGGACCATCCGCAGGACGGATTGTGAAGGCGATTGGGCCGCATCTGGCCCCTGGGCCTTAGGTTGCTTACCCTGCTCTAAACTGATCTGCTGCCTCATCACCATGGTTAGATTCAGCTGCCAATCAGTTGGCTACTGTATGTGAACTGGGGAGGGAGAGCTGTCTTGTACTTCACCGCTTGGGCCAGTCCTGGGTGTTTTAGATTTGTTGTTGCTTTCATAAATCTGAAAATTCAATTCCTTAAACTAAAATATTACATTCCAGGTATCTTTTTAATTGCGGGGAAGGAGTGCAGCGCCTTATGCAAGAACACAAGTAAGTATAATAATTGGAACTGAGGTTGGTTGCACAGGTGGCCAGAATCCTAGCAGGCAAATTATTCTAATTCTTGTCTTTGCAACAGGTTAAAAGTGGCTCGCTTAGACAATATCTTCATCACCAGAATGAACTGGGCAAATGTTGGTGGCTTGTCAGGTGAGTTCAACTAGGCAATATATACTGTGTTTTAATTTGGCTTTTTTTGAGCTCTTCAGTAGAAGGATAATGCTGATGTTATAGATGGTTAGGCTGCAAGTAGTTCTGAAAAGTAAATTAGTAATCTAGTGCTGTAGTAGAAGTAGGAAGACTTATTTGGGTTTTAAAACATTCAAGGGTCTTTTGCAGTTTCTTACTGAAAACTAGCTCTTGCTCTCTCTTCCAGGAATGATTCTTACCTTAAAAGAAACAGGGGTTCCAAAGTGTGTGCTTTCTGGGCCGCCACAGCTGGTGAGTGATGCTGTTCCTACAGTGCTTGCCTGTGAGACCCTTCATCCCTTAATTACAGTATTCTTGGATAAACTGTTTGAACTAATGCACCCCTGCGGTCACCTGGTTGCCAGGGGTGATGGTGGGCTCAAACACATCCCACCTGAGAGTTGTGCTTTGCGCCAGGGAACAACGAGGTTTGTAAGAGCCCTGAGCTTGTATAATAGTGCAATCCTGTATATGTTGACTCAGAAGTATGTCCCACTGTGTTCAGTGTGACTTTTTCCCAAATATATCTGTATAGGATTGCAGCTTTAAGCTTTTGTGGTACTGTATGTACTGTCAGGAGGGCAAACTTGAGAACTTAAAAATTATTCTTTACTTTCAGGAAATAATGGCTTCCTTCTTAACTTGATCTAAGTTGATTCTAGTCTGAATTGTTGCCATCTGCCCTTCTCCACTTGTATAAGTTACATTCCTTGAACTGCTAAAAGCTGTGTGTGCAGTGTGGGGTGCATATGGTTAAATAGGAAACATAAGAGTAATCCATGCTATTGTCTTGCTAGAAAAAAACCTGTGCAATGTTGTAATTTTGACATTCTCTCTCTCTCTCTCCCCCTCTCTTCCTCTCCCCTCCCTCCCCTTCACTCCCTTCTTACCCCCCCTCCTGTATATATTCCAGCAAAACTACTTGGAGGCAATCAAAGTATTTTCTGGTCCATTAAAAGGAATAGACATAGGTAGGTATTGCAGGTTTGTGTGTGCACTTAAAATACATAATTGCTGTGGTCTGATTGGATGGAAGACTTGTCTAGCTAGAGCAGAAGCCTGCTCTACATCTTTGCTGTTGTCTTTGATGCTGAATTCCCCTGCAGCAACTTCTTTCATGTTGTTGACCTCACCATCTTTTTCAGAGGCATCTAGCAAGGAGCCAGCTGAAGTCTGAGGATAGGATTTGTGTTCCATAGATTTTGATTTGGGCATATTTTATCCAACTTTGAAATAATCTTACTTATGTTCTCTTATTCGTAGAAAGAATGTGCACTAACAGTATCATCACACTGAATAGTATTTTGTCTGTTTTGTTACTAGCTGTACGGCCCCATTCTGATCCGGAATATCAGGATGAGACAATGACAGTCTACCAGGTTCCCCTGATAGGTGAGTACAGTGCCATAATTTTAACAGTAAAGAAGGAATGAACATGAGCTGAGAATGGCCTTGGGGCTCTGGTTTGGGTTATGTGGGATTTTACTTTGCACTTTTCATTTCATTCTATAACTTTCCTTTCCTGCTGCTTTATGGCTTCCATAACATATGGAGTGCTGTATGATTTATTTCATTCATCTCCACACTTCCTTGCAAAGGATAGACATGACTGAGACAGATCTACCCAGGCCACACAGAATGCTGAGGAGGTTTCAGTGTAGCACTAAGGAGATTGCTCTGACAGCACAAACATTTCTTTTTGCCTAATGCAGTTATCTCCTCCACCCATGTGCCGTTCTGGGGGTTCTCCCAGCACCCCCGAGCCAATTCTTTTTTGAAGGGAGGAAGGTGGGGGAAGCCCCTTTGCACTAGCAGAAGTCCTTGTGCAGGCACTGCTAACAGGACCAGTTAGTTGAATCTGCACCATTATGTCTTAACAGAGAGTATTTACTCCCTAATTGTAAAGACTGACCCACAAAAATGTCCTCTAGCAGTTAATTCTTTGCCTTCCTGTCCTGGATTCTACCCTTGTCTTTTCCCTATAATATCCCCATTGAAGTGGTGTCTTGTCAAATGGGTAGTTGTGGTGAGAATCCAGATACTTTGGGAGCATCAATGGGACTATTTCTGGATGGTAGCAGGGAGCTTTGGCTGATGATACTTTGCAGCAGCTAACAAGTTGAGTACCAATTTTCCTCATAAAGATATTCAAAGTGATACATGAAAACAGTTGAATATGTTATTTCCAGTTTAAATAGTGTCCCCGGGGTAGAAGGGTGTGTGTGTGTGTGTGTGTGTGTGCGCGCGTGCGCGTGTGCGCATGTGCACTAATTTAACCCCTCTCCCCATTTTATTTTCTGGAACAGGCAAAAAGCCAGAAGTTGAGCAAAGGTTACATCCGAGGCCTGAGTCACCAGCTGGTGAGGCTGAACAAAAGTGCCTTGCAGGACGGGGATCTCCCTCTGTGGAGCAGCAGTCTGTGCAGGGTGGCAGGAGTAAAGAGTCCCCTGAGAAAATGGGTGAGGAAGCCTTGCTTTTCATTGATTCCAAGAATGTGTCAGGACCCACCAGTTAGTTACAGATGTATTGAAGGACTTCCTGGAAATTAGGAGCACTAAGTCCAGCACTAAGTTTAAGCTGCATGGTAAAGGTAAAGGGACCCCTGACCATTAGGTCCAGTCGTGACCGACTCTGGGGTTGTGGCGCTCATCTCGCTTTATTGGCCGAGGGAGCCGCCGTACAGCTTCTGGGTGATGTAGCCAGTATGACTAAGCTGCTTCTGGCGAACCAGAGCAGCACATGGAAACGCCGTTTACCTTCCCGCCGGAGCAGTACCTATTTATCTACTTGCACTTTGATGTGCTTTCAAACTGCTAGGTTGGCAGGAGCTGGGACCGAGCAACGGGAGCTCACCCCGTCGCGGGGATTCGAACCACTTACCTTCTGATCGGCAAGTCCTAGGCTGTGTGGTTTAACCCACAGCGCCACCCACATCCCAAGCTGCATGGTAGCAAAGGGTAAAGCAAAATATTGTTTCTGGTATAACTAATATTAAATTAGGTTAAGGTGTTTGTCTCTGGAGTTTAATTATTTATTTGATTTTATTATTCCTGTTTTGAGCCGGAAGGATCCTTGGGGAGCTTTACATCAAATAGTACACTGCAACAACCTTTTTCTTTCTGAAGTCCTCCAGATGTTTTGGGCTACAAGTCCTATTATCCCTGACTATTGGCCGTGCTGGCTGGGATGATGGTTGCTGTAGTCCATAACCTGGCACCAGATTGGAGCAGAGTGGACAACATTGATGTTGTGTCTGCCCCCTCCAACAGAAATGGGAAAGCCTAGGGCAGCAACTGAGCCTTGGGTTCTCCAAGGGCAGGTAGATAGCTGGGCTTTTCAGTATTGGGGACCATGTCAGCTGAATATCATGGGGTCATAGGAACATAGAACGCTGTCTAGTACTGAGTCAGACCAATGGTCCATCTGCCTTGCTACTATCTACACTTGACTGGCAGCAGCTTTCCAGGTTTTTAGAAAGGGAGTCTCCCCCAGTTCTATTTGGAGATGCAGGGGACCTTCTGAACGTGGGACCTTCTGCAAGCAAAGCAGTTGCTCTACCACTGAGCTATGGCCCATGGTCAAGGCATGCTAGCTTGGTAATTTTGGCAGAGAATTTGCGTGCATTATTTTAAAGTTGTGCAAACTACTTGAATCTTAAACACAGGGTTTCTGTTTTTGCATTTAAGATGGTAGCTGGCGTATCGGTCAGAGGGACCCATCACTTGTCGTTGCATTCATTTGTAAGGTAAGAGTTGCCCTGAATAATAAGGCGCCTCAATGGCTATTTTACATCTGGCTTCTATGTACAGCAAGGGTAGCTAACCTTTTGTGGTACTGATGTTTGGCCTTTGAGGGCCACATGCCAGCAGTGTGGTCAAAGTATCTTAAGCACACACACTCAGACGCAAACACTGGTTGCACATAGAACACACATACAGCCCACACTTGCATGTACAGAACACTCTCGCCACTAATGCCTTCAGTCTCTTGTGCACATATGTGCAAGCACACACACTGTCTTTACTCCCCATGCCAGCGCAGGTAGAAAGAGAGTAATCTCTCCTCTGAGTTCGGTGTTAGATTGGGATAGAAAGCCCTCTGTTTACCCCGCAAAGGTGCCTTTTCTTCCCCTGGCAGTGTGCCATCACAAGAAGCACTTATTCCCGCTTCTTGAACATTAGGACCTTATTTCAAATGGGGGAAGATTTAAGGGAGGGAGCACCATAAGTGGCATTGCAGGTTCATCACCTTTGTACAGAATGATGCTTCCCAGGAACTTGGGACTTCCTGGATAAAGACTTCATGTCACAGCTTTAACAGCTCAAAAGTGGAGAATGGTTGAGGCTGAATACTAGCCTGGTGCTTTGCTATTAGGAGGGGGCCTATCTGAGTAAGTGGTCATTTGCTTTTTCACTTTTCCTGCTTATGGGAAATTGAGGAATGTTTGAGATTGCAGGCTTAAGCACAGTTCTTAATAGATATTCTTACGATTGTATTGTATCAGGATTTATTATATGTGTGCGAGAGACACCCCCCCCCTCCAGTTTCTGCCTGGGGGCATGTCAGACAAGTCTCTTTTTCTCATTCCCTTGTATTTTAATATCAGTTTGTAGGTAGATGTCTTGAAAGGATTTTTCTGATGTAACAACTTGTGACCAAATGTGCTTTGTTTAACTTCAGCTCCATCCAAAGAAAGGGAACTTCTTGGTGATGAAAGCAAAGGAGCTTGGCTTACCTGTGTAAGTACAGAAGGGTTTCTAGTGAGTTTCCCCCTGCATATTAATCCCTCTGATTAAGTTGACTAACTTTTTATAATTTATTTTTAGGGGCACTGCAGCAATTGCTCCCATCATAGCAGCCGTGAAAGATGGAGAGAACATCACATTTGAAGGCAGAGAGGTATGGCTCTGAGGACAAATTCTTTCACCCACGTGGTCTGACCCTGCTTCTTGTTGTGAGTCACTGCCTTTTGGATGTAACTGAACAGGGTTTGTACTTGTTGTTTGGCTGAAGGGAGCACAGCCTAAAACATTCTGTCTTTTATCACTGGGGATCTCTGATTAGCAAATGAAGCTACACTGGTTATGGGTGTATTGATTTGTTCTTATAACTTCAGAAAAGGCATGAAATGGCTTCACAAATTAGAGGTGGAGGGAAGCACTGGATCTTTTCACCATGGTGGATCCAGGTGACTGACTTTCTGAGGCCAAGACTTCCTGTGAAGTATTTGCATAGATGACAAGAATTGCTTCATAGCTTTCAAAATGTTAGCTTGGGACACCAAATACATAGTCCTTGAATTTTGAGTTGTTCGTATGTGTTAAACAGTGTATACTGAGATGTATGATTGTTCCAGATCTTGGCTGAAGAAATTTGCACACCTACAGACCCAGGAGCAGTTTTCATAATAGTGGAGTGTCCTCATGAAGGTTTTATAGATGCAGTCTGTGAAAATGACACACTGCGAAGGTATGTTTAAGAATGTGCATGTCTACCTTCATATTCAGTATGTGGGGCGGGGGGGCGGGGGCGCCTTCCTGTGCAGTTGGCATTTCCTTCCAGCAACGTATTGGAGCTGATGTGTGACTTGCAAGAGATCTAGCAAGAAGTAACTTTTGTGTGTAGGATGGAAAGATGCATTTTGCACATGAACAAAATAGTGGACAACTGGCTAGAAACCAATGCTCTGTGGGAACTGGCAATATGGAACTGCTAGGAGATCACTAGTGCTGTTCTAGATAGTCAGTGGTCCTGCCCAGATGGACTTGTAAGAGTGAAGGAGCCTAGGCACACTGTTCTGAGGTGTCTGAAGTATATTTCCGTGTGAGCATCGCTCTTCTGCTCTGACACTGTGGCTACCGATAATAGCTCTTCAACTAAGGGCTTACTGCACTTCGCATAGATGCCTGCGGCTTCCATGGATCCTTCTGTGTTTGGCCATCTTGGAAGTGGTATGAAAGTATTCTACTGTCTGACCAGAAGTTGTTGATCCACTTTGAATAAGCTTTTCAAAGGCTTCCACTGGGCTTGTGTCAAGTATTCACTTTGCTCTCCATGTTGCTGATCCTAGAGGAAATGTTGCAGAAATGTTGCAGCTGATGCTTTCTATTGGTGCCTCTTTAATTACTTGAATTCCCAGTTTTGTGTGTGCACGCTTTAAAGTTATTCTGCCTTCTGGGCTGCTACCCAGCCATCTGGCCCACCGATGTGTTTGGAGATGATTGCGTGCAGTCATGTGCATACAGTTGTCTGTAGAGTGGGATGGTAATCTCATATTGGCATTAGATCTCTCTGCTTGCGTTCTGAAGTCATATACGGGAAAACAGAAGAGCAAAACAGTAACTCCCATCTTCCCAAATCACACTGGCGTGATATGGCGCTAACAATGCAGCCATTCCCAGAAACCCTGTCATAAGGGCCTACTGCCAGCGGTATTTACCTGTTGATTCACCTGCTTGGCCACTGTGAGAGCAGGATTCTGAACTAGAGGATCCTTTTACCTGATCCAGCAGGTATGCTCCTTATAAGAAGTTATCATCTACCTTGGGAGCCCATCCCTCCCTCCCAGGAGCTTCACCTCCACCCCCTGCTCTGTGCGCTCCATGTGAGTTGGTTGATCTGTCCCCACATGCTAGAACCACTGCTTTTAACTGTTTGTTTTGTTTGCAGGTATCAAGAAGGAAAACAGGAGACCCCTGTGGCTTTAGTCGTTCATATAACTCCAGAACGTATTCTGAAGGACAGCCGGTATAAGCAGTGGCTAGAAAGGTGTGTGTGTTGACTGGAATTATATACTGTCTGTAGCCCTGTTCAGATGTTCCCACGGGTACTGAACATATGGGGCAGCCCCACTTCCTAGATGCTGGTGCACATGCCAGCTGCATTCCTCTCAGCTGGCACATAACTGGGCTTAAACTGTGGAAGATAAGTTGCCTTCTAAGTCCAAGGGACCACTTAGCTCGTGGTTTTAAAGTCACTACAGTCTATCAGTTTTCAAGGTTCCCTGCTTAAATCTACTCCTCTGGCAAATCTTATCTGGATAAAATTTCTGTGAATTAGCTGCAACTCCTGTCTGCAAGCAAAGCCTGTCATATTCTTAGGCACTCCTTTCCCCAGTTTGCTTTTTTTCTCGCTGATGTGATTTGTGCTGTTCTTTTGTGTGTATTCAGTAACACAACTTGTAGGGAAATAAAATTTAAAAATTATCTGGGAGGCAAGATAAACAAACCCTGTCCTTGTAGCCTGAGAGACAGGCCAAGTATCCTAGCAGGGCTAAACATAGGGAAACTTGTGTTCAGACTGGGAACACAGTAAGGAGCAAGACCTGACAAGGTGAATACATTGTAGGTAATGTGAACTGTGTTAGTGTGCAGAACATTGAGGGACTCTACCAAGAAGGCACAATTCTAGTCAAAACGGCCCTCCTCATTTACAAATTCTAATAGTAACCTCAAGTTTAAACCTGCTAGAGCCATGTGTTTGTTTTTTTCTTATCCCACCAGATTTGGAGCCAGTACTCAGCACCTGATACTCAACGAGAATTGCCGTTCGGTGCACCAACTCCGCAGCCACAAGATTCAGACCCAGCTCAACCTCATCCACCCAGAGATCTTCCCATTGCTTACCTGCTACAATAGCAAGGTGAAGTTTCTGCTTGATTTCAGAGTGTGAAAGCAAGGGGTGTGCCTTTCTTTTGCACAACTGTTTTGGTAGCTCAGTTTTTTATATTTTCCCGTCCGCCCAGCAGGAAGAAGAGGCCACGTTCGATGTACCTGTCACACGCGGAGAGTGCCTCCTCAAGTACCAGCTGAGGCCCAAACCAGAATGGCAGAGGTTGGTGAGCACTTACAACTTGTCCTTGGATAGGGATATAAGGCCCTCAAAATTACTTTCAGATACAGTGGTACCTCAGTTTACGAACTTAATCCTTTCCTGAAGTCTGTTCTTAAACGAAATCTGTTCTTAAACTGAGGCATGCTTTCCCTAATGAGGCCTTCCACCGCTGGTGCCCTTCCACCGTTTGGCTTCTGTTCGTAGACTGAGGTAAAGTTTGCAAACCGGAAAACTACTTCTGGTTTTGTGGAGTTTGTAAACCGAATAGTTCGTAAACAGAACTATTCGTAAACCGAGGTACCACTGTAATTATTTTATGTACACTGCTGAGGAGTTGTTTTTTAAAATAATCCTGTGGTTTATCTCTCCCCCCCCCCCCAATATTTAAATACTAAAATAACAACCCTGCCTTTCTTCGTTACTGTAGAAGTAGATACTATGAGAGGCATGGAGCTACTGCCTTTCCATTTCTTTTTCTGCCCTATTCCAAATAAGGTCTAGTTAATTTTAATATTAAAGTCAATAAAAAAAAAGTTTTGACACAGTGCATGACATAACACTATTGTGCAGGAAGTTACCCTGTCCTTCCCAAACATTGACTTCTAGGGGTGGAATGGTGTGTTGGTCTAATACTCTACTGTCACATATTAAACCAGAGCAGGAGTAGCCAATGTGGTGCCAGATGGTGTGGACTCCAATTCCCATCAGCGCCAGCCAGCATGACCAACAGAAGCTGATGGGAGTTGTAGTACACAATCCATGGGTTTCCCCCTGGTGTGAGAGACAAGTGGCAGCTCCCTGTTGTCTAATGTCTATTTCTGCCCCCAATGCTACTTGTTAACTCAGACAGTGGTTTCAGTAGCAATGGGGAATAAAGCTTTGTGAAGTAGGCTGGTTGAGACGAGGGATACATGGAGCATTGAAGGGTGGGCAGATTGCAAAGGGTTTGGTTTAAGCTGATGCTCGTCTGGTGAGTGGACTTCCAAGGGATTTGGTCCAGAGCACCTGGGGTTTGCAGGTGGAAGATAAAAATGCTTTCTTGGAGCTGGTAAATTTTACTGAACGGAAAGAGCAATCGGGATGCTTGGGAGAAGTAATTAGGTACTTTGATTGGGAAATTAATGGCTGTTATTTTTCTCTTTCCCCCCTCCCCTGCTCCACTTTTGACTTTCTGTTTTTTCAGGGAGGCTGTTCTTGCTTGTAATCCTGCTGAGTTTGTAGCTGAAGCCTTGGAACTCCCTCACTTCCAGGATTGTGTGCAGAAGTGCAAAGAGAGCTTACCAGCCTCATCAGGTGCATAGGTTGCCTGTGTTTGGAAAGGGCTAATGAGATAGCTCGGGGGAGGGTGATACAACCTTCTTTTTCCTGATGTGTTTTGGAGGCTAAAGGCAGCAACAAATAAGAACTATTGAAAGACAATGTCTGAAAAGTTGGCCGTTGTCTTTGAAGGGATGTTAGACATAATATTCCTACTTCCTTCATTTTCTTTAATGTTTACACGCCCTGAGAAAATCTGCAATAAGGAATGTTTTCTTCCTGCCTCCTGCCGGGCCCCCTTTCTATGTTTTTCTTCCTGATCCTGTCTGTTGAGGTGTGCTTGTAAAGGTCCACTGCTTAGTTAGCAGCAAATGACCACATCCAACAGTCAGGGGACTGCTAGATTGTGGGTCTGAGTGGGATTTCATTTTGTCTAATTACAGCCTGTCGTAAGCCATTTTGAGAAGCATTTGAATGAAAAGGCGGAGGATAAAACTTCAGAATTAATAATTGAGCAAGGTTGGGGGATACAGTGCTTGGTTTTACTGCAAAAGGCATTTGCCAGCAAACAGTGTAATTTTGCTTAAGGTGTAGTGTGTGGTGTGCTGGGCTGCAGCTAGTGGGGTGCAGAGTGGACGCCTCCACTTCTCACTATTTGCTATCCAGCATATCAGTTGCCATTATGTTTTTAGGGCTGTGTTTTCCAGTTGAAAGAGAAAGCTTAATGGGAAAGTTTAAAAACATATTAAAAATCACACCGTTTATTCGCTAGAAAGTTATTTCACTTGACCTGAAAACTGCCAGAATCCAGTCCTTCTAACACTGCTGGGGTTTAACTTCTTGTTCCTTCCGGAGGGCTGTGCTTTGTTTTCCAGGTGAAGTAGAGGTAGAAACCCAGCCAGAGGGGTGGGCTATAAATAATAAAATTATTGTATGCCATCGCAGTACAGGAGTCTGCAGGATTCAAGTTCTTTTCTATCTGTTTCTAGGAACCACTGGCTCCTACCCAGAAGTTGTTTTCTTAGGAACAGGCTCTGCGGTCCCAATGAAAATCCGAAACGTTAGCTCTACACTGATAAACCTTAGGTAGGTACAAACACATGAGTTGTCCTGTGGGGGCAGGTTCTCTTATAAGGAATCATTGACAAATAACATCCAGTGCCAAGTGGTGAGGGCTTAAAAAAAGCAGCTTTTTAACCTTGTTCCCAGCTATTGTAGTCATCAAGCAGTATCCAGCAATTACACCTATAGGCTTACCACCACATTCCTTCTCTGAAGTTAACCTCAGACTTTTCACTCAAGTGATGATGCTTTTTGCAGATGGCTCCTTAGTATGTGACGAGCAATTGCTTATTCTAAGTCTCCTCTTTTATCTTCCTGCTGTAGCACATGCTGCTTGTTGCATTTTGAGCAAGCTGCATGTATGAAACTTAATTAATATAATAAAATTAACTTAATTATTATAAGTGTTTTTTTAAATATAATATAATTATTTTAATATAGTAAAATTTAGAACCCTGCCTTTCTGTGTCAAATCGGAATGCTCAAGCAGCTTCCATCACAAACCTAAAAAAAGGAGAAGCTGTTAAAACGGAACAAAGACAGACACATGAGATAGGCATAAAGCCAGGCCTGGCCAAGCCAAAGGCCTGCTGAAACAAAGTCTTGAGTTGACGATGGAAAAGCCATGAGGAAGGAGTGGGCCAGATGGATGTCCCAAGGGCAGCCTAGGCACAGCACAACCATGGAGAAAGCCCTTTTGTGCTTTCCTACTAATCGGATGGTGCCAGAACATGCAGCAACATCTCCACACTTGATACCTTAGCTCAGTGGTTCCCATGTGGTCCATGTAACCCACCCAGGGGGTCTGTGGCACTGTTCACATAAGAAGAACTACCATAGAGATATCAAAATTTTCAGAAGTAGGGGATCCATGACTTGGCTTCTGAAAAGCAGGGGGCATGCAGTACTTAGTTAATTGGGAACCACTGTATTTGCCCTTTTCCTTGAAGTTGTATCGTGGGATGCTGTATCCTGTCAGCATCAAAAGCTTTTGACAGCCTTTGTTTCCTTGGATGCTGGACAGATATCTCAATATCCTGATGCTAGTAGATGTGGTACAAACCTGCACTCACTCTCTTGCTAGCCCTACCCAGTCTCTGCTTCTGGATTGTGGTGAAGGAACATTTGGCCAGCTTTGCCGTCATTATGGAGATGAAATTGACCGAATCCTGTGTAACATTGCAGCTGTGTTTGTGTCTCATATACATGCTGACCATCATACAGTGAGTATTGTATAGGGATGGGCACTATAGCATTATTTCCCCCCACTATATTTTAATGTCCTCAGGGGAAGTGTGTAGTTTTTACCCTATGTCCTCCTCTGCACCTTAATTTTTTCTATCAACCTTTAAAAAGGTGGCTTGGTGTAGCTAATTCACAAGCCATTATGAAGTTACGATGATACTGTGTGGCTGCGCAGCTAACCCAGTTTGTTGACATCTTTGAAATGCTACAGGGACCTTTTTCTTTCCATAAAATAAATGTTTGAAAGCAAATCCTTGTCTTGAGGTGTAGTAAGTTAGAACAATTTGCAGTGGTAAGTGCACTTCAATTATTATTGTTATTTTTTATATTTATATTTATATTTATTTTAAAAAAACCTTAGCTGACATTTAAAATTGGGCAAAGCTACTTTATCTTTCCTGTGCGCAGCCTCCACATATTTGGAAGTACATTACATGGCAACATTCCTTTTATTTTTCAAGCAGTAGTCCCCCCCCCCCCCCTTTAAAGCAAATACAGTCATACCTTGGGCTGAATACGTTTCGGGTTAGGCATTTTTGGGTTGTGCTCCATGGCGACCCGGAAGTAACGGAGCGTGTTGCTTCCGGAGTTTTCTGCACGTGCATGTGCATACCGTCAAAATGACATCACGTGCATGTGCAGAAATGTGGCATGTGCAGACGCGCAGACACGGTTACATTTGCTTCGGGATACGAACAGGGCTCCGGAACGGATCCCGTTCGCATCCCGAGGTACCACTGTAGATTGGTGTAGTACAGTCGTACCTCTAGATGCGTTAGGTTCAAGTTGGACTTCCGGGGTGGCGCCATCGGCAATGGCGGACTCCCTCTGAACTGGAGGGACTAGCTCCGCGCGAAATGGGTCTTTTCCGCTACGGCGAAGCGGGGACCCTTTTAAAAATCACAGGCAGATGAAGCCTGTGACCATGGGACTCGGGCACCCTTAGCGCCCCCCCAACCCGCAAAGGAACCCACTAACGGGCTCCGAAGCGAAGAGGGGGAAGCGGCGTGGTGCTGTGAGTCAACTGCTATTTCCGTGGAGCGAAGTCGCATAGCCGTTGCCGGAGAGCGCTGCCTTTTTCCTGGGACAATTTGGCTTCTAAAATAAGCACCCGTGAGTACTTAAACTTTGAACAAATTGGACTTTAAATAAGGATTTGCGAGCAGAAGGGAATTGGATTTAAAAATTTAATTTGGTACTGAAACGGGAAGGTCTAAACAGGAAGTCAGCCTTCCGTTTCTTTGTAGACAGAACAAAGCAAAGACAACATAAACTAGAGCTCAGAAAATCGCTTCTAAAGGATCGGCTTTCATCATTTAAAATCCTCGAACCCCCCTTCGGCAGCAGGAGAAGAAGGGGGATCTTTTTCGGACTGTTTAAACCTGCAGAAGTGAGTTTAAAGTAAAGTAACTTTCCACCGTCCTGATCCTGGAGCGGGGTGTCAGAACTGACGTTTGAAGCTCATTGACCAGAGACAAACGTTTTTGACAGATAGCTAAAAGAAGAGAAACATAGTGATTCCACTGTTTCCTTTCGCATTTTAAAGGAACAAATATTGACAAAATATCTTAAAAAAGAAACTTTGTTGCAAGAACAACTAGAAGTTTTCCCCCTAGAGGGAGACTGGGAAACTGTAACTAATTCCAGGGAGCTTGCAGCTGTCACAGATTACAATCGTGGGAAAAGGCTTGTGACCTTGTAGGACAATGAATTCAGAAGCTCTGTTGTGTGCTCTCTGTAAAATAAATGCTCTACTGGAACAGTTAACTGTGAAGACGGATTTGATGACTAATGCGGTCAGAATTTTTGAACAGGCAGTGGGAAACTATACGGAGCCCACCCAGGAATTAAATCAGGAGTGTGCCCTGACAGAACAGATGAGAGAAGAGGATGTTGCGCAGTCTTGGGCGTCAGAGATGGAGGGAGCTACGGCCCAGCAGGAACATGAGCTTTTGGATTTGACAAATGAACTTGGAAAAAGCCAGATTAGGAAAGATAAAGTTTGGACTGATTTGGAAATGGGGGGTTGGATAGACCCCCCTATGCAGGGATGTTTGGACTTTCCGAGTCTGGCAATGGGCTGCGAGATGTTTGGAGCTGTGGGGGCCCTCAATTTTGGAGGGATTCTGAAACATGACTTTAAATACTACATGGAGTTTAGTCTGGTCTATGGAAAAGGGGCTGATTTGTTGAAAAGGGTCAAAAACATTACCAAGCTGGAGTTCCCACGAGTGAAAGGTGAATATGAAGAAGAGCTGCGGAAGGGACATGGAAAGGACTTAAGGGCCTCGGATATAAGGTTACCAGGTTAATGCGCTAGATCGATGGGATAAAAAGGACTGACAAAACCCGGGACCAGGAGGAAGGGACGCTGGATGAAGATTGGATTGTTTCTATTTCTTTTTTTATCACTAGGATTGTTTTATAAAATTGATGACTGTTAGAAAAATGTTGGAACGAAATTACTTGGCTCTAGCAAAAATGTTTAAAGAATTAGGCAAGAATTTTATGGTTATGAGAAGTGGGTAAAAATAAGATTTAAGTTTTAAGGTTTTTTATAAGATAAGATGAAAATAGATTAAGGTAATGTAATGACAGAATATTATGAAATATGGAAAGGATTTGCTGCGATAATTAAAAACTGGGATACAAAAAATGGGAGGAGGAGGAGGTCAAAGAAAGAAGGTAATGAAAGTTGAAGATTTGAGAATGTTGGTTTTATTTTTATATGTTTGTGGTGTATTTTTGTTTTTTGAATTTGTATTGTTGGATGTGGTTTGTTTCCTTTTTCTCTTTTTTGTTTCTTTCTTTTTTCTTTCTCTGCTTTGTCTTTTTCTGTAATTTTAAATTTTTTAAATAAATATCATTTAAAAAAAAAAGTTGCAGATTTTCGGGTTGTGAATGCGGCAAACCCGGAAGTGTATACTTCTGGGTTTCGCCGCACGTGCAGAAGCGCTCTTCGCGCATGCACAGGAGCGCTCTATTGCATCACGCACAGAAGCGGCGCTCTACTTACGGACTTTTCGGGGTGCAAACAGCACCCCGGAACGGATTGCGTCTGTAAGTAGAGGTACCACTGTACTTCATTTCAGTTTTTGTTTAGGGTTGCTTATGGACAAGTGTACAGCCAGATGTCTTATTTACAATGTGCCTCTCTCCTAGGGCTTGTTGAATATATTGTTGCAGAGACATCGGGCCTTTGTAAGTATGTCAGCCTTAAAGCTAGAGCTCAACTTTGTGAGGGTGTCTTGGCAGTGACTGGTGGCAGCACTGACACATAACAGAGTCAGTCCTTGCCTTGCATCTGATCTGATGCATGCTTCCCATTTACTTAGCCTTGCAACATCTCCGACCTTTGCTTCTCTCTTACCTCAGATGACCCTGGGTCAGCCCTCCAGCCCGCTGTTGCTGATTGCACCCACATTGATCATGACATGGCTGCACCAGTACCATGACCATTGCCAAGAAATCTTGAGGCACATCAAGTGAGTAGATACACCAGGTGTCTTGCTTTGCTATGGAACACTGCAGGGGCCCCAGATGCACTGCATCTACTCTCAGATGCAGCTGCTGCCATGCTTTACCCCAATGCGTGGTGTGCAGCTGCAGAAATGTGTTTTTTGTTTTGCTTTTTTTTTTGCTGTCCTCTGCTATGTCTCACTGTCCTGCCTCTGAAGGAGTCTGTTTTTAAGCTTTCTTAAAGTGGGAAATGTTTTTAGATAGCGGTCAAGTTTGGGTTGAAGTATCTAATTTCATCCAAACCTTCAAGACTGTCATAGTTGCTAGTTTAATAGCAAACGCTCGTGTCCATTTTGAAGGATCTATTGCTGGTCCAGATTGTCTAGCAATTCATGCTCACTTGTAGGCTAAGATGTATTTACTTCAATCCATATTAATGCATGCTTCCCATCTTTTCTTACCCATGAGGGTGAAAAGGATGAACTCCTTGCAGGCTTATTGAGACGGGATTTCCTTGGTGTTTCTGCCCCACTAGCAAGCGGCCTTAAAGCTTGGATTTTTTTTTTGAGTCTGATCACTTGCTCTGTTTCTCTCTTGTATTGGCCAATAAGAACCATGTATTACATATTCCAGAGATCACAGAGTTTGCAATGCATCACAGAGTGATTTTTGTCCGTAGCACAGGAGTGGGGAAGGCCACAAGGCCATTTCCCCAAAGTAATGCCTATCCGTCAATCAGATAATTGTTCACACTGTTGATCCCCGAAGAAAGCCAGAACCCCCCTGTCCCTGACCATCATCTGATTCCAGTCATCACCACCTTCACAAAATCTGGGAGCAAGTGGCAGATAGGGGATTATGAAGGCAGATAGGGGAGTGTACTATTTCAAGAGGTTAATTGCTGCCCCTTGACTGCACTAGGTGGTACTGCTGTTCTTATTCTTTTGGTAATTGTGGGGTGGTGGGAAAAATCTTGGCATAATCATATTGCGTCTTTCACCCCCCTTGCAGCTTGATTCCTGCACGTTTCTTAATAGAAGATTGTGATGTATTTAAACCTAAAGCAAAGGCTTTCATTAGCTTGCTTATGGAGAAATACGACTTTGCAAAGGTAAGGCAAGTTCGAGGTGGGATGGGGGGTAGAAAGGAAGCTCCTGTGGGAGTGTAGAGACCGCAAGAGTTAAATGGTTTAGCTAAATTGTCTTTGCTTAGAAACAGCCGGCTTGAAAGAAACAAGGCCACAATTTATGTGATTGAATAGGGACTAAAGATAAGACAGCCTGGGGAATGCAACAAATAATGCTGTAGAAGCTTCAAAGAGAATTTCAGATGAAGCACTACTGGGTAGCTGATGCTGTAAAATTAGGGTAGCAACAAAGTGGACAAATTGCACATGTCAGAAGGTGTCAGCTGCTAATTGGTTAGTGTTGCTAAATGATGCTTTACAACTGTGTTAAACTAACATAATGAAGGGGTGGGTTTGATGATTTTTACATCGTATCTATGCTTGTATTGCATTTGAATCCTTGTAGTGACTTCCGCATTGGGGCTGCTACTTTGTAAAAGTAAAGGTACCCCTGCCCGTACGGGCCAGTCGTGTCCGACTCTAGGGTTGCGTGCTCATCTCGCTCTAGAGGCCGTGAGCCGGCGCCATCCGAAGACACTTCCGGGTCATGTGGCCAGCGTGACGAAGCTGCAGCTGGCGAGCCAGCACCAGCGCAGCACACAGAAACGCTGTTTACCTTCCCGCTATAAAGCGGTCCCTATTTATCTACTTGCACTTAAGAGTGCTTTCGAACTGCTAGGTGGGCAGGAGCTGGGACCGAACGACGGGAGCTCACCCCACCGCGGGGATTCGAACCGCCGACCATACGATCGGCAAGTCCTAGGCACTGAGGTTTTACCCACAGCGCCACCCGCGTCCCATATGTACTTTGTACATACAAGTAAATGTGATTGATTACTTTATCTTGTCTTATTGACCTCCAGTGAGGGAACCAAGCTTTTTCCCCTACAGGAGAATCTCAGTGACCAGCATGTTGTGCTTTTCAGTTTCAGACATGTGAGGTCCGGCACTGTAAGAATGCCTTTGCTTGTTCCATGGTTCATAAATCTGGGTGGAAAATAGTATATTCTGGTGACACTATGCCATGTGATGCTTTAGTCGAAATGGGTAAGTGTTTTTTGGGTTTTTTGTCAATGGTCCTAGATTATCTGATAATTGTTGGGAATGCTGTGTGGAAAGCCAAATGTCTCTTTGTTTAATTGTTTTCCTTCTCCCCCTTCCCCCTAAAATGTGACAAATCATTTTTACAGGGAAAAATGCTTCTCTGTTGATTCATGAAGCTACACTGGAAGATGGGTTAGAAGAGGAAGCTATAGAGAAGACGCACAGGTAAACTATAGAAGGGGGAGTGGTATTGGCATTTTCTTAGAGTGGCATAAATGAAATGAAAAGGCAGTACTTCCTTGAATCGAAGTAGTAATGGGAAATGTGTCGAGGCACCTTGTGTTCCTCTAGTAGTTGTGTAAGATTGTTGCAGATACCAAGTGGCTGTTTCTGCCTTCGGCACTTCTGTGGGTCAGGCTTTATTTAGGTCTGGACCTATCTTGTTTTTATCTTAAATGTTTTAAAAAGGGTGAATGATAGGGTTATGTGCTTTGAAATAATATAGCTTTCTACTGGGAAAGCAAATAATTGCAGTGAAAAGTTACAGCTTTCCCCAATCTCCAGCAGAATTAGCTTTGGCATTTTGGTAGGATGTCCACAGATTGAAGCCAAACAATATGAAATGACAGTCTGTTCCAGAGCATAACTCAGGAGGGAAGCGATGGACTACTAAGGCCCAAACTCATTTCATGTTGACATGGGTGTTTCTGCTTTCTTGTTATATATAATAGCAACTGAAATAATTAAACTGCGTAGGAGGCTTTGGCTCATAAAATATTGTTCCTGCAATGTTATAATATGTTTTCCACTCCTCCTAGTATTTTCTTTTATGCTGGTTATTGGCTATTATGATACCTGAGGGGAGCCTTTTGCAATTCATATTGTACAGTCCTTTGTTTTACTGCTCTTCCTTTCTATAGTACTACCTCCCAAGCAATTGGAGTTGGGATGAAGATGAATGCAGACTTCATCATGCTCAATCACTTCAGCCAGCGCTATGCCAAAATCCCTCTCTTCAGTGAGGATTTCAGTGAGAAAGTTGGAATTGCATTCGATCACATGCAGGTGAGTGAAGAACTTGAGCTTTGAGGTATAAGAGAGCTCCACATTTTCATGTAATATGAGAGAAGTTTTTCTCTCCCTTGAAAATGTTTACTAAATCAGGCTTTTAGCATCTGCAAAGAGTGCAGATCATACAGAACAAAAGCAAGTGGCATCAGAGAAGCTTGTTTCACCTTCGTTTATCAAACCCACATTGGGCTGGCTCCTAGCATTCCCCAGTCATATGTCAGCTTTTGTTGGGTGGTCTTTGCTGGGGATCCCAACTTACTTACATTAGAAAAGTATGTTGGGGCTCCAGAGACTGCAGTAGTCCAGCACTTTGGCAGTGCTGGCTTGCATTGAACCTTCCTTTCGTGTGCCCTACACAGGTCAAGGAGAGTTGAAGGTTGGGAAAAGGAACTCATTTTTGTTCACAACCAAGAGAATGCTATGCACATATCTCCTCTATTATAGTAGTTTATAGCAGGGACAGAAAATCTGTAGCCCACCAGATGTTTGTTGGACTCCCAGTTCCCATCTGCCCCAGCCAGCATGGCCAGTAATCCAGGATGATGGGAGTTGTAGTCCAACAACAGCTGGAGGGCCACAGGTTAGCTATTCCTGGTTTATTATTGGCTGCGGGTGAGTGGGAGATACAGTGGTACCTCGGGTTACATACACTTCAGGTTGCATACTCTTCAGGTTACAGACTCCGCTAACCCAGAAATAGTGCTTCAGGTTAAGAACTTTGCTTCAGGATAAGAACAGAAATCGTGCTCCGGCGGCGTGGCGGCAGCAGGAGGCCCCATTAGCTAAAGTGGTGCTTCAGGTTAAGAACAGTTTCAGGTTAAGTACGGACCTCCGGAATGAATTAAGTACTTAACCAGAGGTACCACTGTACAGTACTGCATAATTCCTGCTGCTCTAATATTTGCCTTCATCACCAGGTGCGTTTTGGCGATTTTGCTGCTATTCCAAAACTGATCCTGCCCTTGAAAGCCTTGTTCGCAGATGAGATTGGGGAGATGGAAGAGCGGAGGGAGAAGCGGGAGCTGCGTCTTCTCCAAGAGGCAATTAAAGCTTCGGAGGCCCGGACTGTTGTTGAGAACAAGGCACCAGCCAAAATGAAATTGGAACACACTGAGGATTCTCACGGAGTGCCAAACAAAAAGCTAAAAACTCTCAGCTGAGCACAGCAGCAGACAGCTGCCTTTGTGCCTTTCTGACAGGGAGAGCGACTTATGCATGACATGTGGTATGCACAGCATGGAGGATTGTGGAAGGCAGCTGCACACTTGAGCTTAGCCAAACTTGGTTGGCCTCTGGTAAATTACCTGTGCTGCTTCTACAGGTGCAATTCCTGCTGGACACATGACTAGCACCATTGGCAAAATGTGCTTCCTGGCTACAGCGTGCCGATCTAGTCTAATGGCTTGTCTGATTGTTTGCTAGAAATATTATATTTTTCCTTTTTTATAAACTTTGAGGCAGATAGCAGCAAATGACGGGGTTCCTAACTTGTGGTCCATGGAGCTTCATTCAGATAATCTGTCGTGCGTCTCTAAAAATGCAGTAAAAAACATGCATCGTCTAGCACAGTGCGTTACAATTGCTACAACAGGCAGAAAAATCACTAAGTAGTCCACCAAGACCCTCAGCAATTTTCAAATTGTCTGTGGAAGCAGGGGAGTTTGGCAACCACTGATTTAGACAAAGGGAAATCAGGATATTTTAACAAATGGGGATAGGACCTCTGGAATAAGGGGTGATTCTCTCTATTTTGCGACTTCCTAAATATTTATCATTTTTAGTGGGGAAATACCTCACTATGGAAGAGGATGTGATGTGATGTGTTGTAGCTATGCATGCTTGCAGCAGTAATACAAGATACCCAGGATACATCTTGCAGAACTCACCACCACTTTGGTATTTGCAGCATTGATGCTGTAGGTCATTCTTCCTTGTATTTTTTTAAATTAAGGGAACCAGTAAATCATATTTACTAATTACCTGTGTACGTGTGTGCATGCGCATGTTGTCCTGGATGACAAGGTTTTGGAAGCAGAACTATTGTAACTTACAAACTTGCCTTTTTGATTCACTTTGGAGTAAACATGTCAGAAGAAAAGCTCTGGTGGGTGAGACCAAAAGCCCATATTGCCCAGCATCCAAATCCACATATGACATAAGAGCAATAGCAATCTCCCACTCAACGTTCACCTGTAACTGGTATGTAGAGACATGCTGGTTCTGATTCTGATTCTGGAAATAGCAACTATTTGTAGGCTTATCTGCCATGAATTTGTCTAATTCCCTTTACAAATCTGTTGGTGGTCAGCGCCACATCTTGCAGGTGCAACGGCCTCAGTTTAACTGCATTGTGTGAAGAATTGCTTCCTTCTGTCTGTCCTGAATCTCCCACCGTGCAGCTTCAGTGGATGATTCCTGGTTCTAGGATTATTAGGGAGAAACTTATTTCTGTCCACTCTTCCACACTGTGCATAATTTTGTACCCTTTACCATGTCCTCCCTTACTTTACCTCCCCAGCCCCCCAACAGGACAGATCACTGGTTGCTCTTGCCCTTTACTGCATTTTTCCAATCTGAACAATATTCCTCCTTTTTTTAAGCATTAAATTGTTACTAAAGGTGCTTGAGCAAAATACAGTAACAAGCTACAACATGCTATCCACATCATAATGCAGGCACCCCCCAAACTTGGCCCTCCGGATGTTTTTGGGACTACAATTCCCATCATCCCTGATCACTGGTTCTGTTAGCTAGGGATGATGGGAGTTGTAGTCCCAAAACATCTGGAGGGCCAAGTTTGGGGGTGTCTGTCATAATGGGTACAATACATAGGTGACATAGCAAAAGCAATAAAAGGAAAACGTGAATTGAGATACCGGCACAAAGAGCATACACAGTAAGCGGATGCATTTGTTAGCAGGTAGCATCTTTAACTCATCAATAATAATAATAATAATAATAATAATAATAATTTTATTATTTGTACCCTGACTGGCTTTCCCCAGCCACTCTGGGTGACTTCCAACATCATATATATATATAAACATAATAAAACATTTAAAACATACAGGGCTGCCTTCAGACACCTTCTAAAGGTTGTGTAGTTATTTGTTACTCTACCAATCCTGCTCATATCAGTCAGAATTTCTATTTGAGCAGTATCCCACACTTTGCACTACCAACCCAGCAGAGAAGGAAGTGTTCTTGCTACTTCTAGTCTGCCTGCTAAGAGAATAAAATCAAAAATTTATGAACAAGATTGCTCAATGTCTCAGGCCAAATTGAGCTAAAGAACAAATTTGAAATTCATGAAACTATATGAGAGGATCATCACCAAGCTGGGCTTTTATTTGCTCCTTTGTCAACAGGACTCCCATCATTTAAAAGGTCTTTTCAGCTGATAAAGAACTTTTGCTGCCCAAGTTTTAAAATATACCATTATTGTCTTGAAAGGAAGAGTAACAAAAGTGGCAGTAGCAGTGATTGAGAAGATATCCAGTGTGAAGACCATTTTTCCCCTGTTTTTGATGGTTGCATAAAATGGGTTGGGAAGAGTTTTCCGTTTCACTGGTGCTATTTTCAAGAAAGGGAGAGCTCTGTAATACTCCCAATCTGTTCCAATTTCCATGGAGCGCCAGTAAATTTCATGGTCCCCTCTCATCATGTGAATCGTTTTGTTAAACTGGCAGGCATGGTAATAGCACTGGAAGTTAAAGGTAAAGGTACCCCTGCCTGTACGGGCCAGTCTTGCCAGACTCTAGGGTTGTGCGCTCATCTCACTCTATAGGCCGGGAGCCAGCGCTGTCCGCAGACACTTCCGGGTCACGTGGCCAGCGTGACAAGCTGCATCTGGCAAGCCAGCGCAGCACACGGAACGCCGTTTACCTTCCCGCTGGTAAGCGGTCCCTATTTATCTACTTGCACCCGGGGTGCTTTCGAACTGCTAGGTTGGCAGGCGCTGGGACCGAACGACGGGAGCGCACCCCGCCGCGGGGATTCGAACCGCCGACCATGCGATCGGCAAGTCCTAGGCGCTGAGGTTTTACCCACAGCACCACCCGCGTCCCACACTGGAAGTTAGGAAACCCTAAACCTCCAACCCATTGAACAGGTATACCTTTTGCCCTCATTGATGAAATCATCCAACATCTTTTGCCATTTAACAAGGATATTTCCATCAAGCCAAGCCGGTAGAACTTGAATAAGTATGTGACGCTAAGTTTTCCCCACTGGTCCATATCCTCCTGTAGCCATAATAGTGGGTTATAGCTGATGTCTTTTAGGCTGTTCAAATGTCAGTTGGGTGTTATAATTACTTTTTTTTGAGAGAGAGAGAGGAAGGAAGGAAGGAAGGAAGGAAGGAAGGAAGGAAGGTAGGTAGGAAGGTGAAATAGGGTTCATAACACACATACACGCAGTTCCCTTTCTAAAAAAGAGAAAGACTTGTTGCTTTCAGTAGACTTCATGGTTTTAATTCTCAAAATTATCGCTTGCGAGTGGTGCATATTACTTAATAGCAGGCCTTTGGAAAGGAAGCGAGAAGGCGGAGCAAGCCTTTGGTGCCTGTTATTAAAATGCACTCAAAATTAAACGGCTAAAAGGCAGCCTCGCATGGACTGCGGACGCTTCGGAACCGAGTCCAGGGGGCTCAAATGACTAAATCCGTCCCCAGCTGAAGCACATTCGCGCTTTCCCTCGCGTCGCCGTGTTTTTATCAGAAGTGGAAGAGGAGGGCGGAGCGCAAGGAGGCGGCGGCGGAGCGGCGTCCTCCGTCCCCAAAGCAACAGCGGCTCCGCCCCGCAAACAGTGGCCGGTGGAAGTGCCGGCGGCCAGCATGGGGGGCGAGGAGCCCGAGCCGGACTTCGAGAGCGCCCCCGAGACGGACCCCCGGGCTCGGCTGCTGGGGGCGCGCGTGGCCAGCAGCCTGCGCGTGGAGCCCGAGCGCTGGGAGCGTTGCGCGGGGAGCCCCGAAGCGCGCCCGCTGCTGCGCGCTTTCCTCGACGGCGACCCGGCCAAGCGGCTGCTGCTCGTCACGCCGGGCGCAGGGGGCCAGTTGGCGCTGGCCGACCGGCTGGCTCTGGCGCCCGGCACCGGTCGCTCTGGCAAGGGGGTCTTCCTGCTGCGCCTGGCCCCCGGGCCGCTGCGCTCCCCGCCGGCTCCCGGGCACCTCCTCTATGGGGACCTGTCCTCCGCGCCCCTGGAGCACCTCGCAGCCCTCGTGGAGGAGGTAGGGCTGCTCGAAGGGGCCGGGCGCTCTGGGGAGGGCTGAATTCGGGCAAGAGGTCTGGCATAAGGGGGTGGGCATTGCCCCCCCCCACCTCGTAGCTGTAGCAGCAGCTGCATACTAGTTGTATGTCCAGCAGGTGAGTAGTTTCCCTTGCTGACCCCCCTTTTTTTGGTCTGCCAAGAAGCTGCTAAACTTAGGACCCTGACAGAGAAAAGGGGGGACAGGTGAGAAGGCATCGCCTCCTTTGAGTGGCAAGACCCAGGGTAGCAGCAGTGCTTTTTTTCATAGAGAGAACTGCACAGTGCCTTGTGTGGGGAAGAGAGAGAGGCAAGCATATAAACATACTCTTTAAGTTGAAGGTAAAAAGAATCTGAATTAGTTTCTGTATATTAGCCCTGTGAGGGGACTCAGGGGAGGAAATTGTCATCGTTATTTATAAATTCATCTACTGTTTAGTACCAATGCAACTAAATTAGAAGTATACCAACCAGTTATGCAAATATTAAAATATAAACATCCATAATTAAAATAATAAATAAATAGGGGTACTCTCATTTTGATTCAAGAAAATCACCATTTTATAGTTGAAATCGGGGAAAATAAATAGAGTAAATGGACAAAAGTACAAAGATTCACAAAACGTTTAGGGGTCTGCGTCCCCCCCAGAAAAAAGTACTGGGTAGCAGCAGGTAGTAAGAAGAGGGGTGGCCCTCTGAACAGGAGCGGGTTATATAACTCAGGGCCCTCAGGAGGGTCCCCGTTTTGGTCCCCAGCACCCTCTGTTAACAGGGTTTTAGAGAACCTGTCTGGGAAACAAGCCTCTACCCTTGCATTGGACTGGATGACCCTTGAGGTCCCGTCCAAATGTACAATTCTACAATCTATGGAGAGCTGTTGCCTGTGGAAGTGGACATTTTGGAGCTACCTGGATGACGGGGGTCAGGCTTGCTATTAAGGTAGCTTTGTATGTTTATGCTACTGGTGCCTTGTAATAAGCGTTTTCATCATAATTTTCATCAGAGTGATGAACATTCATCGTCCTCTTTTTATTATTGGTTTGCAAAGGGAGGGGGGAGTGCCAGGTGGGTGAGCAGCTAGCCAAAAAGCACCTGGTTCCTTTTCTATCCCAGTTATGGTGAGTATTGGGGTGTCCCTTGCTGTCAGGTCCAGTATAATTTGAGTTTCCTGCTCCCACGTTAGCTCACTGGCCATCTGTTCTCCAAGCACTTCAGCTCCTGGGCTTGGACAGATGTTTGAAACTCATGCAATACAGGGTTCATCTCCACAAATTCTTCATAGAGAGAACTACAGAGTGCCTTGTGTGGGGAAGAGAGAGAGGCAAGCATATAAACATACTCTTTAAGTTTAAGTTGAAGGTAAAAAGAATCTGAATTAGTTTCTGTCTATTAGCCCTGTGAGGAGGAAATTGTCATTATTATTTATAAATTTATCTACTGTTTAGTACCAACGTAACTAAATTAGGAGTTTACACAGTATACCAACCAGTTATGCAAATATTAAAATATAAACATAATTAAAATAAAAAATAGAACGATTACATTACAACAGTGCAGCATTGAAAAACTGGAAACCGCAAGTCACCATCGATAAACATGGTGTGTTTACCTTTGGAAAGAGCTGCCTTTATTGATGGCAGTACTGTGGTGGATGACAGTACAATAGTAATGAAATAATAATAATAAACCTAGCCTACACTTAAGAGGAGGTGATCCACTTTTATTCAGAAAGTTGCTGAGGAACAAGAATGCAAAACCCAAACCCACAAAATGAGGAAATGCAAAATGAAGATATGGCACCCATCCAAATTTGTTTGTGAAAGGGAGAGGCTGTAACTAGGCATG